CGATCTTGTGCTCACCGAAGCATGCAATGCTGTCGGCAAGGTCAGCTCACCTTGCTGCTAACGGTGACACATCTGCGGTGGTTGGGCCTGCTCTGAGTGGTCAACGGCTTGAAACTCTGCGCCAGTCGGTTCTCAGCGCACCAACTCGGCGAACCAAGGTCCTAGGCTCCATGCGATGGCGGGGATCCAACGTCTCGTCATCTACCACATCTGCCGTTGTGCGAGTCTGGCTTGCGCCCTACAATCTCGATGGCAGGCTGCGCGGCTGCGGAACCATGTCGTGAACCATAGATGTGTCTTCGCCACTAAACGACCGCCGGCAGCCAAAGAAACGGTTTGCCTGTTCTACAAAGACGTGGGAGCCTATTGCCCATCTAGCCCATCCACGGCAAGCTCGCCATCTCTGCCCAACCCCAGGCTGGCGGGCTGGGTAGTCGGCGAGCGCACTACTGAAGAACCGGCCCGCAAGAAGCATCGTATGTGAACTGATTCTGATGCGACATGATGAAATCTCGAGTTGGACAGCAGCCTGCCGCAGTTGATAGCCATGACCCAGAAAAGCAAAGTCTTCTCTATGACGCAACAGATGATAGTCGCCGTGCATTATCGTTGTTGTTGTTGTTGATGATGATCCTATCATGCCACATAGGCCGAGTACTCGAGGCTGAAAGCGGCAGTCCTGGCTTCACCGCTTTTCTACTAACGCAAGGATATGTCTTCTCGAAGACACAGTGTGTTGTCACTTGCGGAAATTCTCGTAGGGGCGCTCGCTAACAGCCAGTATCACTTCGTCCGAAGTGTTAAGACGATCTTGCGAGGCGTCGTGACGGGACAGGTCGCCCGAACTATCATTGGCGACGTTTCACTTCAGGTCACACAAGGGCGGGGTCCTGTCTCCCCTTGGAGCTTTGCCCCGGTATGGTTCTGGTGGAGCACTTTGATTACTCGCTTCCAATGCACGCCCATTGTTTGCTTGGTGCCCTTTTGTTTTGAAAAAACGTTGTTGGCAGAATCGAATCCTGCGTCGTTGATTCCTGGGTAGGAGAAGCTTTTGGATCCGAAGGCACCGGATAGAAATAGAACGGACCGAAAGCTAGACCCAACTCGGAGGATCTGCCAATGTCCCAACGGCGATGTTGCGGGAGTTAGCTGGCTTTCGGCGCAGAAAGAGCTCAGAGCCTCTCTTCCTGCAGCTAGTGGCTGTTGAGAACACCACCTAGACTACTGCACGCTTCTCCTGAGGGCAGGATTCCTGAAACGTACCTGGATACCAAGGGCATCACGACGATCATTGCGCCTTTACGAGAGCTTTGACAACCCCTTCCGCGGAGGCAAAGTTGCAGGCCCCTGTGGATATGGGACTGGAATCATAATAACACTGTACGAGAAACCCGGTAATGGTATCTATGGGTACATGCGGCCTGCCACACAGCGTGTCCGGCCATTTTCCTCCCACATGCAGATGCAAGATCCGCCTGTCCACGGGTCGCTGTGCCCCACTAAAACTGCGGGGCATTCCGCGGCTGAAGCCTGAGCGTGCATCAAAGGGGGATCCGGGGCGGAGATGGTCTCGAAACCAACTCGCTCTCTGTACTGCACTGTACGTTCTGTACGGTACCAATTAGAGCGGTCGGGCAGCTGTTGTGACAGCTTCTGGATGACCTGAATGCCACTGATGGGATTTAAAGATTCGACCCCAGTATAGACTTCACACCAATTTGGTAGACCCCGCGAAGGCTGGTGCTGAAGAGAAGACAAAGATTTATACGAGACGAGCTTATTGCTTGTAGATCCTCTATGCCCAGCGAAAGTGGCTTGAAAATTAGATTTGCGCGTTCCTGATGTGCACCCATCGCCAGGGCTCAGATTTCGCGATCATCGTTCACGGACGTCCATGTGGCCTCGCCCGCGCAAGAGTCTCCTCGGTTGCTGTTAATCTCGACCCCTCTGTCACGTCTCCTGTTTCCGCAGTTGGACAAGACTCCCAGTTGATCAATGTCCTATACGTGATTGAGCTGATCCATCTGTCCAGACAAGCGAGCAAAAGTCTCTTTGTTCTGACGATATGCATGAACGGCGTCACCGATGCCTCCCTTGGTAGACTGTTAGTGGCGGGCCAACATGCCAGTAATTGGCGTGGCAGAGACCACCCTTACCGTCCCTGGAGGCTTCACAGGCGGGCGAGAATGCCAATGAGCCCTGCTGTAATTAGATACACAACATTGAACTGGGACCAAAGCGGTGCAGGCAGTGGAGGTTTGAACCACGAAGGTGACCACGGCGTGGGGGGATGAAAGGGTCACTGGCCACAGACCACTATCATTGACCCCAATGCGTCGATCTGGTGGGCATCTGGTATCTCTCTCTGTGCCTTGGTGACCTGCCCTGAGCCTGTTCCTCCCTTCCAAGGTTGAGGCTGACCAGATAGGGAAGTTTGCCCTTCTCTCCCTGCTGCCCTGCGTCGTCCATTGCTCGTCGCCGGCCCAACGAGCGCCCTTTGCCTTCCTTCCCTTCCCTCCTCCCCTACTGTACTCTTGAAGGGAGCAGATGTCCAATATCCCATCTCTCCCCACCCCAGCTTCTTGTTCATTCTCCTGCTTGTTGGTATCTACAAATCATATGCAGCATATACATAACCGTACAAAAGAGTCTTTCGTCGGATTGCTGGTCAGTCGTTGGTCCTGCGACTACTCCGGCCTTCGGAAAACAAAAAAGAGTATCCACACCACCCTCACTGGCTGTCACATACCGCGCCGTAAATAGCATTTGTATATCATCAACCAACAGCAGACAGTTGGTGCTCCACGTCTCCAGTCGCATTCACATATCCGCTACTACTACTGCCGCTCCGTCACCTCGTAGCCATCCGTCACGGGCAAGTCATCTGAGAATTCTTGTCCTGCAGTGAGTCGATCCGGACCCAACCCGGTGACAGATAGACGGTCCGACGGGCAGACAGACAGAGGGACAGACGACTTGCTGACCACTGGCAGTAGCATCCACGAACATCGGAAGCCATCTGCAAAGGGCCACACTTTATCCCGCGAGCACCCGACGTCAACAGGTAAGAGAGGCCTGTTGCCCGTTGCAATTCTCTGGCCTCTGCGGCAAGGCGACCTAGCCGCCTCATCCGATCTCTTGACTTTCGGGAACCACACACGCACCTGTGAGCCCGGCACTCGCAGGCAAGCAGGCACTTTGGAGGGCGTCAAGTCCGTCAGCCTTACGAACTAACGAGTGTGTAGTCAGTCCGGTTGCTGCCCCTGCCAGTCCCTCGTTAAAGGCTGCGGAGAGTTTGCCCGACCCGGCGCATTGAGTGCGCGCACGCGAGAGCTAGGCTGCATCCTGCCACTGCATTAGACATATCTGGCACCGGTACCGTAGAAACAGAGAAAGGGTTCGGTAATCCGTCATCGTCATCATCATCAACATCATCACCAACATCACCATCAACATCAACATCACACAGCACAACATCGAGGGTTCGCCCGGCAGCAGAGAGTGCGCTTGTCAGGACAGGGTGTATTGGATTGATCTTCTCTCTTGTCGCGGTGAGTCGTGTGACTTTTGTGACATCCGTCTCGGACGGGTCTACCCCTGACATGCTGCTAACAATGCGCTAACGTCGACTTGTGGCAGACGGGGGGCCACACCGGAGTCAGTATCTCAAACATTCAAGAAGCTCACCCCGCAAAAAGCCAGGCTCCTAGGGCTCCTTCTCCGGCCTCCGCTCCCTACTCCTCTCACTTCTTGTCGCGTCTCTGGAGCTCGGCCCGCCATAGTCTTTCCTGTCTTCGCGCAAGGTGCTGGACAGTAGTACAGTACGGCACAGCACGGCACGGCACAGTGCAATCCTGTGCCTTTGCAGTGCAGCTCAGCTCAGCTTCAGCTTCAGCTTCAGCGCGGTGCGGTGCAGTGCAGTGTGTACGAGGCTGTCTTTCTGTCAGTCTGTCTATCCGTCCATCAACCATTCAGTCAGTCAGTCAGTCAATCAGCCTGTCAGTCAGTCACTCTGTCAGTCTGTCCCTCCAAGTGGACAGTCGCTGGCCCTCTCTCACTTGACCTGTGCGTACTTTGGAGCCCGTATCCAGGTCCTCCCCGGTCTGGTCTCAGGTGTTTCGCACGCTGGATCATCCACATTTGCTGCCCCTTGGCGTTGGAATGCAACCTTAAGACTTCACAACTGCAACCTTATCCTTCCCGCTGCCTCGTCCCCCGTCAACCGCATTGTCGCAACCCACGCCCGACACTTTGTTTGCATTGATCCAGCATTTCCCTCCCACGCCTCGCCCTGCCTCGCCTTGCCCTGCCTTGGCCTCCAACCCGACAGGACAGGACAGGACAGAACAGGATAGGATAGCACAGCACACGATAGGACAGGACAGGCAGAAACTGGCCTCTTGAAAGAAAAGACAAGGTACACAGACAGAGACACAGAGACACAGACACAGACACGCATACACACATACGCACACACATACACACACATACCCACACCCACACGCCACACACACCCCCCTCACCCTCACTCTCACCCACCAAAAGGTATGCGCTTCGCACTAGCCTGGGCACCTCTGAACCCTTGCGAGGGTGGATCGTCCGCGGCCCTAGGCCCAAAGTCAAACTCCACTGGCTCGCCGGTAGTGCCCTCCCTCAGTTCTAGTCCTGGGCTGAAAGGCGTGCGTGCCTGCCTGACAGCTGAATGCCTTTATCTTAGCGCATCTGCAGCGCAGCACCACACACTCCAACTTCACAATCCGAATCTCCTATCCTCCAACTTGATTTCCTGCATCAATACTCCAAACCCGTCGTCTCTCTTCTCTGTACATCTTGGCCTCGCCCGCCCGACTCCCCCGCCTCTATCTCGATTATAATACATTCTGTTCTCCGGTCTGACATCCTATCTGCCATTTGTCACAGGTTATCCACCCTCCCACAGCTGCTAGGTTGATAATTTCCGATTCTCGATCGCGAGGCTCCGCTCCGGAGTGACGCCCACCATGGACAACGGTCAACAAGTGAGTCTTCCTCAGCCTCGTCTTCGCGCACTTGCTCTGCTGTGCAATCTGCGCGCAGTCCAATGCACACGTCCTTTACCATCTCGGTCTTTTGACTATTCTTTTCCACCCTCCCCGCCTGCCCTGGCGGAGCGAAACCACCTCCCGGGCGGGAAAGTCCTGCCTGGACTCTGCGGCTGACCACTCAATGCAGACTCACGGCCAACCCCCGAACCGCAACTCCAGGGCCACGAACCTGTTCCCTCCCCTCCTGAACGGCACCGGACAAGGTGGCGCCAGTAGTATATGGGCCAGTAACCCAATTACAGACGGCCTTTCTTCTAGGGAGAATGCAGGCGTGTCCGGTGCGTACAAGAGCTGGGATACCGAGGGCGCAAAATTGACACAACCCACAGCGCCCGGCCAGTCACTGCACTCTGCACAGAGGCCAAATGGCATCGGCGGATCCGATGGCAGCCGGTGGACCACTGGACTGGGAACCTGGACCTCTCCAGATAACATGCAGTCTCGCCCGAACCCATCACGAAGCACATCGCCTCCGTCCGCGTTTCAGAGCACTTCCAACACCTCCCCGTCCTTCAACCCAGGTCGCTTGACGAATGGGCAAAGTAACACCTTCCCCACGTCTCTATCCACCTCGAACAACGGCATCATCAGTCGCGGGAGTATCTCGGGAGGCCCGCAGCCAGCGAGAGTAAACAGCTTTCAGTCTGGATTTGGCGGCTTCCCACGCACCAATTCGGGCACCTCTGCCTTCGATGAGTCTGCGACATCACGCGAATCAGGACTGCCGTCGTCGAGGCACTCAGAGAGCGAAACACCGCTGCAATTCAACAATGACGTATCTGGGTTCCCTCAGGGAATCGCGTCGCATTCCCGACACGCCTCTCGACCTTCCCTCAGCGCGGCGTCGTCTTCGTATTATCAGCAGCCGCCAAGCTCGAGATCTCAGAGTCTCAACCCTCACAGTGACGAGGCTGCTCTGGAGGCTGCCCGCGCAGCCTTAGGCCGGGGAGCATTAGCCAGCAACTCCCCAGGCCCTCGCTTCAACACAGTCCAAGCAAGCACACCCGCTCCTTCACAATTTGGCCGGTGGGACTTTACGCCCACCAACGGAACCAACCAGATCCCTACATATCCTCAAGAATCCAGGCGAGAGTCGCTGGCAATGAGCATCAACCAGTCAGCAATGAACAGCCCCAGAGCGTTCGGCGGCGGTAGGCCCGCGGATAACTGGCCGACTCCAGTGGCACCGGTGGATCTCGACCCATTGGCTAGACTCCAAAGATCACAGAGCCAGATTTCCAGACTGGCCAACCAGTCGCCATACCTCGATCCTACATTCAGCCAGATCAACCAGGGCCAGATTCCCGACCTGCAGACACAACTAATGCAATCATTGTACCAATATCAAGGATATGCAATGCCAGGACAGCAGTACTACCCTCCCACAGCTCCTGCTGCTTACGGAGCTCGGCCTGCGCGCAACCAGAACCCTTACGAGAACTACAAAGCAACGCCCCAGCTTCTGGAAGAATTCAAGAAGACCTCGAAAGGTGCTAACAGGAAATGGCAACTCAGGGTATGTGACGAGCTGATTCTGTTTCAGTGTAGATCCAAGTATTGATTTGTTTGCAGGACATTTTCGGCTACGTGACCGATTTCGCCGGCGACCAACAAGGCTCGAGGTTCCTCCAAGAGAAAATTCCTGGCTCAAACAGCGATGACAAGCAGAGAATCTTCGACGAGATTCTTGTCAATGCCAACCAAATGATGACTGACGTTTTTGGCAATTACATTGTCCAGAAGCTCTTCGAATATGGGACCCTCGTGCAGAAGAAGCTTCTCGCTGCCAAGATGCAAGGAAACGTGGTGGACCTCTCTATGAATATTTACGGCTGTAGATGTATCCAAGAGGTCAGTAGACTACGGAGTATCGTTTTATGTCGCGTCATACTTACCCAACATCTAGGCTCTAAACTACATACTGGTCGAACAGCAGGTCGAGATAGCCAACGAGCTTGAACCTGACATCATCCGCCTCATGCAAGGTGTTCACTCCAACCATGTTGTCCAAAAGGTTCTTACCAAGCTACCCAGAGAGCGTATTGACTTCGTTTACGACGCCGTCCGCGGCAAGGTTTACACGCTATCGACGCAACAATATGCTTGCAGGGTCATCCAACGGATGATCGAGCAGGGAACAGAAGCTGATAGGGCTTTCATCCTCGACGAATTCCACCAAGTCGCGCACAAGCTGGTGACGGATGACTGGGGCAACTACGTCGTACAGGCTGTTATCAAGCAAGGAGGAGACCAGGCTCGCTCAGAAGTGATCCGAATATGCATCGATCAGTTCCTGGCCTTCTCGAAGCAGAAAGTCGCAAGCAACGTTATGGAGCACTGCATCCAGTTCGGTTCAGAGGAGGATCGGCTGGAGATCTACAACTTGATAATGACCACCCGCACAGAAGACGGCACCGGTCTGCTACAAGCCATGTGGAAGGACCAATTTGCGAACTATGTCGTTCGTAAGTTTACTCCAGCCCTGTTATGATGTTCTTTCTGGCATAGTAACTCAGATCACTGGCTAACAATTACCAGAAAAACTTTGCTTCCATTTGACAGGTGTTGAGCAGGAGACCCTGATCAGGGAGAGCAGGCCTTATTACCTTGCGAGGAAGAAGCCAAGCCGCCCGGATGAGAAATGGGCGAAATTCGAGACGCTGATGAGCAAATTCAGAAGCACCGCCTCGAGGCAGGGCAGTATTAGCAGCGCGAACGGCGATCTGAATGGCGTCACAGCATCACGGCCGAGCTCACAATCCGACATGAACTCGGCGATGCCTACTCCAGCGCTCACAACCGGCGGTAACAGCCCGCGGACTAGTTCTTCCCAAGCCACCAATGACGGCGCAGCCGAGGCCGATACAACTCAACCGTTGCGAGACCTTCTGAACAAGTTCGACGAGGCAAGCATACGGGACAAGGTTCCAGCCTAGAAGACTAAGAAAAAGTCCGCTTCCTGGTGAAGGGCATACATTGAAGCGTTCATTTCACTTCACTGTGTCTCTTTTGACACTGTCCCGGGGAGGCAGTGTCGAACATCAGCGGTTGTATGAATTCTTCGACAAACGCGTCCGCTTCATTTGATACGATCATTCGCTTTGGTCGGACCATAGAGCAGTGATGATGGCTTGCTAAGTCATGACATCGTCAAGCCATCGATTATCTCAGACGAGGATTGCATTGTTGAGCACTATCAGACGACGCGAGAAGCAAGAGTTATCCGATTTCCTTGCGCAAATCATCATCGAAGGTCAAAAGGGCAGGCGCAGTGTCAACAAAAATAAGTTTACTGGCCTGGATGGGGCCAGTATTGGTTTCTTGTCTATTGTTATTGGGGGTTTGATTCCTTGTTATTTTTCAGGGGTGCTTGGAATCATCACTATCGTCTATGTTACTCCTGGATACCATGTCTTCCATATATTGGACATCAGCGGGCCACTGAGGGGCTCACATAAGCCGGGCACAGCGGACAGAAGGTTGGGCAGGAAAGGCTCAGGCTCGGGCCCGGATGCTTGTCTTCTTTCCTTTTCAACCCTCTCTCTCTTTACCTCTCTCTATCTCTATGTACTAGTTTAGTCGTCCCCGGAGCGGCAGCAGACACGTTGTCTGCCAGTTGTCGCTCGCTTACCCCCATTTTTCGGTACTACTACTTCTGTTGTTCATACTTTGGCTCGGCTGGGTATATGGGGATACTTGTCGTTTTCTTTGATTCGAACTCGGGCACAGTAATGAACGGAGTGAAAGACAAAGCATAATGGACGGGCGTCTTTGGTCTTCCATGGTACAGCGGTGTTTTTTTCTCTCTACATTTTGTGGGTATGGGCATCGGGGAAATAAAAAATACAACCAGACCTTCTGACACACTTGATGATCGCCAACTTGTCCTGCCAGCTTGAAATTTGCCATTACTTGTGCATGAAAGTCACAGCATGCTACTTGTCCCCGTCAAAGTCAAACCTCCGCTCATAAGTCCACCTCCCACCCTTCTCGTACCGCCACAGCGCACACCCCGTCGCCACGCCCTCAGCGCCGCGGAACCCGGACCGCACCTCCCCCATCGCCGCGTCCACGGCCGCCTCGTCCGCAGCCTTGTTCTGCACCGTCCAGTGCGGCCGCCACCCGCTCCGGTCCTGCTCGCTCAGCACGTCCCACCAGCGGCCCTGCAGCGCGCCGTGCAGCTGCTGTGCAGCCGCCCGTGGGCCCCCGTCCGCGACGCCGATGCCCACCCCGCGCCGCATGCGGAACGCCCTCCCCGTCGCCAGGCGCAGGGGCCGCTGCGCGCCGCAGAGCTCCTCCAGCGCGGCGGTGATGCGCGGCATCTCCGACCCCGGCAGGGCGTGGAAGAGCGTCAGGTGCGCTGGGGTGCGGTTCAGGTGGGCTGGGAAGTGGGCTTCCCGCAGGGCGTTGAGCGGCTCTGAGAGGGAGGGGGTTGTGGTCAGTGTTAGCACGTAGACGGATGCCTCTGGGCTGGCGGTGCGTGGTTTGTGGTCTGGGTTGGGCTGGTGTCTTGGGCGGGGTGGGCTTTGGTGGTGATGGGTGGTAGTTGGGGCTGTTTTGGTGTGGGTTTGTGAGGTTGTTCCTGGACGTGGTGTATTTGGTGAGGCGGATTGTGCTCTTGTTGACGTATTGGAGGTTGATGGTACTGGGGGCTGGCGCCCGGTCACGGCTTGCGAGTATAGCATGGTGTGCTGCAGAGTTGGTGGCAGGCGACGAGGGATTGTGGTGTATGTCCGGAACATTGCTGTGAGGCGCAGGAGAAGGGGATTCTTTGATGTTGAAGCACAATCGATTGTCGTCAATCCAGAGGTGGCTGTCTTGGAGGCTCTAGAGCCTCGACGCTAGGACACAGTGACATCAACGACATTACCACGGCCAAATTGCTTTCACTTGCCGATGACTTGGTACTCTTTGCCTGAGTTGTTTGGGCTCTTACCTTTGGCACTGGAAAGAGCATACTAGCAATTATTATCCAGCGACATTGTTTCCACCTTTTCCAATTTTCCTTGGGCAACTATTTTTTCGGCCCAACAATGGATGGGAAAGCCACATATATGATGCATCCAGTCAACAATAATTGTTCACCCTTTCTCGCCCAAATGAAACCGTAGTCTCAATTCACGCATCGTAATACTCTGCAACGGGTATCCCGTATATAACGGCATCAACAATGGCTAGTGGCACGCGAGACGGCCGAGGTCAAAAATGTCATCTATTTCAAGGAATATTTTTATTGCATTGTCAGGAATTCGATGATATCTAGCGACGGTGGGCGCACGTCTGAAAGTTGCACTGGGGTCCACTTCGTCAGCACTAAGTTGAATGGCCTCAACATGTGCTAAAATATCTTGGACAGAAGATAAAATGAAGGAGATTTTAAGGCACAGCGTTGAATGTATAAACTTGCGTAGGTACGGCACAATGATGGTAGCTAATGTTACTTTGAGGAAACCTCAATCTATGTGATATGCTGCATCTCCCCATTCCACCAACTGATGATGAACACAAACTCGAAACTCGCCATTGCCTAGCCCATACATTCCCAAACTTGTGAGATCCGTTGTCTTTCAAGGACTCCAATTGTGCAACCGTACCAGATCCTGGGTATAAAAGTTGACCAGACTTGTGTCCCACGTCCTGATTGTGTCCCTCATCAATTCAACCATCTTTATCCACACAAGGCCGTGCCCCTGTGGGCCTAGAATCTCCGGTGAGTTGTTGGTATGGCTGCAGTCGATGCATCGGCAGCTGAAAATAAGGAAAATAGCGTGTGCCATCTCGTGAACTAGCGTCCCCAAAACCTCGTCCATTGTCCCCGGGGCATTTGTTGGTAAGGAGTCTATATAGATGGCAACTGTCCCATCATTTAGGAGAGATGCCCTTCCCAACGGCTCGAAGTTTCCGTTAGAGTATTCATCCAGATAGCCAGGCTGCCCTGGTCCGAAGACATTTGGTCCAACATGAAGGCTCACGAATGGGGTCGTATGAAGACTGGCGTTCGTTCCAGTGAGGAATCCAGAGAAGAAATAACTGTCAATGGCATGAAGTGCCATATGGAAGTAACTGCCATAATGGGATTGGCGATTATGGTGATGGCTGAATGCGTTCATAGTCCCCTCGCGCAGCATCTCTCGCTCGTGTCTTACCATATATTGGTAGATATTGACAAATTGGTACTTAAATGATAGCTGTAGATCGTTGAATATCATGGTCGGGTTTGATATTTGCTTCACTGCGTTGAGGATATTTTGTGGTTTATGTAGCCTCGGTGTCAGTCTCAGTGAGTTGACTACAATGACCGACCCCGCTTGAGTCGTCCACTGTACCTGAACCAGCGGAAGAGGGTGGTATATCTCTTGCATGGTTAACCAATGGCTGAAAGTCTAGGCAGGTCCGTAGTTGATGCTCTGAGTTTGATGTCGATGAGGTTTCAGTTCAAAATCATGGCGAGCCCTGCTTGACCACCGCGATATATAGTTACAGATTCAAGGAGCACAATTGCTGCGTACTCGTCATCTATATGTCTCACCAAAAGGAGAGAAGTCCTTAGAGACAATGCAATTCTGTCGTCGATGTTTCAAATTGAGATGTTCTTATTGTTTCTGGATAAATTCGCGGCTGAAACTTTCCCGTGGCTGATTTCAATAAAGAAAAGAGCTCGCTCCAGAAAATCACCAATGGGCGCTCGTTTCACCAGAAATCTGACATCTGATAGAGATACTCGAGTTCTGAGGCAATATCTTTGTTCTATGCTCTGTATCACTTAAGTGTTGGGTCAACCCCATCGAGTCAGATTGGCGATGATCGCAAAAAACAACAAATCCTTGCTCAGCTCATTGTGAGGGATGTTGAGACAGAATTCAAGGCCCAGGCCCTTGCTCCACTTTGTGGAGGAATTTGTATGCAATAGCTGACAATCTCCCAACTCGTTCCCCGTTGTTTGTTCCAATCATCACCAAAGCACCACCTTTTTTTCTTCTTCTTGTTCATGACGTCTTCAAAGAATGCAACAGTCACCCCCGACCTTGAGGCAGACCAGCACCGTGGATCGTGTTTCATGCATTCCACCTAGAGCGACAAGTTCCGTAGATGATGCCACTCACAATCAGTGCGACTACACCAATAGCGATCGCACCGGTAGTATCACTCCGCGGAATGGGAGCATCTGTTTCGCCGCGCTCATATTCATCATCCTCCTGACAGCTTATGCAATCTTCCAGCCACTGCCCCTTTCTGATCCAGTCGGCATCTCCAGCATATTGACAGCACTCGCAGGGCTCAGAAGAGCACTTGAGATGACAGTGCGTCTGGAGCCTTCTGTTGTGACAGCCCTCCGACATGCCCTGATAGGGCTGGTCATGGTCGTCTTCCGACCGATCGAGCAGATAATTGACTTCTCGGTCCCACTCTTCATTTGCGGGCGTTTGATATGATGGGGTCTCTGCTGGTGGTATAGTTGGTGTTGAAAACCCGCTGCCAGAGTTTGAAGGTTTCTGATCTTTGGAGGCCATGTTTATGTTTCATCTGGCACTCCGAAGTGTGAGGGTCCTTAGTGTCGTCGTAGAGGCAAGTGTCATAGATTTAGTGTCCGCATGGTGGTCAGTTCAAATCTGTGGTATAGTCGCGATGGAAACAGAAATTATTGTGTATTTGTCCGGTGGGACATTCTGAGAAACTGATTGTACGCGGTTCCTACCTACGTAGGTCACCTGCACAGAGAGCGCTCAGGCTAGTCCTGCAATTAGTGTAGCAATAGATAAATAGCACACTTGTAGGTGTCCATGTTGAATAGACTTTCGATGCAGACGAGGACTAGTTGCACACTGGTGCTTACCAGAACAACCAGACCTCGACCCCAGATGTAGTCGTTGGACGTTGACTACAGCACACAATAAGCTGCGGAGATGTTAGCACGGTCTTTGATTGGTTGCTTCGGATATCGGGTAGACATTCTTCTAGTAGCCCGCGACCCGGGCCCCAACCAGCACGAATCTACACGCTTAGCGTCGCACTGCTCTCACAAGCTCATCAGCTGCTGGCTGCTCGCTTGCAGCGTCGGCTTTGATCAATTAGCAACAAGACCAGGCTCAAACTTGCCTCACGTGACATGTACAGCACATAAATGCAAAAGAAAACCCTGTACGAGTGGCTGCATATTCATGATGGCTTCGAAGTCGGCAAAATGGACGACCACGGGATCGAACCGTGTACCTCGCGCATGAAGAACTACTCTTTAGAAGAGAAGACTGATGCTAAGCGCGCGCTCTACCATTTGAGCTAGACGCCCGTGACATGCCACATAATTTTGTATACTATACAGCTAGTGTGGGCCGGGAATTTCGGACGAGCTCCGGCCCACAGCAGGGATCCCGGAACTGGGTGCTACAGATATAAGCATTTCGGCGAAATTGCACTTATTCCCAGCCTTCGTTAACATCAAAGCTATTGTTGAACTAATTGCACATGATTATATTCACCATTGGTTCCTTCTTCGACGCTATGAGCGCAGCGGAAACTCCAGGAATTTTATATTCCATGCTCTGCTATTGTTTCTCGGAGGGTTAATTATGCGACGTGATACCAGTGGTAATTCGCAGTATTGGTTTGCATGTATAAAGGTATGTTGATCTGTGAGGCTGTAGTGTTATACTGTCATGGCCGCTGAGTCGGACCGAGGTTGATGTCCTGCTCTTCCCCAGTGTCACCCTCCCTTATGTGTAAGTGATCGTGCACCATCGTTCGACGATACTTCGACACCGTTTCATTTCACGCCTCAGGACTAGCGGAATACGATATTGATAACTACATATATTACTATACATACTGATCCTCTTTGCCTATGAGAAAACTCTCTACTTTATTGCATCAAGTCCAAACTAGGCTTACCGAGTTGATCGGTTCCCAGTATCAATAACATCAATAATCACGCAGATCCATCAAGTAACCTCTTCGCTGTTGCGGCAAAGGTCCAGCATCGGCTCACCAGACTAGTACTGGTTTGACGGTGATGCCATCCTCCATGTCCTTAATCGCCTGAAGATAATCTTTGGCGGCATAGAATTTGACCAGCTTATCGGCGGGGAGTTTTCCGGCCTTGTACCACTGGATCAAATTCGGTACATACTGAATACGATTGCAGAAGTCAGTATGTTGTGTAGTCAATGTCATGTGTAATGTCATGGGCTATATCTACCTTTTCAGGGAACACGCCTCCCTCCATTGATCCTAAAATCGACTTTCCCGACTGCATCAGTGTTAGCGAGGCGATTTGAGAAGACAATGACTTGTTATGCGTACCATTATATATGGAACTAGGGCAATTTGCAGGGCCGCGTCCATTGGCGGGACACCGACGAGGATCATCTTTCCCTGATTGGCCGTGAACTCGACGGCTTGCTGAATCAAGGGAACTGCTCCTGATGCATCCACCGTGATGGTTGTCCCGGTGCCCTTGGTGATTGCATGTATTTCCTCCGTCAGTGTGCCTTTGAGATTAGTTGTGTCTATGGTGTGAGTCGCCCCGAGGCTCTTCGCCAACTCGAGACGCGATGCAACCCGATCAATGCCGATTATGGTTCGGCAGCCTCTGATCTTAGCGCCCTATTATGAAGTCAGCAAACTCTTACATCAGATTCGGGAGATATGGAAGTGCACATACCATGACAGCCGCTAATCCCACTGCTCCAAGTCCCATGATCGCCACCATGTCAGCCGGTTGAGCGTTGGCAAGCTCGGTGATCGTTCCGGCTCCGGTCTGGATACCGCAGCCAAATGGTGCCAAGATTTTCAATTCATCGTCGCTGTTCAGCATTCCGGTGACTTTGACGACAGAGACCTCTTTTACTTTGGTCACTCGTGCAAAGCTCGACTGCCCAAAGAAGGAGCCGCCAATTTCCTCCCCGAGCGTGGCTGATTCCGAGCTTAGAAAGACGCCTCTACTACCGCTGAAGTTGATTAGGCCCCACTTCTGACAGAACCCGGGCGCACCAAACTGGCAATTGTGGCATTGCTTGCAGAATGAGAACGACAGGAGGACGCTGTCACCCTCTCGGACTTTGGTGACTTTCGCCCCAGTAGACTTGACGTAGCCAGCACCTGCTCGGCACACAGTCAGCTATCAATATCACACGTAAAACTCAGAAATCAGAATTGACCAAAATAGTAACCTTCGTGGCCGAGAACTCGCGGATAGGGGGGCAAGCCGAGGGCTAGTGCTTCATCCGGGACGCTCCCACAGATAAAGTCAGTGTGACAGATCCCGGTGGCTACCAGCTCGACAACGACTTCGTCGTCTGCTGGAGGCGTCAGAGACACCTCCTCGAGCACCCACTTCCTTTCGCCATTTTCTGGCGGGCGACAGACAATTGCCTGTGTCTTGATTTGTTCACTGATAGAAGACATACTGCATCCGAATAGATAGAGAAGGTGGAAATTGAATCAAAATACAAGAGAAACAACCGTAGAAGGAGTTCCCCTCATATGCGACTTAAATCTGACGGCTAGTGCTCCCGCGGTAATACTCCCCATGTTTACGGACCATAGCCGATTTCACACTACCGCGCTTCGGATGAGGTGTGTGTTCGGCATCTTTCGTTTCACGCAAGCCTTACTTCCCCGCATTAGACAAATAGACCCTCTATTCCCCAGATTATCCCTGGGAAGACCCCAGATGACAATTCACCCCAGATTCTGCGAGTAGCCGAAGCTCAATGGACGGTGCATGTGCCCGAGAATCTGGGGTTGGTATGCATATCCCTGGCCGCCAGAAAATGGTCATGGACGTGACCGTACCCGCTGCCGTCTCTTAATCTGCAAGTTTGATAGCTGTGCAAGTCCATAAACTTCGATGTGGCTTTCATGCTACCTAATATATATTCATTCACGTCTTCGGCCGATCATTAGGGCAATAGTGAATTAATTATCATCACTGTCCAAGATCACGAAGGGTCGTGATCTCCGAAGGCGCGGAGGGAGCAACCGCGACCTGAAAATATAACTGCCACCCCGCTCGCTCGACATATTCACACTGGACGTTGACCAGCTTAAGGTTAGAGAATCTAATGTCGACGATTGAGTGGTTGGAGACTTTGAGAGGGGCTATGAACATGACCTGATTCGCGTTTTCTGGTAAACTGTTTTGAAATAATTATTAAATTTTAGATGTATAAGATGATCTTTCAATGATGTGTATAAATGCCTCACTTGTAGCGAAAAGGTGAGGTAAACATTTCAAACTAAGGAGTCGCCGCCGCTGCACCGCCCGTGCAGGTGGCCGTATTGGTTACAATAGGCGAGTGAGCATTTCGGGACGGGCAATTAGGCAGATAAGTCCCATTGATATCGATGGGCGAGAAGCCAATGATGCCGCCACCGCCATAACCATCCACGGGGACCGTTATGGGCTTCGACTGCGTGCACGTGCCGGCCTTGTCGCACGTCAGGTAGTTGGCCAGCGAGGTGAAGTTTGCCGTGAGCGCCAGGCTCGACAACGCCTTGGTGGGCCTTTGCTCTTGAGCGTCACACCAGTACCACTCCTGGATCCAGAGCCAGGACCGCCCGTCCGAGATGACGCGCAGCAGGCCGTCTGGGTCGCAGTTGCAGTCGAACAAGCCGTTATAGGTGTTGCAATGCCCCGGGGTGTCTGGGCAGCTGAAGGTCCCGTTGCCGTAGGCCACCTTGACCGATGCGGCGTTGTTGCCGTTCGAGTCGATAGTGGACTTCAAGCCAGAAACAGCGAGGGCCGTAGGGAGAGGACAGCCTAGTGAGGCGTATGGGTTATTCAAAGAGGCAGTAGTGGTGCTGGTGGCAACCGTTGTGGAAGCACCGCTAGTGGAAGTTGGGTTTTTGGCCCCGGCAGCTGTGCTGGACCCGGAGGATGAAGTGGGCGTGGTAGCGGCGACCGATGACGACGGCGACTTTGATGTGCTGCTGGTTGCGGGGGCTGGAGTAGTCGAAGACTTTTTGGTGGTCGACGAGGAAGTAGTTGTTGTGGAAGTACTCAGCTTTGCAGCAGTAGAGAGACAGCCACGGTCGTAATACACATCCGAGCTGCCTTTGTCCGCGTCGAAGTTGCCTGCCAGAGGAATACTGAAGAGCATGCACTCGGAGCTGCTATATCCGAAGCTCTTGCACTTGGTGTCCCCAGCACAAGCGGCTGAGCATGCCGAGTACGAATTATACTTGCCGCCGCTGTCGTAGAAATAATTTCCTTCGCCCCGATCGTAGCCTTTGGTGGCGCAGATGTCGGCACGTTTGTGATTGTGATTGTGACGGATGTTGCCGGCTTCGGCAGATCCAAGCAGGACCGCTGAGAGTAGAGCGATAGTGTGCGCCTTGGAAAACATATTGTTTGTTCGGCGGTTTGGGGTACGTCGAAGAAATGTGATCAAACACTGGAATAGTGTACGACTTAACGAAGGAGTTGTTCTTTGTGAGATATTTGAAGAGAATGTGGGCCGAAAGTTGGCTATGGTTGATTGGAAGCTAATATCCTGATCTTTACGCCAGAGACTGCCCTCTTTTAAATAACTCAATCCGCAACACGACGAGCTAAATACCCTCGGAGGTCAGCTCACACTTGTGTGCCATGCCATGCAGTTCTGCAACATCGACTACGGATATGTCCGAACCAGTCCGATTGACACAGCTCCTACGCATGGACAATCGTGAGAAAGAGGTGATGCACAGACAGCTTGGAGTAGACATCTAGACTCAAGAGCTGCCTACAGAAAACTTGACGCATGGACGCTTCAAAGACCTGCGAGTCTTTATTCTTGGGGACAGCCACCAGTCTGTGAGCAGCGACTAAGCTAGTAGCTGCAAGCTAATACAGGGGTAGCTTCAATTTTCATTGCTCCTGCTACCCACTTAGCCCCGGGGTGACTGAAGCCGGACAAATAGCATCGGAATGCAGGCAGCGCGTTGGTGAGGAAGCACTTGGGAGCTCGTGTGTTTCTCCTGTTCTCGCTCCGGGGCAATGTTTCCAATCTCCCGGCCCTCCAGAGGTGGTGACTTCAGCCAAGCGGGTAGCTGTAGTAATCAATTTCGTTTACTTCTTTCTACAGCATCGCATGTTAAAACCTGGACCGATCAATTTTCGGGCCAGTACATGGTACATTCAGTGTATCCAATCAGTCTAACACGTGTCTGAGGAAGGACAAAGGACGAGGCAGTAGAAGCGCTATGCCTGTCTAGCAGTATTTAGGTGCTTTGCTTCTCCCAATATTTGAGCTTCCCGGATCCCAAACTCTGAAATCCTGCGTCATCAAAACCTCTCGATGCTGTACTTGGGTTCGTTTCACGTGCCAATCGGTGTTCAAATCCCAATAGTCAAATATCCCAGTTCCCGAACTTGAGCAATGATAGTACTATTATTGTGAAGCTCGAAGCCGTTGACATAGAACTCCCTCCTGGAGATCTCGCGTCCTCACGTGGTGAAGAAACGCTCAGTTACAGCGACTTGTAATTGTAACCGTTCTGAGACCACTATTTGCTCCAGAATTCTGTTAATGGTTCAGTTCTGCGAAACCGAAGTCGTCACAGAACTTGGCCCACTTTAGGTAATCTTTCTAAATTTTGACTTGCCGATATCGTCGTCACCCAAGATGCTTCGGCTTTAACAAACCATCATAGTTTGGGGAGACCTGTTTCGAGATTCTCTAGGAGCACAAATGTGAAGTGCAGAAGAGTTGAGCTTTTCGCATTTAAGTGCATCTACTCATCTTGTTCTCTTTTTATTTGCCTTTAGCTATGGCTGGAAGCACCCATGGTTTGCACATATTAATTGATAACGAGTATCACTAGGATGGTCAAGTAAATATTGGTTTCAAAGCTTGCTCTTACTGTTATATTTTCTAGATAATTATGGCCGTCTGCCAAACGACAACTAAGAATCGCACCATCCAGCCTTCGAACTGCTGTGTTCTCAAGTCACTTGACGTCAAACAAAAGTTTGGGAAAGTTGTAATGCGTTCGATCTGTACAGTATCATCTTCTGGGGAACTCGTTGAAGTCACACAAACGAGCACGAATTACTGGCGCCGCGTTCGGTCAGGATTGCCGTAATCCGGGAATAGCCACAAAAGTCGACTCAGCTTTCAATTGTGTTTGTTCAGGTTCCGGGAGCAGTGATGGACGGGACGTGGAAATCCACGCGAAGGAGCCAGCTGGCGCGTGAGATAGCTTCTGGTTTGTCAGGTATTGCATGGTTCACTCACTGCCAGGCTTTGACGGAGGCACTTCCGCTTGCTCTCCCTACATTGCCGACATACGGTGGGTGCTTTCGTTATACGTCAGTTCACTTGTTTCGCAAGTGGACGAGATCCGATCTGCACAAAAGGCTCCGTGTCGAAGCTCTCTTGTGGACTCTGGAGGTAAAGGCTCGTATGCAGGCCCTCGGAAATGCATGTCTTTGACCGGGTGGTGATCCGAACCCACACAGGAGTTCTGGGAAGGGAGCTGAGGAGCCAGGAAATGCACCAGCAGACGCACTGAGCTTTAGAGGGGAACCAGATTGGCGCGCATCTACCTTGGTTTAGTCTACCGAGTACCGACATCGAGCTTCCCAGGATGCCCCCTCATTACTCGTCTGTTTTGCAGATCCGAAGAGCCTCAAGCCATCAGCATTTACACATCACTTAGATTTGTGCATCCTTCGTTTTCTCATCCACATCATAATCTGATTGACACAACATCCTCAACCCCAATGACATTTTTCGAGCCAACAACGCCCGTGATCACAAACAGAATGGGGAGCATCAGCACCAACATTCCCCATCTCGTCCAGACAAATGGTTCGAAACAACTTGTGGTGAAGGGAAAGCCCTTCCTCATGAGGGCTGGAGAGCTTCAAAACTCTTCGCTATCGTCGCCCGAGTATATGAATGCTGTTTGGAAGAAGATGGCCGATACCAATATCAATACTTTGCTCGGCAGCGTGACGTGGGAGATGATCGAGCCCGAGGAAGACAAGTTTGATTTTTCGGTAATTGACCAAATCATCAGCGATGCACGGAAGCATTCCATGCATTTAGTGCTGCTCTGGTTTGGATCTTTCAAGAACGGTAAGCCCCGTCTGTCTCAATGGGAAGAGACACAGACTGCTCAACCACAGGACGACAGGATTATCCACATACACACCAGCCTGGGTGAAGACAGACAACACCCGGTTCCCCCGGGCGAAACTTCGCAAAGCGGGCGGTCGCCTCGAAACGGCCAACGTGCTCTCCATCTTCAGCCCCGAGAGCCGCAAAGCAGACGCCAAAGCCTTCGGCCGCCTGATGGGGCACGTGAGAGAGATTGACGAGCCGCACTCCACCGTGCTCATGGTGCAAGTCGAGAACGAGTGCGGTGTTCTGGGCGACTCTCGCGACGGTTCCGACTTGGCCAACAAGGCTTTTCAAGAGTCCGTTCCGAAGGACCTGGTGTGGTTTCTCTCGTCAGAGTGGAACAACCTGCACCAGGATGTCCGAGAACAGAACTTGTCGCATTTTGACCCTGCAAGTCATGAAATTGACGGCAAAAACAGCTGGGAAACCGTGTTTGGTTCCAGTCCGCGCACAGACGAATTGTTCATGGCATACCACTATGCCCTCTACCTGAACCAAGTCGCCGCAGCCGGGAAGAACGCATACTCCATCCCACTCTACACCAACGTGTGGATGAACTACGTCGGAGAAGACTCAGACAACGACTTCCCCGTGGTTGTCGGCGGCGGCGGCATGCCGGGAGATTATCCGTCCGGCGGCCCCGTGAGCAACGTCCTGGACGTATGGATGCGCTTCGCGCCCAAGCTGGACTTCATTGGGCCGGACGTCTACCTCAACGACTACGCCAGCTCCTGTGCTAAGTACAGGCACCGGAACCAACCGCTCTTCATCCCGGAGCAGCGCCGCGATGGCTATGGCGCTCGCCGTATCTGGATCGCCTATGGCACTTTTAGCGCGATGGGGGTTGCTCCCTTCGGCGTGGACACGGTCAACCCGGAGGACAGCGCGTTTACCAAACACTATGGCCTGGTAAAGTCTGTTTCACAGATTGTTCTCGAAGCACAGCGGCACCCAGACACGTCGGTGGGGTTCTGCTTCGATGAGCTTCCGACAGATGATTCTGCAAAGGACCCGAGTCCTTCAATCTGCCGGGTCTGGGGAGATTTCGAGATCTTCATCGAGCGGTGCTTTGTCTTCGGGAAACCTGGAACAGGAGCTGGCATGGTGATCCATCGTGGCGGCGGCAAATTCTTGCTCATCGGCTGGGGCTTCCAGGTCAGGGCGAAGGCGTTGGGCCAGGACAAGAACTTCACTGGTATTCTGAAATTCGAGGAGAAGATTGTGGAGGACGAGGGCGCCGGCCGTCTGAAGACGAGCAGGGTCTTGAACGGTGACGAGACGAGAAGCGGGCAGGCTGCGATGATGCCAAATGAAGACCCAGACTACGGCGGTTTCCCCATTTCCGTGACTATTCCCGCCAGAACGATGATTGCAGAGGTCACATTTTACTCATTATCTGACTAGACTCATTTTGTGTACGATCTGTATGATTCAACATGGCAGCAATGTTCACGTGCTAAGGTCGAGTACGATGTGCATTGTGCCAGCGACTTGCAGATCGAACCAATTCAGACACAGCTATGAGTGCTTTCGTACTCGGTAAGCTCGGCCAGCAGGACTGCGTCATCTTCTTAGTGGTCGAAATCCTCGCCCGCGACGATGTTATTGTGCCTGTTCACGCGATTATCTTCGAATTATCGCCATCATTATGAACTTTCGTAAGGCTCAGGTTCAATATTCGCAATGTACGACCCATAGATAAACAAAGCTACCCTCTTGCGCCAGTTACTCGTAACGGGACTCGACACAAAGCAAAAGAAAAGGAGTCACAGAAACTGTGTGATGGCGTCGGGGTTTCTGAACATGCTTGTCAACGTCAAGCTCAGGGATAGCTGCGAGTGGGCAGTACGTGTATGCGATATCACTTGGCCGTTGAACTTATTAACGGCATTGATTTTTTATTTTTGTCTCATCCTTGATGCCTGTGGGTCTATTGAACTAGCTCGCAGACGACGGCCCGCTGTGGAGAAATGCCGTTTGGGCTTCCCTTTGTCTGGTTCGCACCGGGGCCGATTTTCTTCTTGTTTATCACTGGGGAGACACAAGTTCCAAGCTCAGCGAAAAATGATGGCGCAAATTCCTTTTAATATATAAGGTCGGTATCTCCTGGTGACTTGCTGTGTATAACTGTGCCGGCACACTGTGCCACTTGGCTGCATCAATAGCCCCGCTCCCTGGTCCTTTCATGCCTATCATCTAGCCATCAGCTTTCATTGTGGCGTCGGTCTCTCTCGCACGGTAGGTAGGCTTCAAGGTGGATTCGCACGTTGGCTTCCTTGGGAGTAGACTATTGGTTGCAGTAAAGTCGACTGTCCACGTATTGATAAATCGTGCCAACATTTGCAGCTACTAGTGCTGACCGGCCACACAGCAAGCTGGCAAGCTGAAATGTCTTGCTGTCTTGTCACTGTGCCGCAAAGGAACCTATGAGAAATCGCCGATTGAAATCAGAGCATGAAGTCTGTATCTGTGTGCAATCCCCTGCGTTTTGCGGGTATTTTTCTTCTCTCCTGCGGCTCAGATACACACTCTCCGTGCATCCTCCAAGGTGTAGCATTTCAACCTTCATCGCATCAGTTGATTCGATACTCACGACTTGCGTGAAATTCTTTGTGACAGTAGAAGTCATGTCGACACCCCATCAACGCAAGGCTGACGGCCCGCTAAGTCTGATTCCCACACCTCAGACGCAGACTGGCAAGGTTCGCATGCCAATATTGCGCAGGTCTTGAAATTGGGTCAGCTGATATCTGGAAAACAGAACGACCCTTTCATTGAAGATGCTTCTCAGATGGCGCTTGTGCACAACATGTTGATTCGTGCATACAACAGCATCCATCTGCAGGCAATGCACGTCCGGCCAGAAGATGTGACCGACTTTTTACATTACTGTTCAGCGTGGCACATGACCTTGAAAGGTCATCATGATGCCGAAGAGGAGGTTTATTTCCCAGGCATCGAGAAGGCTACCGGAGTCCAGGGCATTATGGACTCGGAAGTCCACGAACATGGTTAGCAACTACCCAAATCCGCACTCCTCTGCTGGCACACATTTGGTCATCTCATCTTTCTTCTGAGTGACCTTATTGTTATATTTCTTGGCTGACTGAAAGCGCACTGGGCTTCTCTTGCAGCTGCATTCAGTGAAGGTCTGCAAAAGTTCAAGGACTACGTCGATTCCTGCCTAGCATCTCCACCCTCATACTCTGGTCATAATCTCATCAGCATTATGGACGCCTTCGGCGAGATCCTTGCGACTCACCTAGCACATGAACCGCCCAAGATGGCATCCCTCAGCCAGTATGGAGATTTCGACCCCAAACCACTCTCGGAACAGACGGCAAACCACAGCATGAAGTACATGCACGTGACAAATGTGCTTCCAATACTATGGTTCAATTTGGACAAAGAATTTGAGGGAGGCAAGTGGGCCACTTTTCCTGCGATGCCAGGTCCTATAAAATGGGTCATGATCAATATATTAGGGTCTTGGCAAAAGAATTGGTGGAGATTCGGGAGCAGCGGTGCGGACGGGATACAGAGGGAGCTCTTCTGTCTGTCAGAGGAGTACTTCAAAAAATAAAAGATTTTAGTGCTCGTTCTGTCATGTATCTCCCAGCCCCATCATACTCATAGAGAGCCTCGCCGATGGACATTTAGATTTGCGCCATATGTGTCTGATTTGACTTTTCTCGTATCAAAATAGAAATATACCAAAAAGAATTGTTTTTTAATTGAAAGAAAACAAGAGAGACCCTGACGGGTCTTACTGAGCCTCTATAACGTTGTCAGCCCCAGTCCTGGTATTCGCGCTCGTTCGTGCCTTATCTCAATGCGGCTGTGATATCTATTTACCTACGAGTATTTTTACTATATCTATTCTGGATTATCCATTGTGACTGTGCTTATAACCAACGCTCTTTAAATATGTAAAGATAACGGATAAAATCCCTGTATCGCTATCTAATAATCGTCAAACTAAACTCAGAATGGCCGACAACCGGATCGAATTCAAAGTTGTCTACGAGAACAACAACAAACTGTCTTTCAAGTCAACATGATGTTGTTTCACAACATAGAAATAACCTAAAGACGACGTTTCATCTCTGAGTTCGAAAGTACCTTCGACAATGTCCGGTAAATTTATTGGCAGTGTTGTGCTCCTATATAATTATATGATTGCCTCGATTCTTCGGAAACCAAGAATAGCTCACACACTTACATAATCCCTCATTTCGGCCTGGCTTTCACGGCGTTCTAGTAGTATGGCATACGACTGGCTTCTCTCGCCACAAAGCCTCGTCTCAAAAAAATCATCAACTTGAAGCTTGTGTGGCTCATCTTCTTTGCTTAAAAACCCCTGCGTCCCTTCTCTCCAATTGAGACTGTGAGTCAGTACAATTGCATCCTCATGACCAAAAAACACTCTATACTTATAGCCCCCGTTCTGGTATGATTCCCGTGGCCGATCCTTTCGTGCGGCGAAGAGAGCTTTGCCTATAAGCTGAAGCAGACTACCTTGAATGTCCCTAGCGACGAATGCCAAAAGAGCTTCTCGGCTCTCAAATTTGGATAAGGAGGGTACTAATAGCCAGTCTTGCGGTTGTGCCTCCTCCGGCAAAAGTACGTCCGTATTCTGCACATTCCAAATGGTTCCTTTGGACCATTTTTGAATAGTTGGGAAGGGACCGTCATTAGGCATGACTTTTGGGTCCTGGTGTTTGAGTGCTGACCGATCGACCGCATGTTTTGAAGGACGTGATTGAGTATGCCAGCTCGCGTTATGAAAGTAGATACGATACCCCCAGAATAGGTTCGGCCAAAAACTAACTTCTTGGGCCAATCTTGCTGGATTCGCGCGTTGAGGCTCGGAATGCTTCACTCGACGAACTTGTATCTCATCGTCTAGTCGGCTCGATGGTTGGTCTGGCAATCCCATGAGCTTTGCAACCATGATCGTGTCTGAGAGGGTCCGAATGAAATAGTGACCTCGAATGAGATCGTGAGCGTTTATTTTGATTCTCTGCAGGACCTCAACGGCAAGGTCAAACGGGTCCTTGTCGTAGTCTGGTCGGATTGGCTTCTCGTCATGCCACTTGATTGTCGATAGAATTCCGAATACCCGATCTCTAATGTCTTCACTCTGCAGTGTCCGAATAACAGGGATCAATTCCCGCAAGGAAAGTCGTGACTTGTGCTTGACTGTTTCCAAAAGGTATCGCACATCCTCCATCTCCTCCAAGAAGTAGCAATCGATATGCTGCGTTATTTTGGTAGGAAATTGAATCCATAACAGATGGGTCATATATATTGCCCAAAGTAAAGACAATTCGACAGTCTTATCTTCGCAGCATACTTGTATGTTCTTCCCAAGGAACAGCTCCTGGTAAATCCAAACTCGGTGAAAATACGGTCTTCTCAAAAACATGCTCAGTGCCTTGCACAGCCTGATCAGAGTGGACTTGGACCTCAACGTTAGCCAGGGGCGATCTCGAAGATTGCCCAAACCATCGAAGCTGTTGCTGAGCCGTGCCCACCGGCGTTGATGTTTATGCAGCCCCTCGAACAGAAATTCGCTGTCGTTCTCGTGGAGTCCAACACACGCAAGAGTCTGGCGAGCATCCCTAAAGACCTTGCCCATCTTCGCTACCTGGAAGCTTTTTTCGTCATTGTCCGCCTGATTGATACATATCGCATCGATCCAGAAGTAGCCATTTTTGTTCCGACACGGCTGCCTGAGAACATCCTCGCAGTTGCGGCGCACTTTCATCCTCTTGCCATTGATGAGGATGGTGGCGAGCAGGTTTGGATCGCCCCATGTGTATGAGATAGCGGTATATGCAGGCGCGGCTGCCTTCAGCCACGTTGTGAGCTTGCAGTGGACTGAGATGTCCCGTGTCTGGTCAACGCTGTTTATCTCGAGCAACCTGATGTAAGTGCGAGCGTCGGGAAGTTGTTTATGCTTGAAATAATCAGTCTCGACCGTGGACGCCATTGGAACGAGATGACGCCCTCGAAACCGGGTCGTGAATTGCTGGCAGACTGGACTGCTGGAGTCGTGGTCTCAGGCAGCAACTCCTCAGCTGTGAGGGGGGGGGGGGGTCCTCAGTGGACAATTACGTTCCGGAAGGATTTCACCACGCTGCACCACGCTGCACCACCCAGGGCCTGTTGAATGGACTGCTTGAGCGTGCTAGATAACAGCTGCGCCCCACACGCCCTTTTCATCCAGCCCATTCTACCGACAATCAACCATCAAAACTGATATTGATGGAATCAATTGATAAGAATTCTTGCTCGAGCTCCGGGAACGCACAACGTGAGATCATTTTCAACTTGCTCTGGTTTATAGTCGGTCTATGCCGCGCAGGAACTGACACATAGATGCGACAGCCCGATCTGGACAAGTTCGGCTGGCCCCTCCAGGGCCAGACGCCAAATGGGATCCGACCCCTCTCTCAGCTGACGATGAGGACGAGGAGCCGAAATGGACCGAGTTACAGCTGGCATCTCGAAATGGAGATCTGGGACGCGTAAACGAGATTTTGTCTGCGTGTGATAGTATCGCCCGCACGCTTGAGGTTGTAAACCATCCTCCAATGGGGTATTACGGACAGACGGCGTTGCAGGCGGCCTCAATGCGCGGTCATCACCTTGTTGCACAAGCATTGCTGGGAGCAGGGGCCGATGTCAATGCTCCGGGAGGGAACAACATCTACCGCAATGCTTTGGAGCTTGCTTGCGGCACAGGTTGGTCGGAGGTGAATGCCCTGTAATTACATGGTTCAATAGCTCACAGAGCAAAACAGGAAATGTACCTCTTATCCGTCTTTTGCTTGAAGCTGGCGGGATCGTCAATCCCAAACACGTCACGAGGTACCAAGGCCGCACACCTATCCAAGCCGCGGCCGAAAGTGGACATGAGGAAGTTGTGTTAATTCTTCTGGATCTCGGTGCCAATGTCAACGCGCCTGCATCGCCAAGCTCCGGTGTCACAGCATTACAGGCGGCATGTTTCCAGGGACACGTCGACCTGGTAAGGCTGCTGATCTCGAGAGGGGCAGATGTCAACAGCCCACCGGGAAAGTCCAATGGTCACACTGCGCTACAAGGAGCTTGTCTGGCCGGGGAAGAAGATATTGTCAACTTGCTGCTTGATAATGGTGCCGACGTCAACGCCGCTGGGAGTCAGCATCACGGAGGAACAGCCTTACATGCGGCGGTCTCTCAAGGTCACATTAAGCTTGTTAACATTCTATTATCTGGCAATGCCAACCCTAACAGCAAAGCAGGCCATCGAGGACAAACGCCCATTCAAAGTGCAAATTTGATAGGGAGACAGGACATCGTGCATATCTTGAACGCTGCTGGCGCCATTGGGCCCCTGACAGGCGGCAGAATCTTATTCGGCAATAACAGGATTAGAACATGGTTCCAAGATGATGATGGGGCTTGATTAAATCTTCAACTTTCCCCCAGAAGTGAAAGAATTCTCTGTTAACAAAAGTGAATGAACCTAAGCGCGGTTCCAGAGCATTCTTTAGTGGGAGTCTGGCGGGGCCGCGGGCAGTTCCGCATGAAACGCTTGATCCTCCTTCTTAGCTTAGATACACATTCCACGGAAATGAGAGCTTATGGAGTTCTGGGGAACCGAATTATGCCATGTACATGATTCTTTTTAGAAATGATGGGTAGTCATTTTCTTGGTCTGTAGACATCCGTGGACTACACGGCATCAAGACAGGCAACTCTTTCCGTGTACTACTATGATTATCGATCTCAATGGGCCCTGTATAAAATATATAGAACCAGATCGCCGTTTTTAGGACCATGGTATTAGCAACAGCACCTCATTAGTTGATTAGTCACAGCCCTCTTCTGACGAATTTCCCAGTTCGCAAACTTATGAAATTTGAAAGAGTCATTGTCCAACATGGCTACCAAATGGAAACGCACCCCTCGGGCTCCTGCCGAGTCTCTTCCAAAGGCTTCCCTTCCGAAGCAAAAGATACCAAGAGATGTCGATGCTGACACTGTACTCATTTCCTGCGTCGAGAAGCTACGCAATTTGAAGGCAAAGGACCTTCATGTCAAGAGCTACTGGCGGGACCTGTTTGCTCTGACCAACACGTTCAGAACTTTCAGTCTGTCCGAACAGATTATACCTGCATGGACAGAGCTTAGCGCCATCCATAAGCCGTCGGAATTCGAGTATGTGAAAGGCAGCGCTCACTTAGCTCCGCCGGGACCGTCAGCACTCTTCATCGCTGGCCGCTTCACGTTCAAAATTGGAGGGAGTCTGCCAGGAGTTGGGTCAGGTTCTATTGCCGTCGTCGCTGACGGAGATGAGTGGAAAATTTGGTTCTTCAATACCATTCTCGAGGAGATTGATACGTTTGGAAACCCAGACCAGGTTCCCAGAGCCCCTCAAACTTCGACGAACAACGGGGTCACCAATGGAACCGGCGACAAGCCAGTCGACTGCGTTGTAATTGGGGCCGGCCAGAGCGGCCTTGGTGTCTTGGGCCGCCTGAAAGCACTCGGTGTCAAGGGTGTAGCACTGGAGAGAAATGACACGATTGGAGGGAACTGGACTGGCCGCTACGACAACGTGAAACTACACACGAGCAAGTACTACGCCGCCTTGCCTGGCGATAAGACATTTCATGATGATGACTTACCTTACTTGCTCGGGAGCAAAGAGTTGGCTGAAGGATTTCAGAGGTACGCCAATGAGTTCGACTTGGATGTCCGAGTTTCTACGACTGTAGAGTCAGCGAAATGGAATGAAGGCGCGAAAGTTTGGACTGTAGAAGCCAAGCAGAATGGGAGAGATTGGTCAATCCAGGGTCGTCATCTCGTATTCGCAATAGGTGCTGTGGGCCAGTTCCCGAAGATACCGCAGATTCCGAATCGAGAAGCTTTCCAGGGAACAGCCATGCACTCAGTCCAGTACAAGTACCCAACAGCGTGGAAAGGAAAGAAGGGCGTTGTTGTTGGCACCGCCAACACCGGTAAGTGAGGGAAAATGACTATTTCGGGAAGAGTGCTAACCGAGAATTCAGCCCATGACGTCGCAGAGGACATGGTCGACGCCGAGTTATCCTCAGTGACACTGGTCCAGCGCAGCCCCACCGCCGTTTTACCTTACAAGTACTTCAAGACGCTTCACCAACCGCGATACAACAAAGACTCAAACATAGAAGAATCTGACCGCGCAGAATGGGGCATGCCCGCCCCCATCCTCGGGGTCGTTTCTTCGACGATGTTTAAGAAGTTGTATTCTCAGGACCCGGAGCCATTTGATGGGCTAAATAAAGTGGGCTTCCGTGCCGAACTTCCAAACATATTAAAGATCCACGAACGCTCAGGTGGGCATTATTTAGATGTCGGCTGCTCGCAGAAGATCATCGACGGCAAAGTCAAGGTGAAGGGAGGAGAGATCGAGAGCTTCACTCCGACAGGTCTGAAGTTTACTGATGGAAGCACTCTTGATTCGGACCTGATAGTTTTCGCAACCGGCTTCAACACCAACATACGAGAGGAGATGGAGAAGATTGTGGGCCCGGAAGTTGGGAACCTGCTTGAAGACAATAATGGGTGGGACAAAGAGGGCGAAACTCGGGGTGCATGGAAGCGCCATGGGCGTAAGTGCCAGCTTTCCAGCTATCTTACCTCGCTGCTTGATTGCTAACCTGATGACGGCAGATCCGGCAATCTGGCACACATCCGGGGACCTGGGTATGTCCAGGCTCTTTTCCAGGTTCCTGGCATTCCAAATCAAAGCGGATCTCGAGGGAGCCCCCTTTGAACCATACACTAAGACTATACAAGTGTGAATATTTCTGAATCGAGCCGATTTGTTGTTCTGCTATTATTAGTTAGACAATATTCCTATTCGTCATTCAATTTCAGGATCATGTGTCAGAGTATTCTACTATTTATCAAGAATGTCTAAAATTGCATTGAAATAAAACATAGCGGTAATACCATACGCTGCGCAAGTACTGATGCTCTTCGGAACGAAGATGCTAGAGTGGATATGCAGGTCCCGCAGAAACCCGGCCACTCATGCTCACCCTAACATCTCGTACGGGTAAAGATTTCACAACAGCACGTCACTTTCCCCGATATGTGAAGTGAATACTACCTAACCTTTCCGGCATTCTTCCCCGCTTCGGAAACCTCGTATTCCAAGCTGCTCCTCACCACCAATGGTGACTTGATCCACAGCGCTTTTCTCGTGACCGCAGTGAGTATCGAAGATCATCTATCCAGGAACAATTATAAGAATGCACGGGCAGGTTCTCGAGCCATCATCATGTAATCGTTGAAATTGGTTACCAGCTCTTCACTAAGAAATTCAAATTGAGTCGATTGTAATCACGATGACTGTCACATCGTTGGCGCAATCTGCTACCTTCTTGGCCACTGTGCTGTTGTCTTCTGTGCAAGCGGCTCCTTCGCCTACGTTGGCGTTCAAGAGTCGCGAAGGTGGGGTTGGTGTCTTGGACATCACAATACCGCCGAATCGCAAAGACGACAGATATTATACTGTGAGTGGTGCATTGGCATAACGAAGAGCGTGGCCGTTTCCCCTGAGGTCCTTCCTAACGACTTAACTCTATAGGTCGATGTAGAGTTTGAAGGCCAGAGCCTGCCAGTTCTTTTGGATACCGGCTCTGCTGACTTATTCGTGGCTTCGACACAATGCCCTACTACAGATGAATCAAGCGGTTGCCTTGGGCTGGCTGAACAATTTATTATTGATGTAAGGAAGTCTATCCTCCGTTCCCAAGCTCCTGGGATTTTACCATTTGGCCACGTGAACAGGCATACTCCTTTGCCCCGTTTAGTTGACTGCTGAACCTTTTGATGATGAATCAAACGCTGGATACCTAGTCCTCAACGCTGATAGCATGCTAGAACAACACGCGTATCGTCACCAATGAGACTTTTTACACCATTGTTGGGGAAAGCCCAGTAAGCGGAAACCAAAGCCTCTTGGACGTTGGACTGGGCGGTATAGTTGCGGACGATTTTGCCACAGGTGAGTTCGCATTTACCCAGAATCAAGACCTCCAAGATTCACCCTTCCACAGGCCTCATCTACGCAGCGGTAAGGAACGAATTTCAAGGAGGAAGTTTCGCTGGCCTAATTGGCTTGAGCATGACTGCTGTTTCACGGCAGACGTACTTCAACCATCGTCCTCCGCTCTTCGACGCCCTTGTCGCTGGTGGCATCGTGAAGAAGCCCCTGTTCTCTATTAGTCTTCCGCGCCTCGGTGACCCGGATTCCAAACCGATGGGCAAGTTGACGCTTGGCGACATCGAGCCGGAGTACGCAGGACTCAATATCACGTATAGTGATATCATAAATAGCACGAAGTACAGAAATCTGACTATATAGTCTATTGCTTTCTGGGAATTTGCTAATATTATCGAGATAGTTATAACTACGATGACTTCCCACTACAAGCGCAGGGCTGGGCGATCGAGTTGCAAGGTCTGCGTGTGAATGGCATAGCCGTCAACCTGACCAGGGGTCGTAAGGCATCCAAACTCTGAATGTACACGAAATGTCCCACTCACCACGCGCAAATATAGTCCTCGACGAGGGCGGGCGCTACATGTCTCTCCTTGACACGGGAGGATCAGACATACTCGTCCGGTATGATGAGCTTACTGCCATCGCCAAGCTCTTCAAAGGTCCGGTCATCTTCGAGAACGAACACGACATCTACTATGACTGTTCGATTCCGCAGCTGCTCGAGCTCAAGTACAACGACCAGTGGTTCCCGGTGGACCCTCTGGACATTCTCAACCCGAACGACCACGGGAATGTCAACGGGACAGAGATGTACGTGCTTCAAACCCACTGCCTCTCATCGCCTTTCTCTTCGGTCCTTGCGTTTCTGTGTGTCCAGTAAGCTGCTCTGCAAATATCTAATACTTCTCGGTCCGACAGGTGTAAGGCTCAGATCAGCTCTTGGAGCCGCGTGTTCGCCGACTCCATCATTGGAGTGCCGTTTTTACGTTCCGCATTCAGCGTCTTCGATTACGTGACTCCGAATCTTTACAGTATGCAACCACGCGTGGGACTCGCGCCGTTGGTTGACGGGCAGGCGGCTGTGACAAGGTATCCCCAGTTGTACAAGAACCGCCTCCTCTAGGTCACGCCGCGGAATCAACAAGCTCTTCCTTATATCCCAGGGTCAGCAGGAATTTGAAAAGCCTCTCTACGAAATCGTATGACCTTGCTCGAACCGAATTTTTATTTAACAGTAATTGAAAACTGCAGTCATCGCTTAACTCCTCTCGATCAATTAGGCTTACTAGATACTACAACATAAGCGACGCCATGGATCCTGCAGAAGTAATTGAGATGCAGAAGGAAGATCAGCACTGAGCAATATGTCTGGAGGCAGTAGTGGCAGAATTTACTCTCAAGCCTAGCAAATAAAGAGTTTCATTCTGAGATTTCTTCTTGCGGTATTGGTGGAAATGGATGATGAGGTTGACGCAGAAACAGACGTTGCCTGCATAGATGACCAAGAAGCGATTCGAGAGATTGGTGCCATCGTAGATGGAGGATCGTGAAAAATATTGAAGGAAAGAAAACAAACCACGAAGCATAGTCCTTGGTGCGATCTGCTGTAGAGTTCTGCTCACTAGGTACATATAAAGAAGGCCATGAAACAATGCAGGAGCATACAGACTTGCGCAGTGCACCACTTGTAACGGTCATTTCAGCTGTCGAATATTCAGAACAAAATGATCTTACAGTTTTAGAGTTTTCATTTCCCACTTGAGTACTACTTGATCGCGTTCAACCCAATTATGGTTGTGACTAGCTAAAACGTCAGGATATGAGCAAGACTAGATTGTGGCAAGATCAGATAGTCGTGAAATCAATAATCAAATTCGGACAGGTTAGAACAAGCTCAATTTTCGAATAGATGCAGAACCTATACTGATATGCCCTGCGTGCCGAATTGGGGTTGAAATTCTGAAGACATCACACTTCAACTGTCTTTTTCATTTTGCTCGCACGCGTTGAGGTCCCGATGCAAAACCACCATCAACTTCGCTATGCCATGCTAGCCGCTGGTGATTTTCATTGTGGGTAGCACAGGCTACAGTCATGATCTCCTCTCTTTTATTTATTTATGTGTGTCAGGCGTCCACGTTCTCAGGTTGGGGCTATGGGTATTTCATTGATACAGTTGTCTCTTACAGACGAAGTCACTTCCCCTAATCTATGCCACAGCAGTTCGGTCCTGCACGCTCAAATTAAGATTGCGCCCCGAAGATTTTGAAGACCCTTAACGTGACCGATATGGGTTGGGGGGGGGCAGGGGTTCACTTTGCCTGTAAACAGACAGCTGCAGTGCATACCTAGATAGCTGATAAAGCGTTTCCTCGTCCAAATTCAGGTGCGAGCCCGAGCCTTAGCCTAATTTCATCAAACGCGCCTCTGTATTTCATCCTCGCGTCTCACCTGCATCAGGACATCCGCACTTGTCGCCAACCATGCCAGGCTTGTGTGATCTGCCTGACGAGGTTATCCTGTAAGCAATCTCATTGAATTTGAGGGCCTGATCCACGAAATTAACCAGTTCTTGTCGCTGCAGCCTCAGTCTCACCACCAGACTGCTTCGTGCAGCGGATCTCGCTGCATTGGCTCTCTCATGCAGGCGGCTCAAAGCCGTCGCTGAGGACGCGCTGTACACACAAGACAGAGAACGCAATAGGTCTTCGGTTGTTCACTGGGCAGCAGAGCACGGCAACACCGCAACATTGGACAAAGCGTTGAAGCATAGGCTGGATATCAACGAGGCGAGCTTGTCCTTCATAAGCAGACCGAGCCCGTTACAGACTGCTGTTGAATATGGCCAAGACTTGGCAGTGGGTTGGTTCCTGGACCATGGAGCCGACGTTTCCCAGGAAGTCCACTGCCGTTGTCATAGTGGCGTGACTGGCATCCTTCACGTCGCACTCTGCCTCGGCCGCGCCTCCACAGCACAGCTTCTTATTTCTCGAGGAGCTCCGCTAGAGTACCCCTCCGTTGTGGCTGAGACATCTGGGGCTGAATACACAGACGCCCTTCTTGAGGCATCTTTCCATGGCCTCGACGCTGTTGTAGAAGTGTTGGTCAAAGACCATGGTATGAACTTGCAAACGCTGCGTGGTTCTCACCGCATTGATACACTTGCTTTCGCAGCGTTCAACAATGACAACGTGTTGACAATCAGGACACTTGTGGGTCTCGGAGCGAATGTCGACGGAATACACAAAGAATGGCTGTCGAGCCCGCTCCACTTTGCACTTGATGAAGGCAACTTCGCCGTGGCGGATGCTCTGCTCGATTTGGGTGCTAAAGTCACTTCATACGAATATGAATTTGAGGTTAATACTGAGGATGAGCAGGTGGCTATTGCATGGATACAGGTGGAAGCCGCGCCTTTGGTTGATACTATAGCATCGATCATTAACCGGCGAGCGGTCGAAGGTGGGATTAGTGCTGGAAGATCCGTCCTAAGGGAAAGTGCCGAATCGTGGCGGGCTGAGAGAGCTGCTTTGATGAAGAGGCTTGTCGAACTCGGTGCTGACATCGACATGGAACACCCAGGACTCTGGGTACCTGGCTATTCGCATGACATGAGCCCCCTGGGCGTGGCGATCGCAATCGGTGACGTACAGGACGTGGCGGATCTGATCGCTCTTGGGGCCAACGTGAATCCCAGAATGCTAGCAGATGCATGGGACATCTTCGCCACGGGCGAGGACGAAAGCATGGAGAAGATCAAGATTCTTCTGAAACATGGCATTAGGCTCGACGAGCCACTCCGGGGCGGGATGAGTATGCTGCAGTTGGCAGTCACTTACGCTGTTGACTTTGATACTACGTCCGGGCTTCACGACATCCTGCGCATGTCGTCAACAAAAAATCTGTCTAGCGACTATCTGGATGAAGTCCTTGCGGAGTGCCTTGGCGGCATGAGGCGCATTGCCAGCCTGACCTTGGTTCGTCATGGTGCGCGCGTGTCTTGCAAGAACAAGCTCTTCTCAATAGCCATCTGCATCGCTGAGCACCTCGAGCTTGAGACGCGAGAAGAAGATAATTTGGACGACATAGATGTAGGGATGACGTGCCCTGAAACTGAACCGCAGGATTGCATGGGCATCATCCTAGACATGGGACTGTCCAGTGAGGATCAATGCCTTATCTTTCAGACTGTCCTGAACAAGAGACAACTCACTCTCGCACATCTTTTCCTCGACAGGGGACTGGCCGGTAGGCCCGAGGCCGCGCTATACCTGCCCGCCTACTTGATGCTTGCTGCTTCCTGGGGAAATATTTGTGTTATCAAACGTCTCTGGCAGCATGTACACGGAACCCCAGATCCAACTCTCCTGCTGTTTCTCCAGCAGTCTATAACTTCAGGCAACAGAGAAGCAGCTTCATTCTTCGTGGACCACGGCGCCACTGCATTTGAACGTTTGACACCTACCCAGATCTTCCGAGAGCACGAGATGAGGATAAAATCACTCGAGGCTTGTCTTTCAGCGGTAAGGATGCTAAGAGGATTCAGCGGGACAGAAGGATCCTCGGACCGTCTTTGGATGCAAAGGGAGTATAGGAAAATGGAAATTTTCGCAGCGAGACACCCTTTCTACAACCATGCTCTGATCCATTCATCGCCCTTCCAGTTGGCAGTCCGATACGGCCATATAGGAATTGTCCGTGATCTTCTGGAGGCTTTCGATCCGGCTGATGCGGACGCAATCTCTAGATGTGGGAAAGTTCATATACCATGCGTATTACGCAAGGCGAATGAGATCCGGGAATTGATACAGGAGAGGGGAATCGAGTGTGATGGTGACAATCCATACGCAACCTAAGAAATAGCCCTGCTGCAATAAATATCGTGCTGCAAACGTGACACCTTGGGATCCAGTTGAGCTAGATTATTGAGAAGACTTGAGTTGTCGAGTGGTCTTCTGGCTTCAATTTACTCTGCGTTGAAAAGATCTGTTCCAGCGCGAGGAAAGTCAGGAGATGGCCTGCTACACCACCTGCTGACCTTGAAGAGCAAAACCTTAGCGAAAGTAAGGATTTTGGTCACGAGAGAGGTAAGGACGATGCTCCTTGGGCATAATATTGCCAGCAGACTTATGGGTGTGTCTGCTCTAAAGTTCTACGGCGCTGCCAGAATCCGAGATAGGACTTTCGCACTCCGTGTGAGAAAGGGTGAAGTTCTGCGGTGCTGGATATTGTATTGAAATAGAGTTAGTCCGTAAGACGAACGAGGTCTAACTGTCCCCGATTCACGGCCTCCTGAAGCCATGGTCACATCCCACCGCAGACTACCATAATCATGCTTGAAGTCGCCTTAAAGAATTGGTAAAACTACTTTTTCGTACATGTTCCGCCCGGAGATGCGCAGGTCATTCTATCCCCCGGCAACCGCACGACGAGCCTCAAGTGTGAAGGATGCGTTCGTCCGAGCCAAAAGATGCGGTTGTCACTCAGGATAATGCCATCGAATCGCGGGTCTGTGGGTTTGAGACTTGAGCTAACATGTTCTTGTCAACAGGGTTTCCGAGATCGATATCCGTTAAATTCGTTGCCTCCAGCCATATCATGACTTCAGCGGTCCTGCTCGGTCTGCTCGGTGACCCCTTTGAGAAATTCGCCGAAGACGCGTTCTTCAACGTCCATATCCTTGAAGGCGACACCCAAGCGCTTCCGTGACTGACGACGGAAGAAAATTCTTTTCCCAAACTTCCAGGTTTCAACCCCACAGAAGAACAAACCAGCGGCAATAAAAACAATGCCCCACTCCCAAGTGATGCCTTTATGTTTGAAAACAACGGTGTTGATAACGGGAATGTAGAGGAGAGGGAATAAGGTGACGAAGCCAACCATGATAGCCCAGAACAAGAATTGATTTCGCCAGATGTCGTGGATCCACTGGGTGAAATACTTGTTGGAGCCCGGCTGCATGCGGAAAAAGGAACGGCGCATGTCGATCATTTCCCAGGCCAAAAATAAAGCAAACCAGGTGAGGCACGCAAATGTCGTCGCGCGAGCGTGGAATACTAGGTCACAGCTCTCGCTGTAACTTTCATTACAACCGGATCCTAGGTCACCAGTGCCAAAACCATATACAACCAAGGTGAAGCTACCAAGGCACAGGGCAGCAATCCAGAGGCCATAGACGACCATGTCGATGAGGAATTCAGCCGTGAAAATCCCTGTCTTGAGAGACTGGGGCGGGCGGCGCATAATGTCGGGCACAGCACGCTCGAAGCCCAGGCCCATGTCGGGCATACCCGAGGTTGCCATGATGATCCATACAATCTCCACGGGGGCGAGCGGGAAGACAGAGAGGCCACGGGCGTCCTTGAATGCAAGGCCGACGAGTAGTGTGCCAGCTTGGGCAATATTCTCGGCCAGGACATGCAAAACAAACTTCTGGATGTTGTCGAAAATACGACGGCCTTCTTCAATTGCAGAAACGATGGACGCAAAGTTGTCGTCCGTCAGAACAATATCGGAGGCGTCTTTTGCGACGTCAGAGCCAGACTGACCCATCGCTATACCCACGTCGGCACGTCGAAGCGAAGGCGAGTCGTTTACGCCGTCTCCAGTCTGTAGCATCCATTAGTGAAAACCCTTTTCATTTTCAATGTGTACTTCGGTTACCATCGCGCAAAACTTCTTCCTCCTGTGTAGAGCCTCAATCATGCGAACTTTTGTGCTCGGCGCACAGCGGGCAATGACAAGCGGCAGCACCGGCAGCTGGTCGACTTCCTCATCGCTCAGGCCATCGAATTGCGTAGCAGTCATGACCATAGCGCTAGCCACGTCGCGGGCTATGAGATCCATCTTCGAGGGAAGAATCCCAACTTCGATAGCAATTGCCTTGGCGGTCTCAGGGTGGTCGCCGGTTAACATGTGAACAGATATACCAGCCTCGTGGCATTGGCGCACGGCAACGGCGGACTCGGGTCGAGGCGGGTCGTACAAACCGATCAGGCCGCGGAATATCAGATTAGACTCGACCGAAGCGCGCTCCATCTCTTCATTTTTTACAGGTTTCCCGGAAGTGTAGGGTTTGCTAGCCAACGCAAGTACGCGCAAGCCCATGCTGGCGAGGGCAGCCATATTGCGAAGAATTTCCTCCTTGAAGTCTTGAGTCATTTCGACCAACTCGTCCGAGTCGTGGGGAGCATATTGCGTGCAGGTATCAATCACGCGCTCAACTGCTCCCTTAGTGTAGACAAAGTACCCATCTGAAGCGTGCTTCATAATCACAGACATACGTTTGACGTCTGAATCGAAGGGGAGCTCAGCAACTTCGGACCACTCGCCATTTTCACCACTCAGCCGCAGACGGTTCCAGTTGAATCGGGACGCAAAGACCTGAATGGCAATCTCGGTCGGGTCTCCACGAGCATGCCACTGGCCGTCCTTTTCGACGATGGTGGCCAGGTTTGCCAACGAAGCCACGTTCAGGAAATCCTTCATTTTACTGCTGCTTCGCTGGAAGAGTGCTTCGACCTTCAAGATCTGTCCACAGGTGTCGCCCCCCTTTTTAAAATCGAGATCGCCGGGAGGGCGGTTGTCCAAGCGGATATCGCCGATTGAGGGATCGAACGGCGAAGAGCTCTCGATAGTCAAGGTGCCGAAGCCGGGAAGCCAGGCACCACGGGCAAGCATTTTGCCTTGCGTGAGGGTTCCCGTTTTGTCAGAACAGATGTCTGTCACAGCCCCGAGAGCCTCGAGTGACTTGAGATTTCGAACAATCACATTCCTCTTGACCATGCGTTTGGTGCCAGCAGCCATAGTAATTGTGAGGACAACAACCAGACTGGCAGGAATCATGGATAGGCCAGTAGCTACCGCATAGATGATGACCTCCTGACGCGAGTCGAAGTCATTTGATCCGAGAACAATAATTGCACAGATAATAGCAATTCCAAAAAGTAAAATAGCAAGTTTCGACAGCTTTTTTTGCAGAGGGGTGCCAACATTGACACCCAAAAAGCGGCCGACAGCGTCGGTAAACGTAAGAGTGTATGCTTCCAAATATCGGTGAGGCTTAGCTGAACCATCGGGCTTGCGCTTGACAGGGCGGACTTTGGAGTCTTTCTTGTTCAATGCCGAGGCAATGGCGCCAATCTCGGTATACACACCAGTGGCGAAGACGATGCCTTTCGCCCGGCCCTTTGTCACATTGGACGAGCTGTAGGCGACATTGATTCGGTCACCTGGCCCGGTGTTGTCCTCAAATGTTTCTGACTCGTTCTTACGGACAGGGAGCGATTCGCCTGTAAGGAGAGCCTCGTCGGTCTCGAAGTTGGCAGCCTCAATCAGTCTTAATACTAATTAGTCACAATACTTCGAAGCGGCTGTCATTTAGCGGGCAGACACGCGGAGAGGGGAGACACTAATTTGATTTGGGACTAGGAATCTGGATGACGGCAAGTTGAAAAGGCATTTCAGAGCGTACCTAACATCAGCGGGTATCGTATCACCAGTCTTGATCTCGACCAAGTCGCCAGGAACAATCTCGCCAGAGGGTACAACCATAGACTCGCCATCGCGTACAATGCTGGCGGTAGGAGACGAGAGAGAGCGCAACGAATCCATCGTCTTTTCGGCAGAGTACTCCTGGAAGAAGCCAACGACGACGTTCAGGAGGATCACGAAGGTGATGACACCCCCTTCGATGTATGACTTGATTCCAAAACTAACGGCCATCGCCAGGATGAGGACCTGTGTGTAGCCAGTTACGAGAATTAGCTGACCTGACGATTATCGACCAATGGAAATGGAGACACCTACCAGGGTCATGGCATTAGCGATCTGTGCCATAACAATCTTGAGAGGCTGGACACCCTCAGCCTCTCCCAGGTCATTTTTGCCAAACTCCTCGAGCCGTCGCTTAGCATCATCAGCAGACAACCCATTCAAAGGATCTGCGTTGAGCTCCTCTGCAAGCTGTTGACAGGTGAGGGCATGAGCTGGCCGCGACAATGACTTATTGGACTGACCAGACACATGGTTCTGGTCAGGTTGAACAGTTTCCTTTCCCATCGCAAGCAAGTGAAGACAGTTCTTGATACTACAAGGAACACAGAAAGTATTTTCAGGAGGACCAGTTTGTCTCACAGTAGCTGTGGTAGAGCACCCGATGAGATTCACAACGTGGTTCGAATAGTTTGATAGCCGTGTTGAAGGAATTCATCCATTTCCGACAAACAGCGATAAGGAAAGACTAATATGCTTTGTATATTCTAGCCTTCTCCACCGCTCTGCCCACTTGGCGGAGGGCACAAGTGCTGTACGACCCAGTTTTGCCACCGAATTGACTTGGCAGGGCCGCCGTGATAGCCGTGAGCCGCAGGCCAAGACCATATTTGAGAAAATCATCCCTGAATGCCCAGTCTCAGCACCTCTTGGCGTACCAGATGGTGACGAGTGCGGTGGTTTTCACCCCCTGTTGTTCACCCCCTGTGTGGCACGGCGCGTTCTCTGGTACGTGCCCCGGACATCCAACCAAAATCAGCAGTACTTCCTGCCGCTAAGACTTAAGCGAGAGACTTTTGTACATCAACGAAAAACTGAAGTACTTAAAAACTATCACAATCAATCCAAAAAACGCATCTTCTGAACTTTTAATATACAGTCTGAACGGGTTGGACCTCTGGGACTCGGCGGTGCCTACCGGCACCGTCGCCCCTCGCCCCAGCCGGCCCTTTGGATTTAAGTTGGGGTTTCGTCATTTTCAAGAAGTAGGAAAGTCTTGGTTGTGACAAGACTTTGAGGTACGTGTGACAAGACAGGGGGTGAACAACAGGGGGTGAAAATCACCGTACTCGATGGTGACGCATCTGCTTTCCTCGGTGTACTGTCAGCCTGTGCGACTACTGGTGCCTAAGTACCGGCGGCAAACACCGATGCGGACCCTACAAGAGATATTGGGATAGTGGTCACTCGCTCACATCAATGCGTATTGGTACGAATGCACACGAGATGAATCTATAAATTAACTCTAGGTTCTCTACATCCGTGAGATAGGTCTTATTCTCACACATGGGTATGGTCACAGCTACTACAAGACTTGGTATCTCGCTTGGACATAAGCTGTAAGGCTTGAAAAGACGTGACTGGATTTTTGAGCGGCTCACAGAGCCGTCATTAGACCAACTTAGAGTACGATGCTTTTACTTCAGCATCACAGTTTACATATATAAAGCACGTTGAATAGATACCAAGATTAGATCGTACAGAATCGCGTCGGCGAGTGAAGGCATGATTTATTTTTCTGCACTGGCCTAGGAAGCTCTACATAGCCAGAATTATACCTCATATCATGGGCGTCTAATCTGAGTGTCTTCCAATAAGGTCTGTTTCTCAGAAAAAGATCAATTATGTTGGTAATGTCCGGGTTTCTCATTGCTTCTCAATAAACTCCGGCTTAATCCCGATTAGATTCTCTTGGATACTCTCAACCCGATTCTTGCAAAGCGGTCGCACAGAATGCCCAGATTTCTTTGCATATCCAGATCTCTACAATAATGGGCGTAATATCCACCTTACTAGACTCGACTTTGATGAAGCGGTGAGAAGGTGAACAACGGTGAGTCGCAACAAGCAAGGACAACTATGGTCTAGTTCCATTTGTAAATGGTGGTCAAAGGTCATACAGTGGCTTTATGACGCCTGCAATAACTTCAGCTTGTTTCTCATACGTGCTCACACGTCTCAGTATTGGATCACGCCGAGTTCCAAGCCAGTCCTTGCTCAGCGGTATCTGCGGCCACTACGAGCAGTTAAGGACGTCGAAAGGTGGTTGAAATGTAGCCAGGGACATGTTATACAGCACAGAAACACAAAGAATGCAAAGAACACATAGGAAACCGGCTTCATCGTACAAGCGATGGAAAGCCGCCTGGTCTATCACTTGTCATGGATTTCACTTTCAGGAAGAGTTTATGTGCCAGGCTACGAAATGGCAGATACCTTGTAAAGCCTGAACGGATATCTTCACCATCAATGGCGATCTCTCAAACCTTGTGTTGTCGTTGCGTTCTCTCATCCCTGGCACGAGAACCCTGCACAGTAATGTTTAGAAGGTGAGGAGTCCGGCCCAATCATGCAGATATCTGCCAAGTGACTCAGTGATAGCGCCTGCAGAACTCAGAAGAAGCGCTTTACAATTCAGTCCTTGCCGGAGGTTTCTAGCTAAAATTGTCAATGGATATCAAGGGCTTTGCTATCTGGGCACTGTACACTTATGATAAGGGCCAGGAAGCAAGGTCCGTCTCCCAGCCTAACTTCATGAAGAAAGGGCATCGACATTTGAGCGTGTCACTGGTCTTCAGCCAAACAGAAATCGGCTCTCGTCGCCATTCTGTCAGCACTCTATCAGCGTTACTCTGCCGAAATTGTTCGAACTACACTGGTCTGCTGTTCTCAAATAACGTCGAACTTCTGCCGGCACTTTTTTTTGCCAGTTGCAATTCCATTAGCAACACTCTTTGAGATCTTCCATACTACCAAACACGTCTGTCTAAGCTATTAGCCCAATGAGACTGGCGCTGGAAGTATAGAGCTGTCCAGAAGTGACTCGGGGGTTATAATTATTGTGGGGTTGCCCCCATCAGCCCATACAAAGTCTACAAGCTTTGCTTAGCAGTCCGAGTCATTCCTGTCCTGCTGCGTTGTTAGATTTATTACAAACTATCGTAAGGTCAAAATGTTGTTCAACTCAGAGCTCTGAGGGATGTAGTCCAAAAAGCTGCGACGCCGGCATGATTCGAACATGCGCCTCCGAAGAGAATAGATAACCAGAATCTCACAGGAGAAATTCTAGTCTATCGCATTAGACCACTCTGCCACGGCGCCCAGATAGAATTTTACTGCCAAAACATTTTAGTATAGCTCTTGTGACATACTTTGAATGAGCCAAAGCATATTTCAGATTTTCCCTTTTTCCGATCATCTGCGCAAACTTAGCTCTAGTCTTTGTTTGATATTGATTCGTTTAAGCTTTTCTTTCAATAAAAAGGTTTGCAAATATAAGTTTTGATTAGAAACGAGGGAATAGTATTGCCCATTTTGAGGCTACCCTTTGGTCCAGAATGTCAGGGCTCCAGATGCACCCATTCGAAAGAAACCTACGCGGCATCTATGCCTGAATAACTTCAGCAAACCCCCCGAACGCCCAAGCCGCAGCTCTTTCGGAGTCTCGCACGCAGACTTCCTCTCGCCGGCTTCTCGGTCCGGATCAAGCTTGTCTGTCAGATTCTGGGTACGAGCTTACCATGTCTCCTGTGACTCAGTGCTCATTGGTGCGTTTCCTCGGGCAGAATTGGTTGCCCGGCGGTGCTACAGTTGGTTGGTCGGGTGTTGCGGTGGTGCACGCGGGCTTTTTCGACCATCCTATCAAAGTGCAGTGATGCCTGGAGCACATAATGTGATCGGCCTGCGATGTGAATTCGTGAGCGCACCTCTCCTCAGTACGCGAGGCTCTGAACTTCATCGAAAAATAAAACCTCGATTCCGCGACTCACGACACGGCCCGAGACGAGTCGCCAGGATGGCAGACCCTTTCTCGATAGCAACCGGTGCGCTCGGGGTTGTGGTCCTTGGTATTCAGGTCTGCGACGGCGCGCGGAAGCTCTTGAAGGCAGCCAAGGGCAGGCACAAAGAACTGGCCGCCGCATGGGACGATGCGCGCGGGTTGGCGGCCTTGTTCGAGCGCCTCAATGGAATTATCGCTCGATTTCATGCCGAGAGGCCGGAGGATGCGGCTCTCCTGTCGCAGTGCCTCGAAGGCGCCCGAAGCCCTCTCTTGGAGTTGAGAAATATTGTGGCAAAATTGGAGGGTTTTCCAGATGGCAAAATGCCCTCGCTCGAGGACGCTTCATCGTCGTCACTATCAACAATGGCAAGATCATCAGGAGGCATGAGAAACAAGGCGATGGACAAGGCAAAGGATGCAGTGCGCGCCATAACCTACAAGCTGCACCAGGACGATGTCAAGGACCTTCGCGCGGCGTTGCAGCAGCTGAGCACATCGATCAACACTGCAATCCAAATAGTTAACTTGTGAGTCGCCACTCAGAAAACTACGTCCTCGTGTGTGATAGTGATTTATGAAATACACCACTTACCGATGGAGTGATCAACTCGTAGAGACGAGGTCGAGAAACAGAGCCAAAACATTAAGAGCCTACAAGCCTCAATGTTGTCGGTTGGTTCAAGCGTCGAGTCTCAAAGTTCCGATCTTTGCTTAGCTATCTCTTCGCTGGCGTCCCAAACCCAGGCGACGGCTGATGATCTGCAAATTGTTGCCCAAGAAAACGCCGTGAGGCTGCGTGAGCTCCAGGACGGTTTAAGCTCCGATATTGCCTTCATCGAACATCAACTGTCAACGACGAATAAAGCAATTTATGGCGTCGGCCACGAGGTGGGCCTGATGAGAGACGAGGTTCAGGCCCATGGCCAGGCTGTGCTTGCTCAGCTACAACTAATCGCTCGCCAGCAGGAGCATCAAATGCAGAACCCAAGTACTTCTAGTTCGACGGGGACCTTCCAAACAATCAATCAAATTGTGCAGTACGTGCCGCCGACATCTTTCAAGCAGGCTCTCGATGTTCTTCATAGGTGCCGATGCAGGACCAACGCTGCCCGCTCGGCTACGTCTTCCCTCGACCTGTACAACATCCGCGTCTTCTCGCGGCAGCAAAGCTCGTCGCGCCACGAGCGGGACTGCCCCCTTCATGCGCTCACTCAGGAGCGCACCCGCGCCGTAGGCGTGCGGATACGCCTCCAGCTAGGCTCGCTCTTGAGCTGCCTCCTCGAAGTGAACTTTTGGTGCTCAATGGGGGCGGGGGGCTCTTCCTTCGGGCCTTCTATCAAATGGAAGAATCTGGTTCCTATGCACCAGTCCCCCGTGCAGCGCGAATTTTCACGCGTTAGTCTATGGCTTCCAATTGGGAAGCGGAAACAGCAGCCGGCCGAGCTCGTCGAACAGCTGGAGATGATGCAAAGGAATGTGCTCACACTGTACCAGAACGGCGAGGCTTCGTTCAACGACGTCGATCTACGAGGCCACAATCACTTACAGGTATGTTTCGCTTCAGTGCCGTGGTTTCCCTGGCGGATGTAGATATGTCTAAATTTGCCTACATAGCTCTTTATCCATACCGTGGTTCAGTCTCTGGACCATGGACTCTTGACACACGAGGTAGCGAGCGCGGCTATTTCCATGACACAGCTGTATATCGAGATGGGCCTGACTTGCGACGAGCTAGACATCAGCTACGTTACCAACCGAATATCCTCCCAGTGGAGATATCGGCGGTTGGTTGAAACATCCACGACGCTCGCGAGATCGACCGACCTTCTTGAGCCATACAGGGGCCAGATTACAGAACAGAGTGTCAAGCTTGTCTCCTCCATTGCGCAAGCGTCAGAGCCAGTGCTCAAAGATGTTATTCGGAAGGTACCGTACACAGACCCCGGTCTCTTCTTCACTCGAATTCTTGATTTTGAAACTTGTGAGTCCCAGCATTGTCCCAACTCCACATGCACTTTCTTAATTCCTATTCGAATCTCATCACACACGTGAACAATAGGCATGGGACCAGTTTTACCCCTCGCCAGGGCGATCCTGATGAGGTCACTTCGCGATCTCGAGAGTGCCATCAGGTTGTCCCCGGAGTCACTGTTGGAAAAGACACATGGTCTCACGGTACTGCACCTCGCCGTTGGGTGGCCTGAGGGGCTTTCACTCCTAATCCAGACAGACGCCAGGCGTCTCCTCGATACCCCTGATGAGATCTCGCAGGTCAGTGACGAAAGTTCCAGACTCGCCTGGCCCTTCTCTTACGCCGCCGCGGCCCAGTGCACGCAAAGTCTTGATCTTTTGCTTCGGGCGGGCTGTGATCTCTACCCGATAGACCCTCAGAACGGCGCGAGGTCTCTAGCATTCTCGTACGCTTTGGCGGTTACGTCAGCGGAATGCGCTGAGGTGTTTGCAATGCACATTGCCTGGCGACGGCGGAAGCTCTTCGCTCTTGCCAGCTCGAATCTAGACAAGATCGGAGCGCATCTCGCTTGTCTTAGCGAGGAATCGCGCAAGGCGGTCATGGAAGCCCTTGAGCACAATCCATATCTCAAAACAGCCAAATCCGACGCAAAGGCACCAGAGCGGCGATTCCCCGAGCATCTCATCAGCAATATGGTTCTTGAGTGTCTCGAAGACGCCAAGATCCCGGTAGATGCCCAGCTACGCCCCCCACTGTCTATGGATGGCGATATATATCAACTCCCAGGTCTTCCCTTGGTCTTTTTTCCTATATTCGAAAGGCATGGATTTGGTGGATTTAACGAGCCCAACTGCTACGGCCTACGGCCAATCATGCAAGACCCACGAAGCCCTTCCTCTCTATCTTCAGATCCGATAGATAGTGCCCAGAGTGTGCTGCCGTGGTTGATCGAGCACGGATGTCTGGACATGACGCCAGCACATGCGGCGAGCCAGCCACATCCGGAAATGATGCTAAACGAAGGCGCCACGGGCTGGCACTACCTTTCTCTGAAGATAGTGCTCAGCACCTGGGGCATATACTCAGTGCCTGTCTACGGCCAGAGCACATCAAAGGCAAGCATGGAGCTGATGGCGACCATCGCGGAGGGCGAGGCAAAGCGCCACCATGATGGCTGCGTGTGCCTTTGCACCCTTCCACCAACATCTTATGAGGTAGATCATCATACCAATAAGCAATCCACGGGCGGATGCTCGCCCTTCAGCTACCTGTGCAAGCAGTGGCTCCAAACCGACTACACGTGGAACTTCCGCCCCCACAGCTTCCGCCATCACCTGTTCCGACACGGGCACAACAGCGGCTCTGAAAACACTTCCTCAACCCAGGATAAAGAAAGAAAACTTGCATCCGCTATGTCCACACCGATGTGGCAGCTTGAGGTCCTCCGCCTACTCACCTTCGAATCCCTCGATATGACACATACGTGTTGCAGCGCCCATCCACTCCAGTTGGACGCCATCGAGCACGCAATCTTTAACCACCCGGACTCGGAAGGAACAAGGCTGCGGATTGAGGCGGATCGCGTTGAGGCAGACAAGGCACGGCAACTAGAGGAGCTGATGACCGAATTTACAGAGCAGCTGGGGCGCACGACCGGCTCACCACGGGACCTCGAAGACTTTATCTTTGGGCCCTGGCGGGCTCGAGTGGCGGGCCTGTTCGATGAGACTGTCCAGGAAGTCCAAGCGATGGAAGATTTCCTGGGTGGCAAGGTGCGAACCAGTAAGTCGAGCGGCATCTTCAAGCATATCTCACGTAGCAAGTGAACTTTTTGGAGGCTACCTTAGACTGATGATCTGGCTGCTGAATCACTTACCAGGGGTACTTCCGGAAAGGTTGCAGAAATTCTTCGATGTTGATTATCCATTTTTTGACGACAGCAACAATGCTTCGCGTTCGGGTGCTATTGGTCCAAGCAAGGTTCACTCGATGGAAAGGAAGCCACTTCAATGTGAAACCTGCTTTTGGGTGGATGGGTAAAGTTATGATATGGAGAGGCAAAGGAAAATGGCCTCACTGGTGTAATACAGACGCCCAGCATCAATACGTACTAATTGTCAGAGATAGAAGGCGTTGATGCGAAAGCAGGCAATCTGCCCCTTACCGTGCCACATACGGTCGATCTATTGATGAAATCAAATCTCCCACAGCAAGTTAAAACAAGGCACATGAACGAGGGCTGAGTGTAGAAAGGAACTTTCGAAAAGAATGGGTACGAATTTCAAATAAGGGTCCCAAAAGCCGTGTTAGTCTACTGGGAAAGTACACATACAAACGTTTCTGGTTCGGTTGGCCAGCTCTGCCCCTCGATAACCTGTACGCGGATATTCGATATCCATTTCACTACTTGCCTCCAGGACTTGCTTTAATCTATTCTCAATCACTATCGACAGAGACAGCAAAAATTGCCGCTTTGACCAGTCCTACCAACAGTCCTTGATATAAACCAGAGGCAAATCTTTCAGTATCAAAGGCAGCCCATATACAACAATATCGAAAGTCAAACCAATTTTATAGGTCCGCTCGGCGGATAGAGCCCGAGTGCCCCTGATACGATACCATAATGATAAACCTCACCTACAAGAACATAATCCACCTCACCAGAGCTACTGCCATCGCCATCACCAACACCCCGCGTCCCAGACTGCCTAATGGCAAAAGGCGTGCGTATCCCACGAAATACACAAACAGCATCTCCAACATCCGCGCCGGCAGCTGCGAGCCCAAGGTGCCCTTCTGAGGACACGAAGAACCGCCGGCCCCGCGTCGCACGGGCAAAGTGATAAGCAAACCCGGAAACCTCCTCCCTCGCAGCCCTGTCGAGATTGAATCCCTCTAGCGACCACTTCGCTGCGCACTCGCGACGCTCTGCGAGCCAAGTATCGAAGCCTCGCTCCGTGGGTGGCCTTCTCCCGCCTGGCTGCTGCGATCGTCTCCGGCTGTCATTCTGTGGTGCTGTGGACCCGCTGGCGGTCAGGGTCTTCCAGAGCGCCGTCTTCTGTGCCTCTCTGCCTTCGCTGTCATTTGGCTGGTCTGAGCTGGTGAAATCAGCGAGCCCCGCCATGTCCAGGACCTCTTCTATCCAGGCGATGATATCTTGCACATAGCGCAGGCGTCCCTCGCGTCCCTGCCCAAGGCACTCGGAGCTCATTTTTACTATGGTGTCGACGACACATCCATTAAGGGCTATCATACCCGGTATTTGTGAGTCGTAGGACACTATAGGCCTCGTGCCTTGCTCCGTTGCGTGGTAGTTGCCAGCGGCTGCTATCTCGTCCAGGGTCGTTCCCTCTGTGGGTGACGTCCAATCAGGCACCCAAGAGGGGAGGTGCAGGGACCTCCGATGGCCGACACCTGCCGCAGAGAGGATCAGGATCTCTGCATCTCTAAGGAGAATGCGCCGTGTCACTTGTGTGTACAAGTCTTCAACTCCAATTCTGTAGTTGGGATGGAAATCCGGCTCATCTCTGTCAGTGGGCAGTGCCACTAATGGAGCAGCAAACATTTATCAGCTTCTGCAGTACTCAATTTGACCGTCACTTGCTCCACTTACAGGCTAGCAGAGAATAAATCTTGTCGCGAGGATCACTCGCCTGAAAGGCACGAAAACTAAGGAGTAGCTGTTGGAGGATCATCGGGTTCTTCTCAGTACACTGAAGACTGCGAGCGGCGGCGATGCTCAGAGCGTTTCTAAAGGGAGCGTCCCGATGAGCCATCTGGCTCGCTGCAGCGTGATGGTCCATTACTCCGAACAAGATGCCATTGTTATCCACGATCCACCCACAGAGCTGGCAAAGCTCTTTCCATGTCACAGCGTGGTGACCGCACACGACCAGAACGTCCGAGGAGACCGCGACCTCCTGGACGACCCAGGCTCTAGTGAACCACAGCCTGGAGATAAGATGCGCAACATCTACCCAAGATGTGGGGGGTAGGCCTGCTCCGCGTGACAAATTCTCGAAGTCATCGATGCTCATGGGTCGAAGGAAATCGCCGTTGGCCTGGATGAAGCCTTGGGTCAACTGGAGCAAGTCCATCGCTCGGGTTGTTGCATCGTCTGCCATTCCGAGAAAAACAACGACCTGTTGCGCCTGTCTGTAGATGTCGCCCATGATCGCGACCTGACTTGCTCTCTCATCGTGGTCCTCCTGATTGATGCAAATCGAGTCGATCCACAGATGCAGTTTACACCCTGGAGCTACAAGTGTGCTCAAGATCTCAAAAGTTGCCTTATTGTAGCCAAGTGGTGTCTCGACACCGTTCGAATCACGAAAATATCCGGCCGCCGACGGCTCTCCCCATGCGTAGGTGATGGCGAGATATGTTGGATTGTCGTCCAGGGCGACCTGTACTAGTCGTGCGACAAAGGCCCGTTCATTTGCATCAGACTGTGCCAGACATGAGACTTCCAGAAGACGGATCTCTCTCCTCTTTCCATCCAACGGAGCGTAAAGAACAAGCTCCTCCGTCGTTGATTCTTGCGACTCGACAGCGCGACGGCGCCAGTATGAGTCGCGGTCTCCGGCAAGAACACCCCATAGTTTCTGTTCTACCTGAAATACGTCAGCGGAGGTTTTTGGTCTCTTAGGGTGCCAATAGAAGCGACGCCAGGCGAGCATGGCGGCAGTATTGTGTTGAGAAACACGAAATGCGATGGTGCAAAAACTGAAGTGAGCTTATGCTCAGCTTTGTGCTTGAAGTCGAAGGATGCTGGTGCCTTAGTACCACGGTAATCTGCAGGTCTGCAGGAAGCTTACTGCGTCCGCACAGAAAAGGCACGTTAGCTTTCTAGACCACAACTTCGGCAAAATTTTGGGGGCATTTTGATTCTCGGCCCTATCACTGAGTCTTTTGAAATGCGGCAGAATTTCACAAAAGGTATAGGGAGTCAGCCAACGCAGGCTCCACATCGCGTCAAACCATATCCTCAACGAAACATCGTTTTGATTTTTCTCTTCAAGTGAATAGAGCAAGAATGCCCTCAGATACCGTTGGAATCGTAGCGTTAGCGTTTGTAGTGAGCTGATTGGTCCGTTGGGCCTACGGCTATAAGTAGGCCTTGGAGGGATGCAGCCTTCGGCTGCTTCCTGTAACCAATCAAGCAACCCACACCCAAATAAACACCAACATCCCCAAACGCGCATCGTATTCGAATACGTGACCCAGCCAACAGATACTCCAAATATCTCGCTCTGTTACCTAAACAAAGATAATAGTTACACTAGCTAATAATCAGCCTAAGGTCTGGATAACATCTTTCTTAAGCGCTACTCCGCGTCTACTGTTTCTTTCTTTGTCAATACCAATTGTGAAAAGTTGCTGCATAAGGTGCATAACAAATTTGCTATCTTCAAGCCTACCTAGGATCCTAAACCGCCCTGCCGTTGGCTGTCTTTGTGGTGTATTGGGAACAACATGCTGTAAAGCTGTGAGTCTCTCTTTAAGCTGAACAGGTTGCAGGATCAGTTTATTGCATAACTATTCTTTCTGGCCATTACAAGTTTGGAATTGTGGGAAGTAGAGACTATCCGAGACAAATTATTCCAGCATGGCAATACATTCTATGTGGTATATTCTACTGTAATGTTATGAATTTACCTGGACTGCAAATGTATATACTAATTCCACCATTTAGTCTTGTTGGGAACAATATAATTAATTTTGAGATTGACCACCGTCTCGACTAAGTGCTCAGCCCATAACTAAGTGAACAGCCTGAGGCAGAGTTCTTGGACGGCTTCCTCAGCAACGTCGGGCGGGCCCTCGAGTGCGGCTGGAACGTCGAGCCCGTTGGCTGGAGACGCAATTTCTCGGACGCCTGGCGCAACCAAACTTTCCAAGCTTTCCAGGCCACGTGGGCCATGGGACAGTTTCCGCCTTAATCGAGCTCGCCGGTTTTGCCGATGAGCTCCTTGGTTTCTGGCTCCTTCGCGCCGGCCAGCGGGGATCCCTCTGGACCAACACAACCAACTGTACAAAGCTGCTCCTACCCTGGGATAGTTGTTCCAGGGTTACCTGGTTTCGGCTCCTTAGTCGTCACGTCCTGATCAGCAAATGGACGACCCTGCCTTGAAATCTGGGGATCTGCCCTTCGCATCTCAACATCATGTTCGTCGTTCTCAACGTCTACCAATTCAATCACCCAACTTTTCGCCCACACACTGTAGTGTCTACAACCCTGATGTTCCGCAAACTCGTTCTCGTCGCCCTCGGCGTTTCATCCGTTCTCCTCTTCTCCAAACTGCTTACAAGAACGTCTCTCGGGTCCGAAGTTGTATCTCGAGCCATTCAAATAACCCATTCCAACCAGGGCCCCTACGAAGCACCGCTACGGATATGTCAGTCTCCAGATGTGATACCGGGATCATACGTTGTGTATCTCGAGCGTGGTCATACGTTAGAGCAACATATGCAGTTTGTCGGCATTGATTTGAAACCACTCATGGACGGCGATCCATTCCCAGAGAATTCCCGTCTCGGGCTTGTTTATTGCGCAGAACTTGACGATGCAACATTAGCAATGGTTCGGAGGGACACCGGTGTGACTTTCGTGGAGTGTAACTTGAAGCCAGAACCAGTAGACTTAGAGCTCTGAACCTCTGAGCAGAAGCCTCGGGCTCCTTTCGTTGATCGGCCATAGACAGGAGGATTTTGCTGGTGTGCAAAGGGGCGTTGCGTATTGGCAGTTCAACCAGAGAAAGTAATTCAACAAAGGAGCGGAAGGTGTTGCGACAGCAAAAAGCGAGTCCAATTGGTGTGCTATGCCACTGCGATGATCTCACAAGTCACTTATACGCAGTTGAACTCTCTTACTAATCGAGCTATACATGAACTCGCCGTCTGGTTGGGTTGGCCGGCGTCAAGATTCCAATGGGCAAGTCATGCGCCCCACACAGCGCTACGCAAAATGTCAACATGGACGACCCGCCAATCTGCCCGCCTCTTCGAAAAGAAATGGCATCAAGTCATACTCCTTTGGAAGGGATAAGAGAAGGTACCGGTTGCAAGCTCATCTCTCATGTAATCGTAATGTCAACAAAGCAATATTTTGAATTTTCTCTTCCTGTGCCCTGTTCCAGTTCCAAGCGCCAAATCAAACCATCAATTCCCCTTCTATCTTAAGACCAGGACTCCAGCCCCTTCAGGACGCATCCTTCACCACCCTCACTCCTCTTCACAAGTCGACCGATCCTGTAGACCTTCTCACCCTCAGCCTCGAGCATCTTAACAGCCTGGTCCGCATCCGCAGCAGAAACAACAGCAACCATGCCGACGCCGTTGTTGAACGTCCGGGCCATCTCCTTGGCCTCGACGCTGCCAGCCTTCTTGAGCCACTTGAAGACAGCAGGGGCCTCCCAGCTGGCCACGTCGATCTCGGCGGCCAGGGTCTTGGGCAGCGTCCGCGGGACGTTCTCGGTCAGGCCGCCGCCTGTGATGTGCGACAGGCCCTTGATCAGGTTCTGGCCCAGGACTTTCAGCAGCGGCTGGACGTAGATGCGCGTTGGCGTCAGCAAGCTCTCGCCCACGGAGCCCGCGGAGCTGTCCCATGGGCACGAGTCCGTGTATGTCAATCCGGCCCGCTCGACGATGCGGCGGACCAGCGAAAAGCCGTTGGAGTGCACGCCGTTGGACCCCAGTCCGAGGAGGACGTCGCCCTCGGCCATGCCCGCCAGGCGGGGCAGCCTTGCCTCCTTGCGCATGACGCCGATGGCTGCGCCGGCTGCGTCGTAGTCTTCCCCGTGGTAGATTCCGGGCATCTCTGCCGTCTCGCCACCTACCAGCGCGCACTTAGATTGCCGGCAGCCCTCGGCGACGCCGGAGACGAAGGCAGCAGCGTCGGACGGCTCAAGCTTGCTGCAGGAGTAGTAGTCCAGGAACATGACGGGCTCAGCACCTTGCACGATCAAGTCGTTCACGTTCATGGCCACCAGGTCGATGCCGACGGTATCGTGTTTCTTCATGCTTTGCGCAATGATCAGCTTCGTGCCGACACCGTCAATGGCGCCTACCAGTATGGGCGCATTAGGATAGCCAGCGGCTGAGAGGTCGACCTCGCCACCGAAGCCACCAATCTCTGCATCGGCACCGGGCCTGGCGGTTGACCGCACAGCCTTCTTGATCATCTCGACGAGCTCGTTGCCTGCATCAATGCTGACACCAGCCTGAGCATAGGTAAGACCTGCGCTGGGAGTTGCGCCGGATTTCCTGAATGCACGGTGCGCAATATCCTTGCGGTAGAACATGTTCTCAAACTGAATCAGCTTGATGCCCTCGTCGTAGGCCTTCTTCACGGCCTCCTGGAGGCTGGATCCGATCGCGTTGGCAGCAATCACACGGCCACCCGCTGTCTGCAGCTGGGACCCTGCCAGCTTGGTGCCGGCGTGGAAGATGGTGATGTCGCTGCCCGCGGCAGGGGTTCCCACCGTCATGGGAGTCCCCTTGGCGTAGCTGTTGGGGTATCCGCCAGCGGCGACGACCACGGTTGCGCTGAACTTGGGCTGCACCTTGAAGTCCACGGAGCTCAGGTAGCCCTTGGCGCAAGCCAGCATAATCTCGGCCAGATCGGTGTCCTCTGACAGCAAGGGCAAGACGGTCTGTGTCTCGGGGTCACCGAAACGCACGTTGTACTCCAAGACCTTTGGACCGTTGGGTGTGATCATGAGGCCGGTGAAGAGACAGCCCTTGAAGGGCATGCGGTCGCTCCTTAGACCGGCAATGGTAGGCTCAAGGACCTCCTTGTCGATGCGTGCCACCAACTCAGGTGTGGCGATGTTCGTTGGCGCATAGCATCCCATGCCGCCAGTGTTGGGGCCCTGGTCACCGTCAAAGATGCGCTTGTGATCCTGGGCTGGAGGCAGGGACTTGATGGTGTAGCCGTCACAGAAGGACAGTATGCTCAGCTCGTCGCCAGCCAGGAACTCCTCAATGACAACCTCGCTGCCAGCAGAGCCAAAGGCTTGATCGACCATGATCTCCTTGAGTGCCTGGTGGGCCTCCTCCTTGGTCGTGGGGATGATGACGCCCTTTCCGGCGGCCAGACCAGTCGCCTTGATGACGACGTCGTGCTGGACGGAGTCGATGTAGGCCTTGGCCTGTTCGTAGTCGGAGAAGTTCTCGTAGGCGGCAGTAGGGATGTTGTGCTTCTTCATGAAGTCCTTGGAGAAAGTCTTGCTGCCCTCGAGGCGCGCAGCGGCCTCTGAGGGGCCGAAGCACGGAATTCCCACATTGGTGAAGAAGGTCTCGATACCGGCGACAAGAGGCGCCTCGGGGCCGGGGACGACGAGGGTGACCTTCTCCTGCTGAGCAAGGGCGACAAGGCCGGGGAAGTCCTCGGCAGACACGGAGGTGTCGTTGGTCACCTTGGGGCAGGTCGCGGTGCCACCATTTCCTGGGACGGCGATGATGGACTCGACGAGGGGAGACTGGCTGAGCTTCCAGGCGAGGGCGTGCTCGCGGCCTCCGTTGCCGATGAGCAGGATGCGGAGGGACTGGGAAGCCATGGTTGGAGGGGAGGGCAGAGAATCAATTCGAGAGGAAAAGATCGCTCAGGGAGGGTTGTGGCAGTTTGGAGCTGGGCAATGGAAGGACCACGCCCTTGTGAAAGTGATCCTCGACATCTTTTCTCTCTTCAACTGCGCGAAACGGAGGAAAAACGCGGCGGAAACGAGTCGCGAAATTTTAGCTGCCCGCAGGACCCCTCCCCCGCAATTCTGAATTCTGCCCACACTCCAGCCCAGTCTTCAGTCCTTATCGGTGTCTATCTGCTGCTGATTGTGGAAGGCGTACCCTTGCACTACTGGCTGTCCCTCCATTCATCCGCCCTTCCAACTCTTCTGAATGAACGGGGGTTTAACCCTTCAATCACTCATACTCTTTTCCACTCCAAACTCACTCAATGGAATGAATACATAGAATTATTCGACTTATACGACCCCTGAAGGTCCTCACCTGCAACTTTCGCATCCACCTCGGTTTCTCATGGCAAACAGAATAAAACCAGCTACCACAAAAACAGAACCCCCCGACCTCCCAACCCGCCAAACCTCCCTCTCCCGCCTCGCAACAGCCGCCCACCTCCTCGACGGCTTCGTCCACCGCAACAAGAACCAGCACCGCGGCACGCGATGGTGGGCGCCCTTCGACATGCTGCGCCGCAGCGTGCGCAAGCTCCTGCCTGACCTGGAAGGCGCAGTGCAGCGCGCCGAGCTCCTGTGCTCTTCATCAACAGCACCAGGAAAGCGGAAGAAAACGAGCGACAAGGGAGGAGCCGCCCGCGCGGCCGTGGCCGCCGCCAAGCAGCCGGAGCTGGACAGGGTCGAGGTCAGGGCGCAGTGGCTGCATGATATTGTGGCCGTCAAGGCATTTGAGTGAGTTTTCCCTCGCCATGTGACGCCGCGGCGCGCTGAGTTTGGATATCTCACTAACGCGTGCGACAACAGGGCCTTCACGCAGCTCGTGGCAGACAGGCAGTTCGCGCAGCTGGGCCTGATGCTCATCGGCGTGCTGGCACAGGTGGAGGCGGCGCTGGCCCCGTTCGTGAAGCCCTCTGGGCCGGAGGGCGAGCCAGAAGGTGGTCCTGGGCCGGAACCCGTCCAAGTAGCTGCTGGTGTGGCTGTGACACAAGACGCTTCTGCTGCGACGCAGAAAAGGGAGGTGGGCGCCCAGCAGGAGGACGACCTGGGAGTTGCGGTCTCGCGGGACGAGCTCGGTGGTGATGATGACGAGGAGGACGACGTCGCGCCGACAGCCCGGCGTGCCTCACCGCCGCCAGAGCACCCGCCTACCAAGGAGAAAAGGCCCGAGAAGGGCGAGATCAAAGGGAAGAAGAGGTCCAGAGCAGATGACTCAAGCTCATCGAGGATAGGCAGGCCCGAGAAACTGGTACGGCCGAAGTCGTCGAGGGACGAGGGGAAGGTCAAGAAGAAGAAAAAGAAGAAGGGAGGCGATGAATTCGATGACTTGTTTAGCTCTCTCGTATAGAACAGACAGCCCTGGAAATTGCTACTGCTATACGTCACCTGCTCTGAGCAAACAGACCTTTGCTATGCTCTCAATCACACACTGAGTAAGACGAACACTCCGGACGGCCAGGGACGACACGTCCGGACGGGAGCAACCTGCTTACTGCAAGATGATAATGCTCACTTACAATTTCAAACATCGAGCCGGGAGTCTCAAGCATACACATACAGCGTGGAGGAGAATATCATTGAAGATGGAAAAAACACATCTAGTCATTACGAAAGTCACACTTAGACACATGCCCAGGATGAATTCCCGGTGCCTGCCCATGTCCCATCTCATGCACTTCCATTGCCCAACAATCCCAGACCTGTCTCCTATCTCATTTTTTTTTTCTTCTTTTTGAATACACAGACGCCCTTCCAACTCTCTTACCCAATCCTGGAGATGAAAATTGCACCGGGAAGTCATCCTCCAACCATACGCGGGCTTCCCAGGTCATATGTGGCCAGCGAATTGGTACAAGTCCAGGTGCCACCAGCGACGACAAGAGAAGGCTTGGTTGTGTACCTAAAGGCCAAAGGACGGGTCTCGTTCAGATGCTGCCTGGAAGGTCGATTGACAGGATTGAAGGAGCTCCCAATCTTCTCATCCCGCTCCTATTGATCTCGACTGTCCACTGCCAGTACCAGAACTCTTATTTATGTCGCTTATGTGTGGGTTGTCCTGCCGGCTCGTTTATGGGCCGGTGCGGGTGTACGACCAGATACGAGCACGCATGTCTCCAGAGCCAGTGGCGAAGTAGTTTCCGGTGGGGCTTGGGGCCACGGAAATGACACTGTTCTTGTGTCCCTGCAACATGACCTGAGTATTTCCGGTCCTGGGGTCCCAGAATTGCACACCTCGGTCCTTGGATCCTGACATGACCCACTGGGCATCTGGTGTCAAGGCAACAGAGAGAACAAAGTCCTAAGAAACGTTAGATTGAGAAAACTAAAGGTTCGCTTGGTGACTGAACTTACCCGGTGGCCTTCGAAAGTCTTGACACATCGTCCGCCCTTTGGAGCCTGGTTCATTTGTCCAGGTCGGGATGAGCTGAGCTCCCACATCTTGATAGTCCTGTCCAGACTACCACTGACAAGATCCTTGCCACTGGGGGAGAATGCAACACTATAAACACTGTCCTTGTGGCCGTCAGGGCCCTCCAGACGCTCGACAAGGTGGCCAGTAGCAATATCCCAGACACGAACACTCTTGTCCAGAGAACCAGCAGCGACGAGACGGCAGTCGGGGGAGATCGCTACGGTAGTAACGCCATCCTCGATAGTGAGCGTCAGCACGCTGTTGGACGTCTCAATATCCCAGAGTCGGACTGTTCTATCGCCACTGCCTGATGCAATCGTCCGACCATCGCGGGAAAAGTCTAGACTATAGATGTCCTGCTCGTGGCCGGAGAAGGTGTTTCGGATGGTGCGAGACTGGATGTCCCAGACCCGAATCAACTTATCCTCGGCACCGGTGGCAAGGTACTTGCCATCAGGACTGAAGCAGACGCTTCGGATGTACAAGTCGCCGCCAGTGTCGGCGTTGTCGTCCTGCAGTACGCAAATCTTTTCTCCAGAGATGATGTCGTAGATCTGGGCAGACTTGTTGCAGCCAGTTGCGACGTACTTGCCATCCATGCTGAATCGAACACAGCAGACAACACTCTCATGCGCCAGAGTGTGAACCAGGTCCACATCAAGCATGCGTGGAACGGTCGGGTTGAAGACGACGAACCAGTCATCTCTGGCCTTCTTGTGTTGAGGGGCCAGGCGCTCGACGTCGAGATCACCGAGGGCGTTGTTGGGAGGGTGATGCGGCTGGGCCATCCTGGCGTGGTCTGGAGTCGGGTGCGTGCCAACCTGAGGAGACTGGCCTGGGCCTCCGGGACCCGGATACGGAATCGGAGTGTTGATCTGAGGAGTCGCCGGGCCACCAGCCGGCGGTCTGCCAGGCCCGCCGCGCTTGCCAGGCCCCGGGCTAGCGGTGCTCTGGGGAGGCTGGGACGGGAAACCACCCGGAGCTGGGCCTTGGGGGTATTGCTGCTGGAAAGGGGGCGCCTGCGACGGCGGTGGAGGGGGCGGCGGGGGGCCCTGGAGCCCTGGAGGAGGCTGCGGCATCTGGTGAGGAGGGCCCTGCTGCTCCTGAGGGGGAGGAGGCGGCGGCGGGATAGGGCCACCCTGGCCACCCTGGCCGGACATGATGGCGCTGAAGGCGTTGGTGCCCATTCCGATAGCTGGGGGAGGGGCTTGAGGAGGGCCTTGATGGGGAGGCGGACCGACCATAGCACCCTGAGGAGCGCCACCTCTGGCCTGTTCGAGCTGTCGGCGGAGGTGGGCGACCTCTTCTTCGAACCTGCCAAGCATGGTTGTCAGCGGATGCGTGCAGGCGCAACGGCGAGCATCGGGGGGAGGGATATCATACTTCTGCTTGAGCGCCATGTGGGTTTGCTCCATCGCGTAGACCTTCTCACGAACCAATTGCATTTCATTTACCTGGGTTTGAACTGTGACGAATGTTAGAAGCTGGGACTAAATTGAAGAGGTCGCGCCGAGCCGGCACCGGCGGCCATTCCTCGCCGCAGGTTTAGGTGTGCTCACTCTGGTGCTCGTAGTTTTCGCATTGGCGAACCTGGGTCTCAAACTCGGAGCGGATGTTGTCGAGCAGCTCGTTCAGGCGAGGCGCGCCGTTCCCTCCGGGCGGGACACCTCCCATGCCTCGATGCGGATACATGGACATGATTGCGACGCCTCAGCTGTAATTCTGCTATTGACAGTGTTGTTGGCGGCGGCGGTGCCTGGTATCGACGCTATAGCGAAGATCAAATTGGATGATGCTTTAAGATGTCGTGTATTGCTGGTTGAAACAAGCGCCGGCCGGGCCACAAGGGCTGAGTTGGGCCAACGGTGGTTGCGGTGCTTTCAAGTCTGAGTCGTTGTAGAATTGCGATCCGGGCGCGGGCTCGTCGTGTGTTTTTTCCCGTAGGCGATGGCGAGCTCCACCGTGGATCGATGACGACGTCGGAGGGAAGAAAGGCAGGGTGGCGGCGAGATGGTCGCTGATGAAGAACAAGTCGCCGTCCGAGCCTCGCTAGATTTGGGTCTCGTCGTGTCGTGTCGTGTGTCGTGGATGAGGAGGGCGGGAGCAGGGCAGGGGCAGAGGAGAAGAGGAGAGGCGCGCGAGATTGAGGAAGCAAGAAGCAAGCACGCACGACTGATTTTAGGGAACCCGAGCCAGGCTTGGCCTGAGCACCATGAGCACTAGGTGGCCCTGGCGGCCGTGCCCTTGGTGCTGAGAGGGTACTGGTAGAGGGTGGGAATGTGGGCATGGGGCATGGGTGTTGCAGGTGTGGTGGGTGTTGGTGTGGGTGTGGGTGTGGGTGCAGGGGCATGGACATGGACATGGGCAGGGGCATGGGGCATGGGGCATGGGCGTGGATGGGCCGGGCAGGGCAGGGCAGGACGAGGCAAGGCAAGGCAAAGCTGCAAAAGCTGCAAAGCACCAGCGCGCACAGTAACTCACCTAACCTCCCGCTTGGTTACTGAAAAGAATGGGGCGGCGCGACCTAGCGTGCTAGCGCAACCGAGTGGGTCCCCGCCCAAGACAAACCCTGCCCGCAGCCGAATCGGGCCACCCACCGCACCCCTGCAACCCCCCAAGGATGCCCCTTCCTTTCCTGGGCTCGGTGGTTGTGGTGGTTGTGGTTGCAAAGAGCAAGAGAGCAAAAGAGAGCAAAGAACCTGCCTGGGTACTACCCGCCACAGGTATTTTATACCGATCAACAGCTCTTACTCGACCCCATACGTTTCAATAACACTTACCGGCGGACATACGGTGCTACTGTGTATGCGTGCAATGTGTGCATTAAGCTATACGCAATACATACACATTCACAAAAGCCCACGGTTTCTGTGGCTGCCGCTACCGTGTTCTGCTTAATGATTATGTATATGTATCTATACACGTATTCAATGGTGTAAGGTAGAGCAAGAGAGCAAAAGAGAGCAAAGAACCTGCCTGGGTACTACCCGCTATAAGTATTTTATACTGATCAACAGCTCTTATTCGACCCCATACGTTTTAATAACACTTGCCGGCGGACATATGATGCTACTGTGTATGCGTGCAATGTGTGCATTAAGCCATACGCAATACATACACATTCACAGGAGCCCACGGTTTCTGTGGCTGCCGCTACCGTGTTCTGCTTAATGATTATGTATGTGTATCCATACACGTATTCAATGGTGTAAGGTACGTTGTATCACAGGACGGAGATCCCCCCCCCCCCTCCTTTTCCCTCCTCCTTGCTCTTTCAAGCCAAATGTCACGAAACCTGCATTCAACCAGATGGGAACAAGACAAGCACAGTTGCACACCTGGGTATTACTGTGCTGTACTGTTACACGCCCTCATTGCTAGCAGGTGCGGAACCAGACTGTGGTATGTACATCCTCGGGGCCGTTGGGTTTGCGCCGGATTGATTGGCAAGATGCGACACACATTTGCTTGTGGGGGCCGTGACTGCCCCAAACGGCTAGCAATGGAGGGCAACCGTCCTGGACAAGCTGCCTGATGGGGGCAAGCCCCGATGGAAAACGTGGCTCTGGCGGGTGAGGCACGCTCGGCTGTTGCCTGTGCTGTCAGGCTGGCAGGCAAAATAAGTTTCAGCTAGCACCTGGGTATGTACATATATACATACATACATACCCAGGTACACCCATCGGGCCCGAATCCAGGTGGCAGGTTGGGATTCAGGGTTTTGTCTTTCTGTTCAGGAGGGCCCCCTGGCCCCCCGACCGGCGCAGGCGCCCCAACCCTTGGATGTTTCTGGCGTCTGTGCGCCCTCAGTACATTTCATCACGGCGTCTAAAATAAAGTTGGGGCCGGATGGGATGTGAGCGGCACAGTCTGACTGTGCTTCGCTCTAGTACCACCGTGTTGCGTACGCGACATCAGATCTCTGTTCCATCTCCGTCTCACTCATTTGCTCTCCAAGGGAGCATCGATTCATACACTGTCATCTCGTCATGCGGGCTGCGGCCACGGGACACTCTGCCCGTGCAATGCTCGAGATGATCGGATCGGATCGCTTCAGACAGAGACCAGGGGGGCCTCTGTCGTCCGTCCACCTCGGCCCAGGGCTCGATTCGATTCGATTACCAAAGGTGGCACAAGGCGCAGTACCCATCGATCAATGACCGCACTTGGCGAAATCCACCGTGGTCCCCAATCTCCCCACAGCCGGTACGAACCATGTACCGTAGACTACAGCTTACCGCAGGATGCAGGACATGTCACCGTACCATTATCCACCACGGGGCAGGACGGCCAGTGGCCAGAGTGCATGTTGACCAGTACAGTGCTTATTGTATCACCACCGTGAGGAAATTCCTCCGGGCGTGGACGTCGGCGGATCCAAAACAAGGGGGCCGCAAGAAACTGCGCGCTAAAACGGGCACCCTTGCGCTGTGGTACTGCAAGTGTTGGTGCAGCTGCAGCTGCAGGACTTGGTAATGGAAGTGGAGGGAGAGGAGGGTAAGGGAAGTAAGCCCGGGGAAGTGAACGGTCAACACACCATCCATCACGATAGGGGACACCCAGTCAGTCTAGGCAGACAGCCGTGCTTTGTACGGGCAGTATAGCAGCTGCTAGTCTACTGCAGAATGTTCCGAAGCCGTGTTTTAGAGGCTGACCACACCACACTAACCATCCACTCCACACGCTTCGTTTCCGCCCAGCTCATCCCGTCTTCCCAGACCAGACGACTCATCGTCCCAACTTTAGCCGATACCTGGCACAACGCGACACCATCGTAAGCAAGAACTCCTGTCTGAGCACTTGGCCCTAAAGCGTGTTCGGCACCAGCGAAGGCAAGACGGACGAAATGTTGTGGCACGTGACAAGTCGAGGACCAGGAAATCGGCCGCCCATCGTCTTCCCTTGTGCGAGGTCGCACCACAGCTTCTCAAGGGCGAAAGGGTCGCTTTTTCTTGCATTCTAAAATCACCGGAGAGCCAAGAACTTGGTCCCATGACAACCTTTCATCCTGTTATAGAATGATCACAGGTTTGACGTAGTAGCATCTTCTCCTCTCCCCCCCCTGCAACATGTCGGTTGCCATCTCTCCACAGGTGATCCTCCTGGCCAAACAGCCAAACAGCACGCTTCTGATTACAAAAAACTGACAACCCCTTCCACATGTATACACACAGCTCGTATATAGAGGAGCTGTCCAAAACCAGCCCTCTACCCGAAGTCAATCCACACAAGCCATGGCGCGAAAACAGCGACTGTCAAACTTCGCCGCGATGCCTCCGGCCTAGAATCAGGCGGCCAATCAAATGCGGATCTCGCGGTAGTACCCACTTCCTCAACAAGTGTTGACGGTAGGGTTGTACCGTCGGAGCCGACCATGACTCCGTCCCAGTTGCGGCTCTGCCGCTTCGCCCTAGTGTCAGACTGACGGCTTATATATCGTCGCAAATAATGAGTGTCCGACGATCCGACCGTTTGGTGAATCTAGCAAAAGAAAACACACAATGTCCGAGCAGCCACTGAGTAAAGCTGATGATGCTAACGAGAGCGTCGAGGCCACAGGGAGCTGCTGGGAAAAAGACGGATGTTCGTGGTCTTTTTCGTTATAAGGGAGGAGTGAGCCTTCTCGGATGGTTCAACACGATTTGAGATGCTGAGAGAGACGCATCGCAAACGTTTATCCGGTAGAAAGGTTCGAGAGCGAGCGTGGGAAACCGATCAGGTGCATGTGCGATGGGATGGTTTCACATGGTTTCTGTCACGTTGAAACGCCTTTTCGTCCCATGCGTGCATAGCTTTCAGTCCGGTACAACCCCGGATATTCCGAGATCTCTGGCCTGCCATCCCTGATGGTTTTCCCCTATTTTCTTCCACGGCCAGGGTGTTGCTCAGGTGTAAGATACATAGCAGGATTTGAATGCTACACGTCTCAAACGGTGACTATCACAAGAGCAAGCCAAACCTTCTTACAACATGCCAGAAAAACATTTTTGCTGATTTGCTGTCATTCACGGCAGGCACGCAAGCCGGTCACTTTGCCACGGCATATGTGAACGCAATAACAGCTATGGTGGCTCTTCAAGTTTTGATCTTTTCTGGGATGGCTCATGCTTGGACGGTGCTTTTACCCATTCGGGAGATAGCATCACATATTATTAGACGTGAATCCAAGTCTATTTGAGACTTCAGCGCAGAGCGCGACATCCTTAATCATTGACTGGCTGCCCTGGACGCATGCTCCGAGCAATTGTAGCCATGACCATGTGAGGTGGCCTATAATCAGCTGCGCGAAGTGAGCAGTGAGATTCGGGACTGGCAGGCTTCGATTAATCGAAATCCTGGGTACCTGGGGATTGCCGCTTCCCGGAAAAGATAATATGGTGTGGAGATGCTAATTGAAGTCATTGTGGCTTCTGGGTGCCGAGCGAATCAAGTGCACAAAAGAGTTTAGACCAGCAGATGTCTAATCGTGTTTCCATTCTAGACTGGCTTGTCGGCAGTTCTTCCCATATGCAACTCTGAGCGGAAAGCTTGTCGTTATGTAGGGATGGTGGAATAGGAGTCGGCCGGAAGAGCGCTGATAGATGTTTTCTGAGCATGGCCGCCCCCGACATTGTCCCAGTATAACTTCCACTGAAGGCTCACACACGTGAGGCTTCAGATCAATCTCTATTGTCCTGCTTGCTGGGACGTAGCAGCTTCACCATTGCGAAGTAAGGCTGGACTGGCAGGGTGTCAAAAATATCAAGCCCTGGCTTTGACGTCGAGATGTCCTTGCCAGATCGAAATTGAATGCCGTTGACTTCTTTCAGCTCGCTCAAGTGTACTCAGCTTCACCTTTGTATCTCTTCGCGACAGGAGGGTTAACAATGGTGTTCTTTACCAACAATATCGAGGCACAATGGCACATGAATATAATCACGGCAAACGTCATTGAATCTGCTCTGCAGGACAGTATTCTTTCCTCTATAATTTGAGGCAACATAATTGTTTGTGATAGAAGTCGTAGGTCGAATTCCAAGTCTTGAAGTGGAAGCAACTTTTGGACTGAATGAGCTTGTCAAGATCTGTGCCGACCTAGCACTTATTGCTACAGATTCTGTGTCTTTGTAATCATCAGATTATGCAATCAAATTTTTGTGACCTGGATCGTTTAGTTGTAGAGCGTTGTGTGCGTATCTAATTTCGAAGGCTTGAGGTGCTCCATTGTTTCCAGCAGACGTGGAACCCAAAGCAGCGGGAATAAAAAGTAAGCGAATTCCATGAGATTCAACTTCTCAAGCCCTCCAGCAGGAAGGGAGGGGTAAGATGTAAATGATCATCAAGGGGCTCAAGACGGTGAGACATTTTGTTTTGGAGTTCGGCCTATAGTAGCTTCTCCCGCGTTTCCGGACCAGCACACTCATTCTTCCAGGTTCAAGTCAGCAAGCTTTGTAATATTGGCCAATGAATTGACGGAGAAATGAAAAATGCAATGTGTGTCTTTTTTTTAAAGATACGAGGAATTCCTCAGGCAACCACCGTAGTAACGTAACACCGCAGCCAGACCGTTTCGGCCCCCACCCAAGGTAGACGCGCATCAGCCTGGAAGCGACGCTTCACCAGATTCCAAGTCGAACCAGAGGTGCAGTGCAGACTTTCTGGTACCACCAGGCGGCCTCCGGGCAGCTAAAAGTAGTATCAGCATCATAAGGCTCCGGACAATGACGACTTGTTACAGTGCGTTAGCCCACCCGCAGCCCAGTAGCTGACGGATTGGAAGAGTGAATAGCTTCAGGCTGCTAGTATGCATACTCAAAACTGGCTCCTGCATTGGACTCGGACGATTGCGACGCCTTCGGCCTAATTCTTTGCCATTGAACCGGTCGTCCTCCCAGCCCTAATGCATCTTTGCATCGGCGACATTTCTTATAGAGGATGACCAGACCGAGGCTGAGAAAGGCAACCACTTTCAAGCTGCGTAGGAAATCCAAATACGCATGCGCCCAGGACAGCGCCTTTGTTCATATAAAAGGACTTCAGAGTCTCTGTGTGAAAGTCGGAATGTGTCTCAGTTCTCCGAGCTTTAGTTGCGGCTATGACTATCTGAAGTTTCTATTCAACAGGTTCTCTAACTTTACTGTTTGTTATGTTCTCTTTCTCAGCCTAATTTAATAAATATGTAACTTTGAATCGATCGGCATTCTTACTCTCTTTCATCTACCTTCGTCGGATGTATCTTTGGCATTTGGAGGGCTCGATATATGTAAAGACACTTACGGACCACCACTCCAAAGAACAGTCCTGAGCATGTAAGCAATACTTTGTTGCTCCTTGAACCGTAAAGTTCTGAGGCTAAACCTAGCTACAGGGAGTCATCTGGTAGCAATGATCTGCTGGGGGTGGGAGCATGGGATTCTGGTGCAAAGCCCGCCCGCGCGAAGCATTCGTCACACAAACACACCAATGACAACAAAGCAAATTCAGGTGCGAAAGACGACAAAATGAGTGTCCCGCTCGCGCGTTGGGTGAACAACTCTCAAGATGAGCCCTGGAGCCACGTTGCCGGAGGCGGCAGGGGCAAGCCCACAGACGGCGCGGCAGAGAGAAACCCAGGCGCTTAGATATGACGGCGTCCTGTGAACAGAGTCTCCAGAAAAGCAGAGCAAGCCTCAAGTCGGATGAACACCTCACATGCAAGCATGGTGTTGGCTATTATTGGATGCGTTATTGAGTCCCGAGCTGGCACTCGGGACATTTTACTTGTACCAAGCTGTCTTTGCATGTGCAGCTGATAGGCTGTGCAAAATAATGAGATAGGCAACTCTTAACTTCAATTCCATCCAGAAGACAAGTGCTTCTATACCTCTTCTAAACCTCCCCTATTCAATGTTCCGCTTGTTAGTATCAGAACAACTATACTAAGAAGGCTTAAAGCAGCTATGCAATGTTAGATACAGACATCTTCAACGTATAGAGTCACATATTCCCATACCTAAACCCGCTAATACTGTGGTGTATATTGCGCCCCCAACTGTCATTGCCTCTTTGTCCTGCTGTCTTCGAGCTGGAGGTCGCGGAAGTGATGATGGCTGCTCTGTCGGAACCGGATTTCCTGAAGTTGTCATGCTAATCATGGACGGCTGTCTACTAATTGCAAGATCCACCGGTGACGCATTGGATAATCCTGTAGGCTCAGAGCTTGAAAAGGTTGTAGGAGATAATGCGGTCGATGTACAGAAACCTGTTGATAAAGTATTCGACCCAATTGTGCAAGGGTAAACAGAGATACCCAACGTTGTTGTCAGTATTTCCATGCTGAAATGGATAAAGATATAACAATGCAGGGCAAAGACTAGAGTACCATGTATCCAAGGTCAGCCGCTTGTGAGTTGGGGACTCTTGAAATGCTAGGTCCCTTTGTAAGGATTTCCTGTACTGATATGGCTTTGTAGCTCCTAGTTTTGTTGTCTCCTCGAAAGGTTACTACTAGATTTGCTTGCTATGTCATCTAGAGCTGACTTGTTTCAATTTGAACGAGTCTTTCTCTTTTGAGAGTTCTTAAACCTTGTTGCAGGCCTCGATTCATCTGTGTGCCTTCGATGACCGCATTGCTAACGATGGATACCACAGAAGCGGCTAGGGCGTGCTCTCTAATTACTGATATTAGGATAGGTTATCTTGGCAGAGATGGTCTTCGCGCGCACATTCGTTTCAACTCAGCGTATGAGGTCACTGGGCATCGTCGCTACGTCTTTGCCGCATCTAAGCCTCGGGACACAAGGCCCAGAACACATCGGACGAAGAGTTGATGATCCGTGCAGCAAAGCACTGAAGCTAGCCGAAGCTCTCTCAAATATCATTACCGCCACAAGCAGTCACTTCGTAGGCACACGATGTAGGTTTATTGCTAATTGTCAAGAAAAGAAGCAACTGAATATATGCGGACCATGTCGAATGTACTTCAGATAGATGAGTATGGACCAAAGAGGCCACCGCTGCGTCCGCAACAGCCGCGCCGGAGAACTACCGGAGGCGCCGCTGGACGAATTACACGCAACGCTTTCTCATACTTTTACACAACGCCAGACTTGGACCCCGATCGCTACAATCCTGATCGTCGTGGACGAACTTCTCGCGACACTTCGAGCATCAAGAGCACTTCAAGTGGCAAAGATTCCGAAAGCAATACGGAGGAATACAGTGCATTCCCAAAACTGCAGAAGCGACTACTTATAACATTAATCGCTTTCGCAGGGTCAATTTCCGGACTCTCATCCAACATATATTTCCCCTCGCAAAATGCTATCGCCAGGGTCCGTCTATGCTTCCTACAGTCGAAATCTTCTGTGCTAACAAATGCAGGATCTCAACGTTTCCATTCAACAAGTCAACCTCACGATCACATCTTACCTGGTCATCCAAGGCATTGCGCCGCTGATTTGGGGTCCATTGTCTGACACTATCGGGCGACGGCCGATCTACCTAGCGTCCTTCAGCATCTACGTGATATCGAACATAGCACTTAGCTTCACGCCAAACTACGCCGTCCTCGTGATCTTCAGGGCAGTGCAGGCCGCAGGCGCCGCATCGACGGCCAGCATCGGGAACGGCGTCCTCCAGGATATTTGTCCTATCTCGGAGCGAGGAGGCTACATAAGCTTCTACCAGGCCGTGCGGAACTTCGCGGTTGCCTTTGGCCCCGTCTTGGGCGGCATATTCGCGCAGTTCCTGGGGTTCCGCGCCATATTCATGTTCCTGCTCGGGCTCTCCGCGGCGATCACTATCCTCATCGCTATGTTCCTGCCCGAGACAATGCGCAGCCTGGCTGGGAATGGCTCATGGCGATTAAAGGGCCCGATCTACCAGTCGTTGTGGCGCATGATTCGACCACCCAAGTACATGCGAGACCCAGACGAGAAACCTAGCAGGAAGAAGGTTACACTGGCCACTTTTGGGGGTCCATTCAAGTTACTTGTTCGCAAGGAGGTTGCTTTCAATGTCTACTTTTTCGGCCTCATATACGCCGTGTGGAGCATGGTCACTTCGAGCACGACGAACCTGTTCGCTACTGATTTTGGCCTCAACGAGTTGCAGCTGGGACTTATATACCTGCCAAATGGTAGACATCTCATTTTCTTACCGTGAAAAGGCCACAGCTGACAACGCTCATAGGTATTGGCACCGTTGTTGGATCAGCAGTAATTGGGAAACTGTTGAACCGTGACTTTGCCGCCGCTTCACAGGCCTACAAGATGGCTCACGACTTGCCGGACTCTCACGAGCTCTCCCCTAAGAAGATTCCGGTCGACTTTCCGGTCGAGCGACTTCGCTTGCGCCGATTACCGTGGGCCTTGGCCCTATTCGTCTTCACCCTCGCTGGATACGGCTTCTCTTTATCTTTTCCCGCCGTGTATCGCCGACCCGGTTGGATCGCCCTACCACTGACGCTGCAGTTCCTTATTGCGGCTTCGGCAAATGCGATGTTCTCTATAAATCAGACCTTGGTGGCCGACCTCTGTCCCGGGAAAGGCGCGAGCAGCACCGGGATAAACAATCTGGTGCGGTGCACACTAGCTGCTGTCATGGTGGCGTTTGTCGAAGAGATGATTAATACATTAGGTGCAGGAGCAACGTATTTGGGATTAGCGTTTCTAGTTATAGCTTTTGCGCCACTGTTCATAGCTAATTGGCTTTGGGGCATGCAATGGCGATCATCTCGAGCACAAAAAGAGAATAAAGAAAAAGAATGGAATTGAGAGAGCATGTGCGTAGGTGCACAATGTAGCCATTAAGCAGCTGATTAGCGAATAGAAAATCTTCAACACTTATAATCCTTGATTCACTTTAAATCCCACGACTTTGCGTATTATTGTTTTGGCGGAGTCAATATCTGTTTGGGAAATTTTGAACAAAAGACCATCAATTCAAATTTTAACCTTTTCAGCGTCCCAAGTTGTCAAGCGACACATGCGCTGCTACTTTTCTGAGATAAATCTATTTTCTATCACAAGTCATTGGCTAGAGTCGAAAAATATAGATGATGATCAAATGACCTCTGGCCAGTTCTTGCTGCCCCAGACATGATCTGTAGAAGTGAAATGCAATTGTCTAATCCAACTGTCTACGCCACTCCCCACTTCCCACTCGAATTTTGGCTTGGAAAGCTTGTGATGCCGGGTATTTCATTTTTCTTGGCAGGACCTCCACTACCCGTCACAAAGTTTCGGGGCAATTAGATGGGGGGCAAGGGTCTATGTTCATAGGAACTTCATAGGAGCTGGTAATGTATCGCATTTCTCAACACCATTCACCAAACCCTGAATTTCAAGTTGGACCGATTATAGACACGCACATTTGCATGATGACCTGAGAGCCAAATACACGGTATTTATAAAGCTCTATATATGCTAGGTATAATCGGAAATTGAGATCAGGCGAACGAGACATTTACTGCCCGAGTCCAAACATCACTATGATACCGCTCCGCAAAACGAAGGGCCACCAGTGAACCTCCTTATAATTATGAGCAGCATTGGCACTAGTAAGAGGGAAGTGTTAGAAAATGCGTAACGAGCCAAGGAACATTCATGCGAGGTAAGCCCACTGTCACGGTGGCGCCGCTCAGAGTGCATCCGGAGGCGGTCTCGGTCGAGCCACAGCCTTGGCCACCACTGATAATGCCCTGGCAAACGGACTCGGGAGACTATGGTGTAGTGAATTGGTCAGTTCTGAAGCCCAAGGTTGGACACCGGGTGGGAAGGGCAACAAGGATTTCAAACGTACGCAACCTGTCTCCCGGGTTTGGCAGGCCGCCTGAGCGAGGCCGACGGCCAAAGCTGACACGAGAAGACCGGTGATAGAGAACTTCATGATTGCGATATTGTTTTTTTGCCGTGCTGTACAAGGGATATGGCGTGCGTGAGTGTGGGAGGAGTGATGAATAAGGTTTGAAGGATGATTCAATCGGCAATTATTATAGTTTTAGATCTGGTACATGCCGTATCGTTCGCCCCTATTTCGCATTTGCACGATAATCAAGAAGATGGATTTCTCGTAGAATGAGCGGTTCTTCAGTCGTCCGAATTCCCTGTTAACCCGCATTATTGCGAGTCAGCGGACCGAAGCGAAAACTCTCTTTTATTGCTGTGCCGAAGGGCTGAAACCGTTGGTTCTTTTTATGTGCTCGTAGTTTCGCCTCGTTCAGTCAATGGCCCCCACCAAAATCAGTCTCCTTACGGATGCCAATCAACAGCCATGGAATTGCTTTAAGTGATTGCCATACGTGCGCTGCTCATCAGGTTTGATCGGACCCGGTTGGCACATGTGGCAATGCTGCGTCGCATTGACAATACATCAGAGAGTCGCAAGTGGTGGACAGACGAGCTGTTACCGATGTGGTTAACCACTTATAATGTGGGAGGTAGGTAGGTTGAGCGCTGTTATGGGTTACGTGGAATGTCGATGATAATTAGAGACACGACTCATTCCGCAAAGAACCATGGTGGCTTGCCCACACAGCCAGGACTGATATGTGGGCCGGCTTGCGTGAGAGGGTGTAAGATGTACGCGCCTCGCGGAGAAAGATGCTGACCCGTCTGAAACGAGCAACAAACCCCCATTGGATAGCTATGCAGGTGAAGTAGCCAGAAAAGCTCCAGACTTCAAATAACAGCACGACTTTTCGTCTTGAACTCCAGGGCCACATCTTTGCGCTGAGATGTAGAAGTAGCGCTGCTTAAGACCTCCTCCGACCATTGGGGTTTAGTGACATCCGGTCCATAGAAATACGAATTGAGCGCCAAATGCATAGATTGAAGGTTATTTTGTTGGTAAATAACGCAGCCCACACAACATATAATCAAACCTTGGGATGCTCTCGGTCACTCAGTACTGAGGTACAAACTATTGCTCTGTCTGACCTTGATTAAATTCAAACACGACTTTAGAACATCCGGAATTCCATACGGTGATCCGATATTCGGCGGGAGAGGTCTTCCGCCAACTGATGACCATATCATATACAATCCAGAGCTGCCCACAATGTGTCACTAGTACTTTCAGGCGTGGACGTCGGCTCGACACGTGCTTTTAATACTGTTTCATGTGCTATTAAGTGATGGAGAGCAGATCAAAGCATGTGAAAGCGCTATATTGATTGCTCCGGTATTTATGTTGTCAAAGTTGTGCCTCCAAACCAGTCCCTGTAATCAGCTGCTCTGTCTACTTCGGTCTTCTTGCTGTACATCATAGCACAATGCAGACATGTCTTGCTCAACGCACAGGGACTTGGGGAGACTTGTGTGCAATAAAAAGGTCGCCAGAAGATTGAACGCCAGCTAATATCGCACCCAAAGACGTATGATCATTCATAACATTGGCGAGCGCTCAAAAATACTTTTAGCATGCTAGCGCTCGCCTCTCGGACAGTCTTGACTTAAACTTGTGTAGACCCACGTAACTCATAATTTGAAGTCCTCTATGCGTTTTCAACACCACCTCACTCGATCTCAAGTTCTACATGTTGGAAACGTCTCGGCACTGGCGACAGAATGCCACGACCGTTGTTGCGGGCCCCACTGAAGCCCCTTTTCAAAATCTTGGCTTCGCACCTCCGCTCGGATCTAACGTTTCTCGTGATAAGTTTGTAGCTCGATGCTCGCACAATATTGAGCATTTTATCATGCTGCTTGTTTGGAATAGGTTGAGGGACAACGTCAAACGGTAGATCTCGATGCCATCGCTCAGGGAACTCGGGGTCAGGGAGGTGACGTGAAATTGTGGAGCTGAGAAACTCGCTTGCACTGATGACGGTATGTTAGGACAAGTTCACTCAGCGACGACAGGAATGAGAAAATGTTCAAACCGGGGCGGCGGCCAGCCATTAGCTCCTCGGAGTCAATGAGGCAAACAAGGAGTGAGTATACGACCAAATAATCTTGGATGTTTAGATCGGAGGTACCCAAATCTTGCACTGTTGTTGTAAATGGTCATCTGCAGCCATAATGTAGAATTGCTGACGACGGCATGTTATGCAGGCCACATATTATACCATACCAACTGGCATTGGCTGGGTGTATAGGACTGAGTATCAACACCATTGCTGATCACATTCTTCTGTGGCTCGACCCCATATCTACCAGCTTGCTAAAGGTGATGCCAAGGAGAGGTTTGCCTTTTGGAGGGGTCTAAGTACCGTAGGGATCATTTCTGAGGTCCTTTGGGGATGACTTGTGCTTTCTATGATTGCGCATAACCTTTTAATTACTGACATAGACCTAGAGCTTATGCTTTCAATCATGTGGTAGAAATCTTGCTTCAGTTGCCATTGATTCACGAAGCTACGTGAGGACGGAAGACGCAGAGACAACGGGGTTCACATGAAAGAATGATAGGACATGTTGATCCGTTGTATATCATTATAAAGTCGCTATATTCTCGGCGCCCGGTTGCCGAATGCAAGGTCCGGAACTTCTCGTTCTATACACACTTCAGACAGACCACAGCTTAATCGAGTGTACCAAACAGCTGTTTTTCAAGCTTGCTCAGCATCTTCCTGCTCTTTGGCGAACTTCCAATATTTCAGGACAGCGTGCCTTGCTGATGATGCTCCCATCTAGAATGTTGTGAAGATGTTATGATGCGCTCATACATCATGGGTCCAGGACACCGTGTTGTCAATGGCCCATTTGTGGATGGCGTCAAAGTTCCGGCACGTGTGCAGCGTGCTGAAGTCGGGCCAGAAGTCTCCGTCCTCGTAGCCGTACTCTGGGTACTCGCGGAAGGTGAATATGCCAATGTCAGAGGTGCACATCAGGTTGATTCGGATGGCCTCGAGACAGTGATCTAGTAGGAAGCGATGTCAGTACTGGGTGTTCTCCTCGGGCGTGCGACACATTCACTCACCGACATGGCCCTTGAGCCCATCCTCCTCTTCCTGGATGTCACTGTAGATGTTGACGTAATATTCTTTGTATACATATTGCCTCAGTAGGTTGAGGCAGTGCAGTTGGTGGAACACTTCGACCGCAGCGCGGTAACCCTCCTTGCCTGTCTTCGGGTCCGTCACTTTGAGCGAGTTCCTGGGCAGTCCTAGCCTGTCCAGCTCGGCTTCTGATATCATTTGGTCGCCCACTGTAAAACAAGCTTAGCATGTAGCTTCAATTGGGGCCTGAAGGATGTCTCTACTCACTGTCGTTGGCGATGGAGTCCCATGCTTCATCGACCTTGGGACCATACCCAACAAATGGACCCTCCACCATAGGTGTGAGGTTGAATCTGACAGTGTCGTATTTCACGGTCGAGGCCACCGGTGCTGGTCTAAATTAGTACAGACTGCCAATATAAGAATATGAGGATGTTTGATCGGTGCCTACAATAAGACGAGAACTGTTGTGTGACCTGCAGGTCGGATGGCCTCGCCGTCCTGTTGCAGAAGGACAGCGTAAACAAAGTCATCGACAGGGTGAGCAGGATGGCGTGTCCTATCCAGGCCCAGTGCTTGGAGACGAATTCCGATGCTCGTGTCCTGGCATTTCTTCCGAATTTGTCGTCTCCTAACCTCCTGAGTGCTATCCTATCCTTCTCGTATATTGTGGACTCGGAGCTGCTTCGACTCTGTTCCTCATCTAGAGGGACAGCTTGGTAGTCCTTCGCCATTGGGGAGAGTAGAGGGTATTCACACGCAGAGTATGTTAGGAATCTGAATGATGAGGGCATGCCAGCTGCTCGGACAAGCAGATTAGAAGTGAATGAGGAGGGAAGAGATGGAGGAAACACCAGGCTTCCTAGAAGGCCGAACGTCAGGAGGGATTGTTGGGACTTGGCTACCGTCCAAAGATTCTTGAGGCGAAGATCATACGGCTAGACTTGCTTCAGATCGCTTCGTCCTGCCACGTCAATGAGGCCAAGCCTTCAAGAGTGTATGATCAACGTGAATGACGGGAAATCAATGATGGTTGTTTCTCAGTGAGAGAATGTTCGCTCGGTAAAAACGGCACCAGTGCAACGGTAATGGGAAACAAAAAGAAATGGGAGCGGCGTAGGCCATTACAAACCATTATGCCAGAAAGCAGGCACATAGGCCCCTTTGAGGTTGAGACGTCTGATGTTGGCGGCGACATGGGATGAGACAATGTTCAGGGCCAGGGTGTGTTTGAGAGGGGAGGAAGTGGACAGGACGAGCAGGTGGCCGCTCGGTCTCGAGTTCTCGAGTTAGCTCCTCGCTTGGTCGCGTGGCAGGCCCTTAGCGAGGGGAACTGGTGGGTTTGGGGGCCCCACAAAAGCCTTCATGACGGGCATTAAAGTTGGTGTGTGTGGGAGTGAGAGGCAGAGAGACAGTGATGGTTCCGGCATTTGGGCGGCTCTAAACCCAACTCTAACTCGGGTGAGATGCGTGCAATGCAGTCAAGTTGATTGTAAAATGCCCGAATGGAGCGGGCTGAGTGGCACCATGACCAAGAATGGTCTCGAGCCTATGCAGTCCCAGGGTTCGCAGCCAAGCCGCTGTCGTGGGAAGTTTGAGCATGGGTTCGACTCCAAAATGGGCGACCTGTTAGAAGCACTAGGCGTTTCACCTGGGCAGACTTGGCTCGGACCCTGCCAAAGACGTCAACCGCACCCCCTCCCCGTCCCCCCCTCGCCCTTCGATCTTCCGCTGGGGTTCGTCAGCCATGCCGCCTCTACTGTTACGCTGCTCTAAAGTACGGCTTGCCTTCCCCACAGTGACCACGGTACTGATTGGTGTCTCGGGATGAAAAGGCGCCAAAAGTTGCAGTTTCAGCCGCATCCCAACCTCGAACACTCGCAACGGCAGGTTGTGCCCAGGGCGGCTAAGACTTGATGGACATGATCCACTGAATGCCAGTGTGAATCATGTTCACCTTGGATCTGGCTTGGCCTTGCCAGGAAAATGATGGGCGCCCACCGCTGATCTGGGGTACTGGCGAAATCGCGCATCTCATTTGCGAGATGTGTGAGATCTGAACCTGACACAACATTAGCCGTACCACTCAGCGCCTCCATCCATCCCTGACGCTGCTCCTCGTGAGTTTGATGGAGCCGCAAAGCTTGGCTCCTGCAAGCTTCGAACCTTGTTGTCGACCACGGACTGCCCGACCACTCCCAGGCCGACCTGTTCGCTCGCTGGCTGGCTGGCTGGCTGGCTGGCCTGCACAACACGTACCCACACACGCATCCACATATTATGCTTAAGGGGTTCCTACAGCATCGACTTGGACACGGCCATGGACATGGGCCGGCCTGGCGCCCTCATCCCTGCCAGCCCGAGAATACAGCAAGTAGTGTTACGGTACATGGGCAGCGTCGTGAGTCTGCCGTCAGGCATCGCACTCGGTCCTTCTAACTCGCTTGTGGATCGTGGAAGAATATTCGACCTTGAAGCCGGCCTGCAGACTTCGTCCCATCCCCTTGGTCCCAGCATCTGGTCCACGATCCAGAGGCAGGGACCAGGCCCGGCCGAGACACCCCAGCCTCGCTCGCTTTCATCACCTTGCTAACCGCTTGTGGTGGCGATCGAGAGGCGCCCTGGATGAGACCTCCCGCACGCGTTGCTCCACTGCCGTCATTGCCGTGTGCCTGGGAGTCAGTAGCCATCATGAGACGTGACTCTCAGACACCTGGCTTGCGCAGATCAGGTTTGACATTGTCGCTTTCGTCCCAACTCCTGATGATTTCGTCCAGGGACGAGGTCTAGGGCTGTTGGTCTCGTTCATCTTCGTCTTGTCCATCGGCTAAACGGCCAGCCTCACTCACTAGGGCACCAGTCCCTACGGAGTTGAGTTCAGGAGTTCCCAACGGGGTAGACCAAGTGGCCACCTTCGTATATAATACCTCAAAACCTGCTCACTCCCCAAACCTGCTCACGCCACTCTTCCAATTCTGCAGTTGAGCTCATTTCCTTCTTGGCATCGTCTCATTCCTTCTCCTTACACCAACTCTAAGTCACTCTTTGACCCGCTGCCGGCCAGCTTTGATAGTACGATTTCTCAGGCAGGAACATACGACGCCATAATGCACGCCCCATCAGTCATCAGCCTCCTGGTCTCTGGCCTCGCCGCGTCCTCGGTCGCCGGCTTCGAGCTCAACGCCCCAGGAGTTTCCCTGTCTCGCCGCAGCGTCGCCCTCGTCGCTGCTGCTGTTGGGCCCGCTCTTGCGCTCCCCGCTGACATCTCCATCGAGGCCCGTCACCGTAAGTGCTTCAACCCACAATTCTGTGGAGCAGCCGTATACTGACAAGTTTCTAGACCAGGGTAAGGGCAAGAAGAAGAACAAGGCGGCGGCTGCTGCTGCCAAGCGCCAGGAGGATGAGGACGAGGATGAGGATGAGCTCGAGGAGCGCAGCCTTGAGGCCCGTCACCACCAGGGCAAGGGCAAGAAGAAGAACAAGGCCGCTGCTGCTGCCGCTGCCAAGCGCCAGGAGGATGACGAGGATGAGGAGGACGACCTAGAGGAGCGCAGCCTCGAGGCCCGTCACCACCAGGGCAAGGGCAAGAAGAAGAACAAGGCCGCCGCCGCTGCCCGTGACGTCGAGGAGCTCGAGTCTCGCGAGCCCCACCACCAGGGCAAGGGCAAGAAGAAGAACAAGGCCGCCGCTGCCGCTCGCGATGTTGAGGAGCAGCTCGAGACCCGCGAGCCCCACCACCAGGGCAAGGGCAAGAAGAAGAACAAGGCTGCTGCTGCTGCCGCCCGCGACGTCGAGGAGACCGAGCAGCTCGAGACCCGTGAGCCCCACCACCAGGGCAAGGGCAAGAAGAAGAACAAGGCCGCTGCTGCTGCCCGTGACGTCGAGGAGACCGAGCAACTTGAGACTCGCGAGCCCCACCACCAGGGTAAGGGCAAGAAGAAGAACAAGGCTGCCGCCGCCGCCGCTCGTGACGTCGAGACCACTGAGCAGCTCGAGACCCGTGAGCCTCACCACCAGGGCAAGGGCAAGAAGAAGAACAAGGCTGCTGCCGCCGCCCGTGATGTTGAGGAGCAGCTCGAGACCCGCGAGCCTCACCACCAGGGCAAGGGCAAGAAGAAGAACAAGGCCGCTGCCGCTGCCGCCGCCGCTAACTAAATCCTTCACGCCTGACTTCTTTTACTACCTTGGGTCGCTTGGAACACCGGGAGCGATACAAGAAGAGGCCACAATCTGACAATACGGCGGCTTCTCATTCTTGGATGGGTCGTTCCAATGCCACTTTCTATTACACTACGTTCGAAATAGTTCTGCTCGACGATACTGTGTGCTGTTAATGGATGTGTTTTGAAGCACATGGTCGTCCGTGAGCTGTGCTACGAATTGCGGATACTAGACCCGAGAAACTACAAATGTAACGAATATTATTGACCGAATCTGTGCTTCCCTTTCCATCGTGAGATCCAATGGTGCAATTGGCATATTAGCACGCAATTTCGTAAGGAAGATTCGCCTTCGAAGTCCAAACTATCACCAGACGTCGTCGTGTAAGTCAAGCCCCACAAACAGGGATCCTCTCCTAAACAAATTTTAATCGCTGCCGCTCATCACACGCAGACGGCTCTCGGCATGTTCTGGAAAATGAGCTTAATGGTCACGGCAACCAGCATGTCTTGCACAAGCCTCTCTTGCCGCTCATCAATGCTGGGCAGTACCAGGCTCTGTAACCCCCCTTTACGCAGAGAGGGATCCCCGGATTGACCTCAGGCCCCCCTCGGGGTCTGCCGAAACACGCTCAATGCGACGGGGATGTCGTACCGGGCCCCAAATTCAGACCCGACAGGCCCGGCTAAACTCCGAGACGGTTATACTGGCGAGGTGCATTGATGTTGCCATTTTGCTTATGTGAAGTAATGCGCTGTCCGAGCCGGAGTACCGCCAGGCTGTCGTGTCGGCATGGACGCGAGAGCAGCCGTGACGGCTGTCTGCTACGCAAGCACACTTTGCATCAGCACGAACAAGCTTCTTCTGGCAGATACGCGTTACACCACCAATGTCGCCACGCACCACCCTCGACCAGCCCGGTCCGATGATCCAGTCCACCCGCCACGCACCACCTCGAGGAACTAAACTTCGCCCTGGGGCCGGACGAGCACTCAAGGCTGACCTCAGCCCTGCCAGGCGCTCAGACGTAGACGAGACTCCTTGGGGACAAGCGCAGCGACCACAATAATCACCACCACCACCCCCGACAGCCCTGCTGGTGAGGTCTTGTCCTCCCATCTTCTCTAACGGGTTCATGACACGGACGCGGCCCCTCAGAAACGCTGCCGAGCCACGGTCGGTGGTGCACGTCGAGGCACGACCGGAATTCCGCTCCTGCTCGGGATTGGGGAGCATATGGGCAGGTAGGGCTGAGGTCGCTTGACCATCTCCTCTAGGTGCAGCGTTTCGTCCGATTTTCGAAGGGCGACGTATTGGTAGGGTTTGGACCGTCCAGAGAGGACCGCAGTGTTAATGGGCTTGCTACCGTGAATATCAGATGGAAATTGGAGAGGCGCGATTGGTGAGGGTGGTCGCCTCGGAGCGGAGAGCCCTCTTAGACTGCGTCATGCTTCCACACGAAACAATTTCTACCCGCGGGACAATTATCCGTGCACAGCGCTTCTGGTGTTTGTCTGAACGTCTTCCCTATAGTTTCCTCTCCCAGGCTACCTTCTATTGAATCACCACAAATCAGATACTGGGTGCTGCCATTGAGGATCCTCCTCCGGCGGGAAACCACGGCGATCACCCGTCCCGTGGGCTAGCATACTGCGCCAAGGTGATCCTCCAAGATTGACTCGCTTCTTATGCCCAAAGATAAATCTGTACTGCCATGTGACTACCAAGTCTCACCGCAATTGAGTACGTCGGGATGAGGCTGAAGTTCTTGACTCGAGTGCGGCAGCCAAGTCAAAGCCGCCCCCGGAGCCGGAGGGATGCGATTAAGGTTCCGGGAGCCCATCATGCTCAAATCCGCCTTCAAAGGCCATCACTGGTCATCAATAACGAACCTGACCGAGTCAATAAGTCCCAATTATTGACGGGATCAACTCTGGCCTCGGAATCGCATCGGCTCGGGCCTCGGAACTGCCTCAATGTCAGCCGTAGCCCTGGGTGAGCTTCCGGGGGGGTCGAAATTCGCCAGGTTCTGCCCGGAAGCATCACAGAGAGTGGTGCACAGCCAACGTTGCAATCTTCTTCGGCGTGACCTTTCTTGTTACCGACCACCAGATCGAGACGGCACCAGCCGCCCTTGAACATATAACAGTGGTCCAGCTAGTGGCCGGTCTTTCTCTGCCGGCCGTTCTCCCGGTCCGATACGTAGTCCGACGGCCACAATCTTGTGAGTCGCAGGAATCTTTATGCCGTAATCTACAATGACATCGCCTGCCGTCATTCTCCAAAGGACAGACTACAGTCGTTCTTCTTCGTCCCCACGGACGTTGAAGGTGGCGATGATGTGCAGCGCAAGCCTCGCATCAAGCACCACTCCGCTCTAGCACTCCAGGCAGAGATCAGATACTCATGGGCGGAGGATGAGCATGTCAACGGACCTCTCCTTCGCAAAAGATGTCCGAGTAGGTCCATATTTGTGGGCCCCCGGGAGCCCTGACTTGCATGCTCAAGGACGGGAGATACTGACCCTCGCCGCGTAAGCAAGATCCAAACGACGCATAGCTTTGTATGACAGACAAGCCTGGTAATTACGGGCGATTATTGCCAGCCGTGGATAATCTGGATACAATACGACGACGTCTGTGACGGTGAGGCCGTCGGCAGGCCGGGTGGGACGGCAGCTCTGGGATCCGGCGCATATACGCACGCAACTTCAGTAGCTTTGCGCGAACCCGTGAGTTCTGCTGATGCATGTACTTTGGGTGTATGCATGCATGTTACGTGGCGGATGGGACGAAGTTGTCTGGGTGGGATTGGTCTTCTTGAGGAGCTCGGAGTCCCGAGCTGTCCGCATCGACTTCCAGAAGGTTTGCCTAGTAGTCTACTGCGGATCTGGAGCAACCTGGGGAGCATTTGCCAGGCCCGGTAGCTTGGGGCAGGGTAGCATCAACGAGGAGGAGCATTGGCGAATGGGGTCGGCAGGATTTATCTGATTGGGAAAGGGAGTGTGGCGATCATTTCAGGAACAGACCAGAGCTGTCGAAGCTGTCGAAGCTGCCACTCAGAACCTTCTTCAAGCTAGGGCCGGGCCCAGCAGGCCGGAGAGGGAGCGACTGGAGATTGGCGCGCTGGCAATTGGCAGCGAACAGCGAGAGGATCTAGTGTAGAATGAGACCACTTTCTAGCATCGCTCCCGCCAGCTTCCGAACGGCGCCACAGCAGGCCAGGGACGAATGAAAAGCCAGCGAGGAGGGCAGATACTCCACCCGTCGCGCAACTCGCTGGCGTAGTTGCACGACTGACAGCAGACGGTCATGTCAGACGCATGTCTTTGCCCGATCCGGGCCCAGTTCGCGTGGTTTAAGCGGTCGACGGTGGGAGCCATCCATCTAACATCGTACTATGATTGCCAGGGGTGCGCGAGCTGCGGGTGGGGACCTCTGTGCTGGTTTGCTGGTTTGCTGTTTTGCTGGGCGACCGCGACTCGAATCGAATCGGAATCTGGGTTGACGCAGGCAGGGTAGCTCACTAAACTCTAAATAAATATCAGAACAGACGGCCCTCGCATACTGCATTCCTCTCAGATCACAAGATCCTGTGTTTGCCACCGACTTGTGTGAGACCTGAGACCCTCCCTGCCTGCAAATTTCCTTGCTTCGGCTCTTCGCTTGGGAGGTACGACAAACCGGGTGGTGTTGCTTTCCGCGGTCGTGCATCGTCGACCACGACAAGGTTAACCCCTTGTTTGTTTCCCATTTTCCTGATGAGCGGCAGCTTGTCCTCGACTGGATCGACAGCTTACAGAAAATCCAAAGGGAATCTCGTCGGCCCGGAATTTGTGAATCCAGGAATTCTGCCGCGCGAAAATTGCAATTGCAATTCCCATCCCATCCCATCCCCGGAACGAAAGCTGTTTCTGGGCCCATAGTCACCTGGGCTCGTGTTGGCAGTTTTTGTACTTGACGGTACACAACAGCGTAGAAGAAGGCGGAAGCACCCCTTGGGACACTCAGTTACTTCTTTCCATTCAATCTGCCTCATACGCCTCGTCTCGTTGACGTCGGCAAGGTGCCCCGCGACACACTCACCTTCCCGCAACCCAGTACGCCCTTCGCAGAGGGCAAAAGGAGCTGTCATCCACAAGAAGCGACACTACGACCACTCATCACAATGGATATCGTTCTCGAAGTCGCAGACACCCTTTTTGGGGACTACTTATACGCGAGATTCCACCCAATCCAGCCTGCACCATATGACTTCCCGCACCCTCCATCCAACGACACCGTCAACGACCGGGCGTTCTCAGCATGGACTTACAAGCCAGCAACACACTATTTCTCCCTTGAGCCGTCACAATATGCCTACATGAGCCAATGGCCGCGTGATAACATCTATCGTCAGGCCTTGTCTCTGTTCCTCATTGTCTGGTGAGCACCCTCCCAAATCAACTTATATCTGGAGAGCCTGCAGGTTAACACGTAATTTACAGGTTGTTCGGCCTGGTCGTATACTTTATATTCGCCACGCTATCATATGTCTTCGTTTTCGACAAGAAGACCAAGGAGCACCCAAAGTACCTAAAGAACCAGATCGCCCTTGAGATCAAGACGACCATGACCTCGATGCCCTTCATGTCCATCTGCACCGTACCCTTCATGCTGGCCGAGGTGCGCGGCCACAGCAAGCTCTACGACGCGATGGCCGAGGCACCTTTCCCCGCCTACAGCTGGGTGCAGTTCCCCTTCTTCGTCATGTTCACCGACTTCTGCATCTACTGGATCCACCGCTGGCTGCACCACCCGCTCATCTACAAGAACCTGCACAAGCCGCACCACAAGTGGATCATGCCGACGCCCTTCGCCTCGCACGCCTTCCACCCGCTCGACGGCTTCGCCCAGTCCTTCCCCTACCACGTCTTCCCCTTCTTCTTCCCGCTGCAGAAGGTCTCGTACGTCTTCCTCTTCGTCTTCGTCAACTTCTGGACCATCATCATCCACGACGGCGAGTTCGTCTCCGACAACCCCGTCGTCAACGGCGCCGCCTGCCACAGCATCCACCACCTCGCCTTCAACTACAACTACGGCCAGTACACCACCCTGTGGGACCGCATGGGCGGCTCCTACCGCAAGCCAGACCCTAGTATGTTCGACAAGCAGGAGAACATGTCCCAAGCCCAGTGGGAGAAGCAGAGCAGGGAGATGGAGAAGATGGTCAAGCAGGTCGAGGGCGTTGATGATAGGTCGTACCTGCCCGAGGCCAAGAAGACCAAATAAGGCACACCAGGGAAAGTGCTTCCAGAGGCATGGGCCTCCTGTAACGAAACCCTGTCGGTCCACGGACTGACAGACATGATCATTCTCGCATCCCCTCTGGATTAAAATAATGGTGTGAAAAGAATGGAGACGAGATTCTTGTATATATTTCTGGCTCCCGCCCAAATTATAGGGCTACATGTCATAGGAAGGGATGGCTGCTATGGCTAGGAGGTCTTCAATGACTATGCCACCGCTATCACAGACCAGTCCGATACCTCTACCTCATTTTTGGAGGAGGAATCGGGAACATACCTATTTTAATAATATGAAAATGATACGAACAACATGTCCAATACATTCTGACTCTCCATGGGTTTGAAGTAATCCGACGTCTTGGATTGGCCATGAAAAAAGCTGCTTAAAACTGTGAGAATGCAACTGCGGAGGGCATACGCAAAGTTGAAGCAACCTTATCACACGAGCGTCCCGACGGTTTTTCTGGATGTTTCCTCGTGCAGGTGGGCTTTTGGCTAGGATCCACGATGACAAGTCAATGTATGCCTGTCCCAGCATACTTGGTTCTCTGCTCCTGGTACAATTCTTGAGTCCTATGAGCAAAGGGTTCTACTGCCCTTACACCATCTACTTTTCAGCCCACACGTACCCAGCATGCGAAGAGGGTTCAGATGTTCGAAAATGTCAAACCTGACGCAAGTCTCCACGCTGCTTGATGACAGACTGATACGCAGACAGCCTGGCCTATCTCATTGATACCCCCATGCAAGCTCCAGATCCTCCAACAGCTTCAAACGCAGCCCTGTGACCATCTAGAAGGGGCGAGGACGTTCACAAAAGTAATCGTGCAAGACAACGCGAGAGATGCCTTTATTGACGCCTGGTAAAGAGAAATACATAGACGATATCACTGGCTCCAAAAAAGAGCAAAAGCATCAGTAGCTGCAGCAGGTCTTGATCCTGCGACCTCCAGTTGATCAGACTGGCGCCTGGGAAGATTCATTAGTATCCTGCCTGTTGTTTATTGCGATTAGGTTGACTCACTCTCCACTGAGCTATACAGCTGACTTGGTGTATGTTTTGGTTGATTTGGGGTGCTTTTGTGGCTGTGTTGTCTGAATTGGTTCGGCTGTCATATGTGCCTTGAGTCGCAGTAGCGGATGGGCATGACATGAACATGCGAGAATGCCTGCATAAGATACCGACTACACGCCTCGATCATAACCTGCTCTATGTCTCCCCTCGTCCAGACGAACTCACGTAGCGAGTCCTCCACTTCTCCGGCAACCGCGTGCCCATTTGCAACTCCCACAACTTCTGATCGAACCCCCCGGCCATGAGAGCCTCGTCGTCGCCGGCGTACTTGAACGTCATGCCATCCCCGTGTGCTGGTTCTCGGCCGTCCGCGAATTGCATCTGGCATGGAGCCACCTCGTAGGCACTGGGCTCGTAACGCGCGAGCTTGCGCTCGTCCTCGGGCGACTGGGCGACGTAGGCGTGGCCCGTCACTTCCTGGCCGGGCTTTCCGTCCACTAGCATGCGGTACTGGCCCCAGTCTGTGAGTGCGTAGCCGGTGATCTTTGCTGGCCGCAGAACGGGCTCTTCCTGGAGGTCGAGGATGTGCTTGAGAATATCGGGTTGGGTGAGGGTGCCATAGAAGAAGTAGTATTTTGGTTTGTAAGGCTCTTCCACCAGTGCCTTTCCTATGCACCAACTGGGATTGCCATCTGCTGGCATCGGTGTAAGGCTATGATGATATGCAGGAGTTTCAACCGCTTGTTTACTCTTGGCTGTGATGGTGTGAGGAGCAGGAGGAAGCGGGGGCGCTGAGGGCGGTGATTTGTGCTCACCGGCGTCCATCTTGGCGATTGATTATTGGTTGGGACAAGCTAAGGATGTGGTCATGCCTTGTGCTGAGAGTTGGTAGATGATATGAAATTCAAGGTCGAGTGACAGATTGCAACCGGGGGGGGGGATCGCTGTGTTGGTCTTCGCTCGTGGCTTGAGACGTTGTAGCCTGAGTCCCACCCACAGCTCCTCGCCTAGATAGATTCCGGTTGGCTGGCGCAGTTTAGAGCCTCTCTCTTTCGATTTTGGGGCTATGAAAGGAAAATGCTGCTCTTTAAAGAACCAGTTGCAAAGTGCAGAACAGTTCCAGAGAATCATTCACCGACAACTCACATATAACACGCCTTGGCACAATCGTGAGGCCACGAGAAAAGATGCCAAAAGGATTTGAGCATCTTAGTAGGTAAAATTGAGAGACGAAAGACAACTGCAATGATTGCTCGAACGTCAACCAAGAATCTTGCAACAGAAGAAAAGTTAAATATAGGAAATCCGGCGTCTGCCTCGCACAATGTGCATTACCATCTCCCTATCCGGGAATCAAGGGCTGAAAATGAATTTGCCAAACCAAATCAGGCCGCCCATACGAGTCGAACCATACGGTATACCAATCCGTCAAACGCCGTCGCAAAGCTGCCGGTCAAAAAGAAGATACCAAAGTAGAGGGCTTGAGCAGTGATCATTGCTTCCCGATCCTCCCACGGCCGAATCCATTCATCCTTTCCACACGAATACCCATCCCTCAAGAAAAGCTCACGAACTTGGGATCCTTGGGTCGCCCGTCCGCCCCAATACCATTATCGCGGAAGCGGTTCTCCATGTAGACCTTCCTGGCCTGGTCGAACTTCATCCTGCGCTTCTTCATGATCTTGAGTATCTCCTGCTTCGCCGCGTCGTCCAGACCCGCACGGCCGTCACCATCCGCCACGTTTCCAGAGAGATCAAATGTTGTCGAAGATAGACCGGCCTCGATGTCGCCGGCAAATGAGCCGGGCAACCGGCTGTAGAGGTAGTTGCTACCGGGGAGGCGGATTTCGGAGACGAGGTGTGACCACCGGTCCCGTGTGAGGTACAAGGCGGTTACGGAGACGAGGAAGAGAAACACGGTAGAATATAGAACGTATGCCATGGTCGCGGAGGATGAGTATGTGATGGATCTGGGGTCGGAGATCGCTGGGTTGGCTTCGAATTATGCGGAACGTTTAGTTAGGCTTCGAGTGACGTCTCGGGTCGGTCGGGTGACTGAAGCGCTGATGAAAAGGGCGAATTGTTGGTTGATTGAAATGAAAAACACAAAGGAGAAGTATTGTTTGATTTCTGTGAATTAGAGACGCTATGCCTCGGATTTCATTTCCATGTCCGGAGAGCGAAGCCTCCAAAGGTGCATGATGAAGACGCGAAGGCGCAGGGACGAAGGAAGAGTCGGTTGGTTACAGAGTCTCAGTCGCAAAGTTCCAGCGGCCCGAGGCTGACGCAACCAACCAACCTATCGCGTATCACACGCGGCCGCTAAATTGGACATTTGGCAACCCCCTCTCTGCTTTGCAGGGGGGAGGGTGCCAAGGGGGGGGTGGTTCCTCCAGAAGTTGGCATTCATCCAAACCCTCTGGTCCATTATGTAAGCGGCTCCCACAGAAAGAATCTCCTAAGCAAAATATCACCGACACCACCACGCTGTAGCGACGACAACGAGATCAGCCAACCGCCCTTTGACGCCTACTTCCTTTACGAGCTCACCAACTCTCACCACAGAACCGTCAAGATGTCTCTTCCTAACGTCTCCGCCGATCTCGTCTGGGAGATCACCCGTACGTGTCACCGAGCCAGCCAGTTTGGGCAGAAAGAAAATGCACAAGCAGAGACACCACTCAGAGCGCGGCGCCTAACATTGTGTCATAGGCAACAACAACTCCTACCTGGTCAAGCGCAACACAGGAGGTGGTGTTCAGTTCTCCCGCGACCCTCTCAACCTGTTGAACAAGAACAGCCGCAAGGTACGAATGACCTGATGGGAGATCTCGCTGGCCCAGGGCATAGGGCAACCGCGGGCAATTGGCCACTCACCGGACGATGGAGGCTAATTAATTGGTCCACAGCACGCCGGCTACGTCAACGAGAAGGCCGTCGGTATCTCTGCTGAGGGTGACAAGGGCGTCCACGTCGTCTCCAAGACCAAGACTTCCAGCCAGCCCGCAAAGAACGCCCACAAGCGCACCTTCGGCTCGCACAACCGCAAGTACGTCTACAACATCTACGAACCTTGACGGTCGTCTCTCAAGTCTAGCGCCGGGCAGTCCACAGCTAACGAGATCTCTCCCCACACAGGACCTTCAAGAACATTGCTTCTTCCACCGCCAAGTCCGGCTACCGCCCCGATCTCCGTGAAGCCGCCATTGCCCGTGCCTCTGCCATCCGCCGATCCCAGCGACCTGTCAAGCCCGAGCCCGAGAGGAAGCTGCGTGGCAACGCCGCCAAGAAGGCTGCTCAGGAGTAAATTCCACCGAGTAGTATTGGGGAAGACATGCTGGACTGTTGACGGCCAACGAGCCTGAACAACCTTTAGACGTGGCCATGGCATCGCGTCTGAATTGAGGACTACTTGGGTCTCGAAAGAGCCAACGTGGTATGGTCTGGCGGGATATGCGGCATATTGGTATCATTACAAGGAGTCAACGGTGAATGGTCAATGCGAATGATTGAAATCCACACGGTCTGGTCTCCTGGATTGATGCAGTCTGGCAGGCTGCAAGGCTGGAGTGGCAGGAGTATTGCTTCTCAGGCAAAGGGCCCAGGGCTCCGTATCAAAATAAAGTGACAAGACAAAAGCCCGACCAAGCGGTACTCTGTTCATTGGCCTAAGCAATGTGCTTGTTGTTCCGAAGAGCCTCCGAGGCTCGTGCTTCACAAGCCTGCGTGTTCCAGCTGTCAGCGTGAGCGAGCCGACCCACAGGGAACCACAGGGAAATGCCGCACGTGGCTGTCCACTAACATGCCTCGTGCTCTGACATCCCGCGCAATTGACGCCATTTCAATCAAAATGGGCAACTTGAACATAGATGGCAATTATCGGAGATCAGAGATACCGAACATGCCCGAAGTTCAACACAGTAGCCGAGCCTGAGCCTCGGGACAGCTCCCGCTAGGTAATGGAACCTTGGAACCTTATCGTTTTCTAGGCTTGGTTGTGACTGTAGCTTCAACACATGTGGACTGCTTGCCTTGTTCACATGGCTGGGATGTATCAGAGAGTCATGCAAAGCTCCAGTTCGAAGCTGGACCCTATCGCGTTTGAGCCCAAAATATCGTGAAGATAGGTATCAGATAACAGCCGCCAATATTGCGGGTTTTTCTTCTCTCGGTGCCCGGAGAGACTTAAATATGGAGAGCGAGCTCTGTTGAAACCTTGCCCAGCTGGTCCTGTGCATCCGTTTCCCAGGTTGAGACTCGACCGTGCAAGGCCGTGTCAGCGAAACGGGGACTGTTCTTTCCAATCTTAGCAGCTGCAGCCCTTGCATACCCCGCCATCTACCCCAAAGCGCCCCCGAATCTGGAGCTCTACCCCCTGACACGACCTCCTTCGCCGAGCCTGCCTGCACCGGGAAGAGCCAAGGTGTAACAGGCACGGGAACTGCCATCATAACCTCAACAACCCCTCTTCATCACCGCCCCTCAACATTCTTCCCTCTCCTGTGATACCTTGAGCAACTCTTCACTTCCCTTTCCGACGAACACTCATCAAGAAAACGTTGCAAGTCAACACCAACAATCATAAGCCTTGTTACTGGCCAACGCCTCTATCTACGATACCCCACCACAGCTCTTTTCGCCGTGCAATCGGACCCCTCCCCCACCACCTCACAAGCTCAACTTAGGTCAAGATGGTCAAGGCCGGTATGTCAACATAGGATCACAAATAACGCAACGCTGTAGACTGTGTAGGTTGACATGTATCAACAGTTGTCGCTGGTGCCTCTGGCGGTATTGGACAGGTCAGTAGACGGCCATAAAGAAGAATCTGAACTCTGACTGGAGAGCTCCTGCTGACCGCCACCTATTGCTAGCCTCTGTCCTTGCTCCTGAAGCTCTCCCCTCTCGTGGATGAGCTTGCCCTATACGATGTTGTCAACACTCCCGGCGTTGCCGCTGACCTCTCTCACATCTCCTCCAACGCCGTACGTTCGCCTCCCAACGAAAGCCCACACACACCCCGCTCCAAAACACACATCCACGCACATAGTGCAAAATATCTTACTGAGTCGTTGTGTAACAGAAAGTTGCTGGCTTCGTGCCCGCTGGTGGCCCCCGGGACCCCGACACTAGCCAGGCCAAGGCTGCCCTGAAGGATGCCGACATCATTGTCATCCCCGCTGGCATTCCTCGTACGTTCTGCAAACATAAATTCCGTGATGTGATGTCGAGGCCAGAGTAGCTTACAGCCAGCAACAGGCAAGCCTGGTATGAGCCGTGACGACCTTTTCAACATCAACGCTGGCATCGTCAAGGGTCTCATTGAGATCGCCGCGGAGGTCGCCCCCAAGGCTTTCATCCTCGTTATTTCCAACCCAGTCAACTCCACCGTGCCAATCTCTGCCGAGGTCCTGAAGGCCAAGGGTGTCTTCAACCCTCAACGCCTGTTCGGTGTCACCACCCTCGACATTGTGCGCGCCGAGACATTCGTCGCCGAGATTGCTGGCAAATCCAACCCTCAGGAGCTCACTGTTCCTGTCGTTGGCGGTCACTCTGGCGAGACTATCCTGCCCCTCTTCAGCCAGGTCACTCCCAGCGTCACTATCCCTGATGACAAGTACGACGCCCTCGTCAACCGCGTCCAATTCGGTGGTGATGAGGTCGTCAAGGCCAAGGACGGTGCCGGTTCGGCCACCCTGTCCATGGCATACGCTGGCTACCGGTAGGTTGAAATTTCGCGTGGTCGATGGAGTCTGAGCTGACAAGAACACAGATTCGCCGAGAAGCTGCTCAAGGCCGTGAAGGGTGCCAAGGGTCTCGTTGAGCCATCTTACGTCTACCTTCCAGGCGTCCCTGGCGGCGAGGAGATTGCCAAGCAGACTGGCACCGATTTCTTCTCCGTGCCCATTGAACTTGGCGTGCGTACTTCCGAACCCTTCTTGCTGACAATCCTGGCTGACCAAACCTAGCCCAACGGAGCTGAGAAGGCCATCAACCCCCTGGGTAACATCACGGAGAAGGAGAAGCAACTCCTGGCCAAGGCCATCGAGGGTCTCAAGGGCAACATCGACAAGGGCGTCGCTTTCGCCAACGCTTCGCCTCAAAAGTGATTTCCCCTTTCACCTCTATTTCTCCGCCGTCTTTTTTGGGCCTTCTTCATCTTTTCAGCTTTTGACAACGCAAACATAACACCACGGCCAGCCCTCGCGACTAGGCAGAGTGAATCTTGCAATGGATTTGGCGAATTGAATCAGTCAAGAGTTAGTTGCTGATCTGTTGTCCCTTCTCTTAGGTTGTGAGTGTGTTGTCACATTGGTCGGAAAGATGCTTTTGGGTAGTCGTTTTTTATGACGACTTAACGTGTGGAGGTCGGGTGAACGAGACCAGCGGCTCTTTTGCGCTGACAAGGACCATGGAGCCAAACCGTTCGGGTCTTCTCCATGTGAATGAAAAGGGGTATAGACGGACCCCAATCAGAAATAAATGCCGTCAAACACACCAAGTCTTCCTTCACCCAGCGTAAATGCATGACCGCTATGATTCGTGTCGCTTTTGCTTCTGATGAGTGAGAGCATGGTGAAGGTGAACGCAAAACACAAGACCCAACTCGGAAAGACTGTTCATTTCGTTGGCACAGTCTTGATCTGAAACACCGCACCAGGCAACTCGTTAGTCTCGGCCTGTACTGTCGCGTTGACGCCCATTGCCGCCAATGCACCTCTAACGACGCCACAGGGAAACCATAGGAACTGTTACCTCAGTGTTAGCGGTCTATTTTTTAAGGGAAATTGAGGCGTGGGTAGGGTAGGCATCTAGAAACATACCGGCTCCGCTCGTTGAACCGCCCCTCCTCCAGTCTCCGTACTCATTCTCGAGAACGGCCGGAAGGCATTGTCTGTCAGAACGTAAACTCCCTAGACATCTGATCGTCAGCAGGCCTGCGACCAAATATGCCCAGGAGAGGAGCCACCAACGTACCCGGTGGTTCGTCTTCAGGTTGTCGATCTGCTTCCGGAAGACCAGCATCCACAGGTCCTTGCAGAGGAACTTGATCACGTCGAGGGTATCGTTGAAGCGCGGGCGGTCCCTCGAGAAGCTGCAAGCCAGAAGGAAAAGCACGGGACGGTCAGCTCATGTTCCCACTTTTCCCGCGGATATTCTCGGGACGTGTGTTGAGGGAGGGGGTTTATGGGGGGGAAAGGAGAGGATAGGAACGGAACAGAACACAGAAGAAAGTTTCCCGGACATACCGCTCGACGAGGCCCTGTCCCACCCTGTAGCCCAGGGTCTCGAGCCGGTAGAACACCGCGTCCCTCTCTTCCTCCTCGTCCATGACGGCGCGCGGGCCTCCTCCGCCTCCTGCCGCCGTGCCCGCCGTCGACGACACGTCCTTGTCTGCTGCTGCTGCTGCTGCTGATGACGCTGCGGGAGGTATGCTTGAGGTCGCCGCCGCTGATGCCTCCAGCTCGTTGGTCACCCGGTAGGCCATGGGGACCAGCTCGATCAGGAGGAAGTCCAGGCACGAGGCACTGACGAAAGTGGCGGTCGGGTCGCTCGCATTGTAGGGCGGCATCACGGCTTCGAACGACATTTTGCCTGGTTGTGTAGCCTGTAATGGTGATGTGGTTTGCTGTCTTCTGTTCGTGGCCGCGGGTGTTATTGGATCAGGCTTCCTGATGGTCTGGGCTGGGGGCCGCTCTCGTCTGGTTCGGCGAGGGCTTCGAGGTACTGTCGGGGTGGACGGGTATTGGGTTGGCCTGTGAAGTCTAACGAGTCTAATTGAGAGAGAAGAGACGTTGTTGCGCGTTTCCTGACGGGGAAGCTGATTCTGGGCCGAGCGAGCGAAGGTGATTGCCCTGAAGAAGCTACGTCGTATGCCTCCAGTACACACACACACACACACATGCACCTGTCGGAGCCGCTGCGACCAGACCCCCTGCTCCAGCGAGCTAGCTTATCTTATCGCCCATGGACCTTCCGGTGACTAGGTGATCCCTGAACCTGAGGGGTCTCCACAACTTCAACTCCATCCGACACTATCACGGAAATGGGGAGTTGGCCGGCAACAAGTAGGAATTCTGGCATAGGGTCGGGTTCTTGATCATAGTAGAGTCTTTTCCCAGCATCTCACAGGTGACTCCAAGATAGCCGCTTTTATCGTTCCCACTTATCCAATCCTGATTCCTTTCTGGCCGGAGAGCATTGCCCACCAAGACATTGTCTAATCTATTTCCTTGTCCTGTATGCACGTGTATATGTGATATATATGCTTTGTTTCTGCTCAAATGACTTATATCATATGGTCATAGACTCTGAGACAACACGAATCCCAGATGGATTATAAAGCCCTACCTAAAATCGAGGTGAGAACTACATTACGGTTGAGGGACACAGTGTGCCCTCACGGAAGCCTGCAATACATCTGGGAGTCCAGAATGCGCGTTGCCCGCTTCTCCCAATTCTTCTCGTATATTACTGGCTGACAATGGAATTGTACTCATCCAGCTCCACGCTCACTTGAGCGGGAGTATTAGCAGGCAGTGTCTCCATGAGGTCTGGCTCATGAAGAAGGAGGCCGGCGAGACTGATCTCGCAGATCCTCTCATCGAGATGCCTGACGGCAAGCACGATTACAACCTCAAAACGTATGCGAATAGTAGGCAGACTGCCCACAGCATGCCCACCCTCATATTTCCATCTCAGCCTCAGGACTCCCAGCTAACACGAGTAATCAGCTTCTTCCCCCTGTTCTCTTCATACATCTACCACCTCGTCAACGACCTCGTTGCGGTGCGGCACACCACCCTCTCAGTACTCCACGACTTCGCCGCAGACGGCGTCGCCTACCTCGAGCTGCGAACCACCCCGCGCGCCCTGCCCAAGTCAGACCTCTCAAAGGCGGACTACGTCGCGGCCATCCTGGCCGTCATCCGCGAGCACGAGGCGCAGCCGGGCAACACGCTGCACACCAGGCTGATCCTGTCGGTGGACCGGCGCAACACGCCCGCGGAGGCGGCCGAGGTCGTCGAGCTGGCGCGGCGGTTCCGGGGCGGCGGCGGCGTCGTCGGCGTCGACCTGTGCGGCGACCCGCTGCGGGGCGGCGTCGCGGCCCTGCAGCCCGCGTTCGAGGCGGCGCGCCGGGTCCCCGGCCTGGGCGTCACGCTGCACTTTGCCGAGGCGGAGGCGAGCGGGTCTGATGAGGAGCTGCTTATGATGCTGCGGGAGTGGAGGCCGCAGCGGATTGGGCATGTCATTCACCTTAGTGACCGTGTCAAGAGGGAGGTTGCCACGTACCCCGGTGGGCTGGGGCTCGAGCTGTGTCTGAGCTGTAATGTCCATGCTGGGATGATCAGTGGTGGGTTTGAGGCGCATCATTTTGGGGAGTGGTGTAAGTGCCGAGTTCCATACACGGGACCCAGAACCTGAGTATCTGGCATGTGGACGAGGCTGACGGCAGACTGTCAACAGGGAAGGTCGATGAATGCACAGTAGTGCTATGTGTGAGTGACCTTGACTTACTTCCAATTTGTTTTGTGGAAGAATCACCGCTGACAAGGAGACAAATAGACCGACGACGTAGGAGTCTTCGGCAGCCCCCTATCGAACGAGTACAGGCTGGTGGCTGAGCACTTTGGCCTGTCGGAGCCCCAGATACGTGCACTGGCAAGGAAGGGTATCGAGGTCATCTTCGGCGGGCCCGAGGAGAAGCAGAGGCTGAGGCAGATCATGGCTTCGGCGTCATAAAGTTCAGCCAATCCACTAGACGAGAATAGATGTCTTACAGTCCCTTGCCTGGAATCGTAGCGTTGGATGCATGATGCGATCAGGAATTCGGTCCCAGTCACCGTACACCCTGAATATTGTCAACTTCGAAGCGCGTCATAGATAGCTATCATAAAGATTATCTTAATGGGCTGGCCGCTCACAGAAGCATCTTGCGCCCTCTTACTTCTAGATGTATAACTAGCCATTTTGTAGCTGTTGAGATCTCGCTTCGATCGTTCGAGTTCTACTTAGAAAGCCACAACAGTACACACCTTGAACACATTACTTTGTTGTTGAGTATTTTATTGCTCTAAGTTGTCAAGACGCTATATGCACACGCTGAATACCAAAAGATACCTCCTCAAGTCCCCCGTACTCCGTCCGAATGCATGTGAAAGCGGTGCAAGAACTGTGGCGCCTCTCCATAACTTAGATTACTCCTCAGCCTGGTCCAGCTCCGTTGATCGATACTTGATCTGCAGGGCCCATTTGTTGCCAAAGTCGATCCCGCGGCGAATCTTGGTCCCCGCCCTCTTCCACACGGCAGCCCCAAGGCCGATGTCGACCAGGAACAAGCTCCAGTCGAGAACAGAGTCGTCCGTCACGTGGCCCGTGACGGTCTCGTTATCATCGGCGTCCCCGTACGATATCGCCTCCAGGAGACCCTTCTTCGGCGCGCCGACGGAGACGACATACCGCGGCCGAATGTACAGGCTGTGGCCGTCTTGCACCGTGGGCTCGCCGGTAGTGTGGTCGATTCCGGTCGGGACATCGACGGCGAGAACGAATGCCTCGTTCCGGTTAGTCCACTCGATGAGCTCGTAGACTGTGGCTTGTTCCGACGCGCGCAGATCCTCAAATGGCGTCACGTGGCCGAGCAGCGCATCGATGATCAGGGTTACCGCCATAGGCGGTGCTTGCGGGCGTACACTCCTTGGAGCGTCCATCGAGATGACAGGTATCGATGCTTGTCTCACATGCTCGAAGAGTTCGCTCTTGCTGCACACCTTGCCACCGAAGTTCTTGAATAGCCGAAGTTGTCTGGTCATGTCCACCGATAGGTCCCGCTCTCCTCTTTCTATGCCGACCACGCACAGGATAACATTAATTCCTTTGCATCGTAGATGACGGCCTGCAGCTATTGAGCGGTAGCCAGATTTGTTGTTGCCCGCTAGGATGACAACGGTCGGTGAGACTGAGGCCGGATCGCTGTCCGCAGCCGCGAGCCGTACCTTGAGAGCTGGGTCCGTCAGGGTGTGGAGACCGACTTCAGCAATTCCACGGCCGGCGTTCTCTGTCATCATGTCCTCCGTCAGGCCCAGATCGTTTTGTGCTATGTTCTCGAGATTGAGCATCTGCAGCGGAGACAGGACCTCAACCCGGCGGTCGCTCTGAGCAGCATAGAAGCCGGCAGAAGACGCTGCTGTCGGCAGCTGTTGTGGATCAGCATTTTTGGCCTTGCGCCTGCCTTTGGCAGCATCGCGAACACTTACGCCAGAGTTCACCCGGCTTGGCGCCTGACCCACGGTGGTAGCACTGGCCTTTCTAGATTGCGACCTCCGGCCGGAGTTCTTGCCTTCGCCTTTGCGGGAGCCCTGCCTGCTTCCAAGTTCTCTCCCGCTGAGTCGCTCGCTGCCATTGCGCATACCGTCATCGGCCTCGCTCTTCCAGAAATCATCTGGTGGGGCTTTGTCTGGCTTCGAAGCTGGAGAGGGCATGTCCAACACATTCTCGGTGGGATGCAAGTTCTTGCCTCCAGCTGTGCCCGGCTTTGGCCGCCTATTATGGGATACTAGACGTGCAGCATCCTCAATCTGGTCCTTCTCGCGCATTTCAGAAAATAAAGTGCGCTTGTCGAACTTTTTCAAGCTTCCCTCAAAATCGAATTCAGGCATTTCTTGTACGTCCGTAACGTCTTCAGAAGCCCATCCATTGTCGTTGACGTTGCCCTGATTCCGGCGCAAAGCTTTGTAAGGTTGGAAAGAGGCTGTGTCTTCCAACATCGGAGTCTCTCGCCAGCCCTTGCCCTTCTTTCCCTGACGCGCGCCCTTGGATGGAGTTGCGTCCTCCACGGCACCTTCTTGGGCATTCTTCTTTCGATTTCGCTTGCGGTTCTTCTTGGATGCGCCAGCTTGGTTTTCCTGCAGTTCGGCTGCGGCTTCTTCCTCAGCCGCGCCGGCATCAGTATCAGCCAGCTCAGCTCGCACGTTCAGACTTTCCATAGATTCCACAAGGGTTCCCTTAGGCGTCTGCTCCCTGGATGTCTCCCCAAATGTGACTTTCGGGATCGGCGAACGCTGCGCCTTGTTGTTCGAGAGCGGGCGATTGGACATTGCCGATAAAGGTTGGATTGATTGAGGGGAGGCGTTGACCAGAGGCGCCTGGCTCGTAGCTCCTGGCGAAGCTCTGACTGGCGGCTTTCCCATCGAGAGGATCGCAGGGTCGACAAACGCCGGCTTGGAGGGCTGAGGCGCTGCGGGTGCCTGTTCTTGCGCGGCTGCTTGAAATAGTCCTTGCAATGCGGGAGCAAAAGGTGCGCTCTGCTGCTGTTGCTGCTGCTGCTGCTGGTGGTTATGGCCCTGATACATGGAAGCGTATTGGGTTGGCGCGGTGGGCGTAGTAGGCGAGCCCATGCTCTGATATCCAGAAGTTGCCGTATGCTGTTGCACCTGCGCAAGAGGCGCTGCTGGCGGGGTGGGCTGCTGGTACGACTGCTGGGGCTCGGATTCCTCCTGGATCTGAAGATCCGCGATATCACTAGAAGCGATCACGATCCGCCCGCGCCATTCCTTGTTTTCGATCCACACGTTGACCAAGGTGACGTTTTCGCCGGGGACGAGCCGTTCGATCTTTCCTGTCAGGCTGATTGGCGGGTTCTTGAGCCTCACAAAGACTGCCCAGCCCGCCCACGACTGAGGATTCTCCATTTTGTTCAATACCGCGCGGGTCAATGCGACTGCCTGGCACGAGTTTTCAAACTTCAGAGGCACGTGAGGGTGCACAAAGGGCGATGATGGGGACCTTGGAAGGCGAGGCAAAGGCGCAATCAAAGTGCCGGGTTTGTTTGAGCGTCTCGCGATCCGGTGTGGGGAGGTTGGCGGGGAGGATGATGACCGTCTGGTTTGTGGGATGCGGCAAAGGACGTCGCGCGACGGACTGAGAGCTTGGGATCTCCCTCTACACTTTTCGTTATCGATAACCGAAGTACCCACCAAGAGCTTCTGACGCGTCTAGAACCGACCAGCTGCACTTAGAGGGGACCTTGATGAGCACCCTAACTCTCAACACTTTCATCCCTTTTCCTTCCCAATGCTGACCCTTCGTTGGGTCTACAGATGACAGCTCCTTTAATTCGTGTATCCAATGATGGTTAGTGTAGCAAAGGTTCAAACAAGGCACTCAAACCGGCATCCTTTCTACGCCTCTGCCACTTACCTACACAACACAGAAAGCCTCTCTTGATTCTAAGTCGCCCGCAGAGCGCATACTTGTTTCACACATAGCAATATCTCAGCCATGCCTAAGCTTTCTTTTCAGCTGTTGTGTGATACTAGTCTTACTCTTTCCATAGATGCGAGAGCTGCCGAATAAAAAGTTGGGATTCGTCCATCGGACGAGCGTTGCTGCTCGAGCGTGAACGTCTCGCGACCTCGGCTACTCTCCTTCTCTGCCTTGAAATCGCAGTGGTCTAGAGTTGGTCTCATTCGCATTGATGGTCTCTGCAGAGCCGCACCAGAAGCTGCTGACCCAGTCTCTTTTTGTTTCGCTGTCTTCACATGCATGCCTCTGGAGCTTTTAATACCTGGTGAATACGGCGGTGCAAAGGCTGTAGGAAATTCAATAATTGTCCATCATCAGGACTTGGGCCACCTCAATCCCTTTGGGACACTCGCATATTGTTTCTCTCCGGCGTGGACCTGAAGACGGCTTATACGTATATTTATATTTGAGACTAACACACAATAGTTCATATAGGCCACGGAACAATGACTTCTGCATGCCTGAGGAAGATACCAGAGGTGGATTGAGCTGAAGAAGGACATCTGAGTCCTTCCGATAAATATTTAGGTACACACCTGCGCCACCTGGCTTCCAAAGACGCCTCCCAAAGACGTCGTCTTAATCATGCCCCAAACACACCGGCCATAAGGGTATTATTCTCCTGGTTCCCGCATCAGGAATCCCCTAGGTCTAATACCCATATGATGCCATCGCCTCCTCCTCATCGTCCTCTTCGGCCATGGTCGTAGTCTTGGACGGCCTCGCTGATTTGTACGCAAAGTTCGCGATGGATGAGCCAGTCTTCTTCTTGAGGGCCGATTCTGCACTGTACAGCTTTTGGTAGAACGACACGACACGAGGGTGCGCCATGACCTTTCTCCTGTCGAAACGAAGGACCTGCAGCCCTTCTTGGGTGACCGCACGACTGAGGGCAACGTACGCTTGTCCTTTCTCAAAGACCTTGCCTAGATCGACCTTGACCCGTGCGAGGGTCTGGCCTTGTGCCTTGTGGATGGAAAGGGCCCAGGCCAATATAAGCGGCAACTGTTCCCTCGATGCCTGCACCTCGCCAGTCGGTGTCTCGACTTTCCAGGGCTCCGAGCAACAGAGCATAATCCTTGCTGTTCCATCAACAGCATGGAACTGCACCAGTGGGAACTTCTTCTTGTCGGGTCCGGCATTATCGGACAATTGTCGACTGAAGGCGGCGAGTCTCTTCTTGACTTTCGGGTCAACATCATCTCCATTTTCGTGCTCCTCATCGAAAAGACCGCCCGAAATCTCGAACGCACTTTCCGTCGAGAATCCAATGACGGTGCCTAAAGATCCGTTCACAAGAGTTTCGTCCAGGTTCTTGATCAGCATCACTTGGGCTCCCTTTTTCAGCTCCAATACCTTAGGAGCCATCATGTTTCCTAACAGTTTATCGCGGATGTTCGGGTCGCCCGCGTCCAGTGCCTCATACCGGTGAACTTCACCGGGAAGTTCTCTTAATCTCCTCTGGTTTGAGTTCTCAACCTCTTGCCTTGTTGGGAACCTAAAGGAATATTAGCATTATGCATACTGGTGGGGCGGGCAAGAAGACGGGGACAGGGGACGCTTACAGCTCGGTGACTTCCAAACCATCATTGAAATGGATTGGTCGAGACATCTTTTTGAAGGTTTCAACGGTCTGTTCACTAATATGACCGAGACGCATCTCGTTGAGCATTTGAGCGAAGACTATTTGACGTCAGTAATCCACAGTATATGTCTGAGGCGTATGACCAGCGTTTCGTGCTTACCTGGATCCTTTTGACGGAAGACCTCAGTAAGTCCTATCGTGTGATCGATAGAAGTATTCCAAGTAGCCGCCTCGAAGGCGAACTTGGTATCTCTGCTGTGGCTGTCCGGCACGGGAGGCAACTGAAAGAAGTCTCCTGTGATGACGAGCTGGATACCGCCCCAAGGCCGGCCATTGTTGCGGATGATTCTTCCTACCTGTGACAGCTTGTCAAAAAGGTCGCCGTCCACCATCGAAATTTCATCTACAATCAAAACCCTGGTTCTCATCCAACGGTTTTTGGCTTTGCCGTTGCGCCGAATCTTCTTGACGAGAGTTTGCGCATCATCCTTGCCCAGGCCAATTCCAGCAAAACTGTGCAGAGTCATGCCCCCGATGTTGCAAGCCGCCAGGCCAGTTGAGGCAGTGACGGCAAGACGCTCTGGATCCTTCGCGTACTTCTTCTTGAGGTCCTGAATGATAGCTCTCATCAACACAGACTTTCCAGTTCCTGCAGGACCTGTGAAAAAGACGCTTTGGCCCTTCTCACACACCAGCTTCTTGACGTGCTCCTGTTCGCTGCTCAAAGAAATGGCGGATTGCTTGACTGTGTATGATTTGATGGCTTGCTGCATGTCTTCCGCAGACGCTTCAGCGCCAGATACTCCAGTTTTCTTAGATTTATTCTTCAATAGCTTCTGCTGTTCCTTGATGGCTCCGGGAGTGAGGTCCCACGTCCGTGACTCTTTTGGTTTTGATTGAGGTTTTGCCGCTGGAGTTGAGCTGCCGTATTTGGAGGACGGTTTTACATCATCGTCATCATTCTTGTGAAGGTACTGTGGTGGTAGTGACCGCTTCTTCGCAACTGGCTTGGCCGGTGGTGCATCAGCGTCTTCGGTAAACGCCCGTTTGGTAGCACCCTGGGAATTGGTCGATTGTGATACAGATCGGGCGGGCTGAAAGTGAGTCGGCGAGGATTGAGACCAAGATAGCACGCTTGTACTGTCGGTGGGAGGCGCTTCGGCGACTCTCTTGGCTGGTGTGGACTCTGGTTTTAGAGGCGGGAGGGCGGAAGGGCATTCGTAATCCAGATCGACTTCATCACTGAAGTCATCGTCGAAATAGTCAACTTCGTCGACAAGCTTCCCACGCGTGGAAGCTTGGACATTGCCACCAGTCAGATCTATGACATCGGGGCTTTCGAACGAGTTCTGACTGTTGTACAGCGAAGCAAACGGCTTGCTATTAACCGTCCGGTTGACCTGTGGAGGGGGATTCATCGATTGGGAGGAGTTGGATGATCGAGGCTGGAGGGGCCCAGTGGGCTTCGAGGACTGGCTGAATTTGGAAGAGCCATAGGAGGAGCCGTTGATGTTCTGGAACTGGTCTTTGATGCTGGCATCGCGCCTGGGGCTCGGGCTGCTCGAGGGGAAGAGCTGCTTAGCCAGAGGCTTCGCAGGCTGTGGGGCTTTGTTCTGTGCCGCGTACGTGGCATTGGCACGCTTGAACATGCTCATGGTGGACGGTGATTGTTGGAATCGGATGAGGGCATGTGCCTGGGGGCAGACACGGATGATAGCAGTCCCAGCCCAGGTCCTAGTCCTCAGCCGACTCAGAGATCGAAGGGGGGAGAGGGAGAGGGAGAGGCTGGATACGCCTGCAGTCATGCAGCGCCGGTGCAGATGGACTGGCGAAGAGACTCAGGTGGGGAAGTCGTGCTGCAGCATTCTCTGCTCTTGCTGGGCCTCGAGAATTGGTCGCTCGGTCCTGTCCCAGCCGGTATAGAGTTTGGATCGCAGCACGCTGGGAAGGGGCAAGCGCGTCACCCTGCGTTGACGCGACTTGTGCGTGCGATTAGATAAGGAGGGGCTGCGAGGATGTGACGGGGTCTGGCACCATCGCTCACGTATTCATGCGGCCGCGGTCAAGGTACAGTCAATTTGGCAACTCGTCAGCCAGAGGCTCACTTCAATTTATGGACTGGTGGACTGGTCTATGCGAAGTGGCCTTCCTCCTGTCTGTCTCAAAATTCCTTGGGGAAGGCGTACATCAAAATGGGGCTTATCCAGCCCTCATTCTTCACGATAGCCAGAGCTTGCCGTTTCATCTCAGCCTACTCAACTTGGTATGATATGCAGTTTAGAGCGAGTTTATGGGCTCTCTGCCGACTGACATCCAGGCGCTGACATATCTCTACTACCGTGCTTAGTACGCAGACAACAGCATGCACCTTCGTACGACATTTGGAATCCTGGGTCCAGTGTCTCTTCACAGCCAAATACAGGAAACGGCTTCAACACCCACCATTTTCTAGTAAAGGATCAGCAACTAAAGTTGCACTTGCAGTACGGTCTTGCCTGCTGTCAGAACTGCGGGCCAATCAATACGCCTGTCAATCAGGGAGCCAACTGGATGTCGAGCTGACGCTGCACGCATCCGTAAGCGGTAATGCAGCAGCAACCTGGAGGGGGCCGTCCAAACAACGAGGAGGATCTTCTCAACCCGCTGTCTCTTAACGCATAGCACATAGCCTTAGCAGGGCAGCGTGGCCGACAACCCCCACGCGCAGTTCATCACTCCGCAAGCGGCTGCCGGGGTACAACGGCCGGCCCAATTACCAAGCGCTGGCACCTTACACAAAATTCTCAACATCTTCCGAGCCCGAAGCTGCGGTCGAGGGACTCGTCATGGGCCGGTCGTGGGGCCGGTCGGGCAGTCCGCTCACCTTGCATGCTCATCTCAACGCAAGCTTCAAAGTCCCAAGACCTGGGCTGCGTACTGTGTATAATCACTTGGCGAGAAGCACACAAAAGGGCTCGGCTCGCCGCTCGATCAATCAGACACGTCTGCCCAGGTGCCAAGTCTGCGCCGAGAGGCTTAGACCGGGCCCAATGGTCGAGGAAACGACGACACAATCGGGCATTCGGCTTGAAAGCGAGGCATGCTGGGCAGGGCGGTGTCCTGGTGGGTCTTCTGCCCCGTTCGTGACGTTTCGCGCCCGTCGATCGCCTCTGGCCGCAAAGCGGGGCCGCGGGGAAAAAACGCAGAGAGTAACGACTCGTGCACGTAGGAATAAAGCCTGGCAGGCAGGAAGAATCTCGCCATGACAGTCATGAATGCGATCAGATTTTTGTCGAGATGTGGACCAGCTTGTCCAGACCTTCGGATGGCAGATCCAGGCCCCTTGTCAATTCATCAATTTAACAGTGCATACGGGCCCAGGGGCCTCGACATTGGAGCCGGGGATCCGGGGCCCTGGGTCAACAGTGGCCTTCTCCCTGGACGGCATGGACGACGCCGTGCCGTTATCCAGAGTTTTCCAGGGTGCTCTTGAACCTGAATGGCCCAGGACGTGCCGTGCGCGGCCCCACGAACGTTGAGCCGCAGTGCTACCGCGTTCAATCGCAGACCGTGTTGTGCTAACGCATGCTCACTGCCGTGGTGTTGCCATTTAGCTACCGTCACCTGTCAGAGAATTGCAGAGATATAGATAGACATTCAAGTATTGCGCATCAGAGGGCTGGAGGGGAGCAGCCAAGGCAGTACATACAGTATGCATCAGCTGCCGGATGGCTTTTCTTAGATCCTTGGGAACCAACAAGAGGTTGCTTGTTTACCACGAGATTCGATCCCACAGGATGAACGATTCTCGCTTGTTCTGGAGCCCCACAGCGCCTTGCGATCCGTCACCGTCACCTTCAGCTTCACGGACTTCCGAGGCTCAGCCCAACCAACGATTGTGGATGCGAAGCAACGGTAAGTTACGGTAGAGTGCATTGCTGTGTGCGCGTTTGGCCACGTTTTTTTTTTTTTTCCATCTGCTTCCTCTGAGGGCCTTGGAATGCTTGTCTTTGCTTGTCTTCTCTTGTCTTCTCTTGTCTTGCTTGTATGCACTTGGCATACACACACATACACAGAGCGTTGGCTGGGCTCATGTGATTGATCACACGTACATCCGTACGAGGAAGCAGAGCAGGAAGATCACGGTGTGCTGCACCCTACATCATGACGCTTATCGGCCAATGTGCGTTGCCTCGTGGGAAGAAGTGGGAAGACTGCAGAACAGCCCGCCGTGCCGCGGTGGAGCATTGTTCAGGGGCCGCCCTGCTTGCAGCTCCCGTGGCGGTCGGGGACCCCACCCTTCTGGGCCCCCATCCACTGCCACTAAAATAATCAATAACATGCAGCTAATCGCTCGAGAACCAGAACCTTGAAAGGCAAACGCATGGGCGTGGCGTAAGTTTTTTTTTTCTGCCCTCGGATGCTTGAAGTTTGCTTGGCCTTTCGCTTTATATAGGTGAAGGATCAATCCTCTTGCCAGCAAGCTGAGCTTTCCGGGGTTTCTTTCCACACGTCGGCAACAGAACCCCAAAACAGCTTGGTGGTAATACCTAGGTACATTGTTCGATCTCGACCCAACCGTTGCCGGGTCCGTTTATTATCTGGTTGGACTACGCAGCGCACCGCAGCGTTTTGTTGTTGCTGCTGTTATCCAGCCAATCTAGTGCCAAGTCGAGGCAAAAGTCAACGACTTGGTCCGACTCAACTCAACTCAAACTCACGATCTCGAGCTCGATGACGCTGTCATAGCAATCTTGCTACTTCTCTCAACTGGCCCCACGACGACAACCGAGTGCTTCGGCTCGCGCGGTCTAGCTCACCCCACAAACTTGACAAACTCCCGTTGGGCCGTCCACTTGCGATTTTCATGTATCGAAAGACCTTCGGATTTGGGCCACGATCGATCGACTGGGGAGTCGCAAGCCCACTGCCTGGCTCTGTCCGGCTGTCGCAATCCTACGACGACATTCTCCAGCTCTCTCAACCCTCAAAGGGAGCCACTGTCCGAGTCTGATCCAGCTTACTGGACCTGAAGACCCTTTTCCCCTAGGTGCCCATTGCTAAGCCGCCAACATGGCTTGGGACCACCTGTCTATCACCAAGCCGCACTTGGTGTATATCATCCTCGGTGGCTTCACCAGCCTGTTCATGCTCTGCTCCTCCGTCATCAAGGAGCGCGCCTACATCGGTGAAGCAACCATCGCGACTCTGTGCGGAGTCATATTCGGGCCTCATGCCGCGGACCTCATCAACCCCATGTCATGGGGCAGTACCGATATCGTCACCATCGAGTTCTCCCGGATCGTCCTGGTCGTGCAGTGTTTCGCCGTCGGTGTCGAATTGCCAAAGTTCTACATGGAGAAGCACTGGAGATCCGTCGTCTTCCTCCTCGTCCCGGTCATGACCTTTGGCTGGCTCATCACCAGCCTGTTTGTCTGGTGGATGGTGCCCACGCTGAACTGGCTCGAGAGTTTGGTCGTCGCGGCCTGCGTCACCGCCACCGATCCCGTCCTGGCATCCTCGGTCGTCGGTAAGGGCAAATTCGCCAAGCGTGTGCCCAAGCATTTGAGAGACTTGCTGTCCGCCGAGTCGGGCTGTAACGATGGAATGGCCTTCCCATTCGTCTATCTCTCCCTTTACCTGATCCAGGATAAACTCTCAGCCAAGGACGTCACCTTCCATTGGATCGTCTACACTATCCTCTACGAATGTATCTTTGGCGCCGTGTACGGCTTCCTGATCGGCTACATCGCTCGGCATGGCATCAAGTTTGCTGAGAAGCATGACCTGATCGACCGAGAGAGTTTCCTCGTCTTCTACTTCGTGCTGGCCCTGTGGTGCGCAGGTTCAGGTAGTATACTCGGCGTTGATGACCTCCTGGTCGGCTTTGCGTGCGGTGTGGGATTCTCCAACGACGGTTGGTTTACGAATAAGACCGAGGAATCCCACGTGTCCAACGTCATCGACTTGCTCATCAATCTGGCATACTTCGTCTACTTTGGTACAATCATCCCTTGGGAGCAGTACAACAGCGCGGAGCTGGGCCTGACGCCGTGGAGGCTCGTCGTCATAGCAGTATTTGTCATCTTTTTCCGCCGAATACCCATCATGATGGCGCTGAAGCCGTTGATACCAGACATAAAAACCTGGCGCGAGGCCTTGTTCGCCGGTCATTTTGGTCCCATCGGAGTTGGCGCGATCTTCGTCGCCATCCTCGCACGTGGAGAGCTGGAACACGATGAACCTGTCCCTCTGTCTGACGTGCCAACGGACGTGAACACTCCTCATTTCTATCTACTCACACTCGTGTGGCCGATAGTTACATTCATGGTGATCTCGTCCATCATAGTCCACGGCTCATCTGTAGCCGTCTTCACCCTTGGCAAACGGATCAACACCCTGACCATCACCATGTCGTACACCACGGCCCCGGAGGATGGACCATCTTGGATGAACAGGCTTCCTAGGATTTCGTCTCAGTCCAAGTCGCAAGCCAGGACCATGTCCGATACCGAGGGCGACGAACTCAAGATGCCCGATTACCCCCCTGGAACTTTACCTCCCATTGGATATCCTGGCAATTTCTTGAGGCGTCAAAAGGAGGAAGACCAGCCAAGTCGACAGGGCAGCCGTGCGTCATCGCTTGCGGGACGCCGACGTAGGAAGAAGTGGGATGATGGCATTGGTCCTGGCGGCCCCGTGACTCAGTCGGCGATCTTTCCGCAACGACGAAGCCAGAGCGAACAGACATCGACTACTCTTCGTGACAGCCATTCGCCACCTGACCAAGACAAGGAGACTCCCACGGCGTCTCGCAGGGGATCGACCATGGAGGACCCCGAGAAGCGTGCTGCTGAGCAAAGGGCTGAGGTTGACGCCGAGGAGGAGCTGGAGAAAGAGGCCAGCCAGCAGGAAGCAGAGAGAGGACGCTCGGGAGAAGCAGGTGGCTCCCATGCAAGAGATCCTGAGATTGAGATCTATGATGAAGGCGATCATATCATCGTTGAAAACCGCGATGGTGATGTGATTGCTGTTGAGGCACCAGTCGAAGAACAACACAAAGAAGACAAGGTCCAAGACCTGAAACAAAAGCTGGAGAAGGAGGCAGTACATTCTCAGTGGACCTACGATGCGCTGAAGAAGAGGCTCGGCCATTGGCGTGATGAGGAGGTGCAGAAACGGAAGGACAAGCAGAGAAATGACCGACGGCACGAGCCAGCCCGTGCATACCAATTTGGCAACACCATCATCGTCGAGGACGAGGACGGCGAGGTCGTCAAGAAGTATGAGCTGCCATCCCAGAGGGGCGAGGGCAGCGGTGCTATGAGCCAGGGTCTTAAGTACATGGGCATGGGAGGCCTGATGAAGGGTGCCCAGAAGCCAGATGAAGCGGGAGCGTCAAGCGCTGCAGAAGGTGAAGCGTCTCAAGGGCGGCCCAGATCGGACAGCAAGCCTGGCGTGACCCGGAGGCCAACGTGGGTGGAAGCCCTGGGCGGGCGAGCCAACGAGGCCCAGAAGGAGAAGAGGAAGAACGTGGCCGAGCAGGAGATGGAAGACGATCTCCACATCCGCTTCACGATCGACGGCGTCGGCCAGCGCATGACCAAGGACAACTTCATCACGGAGATGCGCAAGCTGGACAAGAAGACGCGGCGCGAGGTGATCGAGCAGTCCACGGCCTCGGAGCGTGTCAAGACGCTGGCGAAGCAGGAGCCGCCCACGCCCGAGCCCAAGTCCGCCCGCGGCAAGGCCATCAGCTCGCCCCAGGCAGGTCCCAGCAACTCCCAACAGCAAAAGGCGCCGGCCACCAAGCCGTCGCCGCAGCAGCAGCCGGCCGCCATGTCCGGCGGCCTCTCGTCCGACAACTCATCGCGCGAGAGCTTATCCAAGGCGCGCGCCTCTCCGCCCGCCTCCTCATCCTCGGGCAACGTTTCGCCCCTGGAGCGCCGGTCCAGCGACGACGCACCTAGCCACGACGTGCCCGAGACGGCGGTCGAGCGGCGGCGCAGGCTCGCGGTGCTGAAGGGCCTGGGCGGCGGCGAGGGCGACGAGGAGGGCGAGGCCGGCGAGACGCCTGCCGAGAGGCGGCGTAGGGAGGCTGCGCTTGGTGTCTCTGGCGGGGACGCGGGAGATGACGAGGAGGAGGACAGCGATGATGACGATACCCCTCGGGTGCCTCCTGCGCGGCGAGGTATCAGGTTTGCCGAGCCGGAGCGAGGGCGCAAGTAAATGAATGAACCCCTGGGGTGTTTTGCATGTTGCTTTGATCTGTTATGGGTCGTTGGGAATGCCTGAATGTTGTGTGTTTATGTCTTAGTCCGGCCTGATGCTCGATGCTTCTGTTGAAGATCTGGCTGGGCTGTTCATTGCATAGCGATGGGGCTTCATGATGGCTTGCTTCTTTAGACGTCGACTAAATCATTCTTCGACTGTAGGGATATTGTTTTATTACGGGCATGAGCTTGGATGTCATGTGCTCTTTTACGTATGGTTAATATATCTAAAGTCTAGACTGATACTCTGGTACTGTCTTGTTGATTATGGGTTAAATGGGGTTTCCACCAGACTGCCTTTCTTTCCTGCGGACTGCGCAACGAAGGAGCTAGATGTATATGGACATTTTCCCTGACCTTGAATTCTCGTTCTCACGTAGCACTGCGAATCATGATTTACGGACTAAACCTCCGCTTCATATTAGTTGCTATATATGTTGACAAATTCCAAGTGACTGTGGTTGGTCCAAGCATATCTCCATGGGCCGCTACAGTGATCACTCAGTTGTCGCCATCATTGCTAGTACACATAAACATCGTGGATAAGACAAAATTCAATGTTCAAAATGGCTTTCTGGCTAGTGACCTGAAAAGATTAGGATAATAAACGCCCCGGCCTAGCAGTGAGTGATGTTGGTGACTGACTTGGAAAACGGACCGCGACATCCTCAATGATCCCGGAACCATCCACGAGCATAATCAGCTGATTTTCAGTACCATTAGAGGGTCAAGGTCCAGAGATCGGTCGTGGCTACCACAATCGCGTATCCATATTCAATATTGTTGGATTAGGCACGCACTTGCCGACCGTTGATCTCACCCACGTCTTCCTTTTGGTTTCGCATCAGGCTTTATTCTTTTACAAAAAGCCTCCAAATTCTCTGATATCTTGCTCTACTCCAACCTGGAATTTGCCATTCTCCTTGATCTGTAAGGTAACTGGCTAAGCTGTTTCCCCTAGTGATATCTCCGTCCTTCTCCTTACTAGTCACCTCTCCTAGCTGTCTCATGAGAAATACTCCACGTTGGCCAGGACCTCATGTGTGTCCGTGATTGCCTCAGTTTTTTACATTTGGTCTCTGTAACAAAAATCATGCTAAGTGTGTTCAGTGACAAGGCAGGAGGAGCTGAGTGTTATGATAATATGACATTCAAGAGCCGGGCCAGTGGGCTCATGCGCCTTTAGACATCGCGACCACTGCCTTGTGGCAGTGACCCGCTTTTGTACATTCAAAAATAGTATTCTAGGATCATTAAAAGTGAAGACAACTATTCCAGCGCACAGAGTTTTGAATATCAAAGTTCACGACTCTTTTGTCACTTGTAATATGCTCACGCCCAAGCGTGTCCCTAGCGTCACCATTCTATGGGTCTCTGTGGTCCGTGCACAACCTTGAAAGATGGATTTTAGCCTTCGACACCTTCGCTGGGAGCATCAAGCTCCTCGCCGTGAACCTGACCCTCAACCTCGAGAACCTGCACTTGCCGCTCGCCTCATCTCCCCAATCCCCTTCGAGCACGAGATCGCCGCTGGCCTCTTTACGCCTGACCGCCGAGTTGAGAATCCGGTCCTGCAGCCAGCGACTCCGAACGAGACAAGCTCCGTCGACCTCAAGACCGACGACGCCGACCGTGACTACGACTTTGTCAACGACTTTGCCAACGACCCTGACAAATCCGTCGACGACGAAAAGATGGTGCAGCTGGTCGAGGTAGAGGACGAGCACTTCCAGCACGTCCAGGAAGGCCCTGTGGAGGACGATGGCGACTACACGGATACTGGTAAGTGTCGCTCGTTCCAATTTTCAGCCTCCAAGCTCGCCCAACTTTGCGCCGTGAGCTTGTGACGCAATCCGTCAAAAAATTGAAAGCATCACGGTCGCACCCACAACCTCGCCCCCAGAACACCCACACAAGCGCCCTTCATGTCAATTCGTCTACCTGAACCTCAAATTGGGCTTTAGACTAATCTTGCAATGCTGCACAACAGACTCCGAAATCTCCAACGACTCCGACTACGACCCCACGCAAGAGTCCCTCGCGGAGCGGATTTCTGCCCTGCGCGACATCGTCCCGCCGACGACTCGCGCCTGGTTTTGGAACAAGTTTCAGACGACCCAGCGCGTCGTCAAGGGCGTCATCTTCTTCGCCGGCCGCTCCATGTGGTCCATTTCCGTCTCGGCCCTCCTGATCGGCGTGCCCTTCGCCCTGTGCTGGGCTGAAGAGCAGCAGGTCATCGCCATGGAGCAGGAGGCGCGCATGCGCGAGATGGGCGCCGACGTGCTCACCGCCGGTGGCGGCGAGGGCGGCACCGCTGACAGGGTCGGCCAGGCCCTGGGCAAGGAGGGCGGTGTTGAGACCAAGGCTGCTGGACTCTGAGCGGCTTTCACTGCCTCATTCACTGAGCGCGATGGCGACAAGAGAAAGTCATGCGACTAGGGGGCCGTTGTGGCGAGCTCTCGAGGAGGCTCGGTTTGCATCATCAAATTGTACAGTACAAACAACATCGTCGGCTTGGCTGAAGGGGAACGGATTGATTGGTTCCTTGCACTAGCCACTACGACAAAGTCTTGCATCTTGAGGGCACATTTTTCATGAACGGCGGCGACAAAATAAGCATCTTGCGGCAGATGGACGAGAATGACAACGCGAGAATGCCAGGCGAGACTTTCATGTGCGTGTACAATAGCTTTGGATCTGCTTGGCATAGCAGCCAAGGATCATAGGGGAGGGTTTGAACTCTCTTCTCTCGCGACGGGCCGTGAGAGGGCTCTCGTGTTACATAACCTGGTTTTCTTTTTGCATGACATGCCTCAGCTGGGAAGGACTTGCTGCAGGTAATGATAAGGGAATAAATGGAGTTATGAAATCCAACATCATCCTGATTTCGCACTGAGTCTCGTGACACGTGATTTGACCATTTTTTCAAATACTTGGGAATGAGATGGGTGCAATGCCTTTGGCTACTGCGAGGCGATGGGCATTACTGTCTCGAGCCAAGTAATCCTCGACTGACACGTATCCACCCGGATTTGAAAGTATTTCTGAAGCATATTCTGTACCAATGTACCATCGAAGAGCTACTGAAGTGAAGACATTGGTTTCTTTGATTTTATAGTACGATTCTGTAACTCCTCTCGTCCATCCTTGTGTCCGTCACACATTAAACCTCTGCCAATTTTCGTACCATCTCAACGCGGCCCACCGAGCTGATTATCATGCACAGAGAAGGAGAGGGGCCGTAGTTACACGTGACAATTTCATTCTCTAAAACGCCATTCGATGTGCTGTTTCGTTTTTTCTAAGAAAGTGAAAGCTAGTCTGCGAGGGACTGAGTAGGGGGTATTCTTTGCATAGCAACGTCATCAAAAGAAAAATATTCCACCGGGTTTCCGACATTGTCCTCTGTCTCGAGTGCCAATCATTGCGTACCATTGGGGTGGTTGTCCAGGTCGACAGCCTCGACCATCGAGCGCTGCTGGGCGCTGTCCCGCGTGAGGTTGGTGAAGTACTTGAGCGCGTCGCTGCTTTCCTTCTTCACCTTCAGCGTCTCCTCGCGCTTCTTGCCGAGCTGCTCCACCGACCGCTGGAGGTTGAAGACGACGTGGTCCTTGGGCGTGTGCAGCACCTTGCGCACAGAACCGGATATGCGGTGGGCATTGTTGTGCGCGTACTCTATCGACTCCAATTGGGCAGAGATCTTATTTGAAAGGCGGTGAGGCAGGGAATGGGGGATTTGGCTGAGCACGTAGGCACCAGCTGCGACAGCTATGTGGTTGTTAGCGGAGAGCTCTGAGGCAATCATTGGGGGAGATGTTACGTACCAGCAACAACGATGCCAGGAATGATCATCCGGCGAAGGTTGTCGTTGCCCATCACACGGGCGACGCTCAAGGCGTGGTTCGCCCACCCAACACCACCAATCATCTGGGTACCAACTGCTGTGGCCACCGTCAAGGCCATACCCGTTCCAGCTACCTTCTCCTGACGCTGCATCAGAGTCGACCAGTCGACAAAGTCCCACAATTCCGTCGGGATGTCAATCTGCTTGGCTAAGACGTCGCGTCTGCGCCGGAACATGACGTCCGGGTGGAAATTGAGCCCAGTATACTCGTTGCCCAGGTGCAAGATACCAAGCTGCTTGATTGCGTTGACGCCACCAACAGCCTTGCCACGCGCATACTCCTCGCAATCATTGACGCAAGTCTGAATGCCGTGCAACATTGCCTCCTTCAGACTCTCAGCATAATCAAATGCTTGGAATAGTCCGGGGTATGGAACGTCGAGGTCTTCATCGGCATGTAGAATTGCCAAGTTAAGACTGCTGCGTGTGTGTTGGTAAACGTCATCGCACGTCTCGTCTATTGTGTGGTTCACGTCGTCGGTAATCTTGTTTTGGGCCTTCTTGCTCGCTTCCAGTTGAGGCTCAAGTTCTCGAAGCTCCTTGCCCACACGCTCAAGCTCTGACTGAGCAACTTCTGCGTTGACGTTGGCCAGGGAGTTGACGTCGTTCAAAATGTTGAGCAAGTAATGCTTAGCAGGTGCCAGCTTTGACCGTGCCCGCTTCTCCAGAACGAACCTTCGCAAAGACTGCTCGAGGTTTTGGAAATCCCGGAGCTTCTCTTTATCTTTGCCTTTGCCCTTGGGGTCGTCACTGGGATCATCACCGCCACCTCCTCCGCTTGAACTGCCATTACCACCTCCATCAGGGCCGCCCGGTGGCGATGGAGCCACAGGAATCGCGTTACTTGACACAAAGTGCACAAGTTCTTGTGCTTCTTTGGATGTCCTTGGGCTAATGCCAGAAACTTGATCGAGAATCATCTTCTGGCATCTCTGCTGATCTCTAATCATGTCAAAGCCATTGACAACGATGAAAAGATATGCCTTCTCTGCTGCAGCTGCCCACAAGAACTCCTTGGCTGACTGAGTAAAGTGATTTGCGGCTGAGACCACGAAGACCACAACGTCGATCTCTTCCTGCCTTGCAAACACGGCGGTGGTCTTGGTCGTATCGGAATTAAGGCCAGGCGCGTCGATGAGAGCAATGTCCACTACACCGTTGTTGAGCAGTGACTCGTCGATAGTTCGGACATCCTTGACGTAGACTTTGCACATCAAGTACGTGTCGTTGTCGATAACAATCTTCTCGAGCTCGTACAAGGAGTAGACGTCGTATGTGGTCTCGTCGTTTCGATCGTAGGTAGCATCCTTGTGGACTGCGTGGACCTCCTCGATGCCTGAGTTCTCCCGGGCATCCAAAACCTCGCAGAATATGCTCGTGCAGGGCTGCTGGTCCTCGGGAAGAACCTTCCTCCTCAACAAAGCGTTGCAAAAGGTCGACTTTCCAGCGTTCAGATCACCGGTTACCAGAACTTTGCTGGCCGTATCTTCAATTCGTTCTCGCAGGTTCAATAGGTGCTTGATGCTGGAGCTGATCTTGCCGTCTAGCAGGGCAGCGATGGAACCTTTCTCCAGGGAGTGAACTAATTGTGTCTGGTGGAGAGCACCCAATTTGAGGTCCAGTTTCAACACAGAAAACTCTTGAGCGATCTGAGGAGTGACCAGCCTAGGCTCTACAGCCGGGCGCCTCTCAGCCGCCCTGCTCGACTCGGCGGCCGCAGGATCCTCTCCCCATGTGGCGGCACGCTTCAACGGTGGTGGTGCAGCGGAAGACGATGCGCTGGTGAAATCGTCGAGGTGGGAGAAGGTTTGTTGGTATTTGGGCCTCGGTGGCGACGCGGGCGTGATCTCGGATTCGGCGCGCTGAACGGAAGGGTAGTGGGCGGGCCATTTCACATTCTCCTGTTGAAGCTCTTTGAGAAGATCGATGACTCTGTTGATGGCACGGTTTAGAGCCCCACGGTGTTGGTTGTACCAGAGCTGGTGCACGGCGCTCGGCTGCATGCGACGATCGAAGCCGGCTGAGGTGGGAGTGTCGGCATGTGTCGCGGAGTCCCAGGCTGGAGAACCGGGCAGGAGGGCATTGCCAATGGCGCCGCTGGCAACGGAGCCGCCGTAGCCAGAATCGCGTTCGAGGAGCTCTTGCAGGTGGGCTGCATGCTTGGAGGTTGAGCCACTCCCGACAGTCATGTACGCGGGCGGCTTCGCGTTGCCGTTGAACTGATCCGCGACGTCATCGGGATTCGAGGACTCGTCGTCGGGTCGTCCCACGGGCGACTTGCCCTTGCCGTTGAAGTAGTCTTGGCTCATCGTGATTCGTAATTGTCCATCGGAGGTGGTATGGGAGAGGGTTTAAGGGGGGAGGGATGCAAGCCAAGGAGACGGTCTAGGATGACTCTTATTTTTCGCGGAATGGAGCTTCAATACCGTGACTTCATGCATCGAGAGGCAAATGGCTCCACGATTTTTTGTCGGCACGCGTGGGTTGGTCGACGAATTTCGATGACATAAGCACATCGAGGTACTCAGCGGCAGAGGATGGTACGCTATGGTTGCAATAGGCAAAGTAGACTTCCCGCGGCGGAACTTTTGGCTTGCAGGAAACCTACTTAGACTAGGTACTGTAGGAACCCAGTGCAGTACCACTTGAGTACGTACAGGCCCAGAACTCGGGACCTTGGCGTGTGTTTGCAGCAGCCTATCCCGGCTGGACGCCAAGTGGGAACACTACGACTGTCAACCTTGGATTCCTGTCGGTGACGAACACCTCTCGCCGACCTCCATCGACAACATTTCAATACCTCCTAACAGATTACTCCCCAAAGCCCCTCGCGCGATTTCGATCCCTTTTCGACCGGTGCCACTGCTGCCTCGGTGCATCCTCGCCCAAAAACGCAGTCCGCACCGATAACGCGACACCGATCTTATCACACTCCCCCGGCCTCGGCAGCAGGCGCCATGAACGTGAGCAGCATGCAGCTTGTGAGCAGCACGGGGAGGCACGCTTTCTAACCATCAGAACCCGGCTTGCAGATCCTAGAATGGGCATTCGGAAAGCGCATGACGCCCGCCGAGCGGCTGCGCAAGAACCAACGATCGCTCGACAAGGCCATCCGTGAGCTCGACCAGGTCCGGGTCAAGCTCGAGAAGCAGGAGAAGACGCTGGTGACGCAGATCAGGCAGAGCGCGCAAAAGAACCAGATGGGTGCGGCGAAGATCCAGGCCAAAGATCTTGTCCGGACGAGGAGGTACCGTCGCGCCTACTGCTGATTAGCCGTAAATGCGTGGTGACTGTGGCTGACCCTCGTCTTTACAGGTACATCGAGAAGTTCTACGGCATGCGGAGCCAGTTGCAGAAGATATCTCTTCGTCTACAGGTACGCAATCGCTGGTATTGCGACGATCCACAGGACGTTGAACTGACCACTTATGGGCGCGCAGACCTACCGGACGAATGAGCAAATGATGCAGGCGATGAAGGGCGCCACAATGGCGCTGGGCAGCATGAACAGGAGCATGAACCTCCCTCAATTACAAAGGATAGCCATGGAGTTTGAGAGAGAGAACGACATAATGGACCAGCGCCAAGAGATGATGGACGATGCCATTGATGACGCCATGGACACCGGCGTAGAAGAGGAAGGCGACGAGGTTGTGGAACAGGTTCTCGAAGAAATCGGAGTGGACCTGAGTCAATCCGTAAGTGTGCCCACGAGACTGACCACTACCGTTGGACACTGTTCACTAAACGATTCTCTCATCAGCTTGGCGAGACGCCTTCAGGCCTGCCGACCACCGCCGTGGCGGAAGGCAAGGTAGCCCAAGCAGTTGGCAGTGGCGGAGGCGGCGGTGCCGACCCTGGTGATGATGACCTTCAGGCTCGCCTGGACAGTCTGAGGAGATAAAGTTCTTTGGAAGGTGCCCCATCCAGGCAGTGACACATTTTGATGACGGCCTCGCTGATGGGTGAATTCACATGCTGAAGCGGAGAGTTTTGGCCTTCGAGAGCAGGTATATGGATTACCGTTTTGGATTCCTGTGACAGGAAGCAATGACTCAAGCTTTTGGTGTCGCTGCTCGAGCCTCAGTGCTAGGCTCAGCCTGAGTGTGGTAATGGTCTCCGCATGAGTCGGACTCAACTTGTGGATTGTACAGTTTGCTATCAGACTTGTGGCCCCGTCACTGAGCTGGGGTGGCTTACAGCCAAAACATAATAGTCCACGATGAACAAGACCAACAGCAAACAGTTCTCACTTTTCTCACACAGCAAGATCTCTGTCTGAGACGCACGAGCCCATGTACTATGGGCAGTAATCTGCCTCAGGCAGCAGATGGATCGATAATACCTACATATGCAGAGCTGCCCTGGCGGGGTGAGGGTGCCTGACTTATTGTGTACTGCCACCTCCTGGTTAGAAACTGGGTGGCACGTAGCTTCCATAGCTTCCATCCGCCATACCCACAATGAGTATATTATGTGGGTTGGTGTGCGCGAGGTAATGTGATGACCGGGTTGTCGCTGCAGTCGCAGATTTGTCCTCCAGCCAGGCCGATGTCCATAGCTAGGTACTTCAAGTAACCCTACTGGCCAGAGGAGATCCAGATGGTTGCCGCTCGAGGTTGCACAGCGCTTGTTAGCACCTGACATGCTGCATATGGGCACCTAAGCGGTTGTGCCTGTGTGCGGGTGAGTGTGTTGGTGGCCCAAGGTTGGTTTGGTTGCTTACCGGCCTGGTGTACCAAACCTGTTTGAGACTAGGAAAGCGCTGCTGCGGTGGGTGGGTGGCAGGTGGGTGTGTGTGACCTTTGGATCAATGGGTTTCCAGTTCCTGTCCAGCTCCAGGCTCGGGCCAAGTCGTCCTCGCCTTTCATCCTTCCACCGTCCCCTACCAGATACCAGCCCGCCTTGGGTGCCTCAGTCAGTCCAGACAACACAATCACAGTCATTTTCTTTGATGCTGCAAACAAACCGCACGCACCTGGCACTTGTTTCACGCGTCTCTTGTCCATCCCCAAGCTCCCTTGAAACCGGGACCCCTACCTGGCAACCTGGTCACAGGCATCATTGCATCATTACATCATCCAGTCTTTTTGTCGCCTCCAGGACCCCAGTATCCACCCCCAAGTTGCCGCCGTTGTGGCACCCGTGGGACTCAACCTAAAGACAACACTGACACCTAGCTACCCTACCAGCCTACCCATCTACCTAGTCCATCTGATTGTGAGCTTGTCTCTACCTATCGACGGGCGCCCTGTGAGGTCAGCGAGGTCAGTGAGAGCCTAAACCCTTGTGACCGTGCCCAGGCTGCCAGGCCGCAACCCGATTCAGTCGTCTACCTATACCTGGGCAGCTGGCTCCGCTCTGTTGCTACCGCGGGGGGACTCTCCACACCCTGCAACCAGCGAGCTGCACACCCTCATCATCATTGCCCGCATTCTTAACCACCCACCAACACCACCACCTTCAACCCAACTCGCTGATCTCAACACAGCACGCAAGCAACTCAAGCCCCACAAGTATTTCCCAGGCTTTGCGCACACCTACCACCTCTGCTCTCCGTCAATCCCTAGCGACAAGATTAGACAAGACAAGACACGACACGACACGGCATCACTACGCGCACGCAACAACCGCTCCCAGCCAACCTGCCCCCCCGGACAACGTCATCCCGCCACGACAGCACCAAAAACTCCACACCTCAATTCACCTCCCTCTTTAAGCAACCTGGCAGGATCTAAGCGTCGCAGTCTCTCCTCGCACGGAGGTCTGCTGTTCAATAAGATGTTCGGCGGCTCATCCGGCTCCTCGCCAAAAGCAGAGAGCAATCCCAACACTTCCGCATCCTCAAACCCAAAGACAGACAGCAAGTCTCCCTCGCCCCCGCCTGAATCCCCTGGCGCCGCGGCCGAGAACGGCTCCGACGGCAGCTCTCCCATCCCCACCAAGAACGCCGAGCAGGTCACGACTGGGGAGAAGCGCAGCGGCAATGGCAGCCCCCCGAGTACCTCCGCCACGTCTAAGAGGAGAAGCAGTGGTGTGAGCGGAAAGGCCAGCAGCCTGATTGCGAGCGCCAAAAACACTCTCAATTTCGCTCAAGGCAGCGGTAGGACCGGCAGCGACCTGGGCTCTGCCGCTCAGACACCCATCCAGAAGCTGGGCAAGGAAGATCCGTCTCTTGTCGTCCCCCAGGGCCAACACAACAATGCTGCCGGCGAGTCGCTTCCAGGTCCCCGGTCTACATTCCGCGTTGGTGTGTGGGAAGACAGGAATAAAAAATGTCGAAGGACCATGGAAGACACCCACGCATTCCTCTACAATTTCCTACACACCCCTGCGCCTGCTCTTGGTTCCGAGACGGGTAGTACCAAGTCCCAGACCCCCTCCGAAGAGGCCAATGCCCAGGCTCGCGGTGAGGGAATGATTGAGACAGACAATGGCTATTTCGCTATCTTTGACGGCCACGCCGGCACCTTCGCCGCGGACTGGTGCGGGAAGAAGCTGCATATCATCCTAGAGGAGATCATCAAGAAGAACCCGAACGTGCCCATACCGGAGCTGCTGGATCAGACCTTCACGACCGTGGACACCCAGCTCGAGAAGCTACCACTTAAGAACAGCGGCTGCACAGCAGCTGTCGCGGTGATGCGTTGGGAGGACAGGGTGCCGAGCAACGCGTCTCAGACCGGATCCCAGTCAATCGCACCGGCGTTGGCAAAGGCTTCGGAGAAGCCCTCCGAAGGAAGCGAAGCGAAACCCGAAGCCAAACAGAACCCAGAGGCGGAGCACGCCAAGCTGAAGGGCATCGCGTCAAGACAACGCGTTCTGTATACTGCCAACGTTGGTGATGCTCGGATCATTCTGTGCCGTTCTGGCAAGGCCCTGCGTTTGTCCTACGACCACAAGGGTAGCGACGAAAACGAGGGAAAGCGCATTTCCAACGCCGGTGGCTTGATCCTCAACAGCCGAGTCAATGGTGTACTGGCAGTGACTCGGGCGCTCGGCGACTCCTACATGAAAGACTTGGTCACCGGGCACCCATACACCACCGAGACAGTGATTCAGCCCGATATCGATGAGTTTATCATCATTGCGTGCGACGGTGTAAGTCCGAAACCCCTGCCCTGTCGATGAAAGCCTGCTGACAATACGTACAGCTCTGGGATGTCTGCTCTGACCAGGAAGCGTGTGATCTTGTCCGTAACATCCAGGATCCAGCGGCCGCTTCGAAGCTACTGGTAGACCACGCTCTAGCCCGATTCAGTACGGACAACCTGTCTTGCATGATCGTTCGGTTTGACAAGGACGCACTCGTGGAAAGCCAGGCAAACAGGGCCAGCCGCCTTGGCGTCGAAGGAGATCGCATAGCTGCCGGCAGTAAGATTAGCGAGACAGAAAAGATCGTCAGTGCCGCCAAGAAACAGATCGCAGATGGCGGCCCTGCCGTCGGCGTGTCAGCGAGCAACAGCGGCAGAGGCCACGACCCCATACCCGCCCTGGATGACGAAAGCGGAGAATCGTTCACGCCAACTGCGATCTCGGGCTCCGTAGAAGAGGAGCCGGCGCAAATGGATGGCGAGGTTGCAGACCCGGCGTCGAAGAAGCCAATAGACTCCAAGGAGGTCACTTCGGTCCCGGCGTCGAAACCGTCTTGACACTGAGGTAAATCGACTTCGTGGATTTGCTCCTGACTTTCTTGTTTTTCAAATGTCTCATATGAACCAGCGGGCGCTTTTGAGAAGCACTGTAGGAAGGAATCCGGCAATGGAGGCCTGCACCAGGGGACGCGGGAGGATATGTGAGAGAAACAAGAGTGCGGACATTGTCGGATTTCAGGCCGGTCCGCTGGACTCTCAGACTTGCAGAGCAGGAAAAGCGGAAATATTCCAGGCAGAGGGAAGGCACAGGCGAGGGCGATGAAACAGCTTTGTCACTGTCGTTTTGCTTACAGACGAGGCATGGGCACTCGAAGTTGTTGTGTGTTGTATATGCTTCTAGCATCCCTAAGTATGCCGTCATGCCTTTTTTTCCCCCGCGAACCTCAATTGAAAACGAATTGATACGGGCGTTTTATGTATCCTTTTCAAGGCAGCGTTCTAGAAGAATGGATGTGAGTTCTATGGAACGTTTCTGAAACGGAATGCGACCTGCCATGGCGATGAGCATGGGCGATGAGTGATTGATTTGCTTTTTTTTTTCTGTTATTTTTATTCATGTACCCTAACCGATCTGGCTTGCAATTGTATGGATCGATCGTGTTGACATGAGACCAAGCCAAAATCTTGGAGAACGAACCATACCCAGAGAATCCAGGGATCTGGAAACCGCCCGCCGCCCTGCCACATGGGTCCCAAGGGTTGGGTGTGGGTGACTGCCGCACTGACCACCCGCTCATCATCGCTTGGGGGGTCTCAGAGATGAACTCTACTGCGCGTACTGGGGACACCACTCCCCTCTAGAATAGCACAGCAGGCATGGACCAGCATCAAACCACGAGGTTTACCTGGGTCGTTTACCTGGGTCGTTTACCTGGGTCGTACATCTTCATGTGTTGCGCGATCGCATCGAGCTACCCACCTGTGCGGGCATGCCATCCCAACTCATCCACCCAGCCGCATGGCGTAAGATGGGTGAATGCAAGGGCAATAACACCGCGGGCTCCGTCGCACTCTCCGAGGATCTTCGACGATGGGGCCCCCAATTTTAAGGATGAAGAGGATACAATGTACGTTGCGGGTTGAGCCAGTGAGGGGAGGGGGCCGCTATCAAAGGGGGCCAAGCGGAGGGCGAACCGCGTGGAGAAGCGGCGCGCGACGTGTCACTTTATCTCGATTCGATGCTTCGTTTTCATGCGCGTTGGAAATTCGAAAGGGTCTGGTGATATGTGTGCGCCTACAGTAGGGAGCTTATATGGCACGGTGCCATGCTACGGTATAGATGGACAGTGCCTCACAGTAACGTTGAGCACGAGCAGGCCGAGGCTGGCGCTGGTCGATGGAAGATGAATGGGGCCCTCAGTGCTTCAGTGTTATTAGCTAACGGATATGTGGATGGGGGAAGATCATGCATGCACATCGTCTGGCCCGCCGTTGATCCATCGATCGACAGGTTGTCCTTCCTCGCGGGGCAGGGATCCGGCGCTCTGTCAGGGCATGGTCGAAACAATGACTGGAAGAAGTGACAGGTGCGGAATGCAACGGCGAGATTTGAAGGCCTGCAGCCTCACCCAGTCATTTCAGCATCCAAGAGCAAGTGTTCTGTGATGGGAATAGGGAGCATGGAGAAGCACTAACTAGGTTATAAAGGGGGCGGGCGGACTGCCGGGAGGGCGGGCGAGCGGGCGAGCGAGCGAGTGAGTGCCTTCTTAGTGGAGCCCAATATGTCTGTTCGCAAATTTGATTGTACGAGAGTTTGAGGGTGATGGTGAATGAGGCCAGCCGACGGCGAGACAGCATGGAGAAGAAATGGGTTGCGTGTGAGTGGAAATGGGAGTCCCTCCCAATCAACCAGACATGCAGGCATACTGTGATTTGATTTTTTTTTTTTGGCCCGAGATTCACGCTCACGCGCAGTTGATGGACGAGATTGGAAAGGCAATCTACCTTTACCTACCCAGCCCAGCCAGGTACGCACATCAGCACAGTTCAATTAGAGGACTTCGAGTCCGCGAGCAGGGGCTTTCCCTGTCGGAGCAAGCAGTGCCAGAATTCCAAACGCGTTTGTGGCTCCAGAGTCCAGACGTCCGTCCATCTAAAGTAGACTAGGAAGGTGTCGACAATAGGCGTGCATAAGACAGACTACCTTCGGTATTGAACACCCATGATACAGTAGCAGGCCGTGCTATGGTGTGGAGGGGAAAAGCGGTCCGGACGATTTCATGTGTCTGTCCCTAGGTTATTGATCTCGTCCTCGTCCTCGTCCTCGTCCCTGTTCACGCCCATGTACATACTGCACTTACCCACCAGCCGGCCTCAATGCGCCTTAAGGATATTGGCCGGGTATCGCAAGTTAAGCTGCCCAAGCAATCTGCTCCTCTGAGGCACGGCCTACAATAGATCATTACTCAAGGAAGTACTCCTACGACCTCGGTCTACCAAGCACTGCTGCTGCTGCAGACAGAAAGGTCTGTTTCGGACGAGTCAGAAGCGAGTCCTGCGGTGCCTGTCATATTTCTCCCCACAATTATCCAAAGAGCTTCTTTTCCGACATCCACGTTGGCTACCGCGGGAAGCAGCTTGCCGCCAGTCTCGTCTCTTTTAACAGTAATTTTTTATTCTCCTTTCGGCAACTTTGTTTTAAGATTCGCCGTACCTGACGGAGTGCAGCCTTGTCCTGTGTCGCAATCCCGGCCTGGCGTCCTGTCCCGGTACCTACCCTGCTCCTGCTACCCTACACCCTGCCTGCAGTCTGCAACCTGCATTTCTGCTGCATACGGCCTTCCATTCATTCATTTCCTTATCGATCTCTCCTTCTCTCGCTCCCTCCCTCTATCTATTTTTTCCGACATCCAACTTCCAAGGTTGTGAGACAGCCCACCACCAACCCTCCCACCAAAACGGCCGTCGCCCCCACGACCACCGCGCGCCCAGCCTACTACTGACTGTTCTCCACGGAGCACCGACCCGTCCCTCAATGCGACGGCTCTTTGGCTCAAGGAAACGAGGGAACTCCATGGTCGCGATCGTCACGTCTGCCGCGTCTGCCCACGGCCCCGGCTTGCTGGTACCTCACCTGTCACCAGTCACGCCCCTGAAATAGCTCCCGGCCGCGAGAGCCCAACTGCTCCCCCACCACCCTCCCACGCCCGCGTCCACGAACCGACAGCTCTCCGCCCACCCAAACCCGACGACAACGCCTCGCTGTTGTGGCGCATTCCAAATCGAGCGCGACGCCCGTCTCTCACTGACCGCCACGCTGGCCAGCCGAAATGTCGCTGAATGGTCTGGATGATGCGACGGTCAAGGAAGCCTACGATGCTGCGATAGCTGAGCCCGGAGGATGGTATGTGACGTGCAATTTCTGGTCATACACGGACGGTTTCCGCCCACGCGCCTGTGCAATGCAATCTTGTGCACCTCATTGCAGAGCATAAATAAACGTCAATTGTGCAAGTCCACTGCTGACCCCGCCAACTGTGCCCGCCTACAGGTTCCTGCTCAAGTACGTCAGTCGCGATGAGGTCCAGGTCCTAGCCAAGGGCAACGGTGGCACCGTTGAAATGCGCAACAACATTGCCCAGTACGAGGAGACGTCGCCTTTGTTCGGTCTCCTGCGATACCGTCGCAGGAATGTGATCATCAAATACCTGCCCGAGGGCTGCTCCCGATTGATCCAAGGTATGTCTCAAGCTTCAAATTGTTTTATTGCCGTAGCTTGTGCCCTGTGTCCATACAACAGCTATGTGCCCCCGTGGTTTGCTTTTAAGAATAATCTGCTTATCCCTTCACCTACTCTACAGCACGACTCGCCGTCCACTTCAATGCGGTCTGCGAGCGCTTCGCCCCATACGACACGACCTTCGACATTGCCGAGGCCAAGGAACTGAAGGACACCAAGCTATCGGCGGCTTGCTCCCTGCACACCGCGTCCGAGTCTACGTCATCCTCCACAAGCTCCCTTCGGCGAAGAAGGTTAATGGAAATAGCAGAAGAGGAGGAAGGCGAACAGAGAACAGCCAAGAGACAGTCCACAGTGGAAGAGGAGGAGGATCATCAGTCAGAAGTCGACCCGACCGAGTCTCGGCCGCGCTCGCCTATCACCGGTCCACCCGTTACCCTCGATCCACAACTCGCTGCTTCGCCAGAAGCATCACAGTTCGCTGGCAGCACAGAACCTCCCTCCTTTATTGGCGTGCCGCGGCCGGCCTCCCCGGCCAAGTCCTTCGAAACTGATACAGGCCGGCGCTTGTCATCGCAATCTTCACGGCAGGATTACTACAGCTCCTATTATAATAAACCAAGAGTGAAGCTTGGACCGCGCCCCTCACTCGACCCGGCTGGCAAGCAAGGCAGCTCCAGCTCTGTCCGCCCGGTTGCGTCCATGCCCGCGAGTCTCAAATTGTCTTTTAAGGGAGCGAAGAGGACTAAGACGCAGGACGACTCGTCATCTGTAATCAGTGAGGAGCCCGGAGATAACACATTCCTCAACCCATCGATACCCATCCCCGAGGATCCTTCCCTTCTCCAGGCACTGCGACCACGCACCAGTGGCGGAAGGCCGTCCACCAGCTCTGGTGTGTCAGTCAAGTCACTGCCGTCGATATCAGCTCCTTCCAGAAGTACAATGACACCCGAGAAACTCCGTCTTATGAAGGCCATGCAGTTACGGGAAAAGAAGAAGAGGGCAAGCGAGCAAACGCCCCAAGTGCCTTCAGTCCAGGTGACAGCCGACCCTGAGGAGTCCAAGGTCGCAGCCGAAGACAGCGAACCCCGAGTCGAAACCCAGACTCCTGCAGAGAATGACCAGGCCGTGGATCATCTGTCCCTCACCAAGGTCGAATCTGAGGGTGACAACGTTTCTACCATCCCAACAGACCATGCCTCGGTGCGCACGCAAACGGATTCTCGGCCACCCTCGCCAATCTGTGCTTCCTCTGAAGTCGGCGACTCGACCAAGGCGTCATCCGTGTCAGACTCTACGGAAGAAACAATCCAGGGCCAGGGAGACAAAATCGGACAAGAACATGATGAAAAGAGCGCACAGCTAGTTGACACGCTGAAGCAAGATGACGCACGGCCAGACGAAACCCCTGCTGCCGGCCCAGACGATGCTGTGATCGAGAACGGCCCGGGGGTCGAGGGACAAGAGGTGTCCCAAGCGCCACTGACTCAGACGGAGCAGCAGCCCGACACAGAAGGTGCCCAAAGGGAGGTGGAAGAGAAACCAACACTTGTTCAGAAAGACCTGCCTGCTGAACATCGTTTTATCCCAACTTCCAAATTCGCTAAAGCGATGAACGGCCAGGCCGTCGTGGAGCCCATGGAGCCGGACCCACAAGAGGTTACATCTGTACCTGGAAGGATTGATGAGGTGGGCCCTACCCCTGTGGACCCTGCCGAGAGGACACAAGACGGATCAGCCGCATCACCGCCCAAATGGAACCTCCCAATTTCAAAGTACTCAACCCATGATTCCAGCAAGACTCTCGCTCCCTCCCCCATCCCAGCCATTGTGACTTCCTCGACCGACACGCCTGATGGAGACCACCAGGACCTAGCCAATGCAGCAGACACAATGGAAGCCGAGAGCGCTTCTAGCGAGAAGCGGTCGAAGAGACCTGATCCCATCAACACGGCCTTGGATCTCCCCGACAAGCAGTCAGTACAGGAAAATGAACAGCCCATAGCCGAGCCGCAGTCCGCGACCACTCAGGAGGCCAAGCCAGTCGTGATCGCTTCCCCAGTCGCCTCTCCGGTCACCGCCACTTCAACAGGTCAGCCCAGCGAACCACCGACACCGCGCATTATGCGGACCGTATCGAGCCCGATCCGGAGCCCACAATTGCCGACCCCTGGTGCAGCACCCCCGTCCGCGAGGTCCGTCTCACAGGGCGCGGCATTCCACTCGAGGATGAACCAGCAGTCAGCCTCTCACCTAGGGCCCCGGCCGCCTGGTAAGCTCTCCGGTGGACTCGCATCGCGGATCAAGGCCTTTGAGCAGCTGGCGAATAAGCCTCCCTCACCTGGTCTGCCCGTCGTGCCTGTCAAGGATCGACCGTCTTCAGCCTTCTTTTCAGTCCGCAGGAACAGCGTCAGAGATGGTGCTCAATCGCCTCTGGCGCTCGAGAGAGCGAACTCTGTCAGGGGCAGATCGCCAGGTAACTCGCTTGAAACATCTCCAGAGGCTATCATCAAACCTTCACGGGAACGTTCTGGGTCTGTTGCCAGTCGCTTGTCGGTATTCGAAGGCGGCAATGCACCAAGGGGAAGGCCTGAATCGATCTCTGTGACGGCCAGGATTGTTCGCGATCCTCCAACTCTTACGAGGCCACAGGAGACTCAAAATGACTATGACACCAGCCCTTTGGAGCTCAGGCAATCACCGCTGATAGTTGACCATCGCAAGGCTACAGAGACCCCAGAATTAGAGCCCGTTCCGGACGCTGCACCGCCTGTGCCAACGCCTCTTATTCATGCAGGGGAACCTCAGCCACGCAAATCACTCCAGGAGCGGCGATTGTCCAAAGCCGGATCGGTGGCTGCCGGTGATGAATCTCGAGATGGTCATCGACCAGGGCAACGCACGTCTTTGACAATGGCCAGGGACTTCCTGCGGGACTCAATGGTTGGTAGGGACGCTGCGAGCACCCCCCGACCTATGTCGATGCACCAGCATCATACCTCCCTTATGGGTCGTCTGAGCATCAGCTCGAAGCGCACGTCTTTTGGCCCCGATTCTGCGACCTCGCCGGTGAAGCCTCTATCACCAATGTCAACGGGTGAGTTGAGTGAATCCGGTGAAGACAAGAAAACGAAGGAGGGGAACCGAGCAAGCCGCTTCATGCGACGTCTGTCCAGCTCATTGAGCCCGCGCAAACAGTCGACTCCGACGATTTCTCCCACCCTGGCTGAAGAAAACGTCACTGACGTTGAACAAGCTATACCGCCTAGGGCCATGACTGCACCTTCGATCCCCAGCACGGCCCCTCTTGTTGCCTCTCTGGGCGACGTCAACGTGCAGTTTCCCGACAACCTTCTTTGGAAGAGGCGGACAGTATCGCTAGACACGATCGGCTACCTACTCCTCAGCGCTGTGCAGGGTGTCACCTCGATTCGTGAGAAGCAACTTAAGCGGTATCACCTGAGCGAGTTCAAAGCACCCTACGCGCCCGAGATCGAGTTCCAAGAGCTTCCCAACAGCGTGTGCCTGGATTTTATCGATGGGTCCAGCCTGCAGATTGCCTTCCAAGACCGTGCCGGACAGCTCCATGGCCTGCACAGTAAGTCTAGCCGAGAATCGGTGACCAAAAGTGAAAGTTTACTGATGACGAGAAATAGCACTCCAAGATAACCACCGAAGGCACACCTCTTCCGCTTCATAAGCGACATGAGCCTCGAAAGAGATCTTCTCACCTGTTCATGCCCGCCCACCAACTTGGATGGGCGGGGGTCCACACATGCCTCAGCCGAGGAATTCCTTATGTCTTGCAAAGCGAACGACGCTGTGATCGAAAACTCTAACGACCCGATATCACCTTTTTAATCTGCTTCGTTGACTCTGGCCTCGGTTGAACGCCAGTTTGATTTAGAAAGCCAGCCTTCTTGAGGAAGTCGCTATTTTTCTTTAAAGCGAGCGAATTGCGGTGAATTTTTCCTCACAAAATCCCACGGAAGGTCGGTCCATAACTACGGTGTTGAGATTCTTGATCCCATATCATACCCCAAATATACTCATCCTGTTTTCTTGTCTGCCTTTTGTTTTTCGTTTCTCATTTGTCCCCTGAACCATCATCACCATCGCCTGGAAAGAAAAAGAACTGGATTGAATCGTCACTTCACGGCTGAGCCCCCCAAAATTTTCTGCTTTTAAACGGATTTGATACCACAACACTACCATACCCATCCGACCTCGCGGGGAACATCTTTCCTCCGACAGTCTATCGATTTGTCCATTTTTCTTTCTGTGTTTTTCCGCATGCGATGCTGAGGTGTGCTTGACAGGGGTCTTTAAGGCCTGGGGGAACTGTGAAGAGGGCGAAGAGAGAAGTCAGAGGAAGCAGAGGGGACATAATCTAGCATCACCATCACGAAGCATCGCACTGGCGGGTTGGGGACGGCGGGCGGCAGGCGGCGCCAGATATCGGGTCTTATATTTTTCTCTTTTTCCTTTCCTTTTCACCGGGGAACACCTTCTAACAAAACAAACCAAAACAACCTGTATATATGTGCATTAATATTCCCCCCTGGATGAAAATGGCGGGAGAGAACAAGGTGCCACCGCGGAGAAGGATGCGGTTGGATGAGCGAGAGAGGGCAGTCCGATCCCCCTCACTGGAGGGGGCGGAGGTAGTGAGTAATAGAGAGGAAGTTAACTTTACCTGGCTGTGGGAGGCAGTGTGCCGCCTCGCGTGATACTCGTTTTCCTTTTCTCGGGCGAGTCAATGGTGTAGCTCAAGTGAAGTACTCTGTTCTGCGAATGTGTCGGTATGGTACTGGCTTTAGGCTTCATCATCTCGACGGATTCTCAAGGGGACTTGAGATGTTGGATGAGGCCAGCTGTGTGAGTCTGGGATATTGAGAAGTATAAGGAGATTTAAAGCGTTATGTGCAGTGTCTCGTCGACTTACAAAATTACAGGGAATATCGAGGACGCTCATAACGGACGGTTGGGGGGTGGAGGTTTCGCGGTGGGAAAATCGGAGAGAGAGGGGGGAGACATCATCTAGGAAGAGATAAATGGCCAGGGCCAGCTTCATCCGCCGAGGGCCTCGACCTTGTCAATAAGGCTTGAAGCAGCTTTGGTCTGTCTTTTTGGTTTACTCATTTCACAGAGCAGCCGGTAATGCTTTGGGTGCGAGGGTGTTCTTGTCAGGTTGCCCTAGATACTAGTAATTGTGCGAAGGCTCGAATGCAAGTCTTCAGGGGCCTAGAGGATCAAGACTCTGTAGTCCGTGGGCATGGCAGAGCCGCATCATCCCACCAAGTACAAAGTGTTCATGGCTTTGACTTATTCCACTACCTGCAGTGGTCACATCAGCGCTTATCGCAAATCACTCATGCTAGTAGTACGCGTAATAACAGTGATATTAGTATACGCGTAACATTTGAACCAAAACGGACTCTATTTTCTACTCTTGCACACCTTGCGGGCAGCCTACCGTTACTGCTCAATCTATGCTTGTCCTTGCCAGCTAGCTGCTACATAGCTTGACGCAGCGTTTATGCATGTTGTACTGGCTGTCCACGTGGGGGTTCTTTTCGTCGCTGCCACAAGAAGACCTTCATTTCTCGCTCAGAGAAGCGAGGCGGTTGGGTCTGCTGGAACCAGGGCTTGATTGGACCCTCCGGTATGCAGGTGAGCATATGAGTAGAATCTGCCTTGAAAGCTGAGGCAATGCTGGGGCTTAGCCAACCATGGCCGATACGCCATGTTGAGTCTGCAGCTGACTGCATCAGTGCCCAGCAGCTCCCAGTCGCTTAATACTAGGTGCCTTGGTCTTTGACATTGACTCCTAACCTGACGAGGATGCTTCAACAACACTCAAGTCGTCTCCAAAGCATGAATTACTGCTCTCGGAGTTCAGGTCATTCTGATTTCTCCTCTGTAATCTTCCCGTACTTGGAAGGCCCCGTCTATACCAGGACCACGTCCTTATGATTTAGGCATGTCTGATCCACTCTCCATCACAGCATCTGTAGCTGGAATTATCTCGCTCGGTGTTCAGGTGGTCGGCGGGATCACGCAATACTTCGACGCGGTGCGGGAACGCAAAGATGATGTCGCCTCGGCAAAAGCACACGTCGTTCGCATGCAAGAGCTTTTGAAGCTTGTGAGCAACGCGGCCGCGGAGGTTGAACCAACTCACGCCACAACCGCGGCATTCCTGAAGGCTGCCGCATCAATTCAACCGGAGCTCCAAGCCCTAGAACGATTTGTCCAGAGTTTGGATACCGCAAAGTTTCCCTCACCAAGTCATGAGGTTATTGGAAAGGTTTATGTCCAGACAAAGAAGCTTACGTACCCGTTTCACCGTCCGACCATGGATCGGTTGCAGTCTCGCCTGATTCAAGTGAATGCGATGCTACAAGCAGCACTCCAGATACTTCTTCTGTAGGTGTACCGTCTAGGAGCTACAAGGAAGGTCATGGATTCTAATTAAAGTATCTGACAGAGACGTCGCCATCGATATTGAACGTAACACCTCCACTATCAAAGCCACGCTACCAGACCTGCAGCGACAGCTTTCTGAACAACTCAAACAAGAGAACGTGGCTACTCGAGATGCTGTCGCTCGCGTGGGAGACTCGACCGTGTTTCTGTCCGGCAGATTCGACCAAGGCTTAGCCAAAATACAAGAGGACATCGCTGCTACCAGCACTACATCTGTATCAGTGCTACGTAAGGAATACGCTGAAACTGAAGCCAGGCTGCTTCAAGAGCTGGCAGTGACACAAAGCGGTGTCAATGAATTGGGTGACAACTTCAGACGCTTTGATCTGGCACTCCGTGCGCTTCCCACGCGAGAAGAACTTGGGCGCCTCATTGCCAAGCCAGGCCAGCTGAAGGAGTTGTGCGAATTCATGGAAGAACCACCAGATTTCACCACCTCCCAACATTCTAGCCACCGTTCGCACATCACCCTGGCGCGAAGGACATGTATTTGTCGAAAGCGTGTAGTTAGGTCGAGACGGGCGCTCCTCTGGAGATCTTGGCAGGCTTTGGCGGACACATCGACCACGCATGACCACTTTCCAGACTGTATTTTCCATGTCCAAGGCGCAACGGTACCGTCAATACGGTGGTCGTTGGCCTTCAAAGGACTGCAAGGACTCATCAACCGCGCGATCGAGGTGTCTTTCTCGTACTCATTTGGGGCTGGCGGATGCAGCCTTAGCCCGGGTTTCAATTACTACCCAACTGTCGACCGCAGACGCGACCCGGCATTTCGAATCATGGGACTATACCGCTGGTCATGCCTGAGTCTGATAGAGAGTAATTCACGTCAGGATGAGTTCCTGGAGCAGTGTCTGGATAACATGGCATTGCTTTATCGCCATGGCAAAGCTTCGCCAAAAGCCGTTGACCAGCACGGCCGTGGTGTTCTGCATTACTTGGATGTCAAGTCAAGTGTAGGTCTGCCGTATTCAATCACAACGCCTAAGGAACTCTTTGTTGACAATCACCAAGCCCAAATTCCGGGATGTCTGCCTTACAGGACTGGATACGCTGCTAAAGCTTGGAGTGCAGGCTACCATGTCTGACATCTATGGCTCGTGCGCAATTATCTCCCACTCGGCCCATTCAGCTCAGCTGACGTATTTGAATTTCGCTATAGGACACCTGCCTGGAGCATGACCTGTCTGAATTTGAGTCCCTATATGTGGGACAGCCCACGCGAAAATAGACTCAAGGGCCCGAACAGACCTAATACCTGGGACTCGTGCTCTTTTGTCAGCGAGTTTCTGTGCGCCCAAGAGCCGTGTCAAACTATTGTCACTAAATCTGTGCTCGAGCTTCCAATGTCCGAGCAAACAACAATGGAGTTATTTTGCATGATGCAACGCTCGCCAGCCACTGCAGAAGGTCTGTATTATCTCTCACTTGAACCTTGAGCCTCATCATGCTGGCAGGCTTTGGCAACGCTGACGACATCAATCTGCTCAGCCTTGGAATGCGGTCCCTTGAGTCTTGCAGCACTTGCAGGCGACTTCAAGAAGATGGATTTTCTCCTGACAAATCATCAAAATGCGATTAATGAGCGTAATCTACTGCGGCAAACTCCACTACATCTGGCAGTCGGGCATTCATCCTGTGTTGCGCTTTTGTTGAGGGGATCAGGTCGTAAACTAATCGATTTGCCAGACAGCACAGGCTGGCGACCTATGGATTACGCCTTGTTCTCTTGTATAAGTAGCCTATTATATACTGGGTTACATTATCGGCACGGTTGCTTGAAGAGCCACAGCGACACCAGTTTGAACATCCTATTAGATGCAGACTGTATGATACCGAAGATGGCATCATGGCCACGGGATCTCTACTTCTACTCGTCTTCTCTATGCTGTAATTGCGTGCAGGCAGTATCGAAACACTTGGTTGATCGAAGCGAGGGTCTGAAAAGGCTGGCGGCACATAACCTTCCTCGCATGCAGGCCACTGCATTGGGTCTTTTCTCTCCCTATTTACTGGATTCTAACGCCACCAGGGTGATTCAGGCCCTCAACAACCGTGGCATTTCTGTGCCTCCGAGTCTGCAAGTGCATGGATCCTGCGGGGAAAGAGCCCGTCATGATTTGACTTCAGTATACCATAGTGGAAACCGACCGCCAATACCTTTCTCGGTCCTTTGGAGTCTCGGATTCCGCGACTTGGACACGCCCGACAATGATGGAATTACGCCCTTGATGTGGTGGTGTAAACGAACCTCGTATACTGACTGGAAGGAAGCCGCCGGTCATTGCTCCTGGTTCATCGACAATGGCGCGGATCTGTGGAGGTTGGTTCCAGACGGGCTATCAACGATCGGTCACGAGATCTACGCCAGAATCGGCGAATTGAAAACCAGCAGCGATGAAGACAGCGATGAAGACAGCGATGAAGACAGCGATGAAGACAGTGATGAAGACAGTGATGAAGACAGTGAGCGAAATCCCATGGAACATATCTTCGACCTCACGGGAAAGTTGTCACAGCGAGAGCCACGTGACAGGTGTCGTTGTGCTTGCTCGCCTGGGGGTTGCACTCCCTTCGTACGATTTCTCCAAACCGCACTCCACCCGCGATACGCCAAATCAGCTTCGAAATTCATGGAACAGCTCCCTGAAATGATAATGGAAACCCATACGTCTGTGACCAAAGTCCAGATGCGATCTGCAATCAGATATGCTACTTTCAGGATGTTAGGCATTAGACACACTTGCTGCCACGACGATAGTGGTCTATCCTTTGGACAACATCGACAACATCGACAGAACGAGGAACTAGACGAGTTGCGTAAAGAAGACTGCTTTCTAGTGGCCCGTCTCGAAGATCTGGCCACTGAATTTGAAGAGGAGCTGGAAAAAATGGGCCAGGAACGGTATGTCAATAAACGTGTATCATTTTGGCACGGCTATTGGCTTCCGCGCATGCAACAAGTCCTGGAATCCATCGAGAGTGCTGAAATAGAGGAGTCAGACGAGGTGGGTGCCGAGGACATTGGAGTAGTGTGGCATAAGCAAGAATCCTGGAAAGGCAAAGACCGCGATGGAGAATCCGACAGTGAATCCGACAGTGGAAGTGAGGATATCGGATATCACGAGTGCGACTGGAGCTCCGAGATTGACGAAGGAAGAATGATTCACACACTCCGAACAATGAAGGATTGGAGCTCTAGGCTGGATCTGATCATGGCGAAAGCTGGAATGTCTGCAGGTCGGTGATCGACGCGTTAGCACATTACAATCCATCAAACTAGCTAACACACGGGTCGACTATGAGCGCAGTTGAATTGTGCACTACAAACAGGCCCGTTCTCTAGGAAATCCCCAGGGGCTCTATACCCGTCGTGACACTCGAATTGTTAGTCAAGTACTAAGCAGAATGGTTAGCATGTGTGGGCAAAGCGGACAGTAAAAGTGATGTTGCCGTTGGGTCTGAGGTCGCAATTCAGCAGCTGTTTTACGTATCGATACATTATCAAATTTGATCAAAGATGTACAAGGAAGCAAGTAAGAAAGATTTAGGCCCACTTTTCGAGAATGCAGCGTCTCGGGCACTTGGTGCGCGGTACCTACATGCAGACATGCAGAACCAAACGCCCTGCTCACACATGCGGCGTCCAGATGTGTCCTAGCTCAAGCTGTTCCGCTGTCTGTGTCAAGCGAAATGCTACCCCCCCCCCCTTGTCCGTCTTCAGTCCCTCCTACACACGTTAAATCTCCACTTTGTGTGCGTTTGAAAGTCTTGGCAGTCAAGCGAAATGCTACCCCCCCTGTCAATCAAAAATCAATCCTATATTCATACTTTATCTGAAAATATCTTAACATATTAGTTTTTTTATTTAACAAGAATTTTATTTATGTGATTTTCTTTGTTGGATTTTTAATTTAGTATTTTTTTTATTTTTTTTTTGCTTTTTAAAAAGCTATTTTGAAAGAGACGAAATTTCCAAAATTGCAGAATTTCACGTCTTGAAATCGACTGACAGGGGAGGGGTAGCATTTCGCTTGACACAGACAGCGGCCCGAAGTCTGGCCATCTCACTCACGAATACTGGGGTCTTATTGGTCTTAGAAGCAGGATGAGCGAGTGTTAGGTGTGACAAGGAGTAAACCCGATGGAGTCGTGACATCCAGTATTCGCCGCGATCCGGAAAAGGCTCCTGCTTGAACTTCACCATTTTCATCGTGACTGTATCTAAAGCGCGATACATTACATGGTTTCTCCCAGCGTCCTGACCGCCTTGCATGATGATTACATAGGATGCTTTTGACCCCCGACCCAAAGTGTACCTCGCTCAAACTGTTCCACGAGTCTGTTGTGCGTCTCTGGATCGAAAGTCTCCAGAAGAACAGGTGCAGAGTCACCCCATCATGGATGCAACATGCCTCAGTTTTGAGCTCTTTGCTATATGCGTCAAAGGTAAGCCGTGCGTCTCGCTATAATAGTGTTGAGGTGCAAAGAACAAATTTGAACAGCAGATCTAGCAGTATCTGACTCTAGAGTATGCCCGGCTGACCAAAGCTCTAGCATACAAGCTTCTGCTGGAGGCTTCTGACATGCCCAAGAGTCTCCGGTATCTGCTTGTGCGACTTCGTATGGAACGTGACAAGCTTCTGGACTGGGGCGTGCTAGCGGATCTCTCTGAAGACGAGCGAACACTCAGCTCAGGCCTACAACTTCACAAGCATGTGGTCAATGATACCTTACAGGAGATCAAGATCGTCCTCATTGAACTCACAAAGCTGAGCGATAGGCACAACACGGAAATGGTCGGTGGAGAATATGCAGAGAGAGCTGTTGATGAGGACGCCGAGGTGAACTCTTCGCACAGCAATCTACTACTGCACAAGAAGGCAGTGGACTTCGTTGCAAAGACACGAAGATTTCCCGGCCGGATCAGATGGGCGTCTTTCGACAAGAAGGACTTTGAGACACTATTGTCCAAGCTCACTACCCTCAATAAGAGCATGACGTACCTCTTCGAACGACACCAACGGGAGCGTCAGTTGCAATTGCAAGAGAGCTCTTATATGGGGATTCTCCAGGCCAACAACAAACTTGACGATTTGCTTGCACTGATGGCCTCGTTGGGCAATCTGAAAGAGGGAAATCATCTACAGCAGCTGACCCGCTTTAAGGCTTTCAACGTCGCTGTCGAAACTGGGCAATCCGGTGTTCTAGAACTCTCGGATGGAAGTAAGCCCTTGCTTGAATTCAGAAAGCTGTCGCTGGGCGAAGAAGAAGAAGAAGCTGAAGAGTTGCCCGCTCGTTCGCCAGGAGAATATGAACAGAGACCAGTATGGGCAGAATGGAAGTACTACGAGCCCATCGGTGAAGACGACAAGGCACCCGATTTCGTTCCTGACCGTTTATCGAAACTGGCAAGGCTGCTACAAGATGATAACAAGCCGAAGGAGTGCCGCATACCCCGTTGCTTGGGGTACGTCCATGACCAAGATAATTATCGCTACGGATTCGTCTTCCATGGTCTAGCCGACGCAGGCGAGGCCTTACCACTGTCTCTCTTCGATCTCCTGCTATCGATGCCAAAGCCGTCATTGACGTCGCGACTGGCAGCAGCTCGCGCGATCGCTACCTCGCTCTGGTACCTGCACGCCACGAATTGGCTTCACAAGGGCCTGCGCAGTGAGAACGTCGTCTTCAAAATCCCTGATCCGAAATCTCCATCAACTGTCGAGCCTTTCCTGGCCGGTTTTGAATATTCCCGGCCAGCTGACCCCAGCGAGGTCACTGAGATGCCGAGTGAGAATCGACTGCATGACCTGTATCGTCATCCTGCGACTCAGTTCAACGTTCCCAGAGACGGGCGCCAAGGCTTCAAGAAGATCTATGATATTTACAGCCTCGGAGTCGTGCTCTACGAGCTAGGAATGTGGAAACCCGTCCACGCAATCCTGGGCATCCAGCTCGAAGGGGGCATCCGGTCCGCCGCCGTCAAGGGTGCTAAGGCCGCGTTGCTAGGGAAAGAAAACTTGCAAGCTCTCGAAGCGGAAGTCGGTGGCATCTTCACGGCAGCTGTCCAGAGCTGCCTGGCTGGGGACTTTGTGCCTAGCGGTGAGGGTGACCATGTTGACGAGGACGCCCGGCTTCAGACTGAATTTGGAGAACGAGTGGTTCGTAAATTGGGCAGCGTCACCGTCTGAATTCTGCATGAATGATTGTCAAACGGAACAGTAACCAAGCTGCCAGCTTTGTGCTCTAGACTCTGACTTTACCGCGTATATTGATTGCTTGACACATGCATGCTCCTAGAAACTGAAGACTTACAGAACTCCAACCCCTCCGACACAGGACGGATACAGTGAGTAGCCAGCTGGACACAGGATGTGGCTGCAGGAAGGCTAGGCAGCTTTCGTCGGCGCTTACATCACGTGGCATGTGGGTGTCACCCTCATTTCTACTGCTTGCCGACGACCGTTTCATGGGACTTTGATGCCATCAGACCCTGCAACTTTTGTGCCTGGCCAAATGTTCTGCTGCGACAGGAACAGTAGTCGTCTCGCCTGGGCACATTGTGGCCGATTTTCACCCGTTCTCGGTCTGTTCATGTAATTCCAAGAATCGAAGTTATATCCTCCCCTGAACCCAGCAGAGGCACTCTTCTTCGGGGTTCTCGCATCGTGCCGCCAAAACGGACGATCATACGGCAGAGATTCCAGGCATGATATAACAGTGAGGATGGGCTACGCTATAGGAATCGATATCGGCACGGCGAACACCCGCGTCGCGGTCTTTCGCGACGGCCGTGTCGAGGTCATTCCTGACAAGGACGGCCGGTATTCCATGCCGTCCTACGTTGCATTCACAGAGAGATGCCGTCTCTTTGGGAGCGCCGCCAAGGCACAGGCCGCTTCCAACCCCGAGAGCACCGTGTATGGTGTCAAGCGCGTGCTGGGGCAGCGTCTGGAGCAGTGGCAGGTGGACAGATACGCAAGAATCTCACCCAATGAAGTCTCGCTGAAAACGCCTGAGCAGATGACCATCTCCGTGAGCTACAAGAAACTTCCGCACCGTCTGTCCCCCGTGCAGGTGCTTGGGATGCTGGTCGCGCGGGCTCGGGCAAATGCAGAGGCCTATCTAGGCGAGCCGGTCAAAAATGCAGTCATAAGCGTGCCAGCGCATTTCGACAGCGGCCAGAGACAAGACGTCTGTGATGCGGCCTTGTTAGCTGGTGTCAATATACTGCACTTAGGCACAAGTATTGAGTCGATTGCTCAGTATTACGCCTTCACCACTCAACGGGAGGATTTGAACGAGGACGAGAACCCCTGTGTGTTTCTGGATTTCGGCGCCGGCTTCTGCAATGTTGGTCTGGCGGTGAAGATGACATCGTCGAATTGATTCATTGCGCAAGCGACATGAGTTTAGGAGGCGAAGATCTGATCGACCGCATCCATGACCACTTCGCTGCCGAAATATGGAGGAAGTGGGGCTGGGATATCAACACGGATGTACGAGCCCGGCGTCGCCTGAGGGTGGCTTGCGAGGCCGCAATGAGAGAATTGAGCTCGATTACATCTGCTCAGATCTACATCGACTCACTCTATGGCAGCCAGGACTTCGCCGGACATCTTTCTCGGGAGAAGCTGGAAGAACTGTGCCAGGATCTCTTCCACGCGACGATTACTCTAGTCGACCGTGTGCTTTACAAGACGAGGTGGGACAATTGTTCTGTCAAGAACATTGTCATAGTGGGCGGCTGCTCACGTATTCCAAGGCTACAGAAGGTCTGGTCCAACTACTTCAATTCAAAACCCTTGGTTAAGGTGGTGAATCCAGACGAGGGGGAGGTCCTCGGAAGTGCTTGTAAGGCCGCGATTCTCTCTGGCCTTATGTGTGCTCCTGACACGTTAGTGTTGGCCACCGTACCGTTCAATGTCGGGGTAAAAACAAAAGAAGGAATCATGCGCACATTGATCCATCGCAACCAACAGTGCCCGGTAAAGTATTCCAAGAAGTTCCAGTTGTCTGACTTCGACCTAAAGCCTCACGAACGCCCCATCTTGCAATTCTACCAGGGCAATAGGCAAAGAGCCAGAGATAACCTCCTCATTGGCACGCTGGACCTTTCCGAACTCCTACCTAGCTGGAATGACAGCGACTGCAAGACCAAGATAGAAATCATAACAGAGCATGACCATCGGCACCAAGTGACGGCAAGCGCGGTCCTGGAGGGAAAGCCGAGTACCCTGACAGCGTGGCAGACGATGGTGCCCAGAAACCATGAGGTGCTAGGAAGCCTCATTGCCCAAGGTCGGTCCTACAAAGAGGACGACGCCATGGAGGAGACAAGGGTCGCAGAGCGGTGCGCTCTCGACCTGCGCCTCGCATCTCTGGCCGAGTTCCAGCCACCTGCTGTTCAAACAAAGAGGATGGTGAGCCTACTCGAGTCACTGGGTCTGTTGCGGAATTGGCTGGACGAGCTCGAGTGTGGGAGCCTCGCCGACTATCGCTCATGCCACAGGTCGCTTGACGACCTAGAACGAGACCTGAAGATTGAAGAATTAAGAGGGAGGGAAATTACCGGGCTTCGATCCCATGCCGATGAGCTACGTGCGAAATTGCTGGCGACGACACAAACGCCCAAGATCGGGTCCTTACTGCAGTCGGTTGACAGCGTCACACAGTGGGTAGAGAACAATGAGCAGGCCGAGATCCAGGAATATCAGAATAGGCTACGCTTGCTGATGGCCGTCTCTGTGGAGCTGATTACCCTGAGCGAAGCTCCACCGAGTCGAGAGTCTACACCAAGTATTCGGTCACCCCAGCATCCCGACACCGGTCCACGAGCCCAAGCGAACGGTCTTAGAAGTTTCGACGAGCTGTTTCCCGAATCTGGATGGGATACCAAGTCGAAGTTCACCGACGCCGAGTTCGAGGGGATTGCCTCGTATCTCCGGAACACAGGTCACCAGAGCTGGAGCAAGGTGCCAAGGATATACTCTGTGCTACGTCTTATCGACCATGTGGAGCTAGTCGAAGCCTTTCTGCAGCGTGACATGACAGACATTTGGTTTCCTTTCTCAGACAACACCCTTCCCAAGGCGCTAAAGCAGCCGTACCGGACCCAGTTCCTCCACGCCCAGGAGGCCGTCTTCTCTAAGGCGCTCGAGCTTGAGAGGGGCACCAGGCTCGACGACAAGAAGTTGCACCGCAGGCATGCGCACTTTTCTCACGGGGAGCCCCTACCATTCACGGTCACCGCTGTCCTGGGAAGTGGTGCTCACGGGTTTGTCGACAAGGTCGTAAGCACGTTGAGCTATAGAGAGTATGCTCGCAAGCGGTTCAAGAGAACTGCTATCAATAAGAAAGACGTGAGGACTTTCCTTAACGAAGTCAAGATTCTCAAGACACTGAACAACAGGCATTGCATTGATATGGTATGTTTGACTTATATTCCCACTCTCCTGTCCCCATCTCAGCTGGCGGTACGATGGACTGGGCCACTGATATGAGTCGCGTCTCGGAAGGTCGGCAGCTACTCTGATCCCCGGTACTTTGCCCTGATAATAAGTCCGGTGGCCGAATGCAACCTGGACAAGTACTACTCTCTAGCCCTAGCCGACATGGACAAGCGATCCATCTTGCAGGGATTCTTCGGTTGTCTAGCAGGCACGCTGGACTACCTGCACAGCCAGAAGGTGGTTCACCAAGACATCAAGCCCCAGAACATCCTTGTCAAGGATAACAGCCACGTGCTCGTGACTGACTTCGGCATCGCGCGCAGCTGGGAAGGGCTGGGAAGAGCGACGACCACGGCGGACCTCGACCGGACTTGGCTGTACGCCGCCCCTGAGGTGGCGCGTGGCGGGCCTAAGAACGAGACGGCCGACGTCTGGTCCCTCGGTTGCGTCTTCCTCGAGATGTGCACCGTGCTCAAAGGTCGGTCGCCCGCCGAGATGCGGGCCTTCTTCAAAGACCACTCCGACAGCACTAGTTTCCACGACAATGCCGCGGCGGGGCACGTCGCCAGCTGGGTCAAGTCCCTGCGGGAGCACCCAGACTCCGAGCCCAATCCGGCCCTGGAATGGGTGGAAGGTATGCTCCTGGTGGAGCCGCTCCATCGCTGCAGGCCTTTTGAGCTCTTCGACAGGACGGTAGTCACGTCGGAGAGAACCGGGGTCCTCTTCTGCGGCGCTTGCTGTCGGGACCGCGGCGAGTCGGCTCCTGAAAGTAACGACGAGCATCTGGATCGTTGGAGTGAGGGTGATGAGGATGCATAAACTCAGTCATGCTAGGAATCAACCACCGGCGGGCAATCTTACTATCACTATTACTTTGTACTTACAAGTGCATTGTGCAAGCTTACTAATGAGAGGCGATTAATGGCAGGGATGATGGATAATATATATATATATGTGTGTGTGTGTATGTGTATCACACTGCCTGATTCAATAAGGATGCTTGGATCGCATCGATATGCATGTGAGGCGATCAGATGTGGTGGAAAGGTAGCTGGCTCGACGAGCTCTCCAGGCCTGCTGGTTTTTACTCAGATTGGCGCCTTTCTTGGGCGACTCACGAGCTTCTACTGGTCGGCCACGAATGCTTATGGAACTCCAAGTCGATGTCACACATAGTATTGGCAAGTATGATATCCGAGAATGCACCTCGTATGAGTACCCGCCAGTTACTACAGACTTGAGATAGAAGTACGCGATGGTACTTACGTCTGTGCACAAGGCCCCAGTTATGGAGGCTGATAATCGCTTGTAACAGCTCCTTGGCTGCTGACACATAAACTGCGATAAGTCTCTTACTCTTGATGAGAACAGATTCGAAGTCCGGACCTCGCAGTGGGAGTACAAGCACGCGATGTTCGCCCCGTAATCCTTGGAGTATAGAGGTGTCCTGGCCTAGAACAATCCCAGAGCAATCCTTCGCACGCGCAGCAATGTTCAGGTGTATCCGATACTCTTGGGAAGCAGCGTCCAACGAGTTGAGCACCTTGAGAGCTACGTTCGTATGGTCCTTCAAGTCTCGCGCAAGGCAGACGACAGAGAAGCCGCCGCGGCCGAGTTTGGGGTCTATACGGTACTGCCCATTGTGTAGGATCTCACCAATTTAGTCAGGATAGAACATGCCACTTGCGTAAAACCCTTGGTCTTCAGAGTCCACGAAGTCGCCATAATCTAGATCATCCGCAGGCGAGGGCGAGAGTGGTGAGTTTGTGTTGGCACGTGAGGCGATAGGTGTTTCAGACTTCATCGAATCAGGTTAATCTGTTACTTCTATGAATATGGAAGCCTGAAAAGTGCAGGACGGCGCAGAGGTCAGGTGGTCGAACACTGCGCCTACGTGGATGGAGTCTGAACTTTGGCGCTTACAATGAAAGCTGAATGCAGCTGAACCATGTCAGGAAGCGATGCTGAACGTTGTTCGTTTCGAAGATACGGAATATAAATTGCCTCTACATGAAGCTTCAGACCGATGGCATCATTGTGCGGAATACAAAACGAAAGGCTTCTGCTGAGCATGTGGTCTCTGAGGTACTGATTACTGAGTGACTGACCACCAAGATGCAATTGTAGCTGTTCGTTGAGGGGCTTGAGCCAAGAATTCCTATAATAGGTACAGGAGGTGACCATTTTTAAATTTTTCAGTTCCGAATGCAGTGATAGGGTGATATCGTCATTGTCGCCTTTCAAACTCATGTATGGCGTCAGGCTGAACATTAGCTGGGGGCACACTGCAGGCGACGTCCTTTTCGATGGGTTTATCTTATCAGCCCAGCACATAGCATTTGAACCGCTGTCACCCACAATTGTTTTTTTTTCTTTCTTTGTACCCAGGTATTCATTACGCTTCACGGTCCTTGCAAAGCCCAAAGAGTATTTTTGGGATAGAACTACGCCACGAAAACAACTCCGTGCAAAATGCATTATCTTGTCGCCCCAGTCGCGGCAATGGCCATGTTTAGCATTTGCGCTCCATGTGGCGGTCCACGCGGTTACCTAGAAAGGACCCTTTTTCTCTGGCTATGACCGCCCATACTATACCATGATGGTGACCTCCTGCAGTCTCGCTTGCAAAGCCCTGTTTCCTAAGCCCTTTCTTAGACCACAAGTACACACTGAGGCGACAGCCCAAGCATGGGAATCAACGCAATGGGCCTGGACCAGGAAATGGAAATAAAAGCGTTGAGTTTGGGTTTGAGACTGACCTCATGCGCCGCGTGCGACCTGTCGGCGACGGAGTCCCTATACAGATTGCAAGTGGTTATGCTTATAAAGTTTTGTTGTTATTCGTGCGTCTTTTTTAGTTCAAAGTCGACATCAATTCATACATACTTACGACATTACACTGCTTGCTTTAAGTTGCCTCCTTTACACCTGTGTGTCTTCGCCCCACAACCATATCACGCTTCTCCCAATCTATTCAGTAGATTTTACCGGCACTCACAATGGCCAACTCAGCTTCCACTTCGACTATTGCATCCGTTTTCAATCCTGGGAAATTCATTGGATTGAGCGCTGCCGACAAGGAAGATGCTCACTGGCAAGGAAATGTCGATGAAAACGAAGTTATTCAAGTCTCCTGGATTGCGAATGCTCGAGAGCGGGTGGTAAAAGATGCTTCCGATTTGAACGTAACGACACAAGAGCTCAAAACCGCTACAGAGCAAGCAGCTTACAACCTGGCCCTACACTTGGAGGCTACCAAAATCAAGATACTGTGTGTGCTGACCCTTTCCATGCATATCGTCTCAGAGATCAAAGAGCAATGAGATAAGTAGCAAGACCACATACGTAGAGAGCTAACGCCGCACATGTCCTTAACAAGGGCGGTGCACATGATTTCACGTGCGATAGATCCACCGGACAAATGCAGCCAAAAGAAACTCATGCCACCATTGAGACATCGTCCACTGTCAAATGGAAAGGAAAGTTCACATGCCATGCCTATTTCAAAGGCACGGGAACGTCTACGCAGATCATCAAGAGCAACCAATATCAAACCGAGTTCAGCGCCATGTTGTCAATTGGAAGATCCACGGGCTACTGTCCCGATCTGAGTACAGCTTCTGTAAGGCCAACACTTTGGAAAAGTTTTAAAGAGATTATGCCTGAAATGAAACCCTTGTACCAGCAATCAAGAGCGCCCCAGCCGGTTCAAGCGGCAGCAACGCCGAGTTCCCAGCGGCCAACGGTTGCTAGGCAGAGAAATGACGCCGATGGAAAAACTCGTCGGTATGATGTGGACGGGGAACTCATCACCGGAACACCTGTTTCGGTGGGTACGCATCTGTCAGCGTCGCAATCAATAGCGCCAAAGACGGCAGGGTCGAGTTACAAACCGCATGAAGGTGCCAGGCAAAAGGAAGATGCTGATGGCAAGATACACTGGTAAGATCAGAAGGGATCGCTCATTCCCGGAGCACCTGTGTCCTAGTCTGCTCAGTCGGGCATTGCCGGTGCTATCCAGGCCTATGTTACTGCATGGTGGAATCTTCGAAGAGTATTTCACAATGAAAAATTCTTGCACGCTGCCATGTTGCTGAAGTGGGCGAATATACTCGACCGGAAGGACCACGTTATCGCTTACGCTCACACTCATATATTTTGGAGGACCTGTGCGCTGTGAAGAATGGGTATCGCCTCAAGTGCTATTGATCCTCTCTGGTATTCTTTTGGATTGATCTTTGGGCAAGTGACCATGGAATATAACTGAGTATGTAAGCATCATATCTAGCCAAATATATAACTGACCTATCTCACATGATGAATCATCGTGGAATACTGTGTAAGGTACGATATACTCTTCTCTTCCATGCGTAAGTCAGAATGCACTTCTTCAGTTGATTTCAGTGAAGACAATCATTCGAAACAAGTATTTTGGCAGTCTGGCTTATGATGTGCTGTCCCAGCTACAAATGTAGAAGTACAATATCGAAGTGAATCTGCTAAATGGCTATCATGCCCGTATTGTTTGTAGAACGTCGATTGCGGCAAGTCTCTCAGTAAGCTGTGTTGTTAATACTGCCCAGCTGTTTAAAGGGTCCTTTGTGAGGGTAGCTATCAAGAGATACAACATCTATATGAGTGGCTAATGTCAAAGGAAGCCGAGGGCGGAGATATTTTTTCTAATTTGATTTAGAGAGAGACCTGACAATATTGTTTACTATGCTAGAGATTGATACAACGAGTCAGTGCTTCCGTGGCTTATATACCATGTAAGGTGTCGAGCAGCGACTTGAGGGGTTTCCCACTGCTCACTCGCATGCTGAACTGTTACAAATCGTAAAGTAATCACCCAAAAGGGCTGATGCTGACATGATTAGATGTAGCAAATCCGAGAAATTCTCACCCTTTCTCCTGCCCCAATATCGCGTTACATGATAGTATGGAATGTGGAGACACCTCACTCGTTCAACCTGAGCCGATGCGCAGGAGCCGTTGCACAGTCCAGATCCGAATTCGAACGCGACTTACTGGAGCCTTGGGCGACGATGGTCCATGGGAAATTAGCCTTGCGCCGGTATGGATGGTACATGTGTCGATGGCTTGGCAGAAGCGCCGTGGACACCATTGACGCGCTAGACACCCTCCCATCCACTGCACGTTATTTGCAAACAACATCTTCCATCTAGTCGATCTTCATTCATCTGTTAGTGATTTGGGAAAGCCGACCGAGTGCCGATTGAGCTTTAATTAGTTCACTCGTATCAAAAAGAACTCACTCGTATTTAGTCGCAATTCCAAGAAGTTGCACACTAGGCACCCTGACGTCAACTGATTTAGAACACGATGCGCGCTAGGGACGAATCATGGAGTCCGGTTTAATGTTTTTTCAAACGGGCTAGGAATTTAATGACTCTGCTCGGACGTCGGGCTCATTCCCAACTCATCACGCGGTCCGAACAGTCGTGTTGAGCACAGAGGTTGATCAATTGGCCACTTCGTGCTCCTGATTCACAGTGTAATGCTGTGAGGAATATGACAATATATAGAGCTTCTCTTCCGGATCTGAGCTTGTTCTGCTGCTTATCTAGGTATCCTTCCTCGCCAGCCAACTGTATCCTCTCGTTTCAACCCTCGGTTCTCTCAGACAATATATAACCTACCCTCGCGACAAGATGCGTCACACCTTTTCAATACTTGCCGTTCTGGCCAGCACTGCTTTCGCAGGCGATATCCAAGCCCGAGATGCGTGCTCTGATGCGTGCGCAAACGCGTACAACACATGCCGTTCCCAGCCTGACGCGAACCGCGCCTCGTGCGCTGCCAACTACGCCACTTGCCTCGGGTACAACCCGTTCGATAATTCGGGCTCGCTCGTCACACCCACCGGCTGTGTGATCACCACGGCGACTCCGGCTCCCCCGGCCCCCACCAGCGCCTGCGTGACCGCTTGCAACAATGCGTACGATACTTGCCGTTCCCAGCCTGACGCGAACCGCGCCGGGTGCGCCGCCGATTACGCCGGTTGCCTCGGGTACAATCCCTTTGATTCAGGATCTTTGGTTGCACCCACTGCTTGCGTTGGTAGCCCGATCGTGTCCACGGCCGCATCAAATGGGACTCGCTCAATGACCATGACGACCCAGGTGGTCATGTCCTACACCACCTACTGCCCGAGCCCCACATCCTTGGTTGTCAACAGCAAGACCTACACAGTCACTCAGCCCACCACTCTGACCATCACCAATTGCCCTTGCACTATCACCACCAGTGTGCCTGTCTCGACACCTGCCGTGGTGATCCCACCTGCCGCCACTACGAAGCCAGTACAAGTTGCCGGGGCTGGAAATATGAAGCCGGCTATGGCGCTGCTTGCAGGCGTGGGAGCAGTAGCGTTTCTCTAAACTGTACGCGCCAGACTTGGGCTAGTTCCCCGGCGATCCGAGACCTTGCGTTGGGGTTCACAATGTCGTGTTCAAAAATGTTATTATTTAAAACGTTTTTACGTTCTACTGCGCCAACCCTTTCAGCAGCAGTATATAATTCTACAACCCTCAAGTAATAATTGATAAACAACAAATTCCTTGATCTTAGAGTCGTTTGTATGAACCAATCTTGTGAGCGCGATCGACCCTCTATAACATGTCCCATAGTGGAGTATTCACTTTTAATATCAGGTAGATGAGTTTGGCTATTCTAAGACCACACGTCTCAATAGCATAGCTGAAAACGCCGTGTTTGCTATTTGCAATAACAAGTAGGTCTGTTCGCCGGAAGGGTTTATATGAACCTGATGTCTCAAAGGCGGAACTTACGAGACCAAAGAACCCTCTTAGAATGGCCGTGAGTAAGTGAAGTCAAACTTGGCTTGAAGACCTGCTCGATCAGCCATACTTTTTGTGATGGCTTGGTCACGTTGAGAACAGACCTCAGGTGCAGCTACACGAGCCAAACCCAGAGCTCTAGCGCCCTTCACCAGGATCGAAGTATGCGGCTGCTGCTTCGTCGCATACGCCTTGAAAGCCTCCGTCAGCTGGGCGGTTGGCAGTTCTTTCGCGGCGTCAAAGTCAGGAATCTCTTTTGTGAGATAGTAGCAGTCCTCACTATTTTGGTGTTAGTGTGAGATTCCTCCGCCGACATTTCCTAGGGAAAAGAAACTCACCAAGCCTGGTTTGCGCCTTGACCAAGATGGACACTAGTTGGATGGACGGCATCACCAACCATGACACATCGAGCAGAGTACCACTGCTCTGATTCAAGTTCGGGACGGTCATAGAGGCCGTATTTGATCAGCCGCTCTGCAGACTTTACCATTTCCAGCACAACTGGATCCCAATTCTTGGCTTGCAACATCTTGTTGATCTTCTCTTTCTCGGCTGCCCTCTTGTCGTCACTGAACAACCCCCACGCGGCTTCTTCCTCAGTGTTTCCAGGCAATGTCAACCCCCAGGACGTCTTGTCGTGAGTGATGGGGTAACAAATGATGTGGCTCAGCTCCCCATACCAATTTCTCGCACCCGGGGTGTTGCGCAAAGCCTCAGGCGTGGGTGAGATACCGGCGGTCTGTTTGTGTGTTCAGCATCGATACTGTAAAGATACATCAATGGGTCTTCCTACCTGCGTCAGCCCCGTAAACGAGGGTGTGCCGTCTTCGATGCCGTCACGCGCTAATAACAACTTCCTAGTTGCCGCCTTCAGCCCATCACACCCAACCAGAAAACATCCCGTCTCCGACTTGCCTCCTTCAAAGAAAGCAGTCACAGACTCGTCAGTTTCTTCAATCTGTTCCAGCTTCCAACCCTCCCTCAACTCAATGCCATTTTCAATAGCCAGCTCTCGTAGCCAGGACGTGATGAGTGTCCGCTTGACACCGACGGCAGGCTGACCATATCGTTTGGCAAAATCGGTGGGGACATCGGAACGGCCAAGAATTTCCCCCGAAGCCTTGTAATCACACAGTTCGAGGACAGGCGGGCCGTTCTGAAGGAGCTTGTCGGGCAACGGACCGATAAGGCTGATGACCTTCAGTCCGTTGGGACAAATCATTAGGGATGCTCCAACATCGCCTGGTGCTTCAGATCGTTCGAAGATGATCGGTTCATATCCTTTCTGCTTCAGGAGGCAAGCCACTACCGGACCAGCGATGCCGCAGCCAATGACCAAAACTTTGGGTGACGACATTATGAATATTGTGACTGAGCAATTATGGATTCAGTGCTTGTAATATCTGGCCTGGCGGTTTCGGTTGAAAGATGTCTCCTCGTGATAGCTTCGTCTTGATAAAGCTTCGTGTGGTCTGTTCTCACGTCAGATGCTCCCGAGCCATCGGCAGTGCTGGAGGGCCACGTACACCTGACTCGCAGTATCACTCCATCTGCGTGTATTTGCTGTCACCGACTCTGGAGTTTCGGTATCTCGGGGTCTTACCGGATGTGCATTGATTGCAGAGTAAAGCATGCTACTCGCAAGAGTCGCAGGAAGTCTATTCCCGGTATTCAATCCTATTTCTCGGAACTCATCCGCTCGATCTACGCCGACTCCAATTCCACCACCACTGATTCCGACAGTTGCGACACTACTAGAGTGACACTACTATTCTCCCACTATCAGTACTAGTCGCCGCCTGAATCACCTATTCACTTTCTCTGCGATTGTATCTTCGGAAGGATTTATAGATTCTGTCATGCCTGCAGATACTATTTCCGCTGTCGTCAAAATCAGGAAGCGATAATGATTGAATTCATCTGCTACTGACTGCGGGGGATACCCACCTATTTATAATAGCCCTCCTTTTGCCACACAGACACTAAGAAATTCAGATGATCAGACTAATATTGTAATGTATAGTCCGTCGAGTTCTAACACGGATAGCTCGTTGGCTGCTTGACCTATCCAGCGGTGATCACAGTATGCTTTAGCTTCTGCAGGATGAATGCGGCCAATTCGAAAAGGCTCATGTGCTCTGAATGTGAATGTGCCGTTGACCGCTGTTCAGAAAGTGAAGGGACTGCTTCAGGCTGTCAACCCATACCTTTCTGCACTCCGCTACGCTTTGCAGCAGGTTCGCAGTGAAGCAATACCGTTGGCCATCGAGCTCAAGGACTTTTCTGCCAGTGGCGAAAAATCTGTAATATCGAAATGTAACATATTCTGACTCCTGAGACCAAACCCTAACTCCGATGGCTTAACCATGCTGAACTTTGTCTGTCTCTACGCTGAGTCTTGCTCACGCCCGCGTAATAATCTGGGGTAGCGCGCCTCATCACCTCTCTCGACCACAGCTTCAAGAAAAGCTGCCAAGACAGGGCTCATCCCCTTCTTCTCCGCCTCGGTCGCCCAATCTACCATGCTCAAGCTCTTGAAAGGATCACCAAATCGAGCCTCCATGTAAGTCTGGAACTCGTGTACCGGCACCACATTGTCTTCGGTGTGGTGAATTATTCTAGTTGCACCGTAGGACACCCCAAAGTTGTCCTCTGTGAATGACTTGAGAATCGCTTCCGCTGTTGTCGGCAATTTGCACATGTCAAGGAAACCGGAAAATGTTGCTAAAGATGGCACAGCCTTGAGGATAGCCGAATACTTATGGATCATGTTGACAGCATCCATTTCGTCAGCGTCTTCGGACATGAGATAACCTGCGCGATGAATCGATACAGGTAAATCAGTAGCAGCTGAGCAATTTTCGAGAAAGGTCTCGCTGGCCCATTTAGTTGAGGTGAATCCTTCTCTGCCAAGAGCTGCAGGAGGATAGTGAGATGAAATGGGCCGCTCAGGATATGAGTTTCCACCACTGAAAAGAATGACGCGAGGGCTGGAAATGTAGTGAAATGGCACTTTTCTAGCCAAGGCCAGGTTGGTCAGGAACTTTGTTGACTCCACATTCTGGATGCGAATGGAGTCATAGTTGTTCAAGCAAGAGCCATCAGCTCCAGCGTGAATGATAATATCAACATCTCTCTTGAAGGCCTGTTGCGTTTCATCTGAAAGACCGAGATGAAGCTCTCCCAGACTTCCGACGTGAAGCATAAGTTTATCGCTTTCTGGCAGTGTATTCGCCTGTTCCTGAGCAAGTGCCACACAGTGGATTTTGCCAACCGAATCGTCGTCAAGCAGCATCTTCAAGAGCCACGCTCCCAACCCCTTGGCTGCACCTACGAGCATGACGGTCTTGTTGGTCTTCGGGACGACGTGAGGGGAAGCCGTTCCAACTCCATCAATTGCCGCATCGATGTCAAAACGAGTTTGTTCATCCCAGAATTCCCAATCAATGCCGTCGTTCCGAGACTCTTTGGCACCTCGGATCATGGCTGCCATTGAGCGGAGAGTACTTGCTTCAAACAGCTGCAGCAGAGATACGGAGATCAGCCACTTCTTCTGAATTATCTTTCGCAAATTGACCAGGAGCAGTGAGTTCCCTCCAAGCCGGAAGAAATCTGAATTAGGATGAATTCCGGTTGACCGAACAATGGTGTCGGGAAGCACTTTTTCCCAAACTAGACCTAGGTCTCGCTCGAGTGGCGTGACCATTTCTTGGCCATCTGCTTCGTCTTGAATAGGGATAGTTATCTTGTTCAGTGCGGCCCGGTCCAACTTTCCGTTGTGGTTGATGGGAAGTTGTTCAAGTGGGATGATGATGGAAGGTCGCATGTAATCCGGGAGTGGAAGACTAGCTGGAAGTGATCTGAGATACTCATCGGCATCCTTGATCTGAGACCCAGATGCGATGACGGCAAACGCAACTAACGTCTTGTCTTCTCCGCGCACGGTGACAACGGCTTCCGCGAGCTTTCCGTTGGCAGCCTTGAGAATATTGGACGCGATATCCTCAAGCTCGATGCGAATGCCTCTGATCTTGACTTGGCTATCACCACTGGTGCGGCCGAGGATAACAAGCGAGCCGTCAGCCTTCAAATATCCTGAGTCGCCAGTGCGGTACATCGTCTTCCAGCCTTGGCCCTGATCCTCAACTGTGGCAAAGGGATCTGGGATGAAAGAATGGGAGGTAAGTTCGGGCCGGTGAAGATATCCTTGACTGACACCTGCGCCGCCGATACAGACTTCTCCAGCGCAGCCATCAGGCACCAGGTTCATCATCTCATCGACAACGTAGATTGAAACATTGTCTATGGCAGAACCAACGGGCACAACCTCCAGGCCGTGTTCCAGATACTTGACGCGTTCAAAGGTGGCGAAGATACATGTTTCGGTTGGTCCGTATACGTTGAAGACATTCGCATCCGGTGGCATCGCCTGCTTGAACTGGGCCGCCAGCTGAGGCGTGAAAATTTCACCCCCGACGATCACGGTTCGGAATTTTTCGCAGTCTTTGAGTGTGCCTGGGGCATGCTGGAAGATGTGCTTAAACTCGACAGGTGTTCCAGCCATGATAGTCACCCCTTCTTCTTTGATGAGGTTGACGATGGCTGATGGGTCTCTGCGTTGATCCTTCGAAGCCATCACGACAGTGCCGGTGTTCAAAAGTGCAATGAAGATTTCGAAGGGGCAGAGGTCAAAGTTAACACCCGTTTGTTGAAGGATTACTTCCTGCTTTGGTCGTACATTGAGACTGCGTGAAGACGCCTCAATCAGGTTGGTGTAGTTTTCGTGCCTTAGAATTGCCCCCTTGGGCACTCCGGTAGTTCCACTGGTGTAGAAAAGTACGGCCGGAGTCTTGAGACTAGATGAATTGAAAGATCCAGATTCACCCCCTTGGCTCAGGATTGAAGAAGTTTCCAAGTTCAGAACTCCGGAAGACGACTCGCTCAGCCACTGAGCTAGTTTGGACGTCTCTTGATGATGGAGAATAGCCTGTGGGTTGCAGTCACCCACGATCGAAGCCAGCCTCTCTTGGTGGTTTGTCGGATCGAGGGAGACTACAATAGCCCCAACTTTTAAGACGGCTAGGTATGCGAACACATAGTCGGCCGAGGGCTCGTATAACAAGCAACAGAAAGGCTCGGTACCTCTGGGAACCCCTTTGGCTCGAAGAACGGCCGCAACGCTGTCGATTCTCCGCATCATCTCTTGATAAGTGTAGACCTTTGCTCCGTCTTTGATGGCGATGAGGTCTGGATGGTTCTCGGCAATCTGGTCAATCTGACGAGAAAGTGTGCCTGTAAACCCATCGGTATGGCGACATCCTCTCCCTTTCAGTCCCTTCCCGCTCAACTTGCCGAACTTGTTCGAGACGGGCAACTGGTACATGGTAAGCTCGGCGACTTCGGACTGTGGAGCCTCGCACGCAGACTCCAGCAAGCGACGGTAACAGTCCAAAATAGTTTGCGCAGCTTCCTTGGAGTAAAGCGCTTCTTGGACAGCAAAGTGGAGGAGACAAGTTCCGTCTGGAGTATCGGTGATGTTGAGTCCCAGGTCATACGGGTTGCCTGAACTTTGTGATTGGACGTACTTCAACTCAGCGTCACCGATCGAGTTGAGACCCAGAATTCCTAGTCGGTAGTTGATGATAACTTGGAAAATAGGGCTATGTCGTGCTGTGCGGGTAACTTGTAGTTCATCGAGCAATGCATCCAGGGGAATTGTGGAGTTAGTGAGAGAAGCGAGAATCTTGGAAGATGACATCTTGCAAAGGGCTTCAAAACTGTCACTTTCCGCGACGTTGACTCTGACGGGAACAATATTGATAAAACATCCTGCTGTTTGGGAGAACTCAGTGCCTGACCTACCCGTATCTACGGTACCGATGCAGAAGTCATTAGTCTGCGAGAGTCGGGACACCATCGACGCCAGCACAGCAAAGTGGAAGTGGAATGGCGTCACATGGAGTTGACTGCTAACTTGCTTGACGCGAGATACCAGTTTCTTGGGCAACACCATATCAACAATGGTGGTGACGTACTTGTTCGTTGCCTTCCGGATCTTTGTATGTGACATGGGGAAGAGAGGGAGTTCATCAGGAAGACCTGCGAGCTCATCCTTCCAGAATTGGATCTCCTTAGCAAAGCTACCATGTTCAACCATGGATCTCTGCTTGACTGAAAAGTCAACATATTGCGGAATAGTGGGCAGCGGCTTTCCTTCGTAAGCACGGGCGAGATCCTTGAGAAGAAGGATCCAAGTGACGCCATCGATGGCGATATGGTGACTGGAGAGAATGAGAGTGTGTCGGCCGGGCGAGTGTCGAAGGACAGTCAATCCTAAACAGACACCTTCTTCGAGTTTCCACTTCCGTGCCTTCATGTCTCCATACTCCTGTGCTAAGGTTTTATCCGTTGCGCTGTCCACGAACTTGAAAGGACAAGCTGACGTAGCTGTGACAGCTTGCATCGGCAAACCAGTAGCTGGATCCGCGTAGAAGTAGGTCCGTAGAATCTCGTGGTGCCAGGTGAGCTGGCGGAACGCGTTCTCCAGACGGTCAACATCCAGGATTCCGTGAAGTTCGTACATGGAGGTCTCGTTGTAGGTTGTCGGATCTTCCAGGAATCCTTGTAGAAACCACAGTCGGGCTTGTGCGAAGGACATTTGCGCTCTTCTGTGCACGACCTGTTGAATTTTGCGCTCCCCAAAGTAATCGTCCCTCTGCCCATCTCTGCTTTCAGTGCCAACGGACGTCATCGGAGTTGGTGACGATGCAGTGGGTGTGCCTGGCGTTGTTCTATTGTCCGGTCTGATAGGTGTCGACGCCCCATCGGTCCCGGCGGCTGGGATGCTAAGCTGGGTTGTCTTCGCCTCAGGCTGGGAGTCAGCCTTTGGAATTTCTGTTGTGACTGGGCCGCTGCTTTTGTTGTCCAACATGGGGGCTGAAGCCGCTCGACAGATTGAGTCCCCAGAAGCACCGCTCAGAACCTGCAGAACAGAGACCTGAGTACCGACAACCTTACGGAACCAAGTCTGAACCTCCATAGCAAGGAGTGAGTCCAAGCCAAGACTGACGAGAGGAAGGTCCATCTTGGCACTTCCAGGAGGAAGTTGCAGAAGACTTTCCAGTCTCTGAGCAAAAGCCTCCCGCACCTTTGTGAAGATAGTCTCCTCATCGGTGGCAGACTCTAACACAGCTCGGAGATCTTCAATGACTGATGGACCAATGCTTTCGGTCGCTAAGTCCCGCTTGTCTCTCACATAGAACCCGAACCGAGGCTCATTGGCCCAGAAAGGTCGCTCAGCTTCGTTGTTGCTAATTGCCAAACCAGCGATGAGCTCGCTGTGAGAGGCAGAGCCGGGGCGGCCCGCGAGTATACCCTCCGCGAACATAATGTGGACTTCAGATTCGCAGAGAGCAAGAACGCACATGCTGCGCAACTTCTTGGCGACAATGGGATCTTGACGGGTAACATAGCCAGTGTCCGAGATCATACCGACGTCAATAACTGATCCAGCTAGTCCTCTGCGTCTTCGATCGGCGGCAAGTCCAGCCATGAACGTGTTCGCCATGTGGTAGTTGGATTGGCCGGGTGTTCCAATGACGCTGCCGGTTGATGAGAGCATAATGAAGAAGTCAAGATCTTGGCCTGCGAAAGCACGGTCGAGATTGATACTACCGTCGATCTTGGGTTGGAGGGCAGTTTCCATGGATTCAACGTCCATCTGCATGAAGAGTTTGTCAGACAACACCATCGAACCGTTGCAGACACCGGAAATTGGGGGCATTGTCTTGAAGATCTCGTCGATAGCCTCCCTGATGCGAACAGGATTCGTCACATCCATAGCAATGACCCGAATTTTGGCCCCCAGCTTTGACATGGAGTGGATCCAAGTCTGGCTGACTTTAGGATTTCTGCTGGCCAGCACAACGTATTGGACTCCGTGTTTGATCATCCACGAACAGATGGAGATTCCAACGTCACCAGTGAGACCGACCATGAAGTAGGTCTTATCGGATTTGAAGAGTTGCTCGGGCTTGACAGGTTGCAGATCTGCTCGAATTGGGATGCTCTGAGCTTGCCTCCAGTCGACAACACTTGCAGGGGCATTTGCGCCGACTTCAATTGCTTCGCCGATCGGGACGACCTTGGCTATCTCGCCTGGATTCAGAGAGCCAGCCAATTCGACCGTGGATATATAAGCTTCTTCTAGCAGCTGGGTGGCTCGCGTGTCTGACCGAGTAGTCGGGCAATCCCAGAAACGCCCACTAGAAGGCTTGTGCACCAAGATAAAAGAGGACACCTTGGAAAGAATTTCAGAACCATCAACATCACTGATTGAGTCTCCGAAGATGAATGCTGCAGTCTTGCGAGGCACAACCGCCTTGAGCATGCGCTTCGGTGCACGCAGTGGAATGAAGCCATCGGAGGTTGGGTCGGTCGAAGTGGCGAATATCTCGATGCCGTTCTTCTTTGCCTCAACTTCAATAACAGCTCTCATCGAGCTGTCTACATCATGTAGCCAGATGGTGTGATCGCGCGGCACTGATCGTACCCAAGCCTGGGCAGCTAGAACAACGGACATGAGAGCAATGACGCTGATGTCGATGGCTGCTGGGAAAATTCGGTCCGTTGAAATTTGCAGGGTTGAGGAATTGGTCGCGGATAAGACAACGACGGGTTCGAGGTTTTGTTGACGTGTGCCAACACAAAGATACTGAGGACCTTGGAAGGGTAGCAGATTGATGGGTGTCAAGCAGGAGAATGTGTTGTTAATCGTATCCAGCCCGGCTCTTTCTGAAATGATCTTTGATCTAGCTTTCACTTCGACCACGGTCCCAGTAGGATTGACCTCGATGATGTGAGTGTCTGATGTAACATCCTTGACAATCTCTCTCCTAGCCGAGTTTGTACGCTCGTTGGGGTCTTCGTATTCCTGAATGCGAGGAATGAAGAGTTGGCTGTTCTTGAGAGAGATTTCGGTTTCCAAAGACCAAAGCCTTCCATCAGCACTCGCGTTGTGAACGGCCATCAGCGTCAGTTGAAGGAAACGCTGAAGGATAATATTGGCATCAAGCTTGGTGGTTCCGTCGATGTCCATGACTTGGAGAAAGCTTCCTAGAGCGGGCATTTCTGCGCGCAATCCTCGGCACAACCCAATCAACATGTTCGAATAAGGGTTCGATGTAGACGCATTCTTTGTGAGAATTAACACCCCTCGAGCCTTCTCAATGATGCCCTTGAAGCCACTAAGAACAGATTCATCGACCCCATTCTTGAAAGTGGGCTGATCTAATTCTGAGAGACACAGAACCAGAGATTGTACTGGTAAATCAGAAGATTTGATGCTTCGAACGTCTGGGAAGTAAACGACATCGTTGCCGAAGGACGACAAACGGTTTCGCACAGAGCGAACAATCTTCGACGTGGTAACCGTGGAACCACCGATGACAGTGAACGGAATGAAGCCGGGTAGCATGTGCGTGTTGTCAAGGGGTTCTCGAAGGGCATTGATGTGAGGATCAGCAGCTTGGCTGACGAAGGAGGTAAAGGTATGAAGTTCATCCTCTTTCTGATCGTGGCTGAACAAGTCGACACCGGTGAACCCAACACCGCGTAGTTTCTCGTCCCAAGTCTCGATAGTAGCAACCGGTCCAAAACGTCGACAGTTATCGCGAGCAAGCCACCAACCCTCAAGGCCACCCATGATCACCTGAATCCTGAGATGGTCTGAAGTAGGCTCAGTGACCACTAGGAAGCCTCCCGGCTTAAGCAGACCTCTTACCCGACGAAGCACAGCTCCGATGTCATCTGACACATGCAAAACATTCGCTGCGATAATGACGTCGTATGATGGAGTGTCGAACCCCTGCTCTTCAAACGATTGCCCAATGTCCAGCTTCTTGAAAGTCATCTTATGCACGTGCGCTGCAAATCTGTTCTGAGCCTCGGGAAAGAAAGCAAGCGACACATCGGTGAAGGTGTAAGAACCGAAGTGATCACCAATAGTGTCAAAAACAGCTGCCGTGGAAGCACCAGTCCCGGCTCCAATTTCGAGGATATTTGCCTTGGGGTAACGATGTGATATGGCGCTCAGATAAGCTGAGATCTGGCGTTGGGCGTTGCGAAGACCTAGACCTTCGCGGTAAAAGTGGCTGAGTTTATCGTCGGCAAAAAGGACTTGGACCATCTGTTTCTCGTTTCGAAAGACGCTGCCAGCTTCGTCTCCCACAAGTCGAAGTAACTCGAAGTCAACTTGGTGCTGGTTTCTTTCCAGGATAGCATTGATCGTCTCTCTTGTGTCATTTGCCCAGTCACGATAGGATCCCTTTTCGACCGTGTTCGCCAGAGTTGTAAGTTGTTCGAACATCATCTTCTCATGCGGTTTTAAGTTCTCAAGTCCGACCGCGCTCGCCTCTGCCAATAGCTTGCGGCAAAAGAACAAAGCGACGCGCTCAGATTCTTCAACAGCGACATCTTGAGGAGGGTTGAAGTCGACCTCGAACTCATCACCTTCGAGTAGGTCGGCTTCCCATTTGGTCTCGGCGAACAGAGTACGATCGTTGGATGCGTCTGGTCTTCCGAGAGCTGCCAATGCCATCCCTTCGAGTTGGAGAAACGGTAAGTTAAAGTTATCATGGGTCGAGTAAATGCTGACGTCGCCACTGATCTTGGTTGCCGATATCTCAGTAGAAAAAGCGTCGATGAGGACTTCGATCTGACCACTTGCAGATGGGATAAGGCGCTGTCTCGGGTTGACGGTGATCTTTTCGAAGCTTTGAGGGAGGTACGCAGTCCAGAGTCTTTCGGCTGTTGGGGCGTTGAAAGCCGCAAATACCTAGATCTTGTCAGTGAACCATGTGAAAGATGTCATATGTATTAATGGTCAGGATAGAAACTTACCGGCTGCAATGCAACATCGATCAGTGCTGGGTGGTAGAGATTCCCGTATTCAATCTCATCAGCGAACCAGGACGCTGTTGCCGTGGCAATGCCATCAACTCGGCGCATCGAGTTGAGCCTCTTGAACAGATCTTCATACTCTAGCCGAGTCTCTTTCACAGAGCTGTAGAACCGTTCAATATCCACAGGTGGCACTGTTGCAGCCAGCGGGTCCACACGAGGAGGGAGAAGGTCATCATCGAAGCTACCCAATGACACAGAGATTGTTCCGAAGCACGTCCTTTCCACCTTGCCCCCATTTGCGTCAGAAGACATGTAAGTCGAGAATTCGGCTGTGATGTTTGCGTCATCTTTGTGCGTCACTTTCGCAGATGTCAACATCTCGACCGGTCTTGGCCCTTCCTCCACCTTGAGTGGTCGCTCGAGAGCGAGGTTCTTGATGTCAACCAGCGACATTGGCTTGTCACTGCTGAGAAACTGTGCAACTTCGAGCATCATCGCAACATACCCAGCTGAGGGGAACAGAACCTCTCCCTGAAACGAATGTCCCCGTAACCATGGTAGCTCCTTCAGATTCAAGAAGTTACGCCAACGTGGTTCCCAATCTGAGTCATCGAGACATCGGTGGCCGAGCAAAATGCTTTCATTCCCCCTTGAGCGTAGCCGATGATTGCGGGAGAGCCTCGATTCACGCCATATAGGCTTGCCGTGATCCCAAAAGTAAGTGGGAAGGTCATCAACTACCTTCGGCGTGGGAATCTTATCCTGCCAACAGCGCTGGTACCCGTCGAAGTCGAGGACAGTAGCCCCGAAGTTAGACCACAAGAAGCCCTGCAGCTGTATCATGCTTACAACACAATCTTCCCCCCGATTCATGCTGCCACAGTACGGAAGCTGTTTGCCCAAGTGTGGTCGCACAGTCTGGTTGACTGGTCCTTTGAGTGCTGGATGTGGTCCAACCTCAATGGCGACATCGAATGGTCCGCCATTGGTCAGCGCCGTCGTAATTGCATCTGTAAAAAGAACAGGTTTTACCATGTTCGCAATCCAGTATGGCCCACTAATTTCGTCGAGGTTTTGATCCCAGTATCGATCCGCGTTACCATCCACACTCGAGACCCAGATGCATTTGCTCGTTCTCTGGGGTTTTATGCCGCACTTTCGCATGGCTTGAAGGTAAGCCTCGGAACAAGCATCCATACTCGGGGAATGATACGCCTTGTCAGTCTTCAGGACTCGGGCAAAGATCTTCCGGTTGTCAAAAGCTTCCTTAGCCTCCTGAATGGCGTCAACTTCGCCGGAGAGAGTGACGCTGGAAGGTGAGTTCTTGGCTGCGAGCCAAACTCTGCCTTTGAAAGGTCTTTCACGACAGAATTCTTGAGCCGCTTCACCGCTGATTCCGACTGCCATCATGGAGCCCTTCCCAGCCAGCTTGGCGTAGAGGCCTCGGTAGAAGGCGATGCGAATCGCATCAGCCAACGAGAGTATACCGGCCGCGTAAAGTGCAGCGATTTCGCCGGATGAGTGACCGACCACAGCGCTGAACTTGATTCCACTGGTCTGCAGCATCCGAACCAAGCCAATCTCAACTGCCGTAGTTGCGGGCTGTGCGATTTCAGCTTCGGAGATACGACTTTGGGAAGCCTCGGCAACCAATTCTTCTTTTAGTAACCATGATGGCGCATCTGGAAGCTTTGACAAGCATTCGTCGCACTCCTCAATGGTTTTTCTGAAGACTGGACTGTGTATCAGCAAATCTTTGCCCATGCCGGGCCACTGGGCACCTTGTCCGGTGAAAACACCCAAGACGCCAAAGCCCTCGGAAGGTGATGTTAGAGTTGAGACTGTTGTTCCCAAGGAAGGCAGCCCACCGGCAGAGTCTACAACTGCCTTCTCAAGGCTCGCCAGAAGACTTGGGCGTGACGTAGCATGGAATGATTTCCTGAGACCGAGTTCACTTCGTCGTTGCCACAACGTCCATGCTACGTCGTCGAGACTGACATGCGGATTATTGTGTAGGTAGGTGGTAAGCTGCCAAATGTTTTCGAAAAGAGAGGTTTGTGTGTGCGCGCTCACAACGATCGGCGTAGCGAAAATTTGATCAGAACAGTTCCTGGATGTTAGTAGCTTGGATTCTGACTTCGGCTCGTGAGATTCCAAAATTATGTGTGCGTTCGTCCCTCCAAATCCGAAACTGTTCACACTTGCGCGTTTTGGCTGTCCACTTTCTCTGGCCGGCCAAGGAGTAGCCTCTGTGGGAACTTTGAGAACGCGCCTGTAGGGCTGGATCTTCGGGTTAAGGGACGTGAGGTGCAGGTTTGGAGGGATCGTGTCGTGCTTCATTGCGAGAAGAACTTTGATGACACCCGCCAGACCGGCACAACCTTCCAAGTGTCCGACGACTGTCTTGATTGACCCCACATAAAGGGAGCTTGATTCTGTGTCTGCGGCATTTCTCGTTGAAAAGAAACTTTCAAAAATGCCTCTGGCTTCTGTGGGATCACCAGCTTGGGTTCCCGTTCCGTGACTATGAACATGTTAGTTAAGAGACAAGATCAGACGAAACAGCGAGCCATTGCTTACGCTTCGAAGTATTGACATCTATCCTGCGTCTTCGACGGATCTAGCCCTGCAGCTCGGTACGTTTCCCTCGTTAATTTGGCCTGTGCCATGGCGCTAGGCATCGTGATTCCCGGCGTTCGACCGTCAGAGTTGACACCAGAGTTACGAATAATGGCTTGAATGGGATCATTGTCCCTCAAAGCCTTGCTAAGGGGCTTGAGCAAAAGTGCCGCCACGCCCTCTCCTCGAGCATAACCGTCTGCCATGGCATCCCACATCTGGCACTTTCCCGTCGGCGAGAGCATTCGCAGTTTTGACTCGCTGATGTACATATCTGGCCCAAAGATAAGATTGGTTCCGGCGACGATTGCAGTCTCCGCTGTGCCGCTGCGAAGATCCTGGACTGCAAGATGCATCGCGACAAGCGATGATGAACAGGCTGTATCCAGGCAAATGGATGACCCGGAAAGGTCGAAGAAGTAGGAAATTCGGTTAGCTAAAATCGCACGCGATGTGCCAGATGCAGTATAGTGAGACAAATCTTCGGTGTCACGATACTGGATAGTCTCATAATCGCCCGTCATCACGCCGACGAACACCGAGCACCGCGAGCCTTGGAGTTTTTCCATCGGTGTACCAGCGGATTCCGTGGCCTCGTATACTGTCTCTAGGAGGAGCCTTTGCTGCGGGTCCATGGCTTCTGCTTCCAGAGGACTGACATTGAAGAACGTTGTGTCGAAGAGCCGAGGGTCCTCCTCGAGGAAGTAAGATTTCGTGACGTTCGAACTGCCATGATGCTCACCGTTGGTATTGTAGAACTTTTGAAGATTTAGACGATCTTGGTCAGGCTCCCTGGATAGATCTCGTCTGCTGTTGAGTACCTCCCAGAGCTTGGCTGGAGTGTTGGCGCCTCCTGGGAAACGATGCGCCAGCCCAATTATTGCAATGGGCTCCATGATTCTGCAGAATCCGTGCGCTTACATACCCAACGTTCGCTGATACTCTGCGCTTACATATTTCGTGCGAACAAGATCACTATTGTGTATTCCCGAAGGGCCTGCGAAAGTCGGAATTATCATACAAGTTCACTAAACCTAAATGCGAAGCTTTCGTATGGACAGCAACAACATCAGCATAGGAGGACTCACATCTTTGGGAGCTGAAGGTCTCGGAATCCGCTCACCAGGGCTAATTAATCTGGCTATTCATCGCCCGCTACTACAACAAACTTCACTGACAAGGGATCCAGTCGGACCATACGCGGTCTGGCAAGACTATCTGTGCGTGTGTAAGACCGCCTGAATTACGCGAAACTCTATACTAGAGCACGTTTCCTCCCTTTCCGTACTGACCCTACCATCTAAACTGATTGGTCCCAGCAGGATGGGTGGGTTTTGCCTCAAAGTATAATTGAAGACCGGTCTCGCGACTCAGTATTGTGCGTCCGTGTCGTTCCTTCAGAGTGTATGGAGTCCACAGGGGGAAACCTTAGAGAATGGGGACTTGGTCAGGTTGTTAGCCGAGAAACAGAGCGGTAAGAATTTGGCCATTTGAATATTGCACCCCCTTTGCAATAATAATCGACCGCTCCTCTCAAAATGGCATAACTTTATCGTGAAGACTTCAGAAACAACTTTTCTCCCTTTAACTACCATCACGTAGTCTATACGGGTTATACCTCTGAGACTAGGCGACGCCTACCGGCACCGTCGCCCTTCGGCCTCAGCTGGCTTCCTCTGAAATGAAATTTAGAAAGGACTGGCTAGGGCGAAGAGACGAGCATAAGCGAGAGGCCGGTAGGCCGTGCTCAAGTTTTCAAAGGTCCAACACGTATACACTATGGATTTGAAAGTTGGTAAAATGTATTGAATTTGTTAGTGGTGACTTCGAAGTGGGGGCCTGCGCTATTCCTTTTAGAACAGCAGCGGTCGATTATTCTTGCAAGTGGGTGCAGAGTTCAAGGGGCCGGTAAGAATTAGCCCACGAGTCGGTGACGGCCAAGTCGTCTCATAGTTACAAGGGCCTCTTCTTAACTCACCGTCGGACCTATTCTCTGGTGTTCAACGAAGGACTTCATGTCAGTGTTCAGGTCTCAGCACTGACTCATGGCTGTTCTGGCCGGACTGTGGAGACGCTGGCGATTCGGCTCGCATGACCCTTCCGACGGAATTGTTTCCCATGATTGAAAGACAGGGTTGCCAACTCATGCGAGTTTGTCTTCATCTGGATTAATACTGCAATAATGCATCCAGCTCACCACGAAGACTTGGACCCAGCAGCCACTACGAACCATGATACACCCGTCGAAATCAAGGAACGCGATAGTCGTTCAAGAACCAGGAACAGCCAAGGTAGTCTCGGTCTCGATACCAGCATTATCGCCCACGAATGTTCTTGTCAAGACAGCATGTGTTGGCTTAAATCCATCAGACGCAAAAATGATCCAGGCCGGTATGCCTCAAGGCTCAATGGCCGGCCTTGACTTTGCTGGAATCGTCATGTCAAAAGGCACAAACATTTCTTCAGACATACGGCCAGGAGATCGAGTATGCGGGGTGGCGTTCGGATATAATAACAACAATAATACTACGGGTGCTTTCGCCGAGTACGTCGTGGCTGAAGAGCATCTCCTCTTCCGCATACCCGACAATGTCTCCTTTGAGGAGGCTGCGACGTTCCCTTGCGGTCTTCTCACAGGCGGCATGGTGCTTCACAACACCATGAAACTCAAAAGCGCGCCTTCGGAAACGGCACGACATGCCTTGATATACGGCGGCAGCACGGCGTCCGGCCTCTTCATGATCCAATTACTGAGAAAGTGAGAACCTCGGAAGTTCGTTCTTCGAAAAGTGCTGACATGATCAGTTGCGGTTTTATACCAGTAGTCACCTGCTCACCGCATAACTTCAATCTCGTCAAAACAACAGGAGCCGAAGCAGCCTTCGACTATAATTCACCAACATGCGCATCCGACATTCGCGAGTTCACTAGGAACCAGTTGGCATATGCAGCAGACTGCATCACCACAGCAGACTCGATGAAGGTTTGCTACGAATCTCTCGGGGCCGAAGGAGGCCGCTACGTCGCGCTCGACAGCTTCCCAATAGCAAGCCACTCGCGGCGGGCGGTCCGGCCGTCATGGGTCTTCGCGATGAGCGCTTTTGGATCCGCGGTTGATTGGGTTGCCCCGTACAAATGCGATCCTTCCCCGGCTGACCGCGACTTTGCGGCTGCGTGGACCAGGGAGGTTGCCGGGCTTGTTAGGGATGGAGCCGTCAAGCCGCTTCGGTACCGTGTCATTGGCGAAACGCTTGAAGATGTTGACAAAGGCCTTGAAGAGTTGAGAAGCGGTCGAGTCTCAGGCATGAAGCTAGTGTGTCTTATCGACAAGTCCATGGCCAAGAAATAGACGACAGGGGTTACGCGCCCGGAAGAGGACTTGTATGCAACATGCAGGGTCAGAACTCTAATGCACCATTTGTCAGGCAGAGCAATCTCGCATTCGATCTCCGATTTACACGTGCGCCAGCTCGGGTCTAAAGCCTCTTTAGCCTTTTTGATCGCAAGATAACCTGCGCCCAATGTTGCCCAATTTTCGCGCAATTGTCTCTTGAATCCGAGCTGTCGGATAAGACATTACCCTAACTTCGCAAGCACATGCAGCAGCGCGCGATGGGCAGATTGTGTCGACTGTGGGGGCCTACGGATGTCTGACTCTCCCGCTGCCCGTCTCTGGCAACTAAGCGAGGGCCCTGTAAACTTTGTAAATGTGTCCGGGCTTCGGTTTTATTTAAATTGAGGTGGGATCGAGGCGGGGTTAAGTGGTGAAGAGTCAGTCGTACATAGCACAAGAGGGCTCGAGGAGAGCTGCGGCCAAGGTGGAGATCTGCCTGATACTGTCTTCATGAAGTTAGGATCAATCAATCAAGCAAACAGACACCAGCATCGTGGACACCACACACTCACCTTACGGTTCCCAGACTCTCATCACGGCACCACGCACCGTAGCACAAGTAGTCAGAATGAGGCCTATTTCATCATCAATCAAATACTTTACGAATTCTCCTCAGATGATACTGTCTGTATTGGCTGTTAGCATTGTTTTCCTCTCTTTGAGACTCTTGAAAAGGAAATCTCACCTTTCAAGGATTCCCGCAGTGGGAAATGCTACGAGTAAAGAGGCAAGAAGGAAAGAGTTTCTCTCCGGTAAGGCCAGGGATCTCTACGTCGAAGGCTACAAGAAGGTGCGTGATCCACTAAAATATATCGTTTCGCCTGGACTAAATCCCTCTTCAGTTCAAAGACAGCGCTTTTCGCATCATTACTGCTAGACGTAAGGTTTTCAAGCCGCATCGAGTCGTGATCAATAAGTTAATCAACTCCGCAGAGTCAGAGTGTGTTGCCGTATCGCCAGCATTCTTGAAGCATTTGAAGAAACTACCTGAAGATGTTCTCAGCTTCAATGAGGCAGTAGAAGAGGTAAAAGAGGAAAACCCCTAGCTAGCACTTCTGATGCTAATTAAATTTCACTAAAGGCTCTCCAAACAAAGTACACTAACATCACAAGCAATGTTCCAACAATACCACACACGCTCAAGACCTCGCTTAACCCAGCTTTGTGTAAGTTCTCCCGAGACCGAGACAACTCAAGTTCTTTCCTAATTACGCCAGCTCGCCTGAACCCGATCATCCTAGGTGAGATTACGGATGCGATTCGAACGGAATTTCCTCAGTCTGCGAATTGGTCGGAAGTTAGGATCAGTAGCAAATTGGTTCGCATAGTCGCCAAAACATCGGGCCGAATCTTCGTTGGGCCCGATCTCTGTAGAGACGAAGTTTATCTCGATGCCGCCGTCAATTACACTCTTGACATGACAGCTGCTATCCAAGCTGTGGGGTTCATCTCGCCTTGGCTACGACCATTTTTGGCCTTGCGAGCGCCACAGGTCAAGAAATTGCACCATCGCTTCCAGCAAGCAGACGATTTCCTTCGGCCGGTGGTAACAGCTCGCCGTCAGGCTGCACACAATGATCTGGATGAGAAGAAAAAACCAGACGATATGTTGCAATGGCTGATGGACTCTCAGGATAAGTTTGGTCAACAGAGTGACCGCGCGATCTCCAAATATCAGTTGAGCTTGACCTTTGCTGCGATTCATACGACAACGGCAGCACTGACTAACGCGTGAGTCTCGTCCGATGTCTGTTGGGACATCAATCCTTCGTTTTGAGTTTCTGTTTGGGTACTTATTCGTCGGTTTGAAGTTTCTACAACCTTGTGGCAATACCAAATTTGGTATCGACCCTGCGGGAAGAAGTCGAAGAGATTCTTGCCAGCACACACGGCATGATCACCGCTACCGCAGTACAAAGAATGGTGAAGTTGGACAGCTTTTTGAAGGAAATTATGAGATACTACCCTCAAAGTGCCAGTAAGACATATTTTCTACTGTATAAGCTTCTGGACTAAGAGGCCTTTGTAGCTGCATTTCAACGTAAGGTTATGAAGCCAGTCACTCTACCGAACGGACAAGTCGTTCCTGCGGGTGTCATTCTCGAAGTTCCATCTCATGCGATCAACTATGATGAGACTATACACACAAATCCCGAGACTTTCGACGCATTTAGGTTTTACAAAATTCGAATGGAGAAGGAGGCCGCATTGAGAGGCAAGATGTCTTCTGAGGAGGCATTTACGGAGGCGGCAACAAGCAACCAATTCGCTAGTGTTGGCGACACAAGTCTGGCGTTCGGATATGGAAGGAATGCTTGCCCGGGAAGGTTCTTTGCGGCGAACGAGATGAAGATGATTCTCGCGACCACTCTGTTGAAGTACGACTTGAAGATGCCTGATGGTTGCCCCGAGAGATACAAGAACCTCAGCTTCGGATCACAGGTATGCACCTCACTCTGTTTCCCTGAAGATTAGCTTACAAGATTGTCGTAGTCGGTTCCCGATCCTGCCAAGAGCATCATGATGAAGTTGCGAAAATAGACTCGTATAGACATTCCTCAGAACTAGACTCATGTGTACCTGAGGGCTGAAAGTTATTTCCGAATCGGCCGTAGAAGATCGAAGACGTGCCCAATTATTTAGATCTAAGTAACTCGGTACTCAACTCCCACAGTCGTCTCTCTTTTCCCTTGTCGAAAGCTTGTGGCGCATAGCCAGGTCCCGTCCTGCCTTCTGTGCATGTCTCTGCTGGCACGCCTTCTTGAACATCGGCTAGATAAATCCCACCCCGATGTTGCCATTCCCTGCCAACAGCAGCCCATATCGTCGTGGCCGCTCCTTGCTCGGCAGTCTTCACCAGCTTCGCGACTTGAGGAGGTCCAAACAGCTTTCTCATGAACTCATCGCCGACGTGGCGGCTTAGGCCAGAGGCGACTGCTCCAGGGTGAACAGAGGTAGCGTGTAGGTGCTGAGAGCCGTAACGTCGTTCAACTTCGTTGGCCATCCAAATATTGGCTGTTTTCGAGGCGCCATATGCATTGTGTGCGTCGTAGGTCGTCTTCTCAAGATTCAAGTCGTTGAGGTCTACGGTACTGGCGAGATGAGAGCGGGAAGAGACCATGACGAGCCTTGAAGGATACTCTGGTGTTGCTGAGTTGAGAATGGTGTCTCTGAGAGCCTCGAAGAGAGCAAAATGACCCAGATGGTTGGCCCCGAAGTGCATTTCGAACCCGTCTGTTGTTAGAGCTTTTGGATGCATTCCAAGGCCTTTTGCTGATTCAGTCCTGCTATCATCATGAGCATGGGAGGACTTACCGGCGTTGCAGACAAGGCAATTCAGCCTGTCACTCATTTGCAGGAACTTTGACGCTGCATCCCGAACGCTGGTCAGCGAGTCCAAGTGCATTTCAACGAACACGACCTTGCCCGGCTTTCCGTCATGCATTATTCTCTCCACAACTTCACGCCCTTTTTCCGTGTCGCGGCCAGTGATGAAAACATCTGCACCAGTAACATGCAGGGCCCTCGCAGTCTCGTACCCAATTCCACTCGTGCATCCCGTCACTAAGAACGCTTTTCCCTGGAGTTTACCATCGAGCTCTTGGTCTCGAATGACTTTCAATGCCGTGGGTCGAGCGTCGCCGGGTCCATTTGGATCCTCGTGGTCCTTGTTGTATGGGGCGATCGGGGTAGTGACCATGGTCTGGGCCGAGCTTGGAAATGGAGCAACTGTAGCAAAACAATGTTTGCAGACGACTAGCTACATGAGTAGCTGCCTCTCCAGCTCCCCGCTGACATGCTGCCAAATAAGTACTGGCTACAGTATCAAACCCCCGCCCTCTCTGGTGGATACCCTGGATAGAACTGATAATGGGAGGTAGAGCGCACGGACGGACCACCTGCAGCTATAGTTTCGGGGACTTTGGACCTGGAACAACCCAACCTTCACCAGGGTGTGTGGTTGTCCATAATGACGGACTAATCTATCCCTGGCCTGCCGTCCCTCGAATTTGGAATGCCCTGACTATGGGTCCGAATGTTCTTATGCAGCAAATTCTTACCCGTTGCATGGGTTGGTATGAGACGAACAAAGAGGCGGGTAAGATAACAACGCCGCACCTCTTTATTATCCCTAAGGTATGTAAGAAGTAAAATCAGTGGGCTTTTAAGCTCGAGGATATTTGGAGAGACTGAAATATCAGTCCAGGGCACCATTCCTTTGAACGTGCTCCTTGCATATGAGAAGTTTGAAGTGATTGATGCCTTATAAAGGAATGGTACTATCAGGTAAGTAACTAAACATCTGCTATTTTCAATTGCAATGAATATCAAATAATTTCCGTCCTTCTTTTTTTCAGCTCTAGACAAGACACTCAACAACTTCTTCGCCTCTTATGGGTCTCCACCTTGTCTGGGGAAGCACAGGGGAAGAGATGACATGCTGGCTGAGGACTCCGTTGTGAGTTGGCTGGACGTGTGAGGCTGAACTTAGATAATCGCCCGTCCGAATACTTTGCTAGGCGCCCTAAAGCGTTGCCTTAAATTTAAAGAGCGTGGTGACAGTATTCACTGGGGAATCTTCGCCGCTCACCGGAGAATACGCGGGGGTTAGGGCAAGTGCTTCCTGTGGTAATATACATAAGAAGCCCCCTGGAGACTTGACCTGTCCTTATGGCTGCCTAGACTTTTGTACATGTCAGCATCCCTTGCTTGATAGAGATCTTCGTGTCGGAATGGCAAGTATGGCAGATACGAATCTGGACTCGTTTATATCCCTGGATAAAAAGTACCTGAAGTAATAATGTTTCGCCCAAAGACCGGAGATAAGAGGATAAATGCTGATTGAGCCAATTGTATAGACCTGGGGCTCCTCGTCTAACCTGGAACTTCGAAGCCAGTCAGCGACTTTCGCTCATCATGCCCTACCCGATCATGAGCACCATACGTCGTGCTACGGACGATGACAGGGAGGCCAGAAGCTGCACATTTTACTGGTCCAATTATACAAATGCATTCTCTGATAAGGGCTTGATACTCGTCCACCACAAGGAGGATGGCAGCTTCGAAAGAGTTCGGGTGGATCACACCACTGGCCTCAAAGCATTACCGGAGGTCGACAGCCTGGTCATTTCTGGGCGGTATCAACCCCATCTGCACGAACTCGCTCCCGGCGAGGAGACGAAAACAAGCAGACTAGGCTTTCCTGAGCGATATTACCGCGTCCTCGAGTTGGGCGAGACGTACTCGCTGATCTTCCCTGGTGCAGAGGTTGGCATGTGGGCGTGGGGTAGCATTCAAGACAATTTAGGACTCGAGATGAAGGCTGGAAAGCTGCTTCCGTCCGGAGACAGGTCACGACCGCATACAAAGAAGGGCGAGGGACAGCCTCCGCTAGTGATACCTGGAGCAGCGATCGTTACCTTTACGACCGTGATGGAGGAGCCAGCATGGCCAGAGCGAGCAAGCAGAGAAGCCAAAGTAGGGTTCTCAATGGCTAACCTGGAAGAACAAAGGTGGCGGCTGAAAATCCAGCAGGCAGAAGCCCGCCGTAGGGGGCTCTCGCCAGCTCCGCTGGCGGCGTCTGATCGAGTGTGAGTGTTCTGACATGTGTTTTTCGCCAATTTGCACTTAAGAGTCTGACTTGACGGTAGCCCTTGTGCGCCAATTTTTTCCGTATCACTCCAGTGCCCATCGATTCTCGAAGGTCGCGGAGACTTCGACGTCGAGGTCACGTTCAAATATGAAGGCGTACTGGGAGAAGATGGCCAACATACATCAAGAGCACAACCTGTGACGTTTCACTGGCTGTCACTATTATATATGCAACAAGGACCACGCGCAGGGTTTCGACTCTACCGTCGCCGCCGAGACGAATTCGTTAGCGATGACAGCGATAAGGGCAGCTACTGGGACCAGTGCGAACTCGATGGGAATGCCGGCTGCTTCATGATCGTCGACGAGCCAGACATTGCAGTGTGTGTCGGAGAGCACAAGCATTTTACAAGCTTGCAGCCTGGAGAAACCTGGACGACTAGCGAGACTCTTTCCGGAAGTGACACAGATTTGCCCCGAGACACGACCCCAGGTGATGTCTTTCGCTACACGTTCAAGGGGTCTGTAGTTGATTGGTGGGATTGGGGCACCATGGAGGATCACGCAGAGACGGTGGTCAAGCTGCCGTGTTTTGAAGCTGGCAATGTTACCATGCCCTCTGACAACGGAGGGCGACCAAAATTGGTGGTCACTGGCGCGGAACCGGTCGAATTCACGATCATTGAGTAGCATCACTTTGCCGCACCTAAGCTCTTCATCTCAATTCGAACTATATCTGCGTAAGCTGCCTGAATTTTCGTCAAGAATGTGTGGTCATAAGATCTTCTAGAGAGATGTAGATGTCTAACAAACGGCGTCAGAGCAAAGGCTCTCTCTCACGCGGATAGTGTGCCTCATCAACCCTCATACGCGATCCATTGTGCGGTACAGCGATGTGAAATAAGACAGCTTGCACAACAGCAAAGATGATATGCCCAGGGTGGTCAAATTGCACGTACCCGACCATCTGAAACCAGGCGAGGAAAGCCTGCTCAAAGATCGGATAGGGCCAAACCAAACGACCAGGCCATGTGAGGAAGATGGTATATTCTGAAGTCTTCTAAAAGCTGCGTAACGCGCGTGGTCAGCCATTTTTAGTACAGTCAGAGAGTATGCCTTCATTTACTCACCAGGCAGCTGAATCATAGATACCTTGAAGACCCAAAGCCATTCAAAAAAATCCCATGTAGACCAGTCATGCTCGCTCACACTTCAAAGATTTCAGTACGGAGCCATGGGTAGCTTGAAGTACGGACCACTTACCAATGTCTCTATACACAGATTGCTGACGGCAACACCCCCATCCACAAAACGTTCCCACCTGCCGGCTCAATAGATACCGTGAAACTAAGTTCAGGCATTGTTAGTGATTTTCCTTTAGTTCGAGGGCCTTGGCTAATCTTTCTTCTTTCTTACTTACCGAGGGTTGCGCTCATTTCTATCGTAGATTATCTCGTGACCTTCGGTATGATGATTCCTGAGTTCACAATTTCCGGGTTGCCAGTTTGTTGGTTCCGTATTCTGACTTCCAAAATGTATGAAGTGGATGGAAAATTGGCCACGACGAAGGTCATTTGGTAGTGACGCAACTTGTTGCTCCAACCTTCCTTGCCAATCTGGGGAGGAGTTGATCCATTTGCCGTCGGTCAAGACGTATACGGTGATTGGTCTCGATTTTGGCCTGGATTTCAGAGACGTAGCCTTTTTCAAGAGTCTCTCAAGGGCTGCCTCTATTCCAAGATCTCTACATTCACTTTGGGGGTGACGCCTTGACCGGCGAAACATTTCCGTCGTTGCCAAATTGTTACCAGTGCGATTAGACATTCGTTCGTTCACTGCAGAGACGGCTGGAGTTGTGTGTCTGTACCAGGTCTGCTCTTCTGGGGACGAAGAGAAGCAAAGTTCTATGCCTTCCGGGTCCACGCTCTTTGCGATGTAAGCCAGAGCGCGGAGGGTTCTCGTGACTTCTTCCCAATGGCACTTCATAGAGCTTGAATCATCCACGAGGAAGACCTAGTCATTTGGTCAGCTCAGGCCGTTCAGTCCAAGATCTGCGCATGTGTGGGATGCCTCCAACTCACCTGTTCTCGATCCTTCAATCTGCCCCTTGCAGCGATGTACTCGCTTTCGGTTATCTCGCCTGGGCCCGATTGTCCGTCCATGAAGCCTTTAGAACTACGCCTTCCGAAAGAGTAGAGCTCTTGGAGACAGTCAGCCCTTCGAAGAAAGCAAGACTTCTTCCGGCCATGAATCCATTGTATAACTTCTCCCACGGAGACTTCCTTGTGTGGCTGGCTCGCAGCCTTGGACAGCGCCTCCATCGACCATATGTATACTTCTATAGCGCTCGGTCGCTCTTCTGGTGGTTTCAGCATTTGTTTGATGACGGGTAGTAGAGCGGGCGCGAAGACATCTCCTTTTTGCCTAGCCTTGTCTTTCAATTCGGCTTCCATTACTTCTGGCATCGAGCCGTCAGCTGCCCATAATGGTGGCCAATGAACTCGACGCCGCTTTTCATGAAGCATGTCTTGGAGTTCGAGTCCAGCAGATACCTTTCTAGTTGAGGCTCTCTGATATTCAAACTCGTGTACAAACTCGGAACTACCAAGAGACCATGCTAAAGCCTCAGAGAAAACGCAGCCAAGTGACCACACATCGAGTTGTGCACATGGCGAGAAAGACTGTGAGCGCCTAGAGGCTGAACGTTGTGCTGCCTTCACAGTTGGCTCTTGGCTGGGCTCAAAGCCCATCGTGGCGAACTTGAAGTGAGGGCGGTCGTTTCTGGTGGACACCAGAATGTTTCGTGGTTCGATGTCCATGTGTGGTGCTCTAATTGTATTGATATTAGCCGACTGAAGACATCACAGCAGAAGCCACACTCACCTCGGGTCGTCATCGGTAATCGTTTCATGTATCGCATGTAATCCTTGTGCCAGTTTCATCAGACTCTCCCAAAATTCGCGGATGTCTGTGGATATCCTTGGTGGTGTAGTGGTCTTCCAAAATTCGACGAGGTTCGGTAGACCCTGGTCTATGGAAAGTTCTTCTAAAACCTCCTCTGGCAAAGACCTCCGTGGCGATCCAGCAGAATTTTCCTCCTTTGATGTGGGCGCAGAGTCGAATTGTCTGCTCTGGGTGTCAAATATGCTATGATCACGAATAAACACCATCCTCGGGAAGTGCGGTCTAGGGAAGAGGCTCATCTCAGAGCCAGTTAAATCCGTACAGAGATTTCCTGCCACAGGCCGCTCATGCGGTTCTTGGCTTAGTGGACTTCCAGGCCATCGCCCATAGCGCTCCCGATCGCAGAAGCACGCGGCAGAAACAGGTTTTGCCTCCTGTGGCAGATGTACAGACGTCGCTTTGAATGCAGACCTGACCTGCCGGATAGTATCGCAGAGCGGGACGACTAGTGCATATCCCAGTCGGTCAGACCCTACGACGTGACCGTATACTGAGAAGGTATCCTGGTCCACGACAAGGGAGCCGCTTTCTCCGGGGAGGACAGCTATACAAAAATATGTTAGCTAGTTTTCAGCTCTTAGAAGCAGAATCCTTACCAAGCTGATCATCTAGTACAACACTCCAGGCTTTGCAAAGCTGCTGATCAGGTTTGGAACCGATATAAGTGGGCATGCTAAGCATCCGACCTTTAATGACCCCTCGAACACCTGATACCACAAAGACCGGAACAGCATGAATCCTCGGCTCGTTTGCTATCTGCTTGAGCATTATGGGCTCGGGCTGATCTGGGAGGTAGATGAGATTACGACGCCGAGATCGCAAGGTGCTGTAGTCGCATTCTAAGGGCATCCAGTCGAGATCTGGCGCATTGGGACCAAGATCAACAGAAAGCTCCTTGGGCCGCATCATTTGGAGCGGTAACATTACTTTGCTGTCGGTACATTCTGGCCTGCGGCAGTCCAACGGAAGTGATTGCGGCGGTAAAGGTTGTAGTGCGACTGCTTCCACTTCGTATTCATCGTCATCATCAACCCAGAGCGGACCAACCTCAACATAGTCATCTTCATTCAAGGTAAGCTGATCCGAGTCACTGCCTTCAGGGTATGATGACGCAGAGATCTCCGAAAGGTCTTCTTGTAGGCCCTTGAGGTGGCCAGCAGTCAAAACAATGTCCACGGAGTCAACCTCCAAGGTCAGGGCCAATGTAGCAGAACGCCCCTTGAAGCTCACAGGCGAACCACAGAAGGTTGAGCTATAGGTGAATGAAGCTTGCAATGCCGTCTCAGAAGCACAGCGTACATATGGATTGCAGTTGTCGGCCCAGTAAACGAGACGAAAAGGTGGCGGCATATTTGTCGAGCCAGCGACGGATTTCCGGAATCTCTTGGATCCGCTGTGGCAATAAAAGTTGTCTGTGGAATGACGCTTGAATGCAGCTCGAATGGCCTTTTGGTCTCTCAACATGCATTCAACAACAATAGATGGAACCGCTGTTTGAGGCGTAGTGCCCGCCATTCGTAGGTTATACAAAATGAATCTACCTCTGAGTCGCAGCACCTCGTCCTTGTCCACAATCTCTTTCAATTTTTCTTGGACGACTTCGAATTGAGACTCGTATTCGCTCATTGTGAACATAGGTGACTGCACAGGAGCTAATGGGTATACCATTCTTTTCTTTTTGCTTCCTGGCACGGGAACGGCAGACTCGAACAGGTCCTCGGAGATAGCATGCGTGAGGACCTGGTTGTGCTGCATAATGCCTGAGTTCTGTTTTTCCTCTGACCGTCAGTCGCCACGCCGAGATGTCCTACACTCAGCATACAAGTGCTTACTTGATGTAAATTTTGGTTTTTTCCTGTATGTTTGATGGATTTTAATTTATTGGCGACTTTTCGAAGGCGGGCTTTGAGGTCAAGCGCTTCATCTGGTGCGCGCGCCGTATCCTCCAGGACCGCCTTGTTTTTTGCCGAAAATCTACCACTCGACGGAGGAGCAACCCGCACCACCTCCTGCGGTGAATCCATCTTTGCAATATTTATTAAAGGTGACCTCAATGGATATTTGGAACGGAAGCCCAGTACTGGCGAAGAATGTGGAATCTCTGAGTTGAACGATGCTTGATAGTGCTCGGATTCTGGCTTGTTTATGGAAGTTTTGATGCCACCCTCAAAGATTGGAGACTGTTACTGCCAGCACATCTCGCGTCTTGTCCATCTCGACCAGGAAGACCAGCCACAGCGATCATCATTGGGCAGCTTAAACAGAAAACAAGCTGGGCTGCACCTATCGGACCAATCGCTGTGACGGACCTCGGAAGAAATCCCGCGCAGCTTCAAGTGTAAAAAGGGAGGGGAAGTCACACAAGGCACATTATCGGGCTTACTCGAGCTAGCCTTCCAAAGTCATGTTCCCTCCCTCCTTTTGCCTCCAGAGTGGCCGTTGCCAGCAAAGACGCCTGAGGTTAGCCGGAGAACCCCGACCTGAAGCTACCAAGGAAGTCTGCACCGTATCACTGCACTCGCACGTCATCCTGGGTTGGAGGTGCCTCTCATATGGAATTTAGATAGACATTGGTGGTACGGGTATATCAGCTCATTATTGATCTCAGTCCCGTAAACCTAGCAGTCGAAAGTGACTAGAAGCTTTCATCGTCAAATATGGCTTGGAATGCGAATGAGGTTGCTCTGAAGCTTCTCAGCCCCAAAGGGGATCCAGGCGGTGCCTATGTGAGGTTTCTAGACGACATCATGAGACAGAGTCGGGGCGTTGGAGTCGACTATGACAACTTGATGCCTACTGCTGGACCTGTTTCCGAGCAAACACGGCTCCTCATAGCTGTGGAGAAGCTAAAGGAAAACCCGAGAAAGACTCGCAGCGAGAGTTCACAGATTATCCAAAATGTACTCGGATCAAACCATGCAGGACAATACATCAGCAAACTCATGGAAAGCGCTGCTCAATCTATTGCCATGATCGATCCGACAGCTGGAGATTGGCATGCTCAAGACTTCGTCATGGGTAGCTATCGACCTAGTTCGTGGCAGCGAGATGAGAGCTTCCAATCATTCTGTTCTCGATCCGTTCCACTGGGCAGCGATAAGGCTATCAACGCAGCGAAAACGGCGCTGGATGAGAAGTCTTCCATGAGAGCCAGGAAGTTACAGAAGCGCCTCGGCATTCAGTTCTATGCTACTGACAATCTAGCAGAGCACTTGCTTCTTGAAAATAAACATGGAAAGACTCGACTCTACATATTCCATTACGCGGGGTATCTGAAGGCTCGTCTCGAACAGACTAGGTCGTTCAACTTACCGATTGATTGTGCTATGGAGACTTGCCTTGAGCAGTAAGCCAACCCCTCTAGACTATCTACTGATAAACCCATCTCTGACCTTCTACCCCAAGTGGGACTTTGCCACCCCAGCTTCTAGTCGAGACACTTCACTCCATCCAGGCTGTGCTATTCCCAGTCACAGAGCCAGAAGAGGTCAGAATCCTGCGCACGCTCATCCGCATGCAGCACTTCGACCCAGAGTGTGCAGAAAATGAGGGCTACAAGGTTTACCAGAACGTTCCAAAGGACTTCAAATACATCTACTGGGCAGAGCGCTTGGCTACACTACACGCGCGCTTGAAAGACAGGCCACCTCGGAGCAGACTTGAAAAATGGCTCGCACAGGAGAATAATGATGGGAATGCTTTTCTAATCGCCTTGTTGGCACTTTTCATCTCGGTGATTGTGGGAATACTGGGCCTCATATTAGCTGCGGTGCAGACGTGGATCGCGTGGATGGCATGGAAGTATCCAGTTCCGGACCGATGACTCAGGTTAAAGATTCTGAGCGATGTCAAATATTCAGTATGGAGTTGCTTTGATCACGTAACCTATCTTCAGTCGAAGCTGTAGCAATTTTGGTGTGGTCTATTGGTCCCTTCTTGTCTTGAGGGGAACATCTATCCGATGCGAGGCGCTGCGAAGGTTGGTATCAGAACTTGGGGGTATACAAGTAGAATGAATGGGTATACATGGTTGGGAAGCGATGCAATTGTTTGTTATTGGAGTGCAAGATCGGGATCTATTGGCTTGAGAAATGCTCTGACTATCTCGAGCAGGGCGTGTTTGACAGCGTAGTCAAGTAGACTGAAACATTTATAATCTGCCTGTAAGATGATTATTAAGTGAGGCTCGAGGCTATAGAACTGCATATGCCGAGAGTGTTTGCGTAAAGCTTCATGTTGCAACGCAGTCTTGCTGTAAGGGTCTGCTTGGATGACGTCTATACTCAGCTCCTGCATCAGGCGCTGGAGGATCACAAGATGAAGGGCTGGCGCTCCTACTGTGTAATGCAGCGTATTTGAGCCATAGTCATCCACGTCCGACGTACAGACACCTGGCAGGAGAATGTTCGAGATGGTTAAAAGTCAAAATTTTTGTACTCAAATTCTTTCTATAACTCTACCAGCCTCCACGATGATACTTCCCTGAAGCTCAGGTCGCTCTCCCTGGCGTATCTCGGTAGAAGCGTGATTTTTTCACTTAGTGCGGAGATATCGCTCCATAACTTGTTCTGAGTCTCGAGTTTCCAAGTCAAATATTGACGCTGTTTTAGGATCTCCTCCCTCTCAGCAATTTGTCGAGCACTCAAGAACAATTTCAAATGGCTTCTCGGAGTTTCAGAGGTTTTCAAAGCGCACATGTTGACCATCTCGCTTCAACCCGTCTAGGGCAACCAAATCGATTTAACTACTCTTCTTTTTAAGTCCATTCACCTCGGATGTTGCTGAAATGACCTCACAGTTCCTTAGTTCTACATTAAGTCTATGGTTAGTTCGGAGATCGTGGATGACCTCGGGGATCGTGGGCAACTGTTGCAGCGCAGACCGTAGGACGATGCTTGGCAGTTCATCAGTACTCTGATGCTGACTTCGATAAGTGCACTATACGAAAGAAACAATGACGTCGTCTTTGGATCGATCTGACGACTGGATATGGTCGGTCACCCAGGCCGCTGTCGTTGTTTCCCAACCCCTGTATTCTCCAGGAGGACAATGTCCTACGTCTGACTTTCAGCCAACCCCCATGCCGACACACGAAACACGATGTGTTTGCAGTGGATAGTGTTCTATGGGATAGTCTCCTATGGGATAGTCTCCTATGGGATAATCTCATGTGGGATAATCTCCTGTGAGATAATCATGATATTCGCACGTTGGATAAATTCCTATTAAATCACTTCTTAGATCATTTCCAGACAGTCTACGTAATTCAGATGGAACTCTCTTGCCTAGATATGTGTCTCTCAACGCCCGTCTATTCCCCACACGTCTTGGAGTGCAGTCGTTGTCATAAACGTGAGACGTGCATACAGCTAGAGTCCATAGTCAGATCGCAATGACGAAGAGGTAGGCAATCGACAAGGAGTTGATGGTTTCCAATGCCGGTCGCATGACAAATTTCAAGACTGCAATGTATGCCGTATACAACTCCAAACCTCACTAGTGGCGCACGCAGTTCCAGGCAGACTGTACGCCGTCGCCTGGTTCATACCCCACCACATCACAGTCAATATCAAATAACAAGGGGAAACGTCAATATGGCATGAGCATCTTAGAATTCTTCTCTTTTCGACGGAGTTGCTCTCATCCCAGTGAGTGATAGTCACATCATTCCTTTATTCCGATTACGCTCTGAACACACAACGTTCCCACCACACCCCATCACACGACCCTCTCACGACCGTGCCTCCTCAAGCTCCAGCTCGAGCTGCCGAATCCTCTCACTCTGGTCCTGCGACCCGGACACGACCCTCTTCTTGAGCGTCTCGACCTCGCCCGTTAGGTGGGCCATGGCCTCGCCCTGCGCCGTGATCTTGTCACCCTGCGCTGTGATGACCTTGGTCTGCGCCTCGATGAGCTGCTTGATCTGCTCCAGCGACGCCTCCACAGAGCCTGACCCGGACTGCGAGAGCGCGGGGGACGGCTGGGCGCTCCGCGCCGAGGATGTGGGGCCAGCTTGAGACTTGATGGGGGAGGGGACCTTGGCCTGTGGTGCCGGCTCGCTGCTCTTTACTGGTGACTGCGGCTTGGGTTCTGACCGGACCGGCAGGGCAGCTCTTGATACTGGCTTCTGGATCTCCTCGAAGCTGGACGTCTCGGCCTCATCCTCCTTGTCATCTTCATCGTCCTGGAACTTGGACGCTGCTGCAGCCATGGATCCCTTCTGCTGGGCCACAGATGGCGGCGCTGCACGCGTCGTGGTGGGTTCAGGCTCGGGCTTCGGCGCAGGCTTGGCGGCCGGGGCCGGGGTGGGTGCTGGCGCAGCCGCTGGGGGCTTGTAGTCGGAGGCCACCTCTTTAATGTCATTGCCCTCGTACTTACTCTCGAGGTCGATCTTTGGTGGGAGCGCGGTCTTGCCAGAAAGCCACTCCGAGGCGGACATGGCTGGCCTATTTCCCACACATGGAGGAAAGATGTCGCCTTGGAAGGTCTCAGCGCGACGGGGGACAGTGAAGGAAATGGGCTCGATGTAGAGATCGTTGACGGTCTTGTAAGCGCGCATGACCTCGTTCTCGTGCAGCTGTAAAAATGTCAGCAACTTTGTTTCCAGCATATTTGTGGTCGACTCGACGTACGTTGACACCGCGCTTGGGTAGGAAGGCAATGCCTCGTTGTGGGTCTGCCGACTTGTACTCGGACAGGAACTCGAACTTGTCGTTCTCGTACTCGAAGTATCGAATGTTGCCGTCGCTGTAGACACGAGGGTCAGTCAGATGCTCCGAATCATAAAAGGATGCTTTCAAACTCACCCCTTGCCGGCAAGGTACAGACAGTTGGTGCTATCATCCCAGAAAGGCATGCAGACACCAGAAATCGAGTCCAAGTTGTTGAAGCCCCCAATGGGCTTATCGCTGCCGGGCTCCCACAGCGCAAGCTGCCTGTCGCTCATGCGGGAGAAACCCGTTGTCGCGATACGGTTGTGCTCGCCCATCCATACGGCGCGGCTGTTCTTTGCGCCCTCGTGGCCAGGCCCAACATGCGCCGGCTTCTCCTGGCGGACATCCCACACGCGCAGCTTCTTGTCTCTCGAGGTCGTGACCAACATGTTTCCGCTCGCGTTCCATGATAGTGATTGGACGATGTCATTGTGTTTCAGCGCCAGCGGGGACTGGCCGGTGCTGATGTCCCACAGCTTGATGGTGAAGTCACCAGATGCCGAGGCGAGGATGTTCTCGGCGGCGGGGTTGAAGAGGACCTGGCCGACTTTCCTGTGCAACTGTCAGAAACCTCCGACGCGACGACGTCTATCCTATAGCTAGTCTGCGTCGTACCTGGAATGCCCAGCCAGCTTGCTCACTGGTTTCACGTCTGCGGGCTCCTCAGCGTCGGTGAAGAGGGTGAAGTCCCTGGGGACCTCCCATATGAAGATCTTGCCATCGTCGGAGCCAGATGCGATGATGCGGTCGTTGAATGGGTGCCAGTCTGTGTCCAACACAACAGCGGTATGGCCGCGGAAGAGAGGTATTACGTCGGGTACCTTTCCCTTCTCGTTCAGGGGGATGACCGCGAATGCGCCACCGCCACCAGATTCCCAATTGACCGAGAGGTACTCAGGGTTGACCTAATATTATCGCAAGAGGACGTCAGCGCTCGGGTTCGACATCGCGGCGCAACAAAGGAACGGCTTTTGCTAATAACTTTGACCAGGTTCGTATCCCAAGCATTCCTACTGATGTGGAGATTATCGTAGCAGAATTCCTTTCGGGTGGGTTTGCCGAAGACGTGTCCTGTGTGGCAGCAGAGCGCAAGAATGTCAGTCATGAGGCCATCGCCAGTCCACACGGATGACAGAGGCGCCGCGACGCAGGCCGATGGAGCTTATGCCTCGCCCTGCTCGCGTGCGTCCCCGACCGGGGGGAAACACCAGGGGTGGAGGGGCGGGAAGTACTCACGATATTTCGACGCGCGCACGAATCGGCCAGACATTGGGGCTGGAGGATTGGGGGGAGGCTCTTGACAATACTCGGCGTCGAAGGGGCTTGTTGGGTAAGGGAAAGGTTACAAAATGAATAAAAGCTCGAGGAAGGGGAAAAGCAGTCCGGCGGTAATGTATGATGTGGAGGGTCAGGTAGGTAAGTAGGCGGGTAGGTAGGTAGCAAGGTCGAGAAAGGGGTCGCCTTTTGGGTATGGAAACGGTGGCCAGGTCTAGGGTAGGTACATGTACACGGCGGGCAGACTAATAGCAGCTGGTTATGGGGGGGTCCATTCCCTAGTCGCCAGGCCAAGTACGTACTGTCGTTTCTGACTGTACTGTCGCTAACTGTTATCTGACGACTGCGCTGCGCAGCGACACGTCGGGCAACCCTGGGCGCATTCACAACCCCCAGTCCCCAGCTTGCTTGCATAAACAGGTGGCCCCTCCATTAGTTTCACCAATGAGGCTGAGAAAAAGGGCGTGCACAAGCCAGCAGAGCCCACCCACCCACCGACCCGCCTGTGGGCTGTGATGGACATTCAGGGGTTGATTCATACAAAAGACTCCAATCAAATATATATGCTGATCACCGTCTCTTCTTGTTCGCAACTTGACTTTTACTATGTATAGTTGTAATACAATGCAATCTACGCAGAACAGCCCCCCCAGATGACGAATGAGAGTGGATGAAGAGGAGGATGGATGAATGGATGGAGATACCTCAGCTTCACCCACCCACCTGTACTGACCGCCGTAACAAGCAAGTCAAGTCGCCATGGCGCAGATAATCTATGTACAATAGGCTTCCCTGAACATTTGCCCTTCTTGGTATTTCCCTTTCATACTCGTCCGTACGCCTCTGATGAATCGAAATGCAGTCAGTGGTCCCACAGACAAACCCCCGCCAGGCAAAACTCCGGATTCCCACACTTGAACGCACCCATACCTGCCGCATTGGAGTCCCGCCATCCAAGCCAACGTCATTACTCATCGCCGTCCTCGCTTCGGGCAGCGCTGCTGGCCCCGTTGGTGTTGCTCGCCGAGTTGTTGGTCAGCTTGATCCTCGGCTGGGGCGTGCTGTTAGTGGTGGGTGCAGCCGATGTGTCCTTCTGTGACGACGAGTCCTCAAGCTCGTTGAGCTCAGGGTGCTCTTGAAGCTGCTTCTGATACTCTCCCAAGAAGTAGGTCTGCAATCATGTCAGTCGCGCTGTCCAGGGGCCCAGGATTCTAATGTTGGTGTTTAAACTTACCTCGATCGTTGTGGCATCAGTGTGGATCAGGCTGCCGTCGTCATTGAACAGCCTGCAGTTGCTGCACATGAGCTCGACGTCCTTGCGGAGATCACTCAGGCTCTTGTACTCCTCCTTCTTGATCTTCTTTTCGATCTGCGTCATGGCGATCGGGTTCTGGATGATGACGTAGTAGTCTGCCCAGTCCCTCTTGGGCGGAAGTTTGATAAAGGGTCCAATAATCAAGCGCTTGGGCGGACCGTCGTCTTCGTCGTCCTTATCGTCCTCATCAGGCTCCGGGTCCGGATCATCGACCTCAAGCTTCATCAGGCTGTCATAGAGATGGCGCAGGCTCCGTTGCAGTACTTGCCGTTGCTGAGGGTTGACTTTGCCGTCCGCACCATTTGTGGCACCCAGAGACTTTCGACCCTGAGGTCCGCGTCGCTTCTTTGCTGGTGGGGGCTCGTCCTCGCCGTCTTCGGCCTTTCGCTTCTCGATCTTGATGCCGGGCTTGCGACCTCGCTTCTTGACCGGTGTCTCCACTTCTGGTTCTGGCTCTTCGGAACTGGCGCGACTAGCAGCCGGGGATCCTTCAGAGCCGTTGACGCCTGACATCCGCTTGAGGCGGTTCGCCTCCCGCCGCTCTTTGCGAGCCTGCTTTCTGGCGGCCGCAGCCTCTGGGCTGTCTTCGTCGTCGTCGACAGCTAGTAGCCACTGCTCCTCGGTCAACCCGTCATCGTATCGGACCTTGGTCCTCTCACGGGCGCCGCGGCCGAGCGAAACCTCAGTCTCCTCCGGAGCATCGGGGTTGTCTTCGTTGAGATAGATGTCTGGGAGCTCATTTTCTGCCATGAGACGAGGCATGCCCTTGCAGCCAGGCGCGGTGCCGTAGGTTGGATCTTTGAACCTTACCTCGTCCAGGGCTTGGAATTTTATGAGTTCATCGTCACTCCGTGCGAGAATCATGTTGAGCTCTTCGTCGTCCATCTCCTCTTGCTCACCAGTTTCGGCCAGATCTGCGGTTTCGAGCAGTGTCCGGAGCATGGCATCACGATCGGTCTCAGACGACTTGTTGTCGAAACGACCGGCTTGGATGACTTTCCCGTCCATATCGAGCTTGAACCGGGCCCGCTCAAGAATCTTCTCCTCCACTGAACTAGAGCTGATGAGACGAAGAATGCGGACCTCGTTCTTCTGTCCGATACGATGGGCACGGTCCTGAGCCTGCAGATCCTGATGAGGGTTCCAATCAGAATCGTAGATGATGACGGTATCCGCAGTCTGAAGGTTTAGACCCAGACCACCGGCACGCGTCGAGAGTAAGAACATAAAGTAAGGAGAATCTGGCCGGTTGAACTCGTGAAGCAGCTCAGACCGTTCGTCTGACTTGGTCGTACCATCCAGCCGAAGGTAGGTGATGTTCCGCAAACGGAGGAAATCTTCCATAATGTCCATAATTGCCGTCATCTGGAAGAACATGAGTACACGATGTCCTGTCGCCTGGTATTTCGGCAAGATGCGGTCCAGAAGTTCGAATTTGCCAGCAGTCCTCCATAGCAGATCGTTGCTGACGCTGGCGGGATTCATCTGGTTTTCGACCTCGTCAAAGACAAATGGATGGTTGCAAAGTTTTCGGAGCTGCATGATCATGTTACTCAGACCCTTCGCAGTGCTCTTGCCGCCTTTACCGTCGCTGACAGCAATCTTATTGTGAGTGACCATTTGCTTGTAAAGGCGGGATTGCAGTGCGGAGAATCTGCACTTGATGACCTTCTCAGTCTTGTCGGGCAGGTCCTTCTCGACATCTTTCTTCAGGCGGCGAAGCAAGAAGGGACGCAGAACCTTGTGCAGGCGACGAATGACAAGAATCTGTTCTTCTTCCGTCAACTCCATCTTGTCTTGCCCTCCTGTGTTGGCAAACGGAGTGTTGAACCACTCGTCGAAGGTCTTGGCAGACTTGAAGATGTTGGGCAAAGTGAAGTTCAGCATTGCCCACAATTCGGACAGATTATTCTGCAGGGGTGTACCCGTGAGAATGAGACGGAACCTTGTCGAGTAGTACTGCTGGATGGTGGCGCTCAGCTTCGAGTTGGAGTTCTTCATACGATGACCTTCATCGATAATCATGTGGAACCACTTGATCTTGCTAAGAATGTTGCGGTCCTTGATGATGTACTCGTATGTGGTGAGCAAGACTTGAAACCTGCCCTGCCGGATCTTGTCCTGCTGCACCTTACGAGTGTTCGGCGGGCCCTTGTACACGACCTTGGACACAGAAGGGGCCCACTTGTCAAACTCGAGGTTCCAGTTTGTCAATGTGCTGAGAGGGACAATGACAAGGTAAGGACCCATCTGCTGTTTCCTCTCAATCAGGTACGTGATCAGACTGATCGTTTGGATAGTCTTGCCGAGACCCATTTCATCGGCGAGGATACCGTTGAGGTTGTTATTGTAGAGCGAGATCATCCACTGGAGGCCCTTGATCTGATACTCCTTGAGCTTGCCGCCAACGAGGATGTCCGCTTGCTCGGTAACCTCTTCCTTGATGCGATGGGCGACAGCGTAGTAGTCGATCTTGCGACCGCCGGTCTCCTCGTCTTCCTCATCTTCCTCCTCCTCTTCACTTTCTTCTTCTTGGACGTCACCACCATAGCGCTCTGCAGCAGCTCGCTGCTGAGCCTTGACCGAAGATGCAAGTTGATGCAAGAAGCCGTCGGTCTGGCGCAAAAGATGAGTAATACGCGTGTCCTTGGCCTGGTCGAGAAGCTTGAGATAAGCTTCTTCGTCGTTGGCCTTGAGAGCTTGCAGACGCTGCTTGGCATTCCGCTCAATGCGCTTCTGCTCTTCCTTCTCAATGTTGAAGTGATGGTTGTACATCAGTTTGCCCATCTTGCTCATCCTGTTCTGCTGGCCCTGAGCAGTTATTTGGATCTCGTTACGGTGGTTGAAAACAGCATGAAGGTAGTCCACGTGTTTCTTCTTTTCACGGTTCTCCCTGGCGTCCCGCTGCTGCTTCTCAAGCTTCTCTGTAATACGGGCCTCACGCACATTCTGCTTCTTCAAGCGTCGATACAAACTGCGGTTTGTCGTCATGGCGAGGTTGTCATAGCACATCATCTGCCGACCAATTCTGTCGCGCAACGCTCTCTGTTTTGAGTACAGCGCAATGGACTTCATCTCAATGATGGCCTTACGTCTAAGGGTATCATCAACACTGAGGGTCTCTTTGGAGGTATCCCAATGCGCCAAGTTGCCAGGCTGACTCTTCAGCTCATTATATCGAGTGCTCATCCTGTTGAACACAATCTTCTCACGATCGGCTCTGAGCTGATCAAAGTCAATGCCATGGGGGAACAGGCCCGGGATGAACAACCGGCTATCGTGCCGTGCGTGTTCGAAGAGGCCAACAGTTTGCTGCAACATTTTCTCGGGAAGCTGCAGCCTCTTGAACTTGGGCTCTTTTGGAGCCGACGCAGTCTCCTCGGGCTGAGAGGATTCGACGCCGTTGGGTCCAGCCTTGCTTGGAGTTTGTGGCCCGGGACCCTGAGACGTGGGCGTGGCAGACGACTGCTGCGCAACTGAAGCCTGCCGCCGCTGGCGAGACTGGAAGATGGACTGCTGCAGGTTCACAGGCACGCCGAAGTTCTTAGACAACATCTTAAATGCCTGGATCTGCTGCCTCAGCAGGTTAAGATGGGCAGGCGTAAACTGGCCAGGTGGAGGGCCAACAGGAGATGCGGCAACCGGAGCTGGCGCATCACCAGCAGAAGCAGATGGTAGAGCAGAAGCACCCAGATTGGATCCAGGGGCCTGGGATGTCTGAGCACCAGGGTGAGAACTATTATGTCCGGCTTGGGTGCCCACGACGCCTCCGTTGGTAGCCGCGGCCTGCTGCTGCTGTTGTTGTTGCTGCTGTTGTTGCTGTTGCTGCTGCTGCTGTTGTTTCTGCTGCATCTGCAGCTGTGCCTGTTGCTTCCTAAGTTGCGATTGCTGCTGCAATGCCATGAGGAATTGCTGGGTCTTGATGAGCTCTGGATCGTTGGGAGGTGTGTTGTTCGCTTTCATTTGCTTAAAACGCTGTGCATTGTCAACAAAGAAAGTCCTCTAGCACTGCGCCTAGGGGAGATATCAGAGGCAAACATACGTCGTACATGTCCTTAATCTGCTGCTGCGTCACGTTGGCAGGAAGGCTGGCACCCGGGAAATGGCCCGGGGCCGCCGCAGGCTGTACGGAAGCCATGGTTCCAGGTAAGAGAAGGTCGGTCTCAAAGATTTGAGAGAGATGTTTTGCCGCGAGGACCGAATATTATGTTGAGTGCATATCTGTCTAGCAACGCGCGAGGTATGATAAAAATTACAACAAGCACGGCGTGGTGAAACGAAAGACCAAGAAGTATAGTTGATGGAGTCGGTGAAAGCAGGGGGCGCGTCGAACCGGAGGTCGAAGGGCGTGTCTGCGTGGTGCAAGGTCGAGAGCCGCAAGGTCTAGGAGGGCGTAGTGCCGTCGAGATAGGGCTACACCAAAATGGAGCGTGTCGCGTTGGGATGGCAAAAGGGCCGTATAGCGTGGCGCCGAGGGGTTGTTGGTGGTCGGTCTTTTGGGGCAGGTTTGCGATGCGATGCGATGCGACAGGGTGAAAAGGAAGTGCTGAGTGGGCGCGGCGCGCGGTTGCAGTTGCGGTTGCGGTGGGGGTGGGATGCGCAGCAGCAAGGGAAGGGAAAAAGGCTGGCAGGTGAATTGGGAAAAACGCAGAAGCTGGCCAAATCGGGGGTGATTTGGCGAGAGGCTGCACGAAAGGCGCGGCAAAATCGCGTGCAAACAAGTTTGCTTGGTAGTTTTTGATGGTTGTCGATGGTTGCGGGCGGTTTTGCGATGCGTCGCGCTTCGCCTTTGGATGGAGTGGGTGGGAGTGCTTGGTGATTGAGAATGGGTTTGACCACAAGGCAGGTCGCGGGCGCTGGCTGCTGGCAAGGTTCGTAGGCAGCTGCAGATTTCTGGGGGCCTGAGGCAGCAACTGTCATGACCCACTGCTGCACGGGCCACCAGCTAGTGGTCCATGCAGCCAATGGCAAGAGAGCACGGCAAGACTAGCCGTTCTGGTACTACGCTCGGGACTTACACGAAGTACCCCAAAACCGGTCCCTCTGCCCCTGCATTGCTTACGACATCACTCGACGCGTGGGTTGACATTGAAGCAACCTTGGAAGCCAGACAGACAAGGGCGCCTGAGCGACGAGCATGTACAGAGACTGCATGTGGAACCAATCGGCCTATAGAGCCCTTTTCATGAGATGACCTGCAAGGCACATTTAGCCAAGATAGATAGATAGATAGATACTGCCGCATACAACAGAAACACTATCTCTTCACCCTCTTCTTATCCGGCCCCTCTTCCTCTTCGTCACTGATATCCGCGTACTGGGTCACCGGTTGTGTCTCCTTCCACGCGTTCGTAAACAACGGATCCTTCTTGGCGACATCTGCGTACTTGAGCAACGCCTCCCTGGGATCCTCGTGCAGCATCTTGCTGAGCGGGATATTCTCCTCAATGTGCTTCTCGTCCGGTTGGCTGCGCATGAATGGCGTGATCTGCTGCACCTGCGGCCTACGCGGATCCAGCGACTTCCCAGTGCCCGTAACGCCCGCCTTGCGCTGCTGGGCAGACAGGGCCCCTGGCGCGATGATGCTGTCGCCCGACAAGCCGAGCGTCTGATCCATCGTGAATGCCGGGTTGTCGTCGACGTGTCGCTTCTTGGGCGCTTTGCTCATCACGTCTACCGCGCCGCGCTGAGACATCGACGGGTTGTAGAGGACATGGGTCTCTGCATTGGCCGAGCCCGTGATGATCTGATTGAGTTTCGGGTGCCAGTCAGTCACGATCAGTGGCGCGCCTGGTGTTATTGGTGTGACATGTTCTGCCTTGAGGTTGCCAGGGTTGAGGATGTGAAGATGGCCAGATGCTGACCCAGTGATGATTGCCGTCGAGTTGGGTGAGTATTTGATGTTGGTCATTGAGAACCTGTCCGACGTAGAAGGGTGCTCGACAGACACCAAAGGCTGTTTGAACTTGCGCGTGTCCCAAAGCTTGATCAGGCCGTCGCCACCGCGTGTCACGACCATTCGACCGTCTGAACTGATGTCCACGCCGCCTGTCCAGGTGTCTGCCTTGTGGGCGTCTCGTACCTCCGCGGCGGGTCTCGTGAATGGGCCATTGCCACTGTACATCACCAACGACCCATCCAGCGCAGCTGCGACGAGAACGTTGCTGCCGCCTTGGGCCGGCGCACCCCAGGCCACTGCAGTCATCCTCGTCCGCCCCGCTGTGCCTGCCGCTTTGGATTTGAAGACGATAATGTCCTTCTGGCTGCGCTTGTTGTTGATGTCCCATATCCGCAATGTGCTGTCCGTCCCGGCAGTAACGCACAGGTTCCTGTCGGTCGGATGCCATGTGCCAGTTGTGATCTCAGATACGTGGCCTTTTGTATTGTGCATGTCCCTTAAGTACATGTCTCCTTTCACGAATTCCGTCAGGATATCTCCGTCCCTCGACAAGATCTTGGCTTGTGGATGCGACGAGATACACAATAGTGCGCCGCCTGCGAGCGGATTGAACTTGACGAGGTTTATGGGGTATGACTCTGCCGCCGTGGTAGAGCTCTTGGTCTCCCATGGGTCAATGCTTCGGAAAGCGCGCAGGGTAGTCGGCGTCATGGAGGCGAAGTCGTGGAGTTTGACGGTGCCGTCCAAAGAGCCAGTCGCTAGCCTCGAGCCTGAGGGATCGACGGAAACGCTCGTCACGGTTCGATCGTGGGTCTTGAGGACGAGCTCGTGAGAGACAGGGAATTCATCTTCGTCGTCGTCGTCGGACGAGTCATCCGAGTCGTCGTCGCTGTCGCCATCAGAATCAGATTTCGAGCCTCCTTTGGATCCTTCATCGTTCACCTGTGCTTGGTCTTTTGGCTTTTCCGCGGTCCTCCGGCTGCGGTCTATCTGCGCGGCAATGTCGGCGTCTTTTGACTTCTTCCCAAATGACGTGGGCAGGAAAGCTCGCATAGGATCATCGGCCGCCAGCTCTGGCCCCTCGACCTCGAAATCATCGCTGTCGCTCATTCTGGCCTCGCGGATGCGGCGATGGAGAGGAGGTCGTCAGGTGTGAGGGCTGAGATGGATGTCGGGTTCTTGGAAGCGATGTCGTCAGGAACTTTTGTTGTGGAGAACAGCATCAAGTTGCACGATTGAGGTTGAAGCGAAAGGTTTACGGTCAGGAATGGATGCGCCGGCAGGCATTAGTCTGGGTAGATGTGCCACCAGTCTACCTAGGCATCTATGTAAACAATCCTCAATCGCTACTTTATCCTGGGCCCCCTGGACCCTGGCAGGGAGCTTGACGACCCGCCAAAACTGCCCCGCGAATGACGTTCGCCTCTTATCAAATCACTCCCTCACTTCCACCATGCTCGCAAACGCACCCCAAGCCTCACACACCACCACAATCCTCTTCTTCGCGCTAATCCTGATCGCCTTCTTCCCAGGAATATTCCACTACCTCTGGACACTCCCGCTCAGCCTAATCTTCTCCTCCTCAACAACACCAACATACAACGGCGGCGGCCCAGCAGCAGACATCAGGATGGGCTCGTGGTACCAGAAGCAGTTCACACTCCCCAGCAAGTCGAGGGGCTCATACCTGATCACGGACCACGTCGTCAGCTCGCTGCCCGAGCTGAAGCAGTACAAGGTTGGCCTGCTGAACCTCTTTGTCCAGCACACGAGCTGCGCGCTCAGCCTGAACGAGAACTGGGACGACGACGTTCGTGCCGACATGAGCGATGCGCTGGACCGGATAGCACCTGAGGAGGGGCCAAAGGGGGAGGAACTGTACCGCCACTCTGCTGGTTAGAACTTGCCTGCTTCTCTATCCGTCACTCGACCGAGTGTCACAATATGCTGTGGAGATTGCTAACGTGGGTGGGCACTATCAGAGGGCCCGGACGACATGCCGGCTCATATCAAGTCGGCGCTAGTCGGTGCATCAGTGACGATACCAATCCGAGACGGGAAATTGGCCACAGGTACCTGGCAAGGGATCTGTACGTCTAATCCCTCCTAGGCTTGTCAATGAAAGAATGCTGACTTCGACTATCAGGGTATCTCGAATTTCGAGCAATGAAGCACCAGAGACGTGTTGTCGCAACGATCCAAGGAGAGAAGGCATAGGAGACCATTGCTTTGCTACAGGGTAAACCAATGAATCCTACTTGCCTGCGAAGTATTCATCGACTTCCCATAGAAATGTGATCGTCTTCACTGTTCAACCATCATGGTCTACCTTCCTGGTAGTCGAGGCCATTGCCCTTTCTACTGAAGTTATGATGCGGGCCCTGGTGACCGTCTCGATGGCCTTATTAATCCTCAAGCATTCGCGAGCGACAGGTGGCTGCCCAATGGGGTATCATTAATTTCATTGTTAGTGAATGTGCCTTCCACGGCAATACTTCGAGCCTATGGTAATAAACCAGCTTCGGTGGATCTCGATTCTATCTTCAATAACCGAAACACCATGCAGAGTGTGGCCGGCCGGCCATAATAGAAAAGGTTCGCCAAGCATTCAAGAAATTGATCGCCCGCCCTCTGAGCCTGCGTCTGCCGTTCTGATATGCCTCGTTCTGAATGCTTCCAAACTACGTCCATCCGAGGCCCCTGCTGATCTACTCGGGGGCGTCTTCCTCTTTCATGTTGATGTCGTCACCAGCCAGAACTCGGGTCTTTGGAACGTAACCATCCGGTGCTCTGCCACCAGGAGTCTGAGCCACGACCTTGCCGTTCTCGTCGACGAACTCGAAGTTATAGCGGCTGAGCAGGTGGGGTATGGCGGAAAGCTGGGGTCCGTAACGGGCCGTGTTGTCGTAGAGTTCAAAGAGCGGAACGGCCAAGAGTTTCATATTCTTGGGAACGCTCAGAACCTCTGTAGGGTGGCAGGGTTAGAACACAATCATAGTGACTCAAGCTAGTCCGGCGCGCTGCACTTACTGGTCTCTGGGAGCTGGATGAAGTAGAGCTTCTTGCACTCCTTGGGCCGAGTGACATGGGCAGGGACGAAGGGGTACATGAAGGTCTCGAAGTTGGGGCGCCACCACTGGGCGAGGCTGTCGCCGATGTGCCAATCACCAGCCGTCTGGCCGTCTCCCAGGCTGCCGACAGGGGCCAAGCGCTCGTCGAGCCTAGCCTTGAAGCCCTCGATCTCGTCATCCTCTGGCCGGAGGTAGTCCCCCGGAAGCTTGAAGAACGCATTGGCTATCTGCAGCATCAGGATGTGGGGATGATTGTGCTCGTGGCAGACGAGAATGCCCTCGCAGGTGCGTCGCATGCCATGTTGGTTGTAGTGCTCCTCGAGGCGTCGGAGTCGAGCGACGACACTTGGGTCCTCTTCAGGCTGGGTTTCCTTGACGCCGAACGTGTAGTTGGACAGTGGATAGAGTCGGATGGTCTGGGGTTGGTTCGCTTCGAAGGGGAGGGGGATGATGGGCGGCTTCGACGAGCGCAGCGAATCGGGCGCGATTGTGGACATGATGGCGATCTGGACTGAAGCGCCGGTGTGGCCAATGCCTTGGGGCGAAGATCGATAGAGAGGCTGCTTCGAAAAGTCGGTGTGACGAGATTTTGAATTTGAAGAAGCAACGATAAACAAGTGTTGTTGCTGGCATGGAGAGGTATGAGGGCACGCGATGTGGTCTGCTGAGCGGCAAGGAGCTCCAGCTGTAACATGAAGCTCTACTACGGAAGTCGGGATACTGCCATGGATTGATTGCACCTCTGCACCGAATAGGGACGGGCGGTGAAGTTACCCCGGCCAATTGAATCCACTACGGGCTCCTCCCCCGGGCCCCCTAGTCTGAGCCTGTTCCTGTTCCTGGGTACCTGAGTACTTTCCCATGTGTAGTTGACAGGGATGCTAGATTGCCGGCGATGCGTGCCAGGCCCTCAACTGCAAACTACTTCATCTGACCACACCAACTTCGACGTGTGAGAACGTAATTTGAGGGCTCGGATCTGATTATTCCCGGGGAGCGACGGGTGCCTATGGCGGTCAAGCGCAATTCCGCAACTGCGAAAACTTACTGCGAAGAAAAGCCAGTGTCAAGTCAAGAGGTTGTATTTAGCCGGCGGCCGCAAATGGTCACGATGACCTCGAACTCAAGTGCCAACTCGTCCACGTCACGGCAGGCTCTAAAGTCTCGTTCTTCCGAATCCCCCGAACCCATCATGAACCGAGTTTCCAAGACGCTCGCAGCCGGTCAGAGAAAGAGCCGCGTTCTCTTCAACGCGGCTCACCCCATGTCCATGTCCGGCTCGCCTATCCTGAAGCCGCTTGCCGCATAGTCGCTCACGCCGTCCAATAGCATCACCCTGGATAAATCAATGGCGTACCTGACCCCCATGGTCCCCGCATACGTGCGCCTTTGGGGCTTACAGCTGCCAGTGAAGGCGACCATGGGGGCTGCATATCAAGGTGCCACTGCTTTAGCTTCCGATGGATGATGCACAAGTATATAATGCGCCTGGATATTCGTCTGCGACTGTTCACGATGTTGCCTGTCTCAAGCCCAATTGACATTGCCCTATCAATCAATACACTGATACCCTAGAATCACTTCAAAATCAGGAACACTTCTGAAATATACACAAAATGCCCGTAGTTCCAGTTCTGACGCCGGAAGAGAAGGAGCATTTCCTCAACAACGGCTGGCTCAAGTAAGTCCACACCCGCTACCCATCTCAAGATTCAGAGATATCTAACAGACACTGTCCAGGATCCCAGGAGCATTCACAAAAGAACAAGCCGATGAGATCACCAAAGACGTCTGGACCCGGCTGGGCATGGACCCCAAAGACAAGACAACATGGCACAGAGTCTGGACCAACATGCCGCACCACAACACCTTTGACGCAAGCACCTTCGCGCCCCGCGCCTGGGCGGCGATAAGCGAGGTCTGCGGCGGCGAGGACCGCATCAACCCAGCATTCCGGCAGTGGCGCGACAGCCTGATCGTGAACCTGGGGTCCGCCGAGCGCGAGGGCAAGGCGGACCCGCCGCGCGAGCTGGAGAGGTGGCACGTCGACGGCGACTTCTTCGTGCACTACCTGGACTCGCCGGAGCAGGGGCTGCTGGTGGTGCCGCTGTTCACGGACGTGCCGCCGCGCGGGGGCGGGACCGTGATCTACCCGCGCGGGATGCGCGAGGTCGCCGCGCACCTGCACGCCCACCCGGAGGGCGTGTCGCCGCGCATGGTGCCGCGGGGCGAGCCCAACTTCGGCGCCGACTTCCGCGCCGACAAGGACCTGAACTGGTTCAGGCGCGTGGCGTCGCGGGGCGCCGACGCGGACTTTGTCGAGGTCACCGGCAGCGTCGGCGATGTCTACATCCTGCACCCGCTCATGCTGCACGCAGCTACCAACAACGCCCTGCGCCACGTGCGCATCATCACGAACCCGCCCATTGCGCTCAAGGAGCCGTTCCGGTTCTACAGGGATGACGGGAGTGAGTATAGTCTAGTCGAGAGGGCGACGTTGAGGATGCTAGGGAAGGAGGAGGAAGGGTTGAAGGGCTGGAAGATCACGCAGCCCAGGGAGGGTCTTGTACCGGAGAGAATGCGTATACAGGAGCGGTGGAAGCAGGAAGAGCTGAAGAGGTTGGAGGAGCATCGCAAACTAGCGTCTGCCACCGCCTGAGAAGGGTTTACATCGGCTGAGTCATTATGAGGGACTATTGCAAGCGGAAGCATTGGCATGTCAATCGGGTCAAGGCGCTGTGTCAAATGTTCGGCTAAGATCTGGTTATTAAAGCATGCTTTGCTAAATCCATACCCTCCCTGATGCCTCCCTAACCTGTAAATGCGAGGCCATAAGATCGACCTGTTGCAAGACACCATTCGTGTCCGAAAACAAAGAGGATTCGCAATGAGAAAAACATTATACAGGGAAAAGAAAGGGACCAAGCACGAGTAGCCACGCCGAGAAGGGTATCTTCCCTCCCTTTTCCCTGTCCTGTACACGCCCTGGTTTTGGCTGGTCCTGAACTCCGGAATGCATGTTTCCAAACAACTCTGGCATAATGAACATGGCGCGCTTTTCTTGCCGAGTGCCAGCGACGAACTCTGCTGTGCTGGCACGTATGAGAAATAAAAACAGAAATGACTATTGAAGCAAAAGAAAATTGATTCATGCACCCGGTGCTGCGGGCTGGGATAATTTGGGCCAAGACCCATCCTGTCAGCTCATTGACCATTCCTTCCTGAGGCCGCTCCTGAGTCCGTACTCGCTCCGTCTGGCAACTTTCTCCATGTGTCTCGTTCTGGAGGATCTCTTGGGGCGGCTACCTCTCAGCTCGGACACCCGTTTAGTGTGCGGCGAGGATTGATCGTATTCAAGATCTTGCTCAAATCCATCGTCTATCCCCTCTTCAGCATCTGAACAAGGCCCCTGAAGCGGCTTGGTTAATTCAAGATCCTCCTCGGTCGGCGGGGCACGATTGGCAGGGCGGAACTGGACTGGCGTCTCCGTTGTTGGACCACATTCTCCCTCGCCTTCAATCTTTTGACGCTTCACGGGGGGGTCGCAGTCCTCCTTGTCGTCAATTGGCCCGCGCTTCTTGCTCTTGGACTTGTGGGTTGGTGGATGAATGACTTCTTCCCAGGTCGGCTCTTGCTGCATGGCTAAGCTGTGAACAGTTCCAGGCTGGCCCGTTGTTTTCGCTTTGGGTCCCTGCTCTTTGAACCGTTGCGCGTTGGGCCCTTGTTCCTGAGGACCATTCTCTACAGGAACTTGCTGCGCAGAAATTGGCTCCGTCGCCTCGGCATTAGAGTGTTTCTGCCTAACTTCGTTTCTTGGACGTGCCCTCTTTCGGCCGGAAGAAGAGCCCTACTTCTTGTCTTCCCGCGCCGGCGAAGGGTCAGCTTGCGAATCCGTTGAGTTCTTGCCACGAGACTTCCTACTTCCCGTCGTATGCGTCCAACCTCGGATCTGCGTGGGCCCGTGCGAGGGCGGTGGTGCCGTGGCTGAGTAGTCCCTGATGCCTTCGTACGGATTGTACATAAGAGTGCGCAGCTCTGATCCATTGTTGTCCCAAGTCTCAGCCTGTCGAGGTGCGGGCTTGATCTCACGGTACTGTTTATTGTTGCTGTTGTTGCGCGTGGATGATATGCTTCCGCTGCGTCTGCCTGGAGAGGTCGAGACTGCTGAATGTGTGTTGTGATATGGAGGAGGGCTTTGTAGAACCTGACTCTGTTGCCCGGCGCCTTGATCGTACTGTGCTGAATGCTGAGATCCCATTGGTGCCCCAGGTGGATACGAATGCTGCATGGAATAGGACGTCGGCTGTTGATGGCCGGATTGCATTACAGGCTGGGCCATGTAACCTGGTCGAGGGCCTTGCTCGGTAGACATTAGAGGTTGATCGGGCCCATATCCGTTCGATTGATAGGGCTGGTCAGCATATGCTTGAGATGGAGGTGGCGGCGGATAATTTGCCATTTGGTCATTAGTGTTCGTCGTGATGTGCTGGGGTGCTTGAGGTCCGGGGGTCGTTGGGTGCATGAGCTGACCCGACCCCGAGCCACGGTGTAGCGGTCGTAACGGCGGCAACGGCTGTGTCTCTAGGCCAGCTGGATTACTAAAGGGGGTCCGTCCCGGTGATCCCTCCGTAGGTACAGCTGGTCTTGGAGCAGCAGCCAGGGGCGGTCCGGCATACTGTTGCGTCATTTGAGGAGGCTCAGGATAGTCCGGTGCCTGCGGCGGGCCCTGCGGCGGCCCCTGTGGTGTAGGAGTGGATGGAGAATTGAGAGCAGTCTGGAAGAAACTGGTCTGCGGTTGCTGAAGCGTGTTGCTGTGCTGTGACAACTGTTGTTGCGGAGCCTGCTGTGACTTCTGATGCTGGGGACCTTTTGGTTGCTGACCATCCTCGAACAGTTGTGGGTCCAAGAGTGCATCATCCGTATTGGGGATTGGCACATGTCGCTCGTCAGCCGCATGTGGCAACGACCTCGCCATTTGTGGCTGTTCGTAAGGTACGTCTGCCTCTCTATATCCGTATGGCTCTGGAGGTGCTGGGGGAGGATTTTGTCCGTATTGACCAGGAGCTGGTTGCGGAGGCTGCATCGCCTGCATCGCGTGCTGTCGTTCGTGTACACTCTCAGGGCCTCGGTAGGTGAAGTGCTCGGGCGGCGCCAAGGGGGACTGTGGCACCTGCTGGTCGTGGTAGTTTTGATGAGGCTGCACAGCGTATGTCCGGTCTCCGCCCGTAAAGTGCTCCGGCATAGCCAATTGCGGCGCAGATCCTTGTTGAGGATCAGGGTATTCTAGGGACCCCATCGCATCGTCCGCTTGCACGAGTTCTTGGGGATCTCGCAGCTGCTTTGGACGGACCGGCTCAGGCATCTGAATTGGAATTTGCGGCGGCTCTTCGATATTGGAGTTGGGTGCCAGCTTGTTTTGCGGTTCACCGGCTTCCTGAATGGCAATATCTGCCAGAAACTTCATGGCCGACACATCTTCGGCAGGCGGTGTTGATGCTGCAGCAGGGGGTAAATTGGAGTTTCCAAAGATGTCTCTGACAGCGTCGTATGGCCGTGACATTGTCGAGGGTCGTGACAGGACTGGTGACGCAGTCTGGGCCTCCTGTATACTTTGGGCTTCTTGGGCCTCTCGGGACTCCAAGGCAGAGGAGGCGTTGACAAGCAATTCGATGTTATAAGCACCCAGTTGCTGGTCTTGCTCGTCTTGAGCCTCGTCTTCTTGCTGCTCAAGTTTAATCCGGTTGTCTTCGCGTTCATGCAATAACCTCTCAGTCTCGGGATCATAGAGGTCATCTTCCGTCAAGTCCTCCTGGTCCATGAACTGACTCAGCATGCTCTTCAGTGTCTTCTTGACGTAGGCTCCTTCGGCCTTAGCCTTCGAAATAGATCGAGAGGTATGGATGATCTTCCCATCGGGTGGTACAAATACAGTAGGTTTCCAGCCAGACTGGTATGGTCTAGGTGGTTCTGCGTCGTTGGCAGAGTTCTCCATGAACAGACCGTATTTGGGATGCAGTTTGTGCTTCGCAATCAAGTCCTGATCGAGGTCACCATCTGCATACTGTGTTGCATCGTAGGTCCAAAGGGTACGGTCAAAGAACATGGCGTTCGAGTTGGGTTGGCCCAGAAACTTCTTGCGCTTAGCTTTGGTGGCGCCACGGCTCTTGTCGTTGGTCGAGTCGCGGAAGCCAATCTCGTGGGGCTCATACTCGAACAGTGCTGGAAGCATGATGCGATTGTTGGGCATATCGCCTGCTCTGGCCCTCTTGTTGATGAGCCGAGCGCCGTGTTCATCGGGCTCTGCTGCACCATTTGGAAGTGGAGGCATAGTCTCGTCCTCACCAGCATCAGACTCTTCGACTTCAGCCGATGGCGACCGTGCAGGTACCTGCTTTCGTTTCCTGCCGCGGGTTGCCGTGGTTGGCTCATTTGGTGGAGATGGGTTGTCATCATTGTCATCAACAGGTGAGGGTGATGGGGGTTGGCTTGCAGGCTCATCTGGGGCCACTGCAGAGAGCAGACCACCAATGTGGCGAGGAAGGTCTGCGCCAACCTTGTTGTCTAGAGAGCTCACAGGCCGCTTAGGGGTGGGTTGGCCCTCGAGGAGCTCCGCACCCTTGCGTTTGATGGGAGTCCGGGTAGCCTTGGACTTGCTTGCCTCCGAGGCCAGCTCTGGATGGAGGTGAGGATAAGGAACTTCTACACCCTTGTAGATCTTTCGGTAGATGCCTTGCTCGGCAGCCTCTTCTGTGGTGATTGATTTGTAGTTCCAGGAGAGGTCCAGTTTCTTTGAAAATCATTAGACACGGCGATAATACTGAGTGAGGGTCTGTCACAATTGACACTTACGTTTAATGGATCCCTGGTCCTCTGCAGGTCTTCCAGTATATCGAGGCGCCTGAGCTGAGCGTCGAGGTAGTCCTCAACCAGGTCATCCCAGCGGTTCTGGGAGGTGTGAGCAAATGCACCAGAAGACAGAGAAAAAGAAGCCAACGAAGGATTGAGATGGCCATGATTGATTGATTGATTGATTACTTACGTGAAATGACTGGCCGGTGTAGTCCTGTTTTGCGTCCCACTCGTGTTGTGCGGTTGCGGTGCTGAGCTTCAATTTTGCGTCAAGCTCCGACAGCCGACCTTGGAGTCGCTGGTCCAGGAAGCGGGTGATCTCGGTGTACTGGTCGACCTCCTGGTGAGCGTCAAATTTGGACTTGAGCAAGTCGATATTCCGATCTGCAAGCTCCTCGAGAGCCGGTCTCATGGCAGCTGCCACGGTAGCATAAGCATTTTTCAGATCGCGCTGACGCTCATGAGCTGCTTGGGCGCGAGATGTTTCGTAGACCTTTTGGCGGCCCCGTCGCCCGGCAGTGGGTTTTCTGCCAGCGCGAGCAGAAGCAGCACCTCGTGATGAGGCGCCTCTTCCTCTGCCGCGACCTCTTTTGGTCGGGCTGGGTTGCTGGGGGGCAGGGTCGCTCATGGTGCCATTCAGGTGGTGAGGTTGTAAGTTAAGTGCAGGGTGAGACGGGAGAGAGAGGAATGGGGATCAGGATAGGGTGGAAGAATGGTGTGTCAGGGATCGCGAGAAACAAGAACCTGAGGAGCAGCCGGTGAGCTCAATGAAATCAGACTGCGAGCTCTTGGACGCTTTGGAAGATGTGATAAATTTGGGTCGGCGACGTGTAGTTCCTGTGAGGGAAGAAAGTGATGTGATGGCCGGCCAGGCTGGTGGATGGATTGGCTGTGTGTGCGTGTGCGTGTGTTGGTCTAATCCGCCAGGTGGAATAATGACAGCAGAATGCGACGACGAGCACAAGGCCGTCCCAGTGAGATCAACAAAGGCGGCTGAGAGGGAACAAGGCTGCAATAGAACGGCAGCACGCATCAACGGGCTGCTCGGGGCGACGGTGGTCAGGATATCTTGACTGATGCTGTCGCCAGGTCGGTGTCAATGCCAAAGGGGATCCAATCCAATCCGCTACTGTCTGGTGGCTGCTGCTGGGCGAGGTACAAGGTACTTGCGGAGATTTTCGAACTCAGCACCTACTTTGCCGCTTTGGGTAACAAAAAAACCTGACTTCGACACCCTGGCGACCCGGAATGAAAATGCAGACTATGCTTGAGGACAATAGCTTTTCTTTCTTATTCAGGTCCTGTCTGGTTCATTGTTAGACATCTAGCAATTGTTCATCTAGCGGCAACGCCTGTCTGCGTCAAGTTTTTTAGACTGACGATGCACAGAGATGGACTCACTCACCCATCCATCCAGTCAGCCTTCCTTAGTCGTACCTAGTCCTCGGTCCTTGGTGCTTGGTCGCAATGCGCCAGAATATCGTGGGGCCGTCGGCCTGGTCCCTTGCATTCGCCGACGTTGGATCTAATATGTACGCACACTTGGCCCTTCACTTACTCCTCCACGGTGCTCTGCTTCCTGGATAGAGTGATGCATCCAGCCTGCAGGGAGGACAGCACTTGAAGCCTGCATCAACACATGTGGCTCGAGAGGAGGAGCTCAACCATACCCCCGTCACGAGATCTCCAGCGTCACTACGATTTCAATGTTGACAACAGCTCTTGTTCGCCTCTCTTCCCCAGTTTTTTACCCCATCACTCTACCGGTGGAATTGCTTTACTCGTGCGCAAGATTTCAATTTCTGCTTTTGCTGTCGCTATTCTATTCGAGCAACTCATGTAGCCTATCGCCCGCCACACTGTCAGGGGAAACACCAACCCCGTCGTCTCATCACTCCACGGCAGATCTCTTAGAGAGCTGTGGGATGGCTTATCCAGGTGTAGCTTCCTCTCCGCAGCAGTAACGCCCCTCTGCAGTAGCCTTATACTGTATGATATCCCGTAGATGAGAAGTACTCCAGGGCTCAATGATGCACTTGTTGATCTGACTGCGCATCCCATACTGTGGCAACTCCTTATTTACGGAGTCAGGGCATCTCGTCTCGCGTCGCATGCCGTAACTGTGGGGCTGTCGCCAGTTATGGGGCTTCGGAACAGCCACAACCACTGCCGGGTCGGAATCTCCTATTTACTTCGACAATATGTCTGACTATGGCTTCCTTTTGGTCCTCATCACAGGATTGGCCTTCTTCCGTCCTATCTATCTGCACGGGTCTCTCTTCCAAGCTCGATTACGACGCTGAAAAAAACGACCGCTGTAAGGATCGGTCAGGTACCCCTATGGTTTCATTGTACCGGGTACTTTGCCCTGCTTATGTCACCTTTTAGTCGGCTATAATTGGCTGACCTCCCTCGCGTGTCTATTTCTGGGGTCAAGGGTTGATGAGCACTCGAAAAGCGGGCTCGGCCGCGAGGGCTCATGAAGCTCATCAATGCAAGAGATTCAATCCCGGAACCCGTGGGTATCGACCAATATCGAGAAGCAGTTTTGATTCACTCGCATGTCGTTGAAACCACGCTCTTCAATCACTGATTGACGGTAACACAGCATGTCGAAGAAACGCAAGACCTTGCCGCAGAAGCACAAACCAGCCTCTCACAAGGCCCAGGACAAGGGCAAGAGACCAGCCCATAAGACTGAAAAACCGCAAGCCAAATCTGGCGGCAGCAACCCTAACACCGACGCTCGAGATCTCGAGCCCACCATCCCTTTTTCGCCCGAAGATGCCATACTTCTCGTCGGTGAAGGCGACCTTAGCTTCTCCAGGGCCCTTGTAGAGCACCATTATTGCGAGAACGTCACAGCGACAGTGCTGGAGAAGGATCTGGAGGAGCTCACTGCCAAGTACCCTCACGTGAACGAGAATGTGGAGCTCATCGAGGCCGAGGGAAGCAAGGTGGCTTATGGAGTAGACGCCAAAAAGATGGCGCCGTGGGCCAAGAAGTCAGGCAAGGACTCGGTCGGCATCATGGACAGGATAAGTAATGCCTGCCTCTGCCCTCACCTTCAGTGGTAGACAAACATGGCTAACCACAAGTCTACGCAGTCTTTAACTTCCCGCACGTGGGAGGCAAGAGCACAGATGTCAACCGCCAGGTACGGTACAACCAGGAACTGCTCGTTGAGTTTTTCAAGCGGGCTTTGCTCTCGCTAGCGCCGGGAGGAACTATCATCATCACTCTGTTTGAAGGTGAACCATACACACTCTGGAACATCCGTGATCTAGCACGGCACTCGGGGCTACAAGTTGAGCGCAGCTTCCGTTTCCAGGCCTCCGCATACCCAGGATACCACCACGCGAGGACACTTGGTGTCGTCAAGAACAAACAGGGCGACATTGGTGGTGGCTGGAAGGGTGAAGACCGCGCTGCCCGAAGCTACATTTTCGTGAGGAAAGACGAGGTGCCGAAGGCCGTGTCCAAGAAGCGAAAGCGCTCGAGTGATGACGAGGACAGCGACAATTCTGATTGAGTCTGGGGCAAGGTTCCCCATCATGCAACAAACTCAGATCAGTGCGTATCGAATTTGGCCAGCCCACGTCCTCGAATCACTACCATGGGCCATGCTCCTCATCACAGGAAGCAGTCATCTAGCATCACCGAGGTGAAGAGCACGTGATCGAGTCCACGAGAGCGGGTTTAAGCTGAAAGAACGCAGACCAGGCAACGGAATCGAGCGGTCCAGTAATGGCAATTCCAGGGCGTGGTATATGAGATCATATGAACAGTTGAGAGCGTCAAAACAGTCTCTCGCATGCGAGTATCTCGGATGGCCATATCATTGACACCTTGTTGTGACAACCACCCAGCGTCCTGAAGAGATGGGTTGACAATGTACGGCTCAAGTTTACCACAGCAACTGGCCTTTAAGCACCCAGCCAAAGGACTTGTCAAAGCTGGATCATTGATTCATCTACGATGTCGGATCAGTCAATTGCAGTGGAGATATTCGAGATGGAAAAATATTCATAATAAGGGCACTTCTGGAGCACTATCCAAGACGAGTAGCAGAAACCCCATCACCACGAGAAAAATGGAAAAAGGCCCATTATCCAATTATTCAGACTTCTGTCCATTACGTACGATTGACAACTACACTTGAGAAGCTGCGACAAAGAGTCGTGCTCGCCACTCGGAAGCGAATCGCAACCTATGCCTTCAAATCCGCACCGACACGAAGACACCCCAGAGGCAATGATCATTCATACCCAGCTTGTGGCAACGGCTCGACTATGTCTCTCCATATCTAGCCTACAATATTATCCAAGTGGCTTGATGCAAGTGGTGAGAAGCCATAGCAAGCACGACAACGGGGCTGTGGAACATGAGCCGCTTCATCTCTCCTAGGCCAACATTGCGCTCTTTTTATACTAGGGCCGGCTAACTTCAACACAGCTCAGCTCGGCCACGAGGGGGCAGCCACACAGCCCCGGAACCCGGTCAAACGACGGCCTGTCAAACGCGAGACGGGCAAGACCACCGTTCCGTCCACGCCAACAGTCAGCCCGTGTCGTACTGTGTCTGGCCGGGCGGCCGGCCGCTCTCAGCAGCATGTACCCGTAATTACACAGCGCCGTTCAACGCAACGCGTACAACACACCCCAGCCAGCCTCCAATATACCTCCCCTTCCGAAACATACACGGGCGCGCATACAACAAACTCAAATAGTCACACTGTGCTGGTTACTTGCGAAGTACAAAGGCAGGAGGCCGGGGTGGGTGGTAGAGGAGCTCAAGGACGAGCCCTCGATGCCCTCAGGATTCCCACCCCTGTGATGCGACGCAAGCAACCGGATGTCCTCAACCTCCCGCTACCTGTCTTGCGGTGCCGGTACTAGAAGTTACGCATCTTCGCGGGCGCGCGCCAAGGTGTATATCTGCAATGAAGACCCTTCATCTATATTGTCTCTTTTCTCCCTCACCCAGGCGCGGTTCAATTCCTGTGTCTGACAAAGGCGAGGAGCGGCATAGTTTGTTGAGGCTGCATTGCATAGCTCTAACCCCGTGCGGATCTGATGAGGGGTCCCCCAATGTGCTACTGCTGCTGCTCTTCCTCGCCGGCCCTGCGTCTCCTCCTGCCGCCCCAAAGGGGCGATGATCACCGCGCCCTCTCAATCCCGATCTCCCTGCCCCCATCCTGCGATGCACCAATTACCGAGACCCATGGGCGGCAGCTGCCTCGCATCATGCTGTCGGCTTGTCCCGTTGCTGTCCAAACACATCCATGAGTTGCGTGTCTCCTGTTTGCTTGTCACCTCATCGAGGCCCGGGGTCGACATGAATCGACCATAACTGCGCTGCTGCACCGCGAGATACATACATGCATGCGTGCATACACACACACACACACACACACACACACAAACGCACACACACATGCATGCGCGTAGACAACGAAGACGGCCACCCGATCGATTCAGCGTTTAAGATCCCGCCAAACGCACCATGCAACAGCAGGCTAAAGCTGCCCCTGTGAGCATGCTACTTCATGCGTCCCCTCGTCGTCGGGGAAGGTGTGTATGTCCCTGCGGCAGAACAAACGCACGCCAACCTAACTTCCTGCCCCACTGGTCGCTGCCCACGTTCAGAGGAACCAGGTCGCGGGCCAACCTCGAGGTGGATGTGTGCATATGACAGCTGCACGGAACGGTCCAAAGAGCGGGCGGGCGGGCGGGCAGGCAGATGTCCTGCCCGCGGGATGCGTCAAACAACCTCGCAATCTGGGCTGCAGGGTCTGCTGCGCGGGAACGGGCCTGTAGTCGACGGCGCAGCCTTCCCCGTGCCCAGGGACGGGGTCTGGGGTAGGATCTCATGAACGGACGGGCGGGCACGCGGGCGGGCTGGGCGGTTGTCGGTCCCTTAATCTGCTCTGGTGAGCATGAGAAAGGGTTGCCTGCGTGAGCGAGGCGTGTTCAACCCAGGTCTAGGAGGCCATGCGCCCGCACGGCGAGGCAATGGTGGTCCATCCCGGTGATCTGGACCGTGTGAGACAACCCCAGCCTCGCCCATCATGGTGGAGCTAGGGATATACATGCTTCGAAACACCTCCAACAAAGAGCCGCGGCGGGCGCATAAGACAGGCGCATATCAGGGTGGCGGGCAAGGGATGCCCATGGACTGACTAGCTGATGTGGGCCTGGCAGCGCTCATGATCACCAGGCTTTGTTGAGGAGTAATAGGTGGCTAGCAGGCGTGTCCTGGTCACTTCTCACATGCGCGCGTTACCGTGCTGCGCCGGGGGTGAACAGTCCTACTTCCCCAAATAGGGGTACCGGTTTCCTTAACCCTCCCTGATGCGACGCCCACGATCCTGTCCATACGCATGCATGGCTGCCGCTCCGCTGCTGGCAGATAAGGTTCAGGTCTACCCACAGAGGACGGTCCGCACAGGGGGAGGGGGCGGGGGTCCGTTTACAGGCTATGGTTGTTGGCAATCTTTTCCCGCCACGTGGAAGGCAATCTGCATGATGCTCGCGCGAGCGACAGGGACAGACGGAGTAAGACCCAATAGCGCTGAGAGCTTTATTGTGAGGCCCAAATACGCGAGCTGGAGTGAAGTACTTGACGACACACGGCCTTGGATTGTTAATGATATGAGACGATACCCAGCAGGCCACAAAAGAAAAGTGACAAGGCCGATCCAGCGTTCGCTTACGGGTTACTAGATGCCTCGAACCATGATCTTCCACCCACCAGCTCCTCTCATGCATGATGGGCGCCAGACAAAGAATAAGGCAGCATTCATCAGGACATCCTTGAAAGTCAATCCAAAGGGAAAAGAAGGAAGGCAGAGCACAGATCCAAGACGTGTTTCTCATGTCAAGACGACCCTTTCATTTATAATGTCGTTCCGAGCACAAAAAACTTCACACACTCGAATATACCAAACACCGGAACAGTTCCAAGGTCCTTGTTACCGGACGTCATGCGACGTCGTTTGACAACGGCTTAATCTGGTGATGGACTAATTGCCTGCCTCCATCTGCCCTGAAAATAGCCCAGAGGTCAATTCGTAGACGAAGAAATGTAGACGAGATGTTCGCTTAGCTGGGGTAAATTAATGCTCTTCCTGGTGGGAATAGAAATCACAAAAGATTGACACACGTGAAATACCCATCATTCTGTTCGAGCGCCCGTGCCCCCTTACCTTCGCCCTGACCAACCCAAGTTTCCAAAAGTTTTATCCTGTTGTGCTTCGTTCTCGCTCTTGAGCCCTTGCGTTCTCCCTCCCCTCTATATTCTCATCCGTCGTTAAGTAGAAAATAGAAAACAAAAACACCTCGTGTTCCTTCCTGATTGTGGGGGCCAATTAGCGCACCAGTCACCGCCTCCCTTAAACCCATTCTGACCAGAGGCGCACACACAGTTACCCTTGCCATACAGTCTCCAGACTAGGAAATTGTTTGGCCAGGAACCTAGATTCGTCGCATCATTTCGTCTCTTCCATCCAAACTGCGTTGCGCAGAAACGGCAAGGGGCCGGATTATGCTCGTTCGAGTATTAGGTATACCAATGATCGCGAAAAGGACTTTTCGCATATGATTGAGAGCCAAACAAGTGAAGGAGAAAGAAGAAGCTGTCCTGTCGTAATCCAGCCGCTAGCTATACCATCTATTCCTGTAGAGGCGGGAAAAAACTTTTTGCAGAAAGCCGACGCGAATTTGTGATGATGTTCATGGGTGTCGTCGAATTTGTGATCGAGATCAAACGAGGGCTGCGAAGCCAAGTGGTGGTGTAAAAGAAAATCACGTCAGCCGGCCCAAATAGTCGAATTGCCCCTTGGTCAAATCGATTCCTCTCTCTTCAACGTTGGTTTCACGTGTTCCACCGTTTGTTGTGGTTCTTGGTACCAGCATAATCAAAGCCGCTACCTCCTTCATCGTGCAGCTGCCCTCGGCCAAGTGATTCAATCTTCAAGCTAGGCCCGGACAGGTTCCTGGGGTCGTGTTGCTGTGTAAGATAATTGGGGAAGCCCTGTGTTGGATGCGAATGGACAGATCCCTGTGGGACGCTAGCTGTCCGATATATGCTGGTGGGACCGGTGTCGTAGGAGCCTCGCTGCATATTATCAAAGGATGCTGCCTCGACGTACTGTGGGGTCTGTGCAAGAGGAACGGGCTGCTGGTGCACATAGGAACCTGATTGATGTGCCTGCTGCTGCTGGTTATCAAAGGAAGAGTACATCGATGGTGTGGTCGGCGGGTTCGTCGCCTGCCAGCTCGGGTACAAGCCGGATGTGGTTGCACTGCTATATTCTGATGGCGAGGCATACAGAGACGGCCGCCGGCTGGAGGCGTGCGGATCCGGGAAGTTCTCCTGTAGCGGCATTCCAGTCGCTTGAGGGATCGCGGATTGGTTTCCCATAGAGTTGCTCTCCACGAAACTTGGCTGGCCGGAGCTGAGGTCGGGCTGCATCATCGACGGCTGATGGTGGTACTGGTGGCCTCGTACCGGAAGGTCTCCTAAGAATGGCCCACCCTGTAGGTTACCAGCTGGACTTGGCTCACTACTTGGAGCCACCAGCAGACCATGGTCTGCGGTCTTGGGGGTCGAAGCAGCCGGCTGTGAGGGGTTTTGGTCGGCATCGTCATCGTCCTTTGGAACATCGTCTTCTTCATCGTCGGATTGGTAGTTATCGGGGACCTTATCATCAGCCATGACCATGGCTTCATACTCGGCGTCTGTATGTATCCAGATTAGAATCTACAGAAAAATGGCAAAATAAGTGATGAGCGTACCGATCTCCCCATTTTTGTAGCGTTCTTCGTAGCGAGCCACCTTGAAGATTTCTCTGAGATAGGGCTTCTTTTTGGCATTGTTAGGGTTCTCTACGTCCCCAAAGAAGCTTCCAAGGGCCTCAAAGGTCGCCTCCTCCAACTTGCTGACGTTCAGGCCATGCTTCTGGATATCTTTGTGCTGCAAATGGTTTGGCTCCGTGATCATGTGTAGAATGTGGTTCAGGAGATAAACACGCTCTGTCTCATATCAGATCTCAGGTCCACTAACGGTTGGAACTTGAGATGACCTACCAGGTTTGTAAAGATGATCAGGCTCCTTGTGCCGGACTTTTTCGTCCCTCGAAGTACCCCAAGGTTTCGGCCACCAGTCTGGAGCTTTGGCATCTGCCCCAGTGTAAGGGTGGTTGGACTGCTTCTTCGGCGCGATCAATTTGACCCAGGCCTTGGCGATCAATTTACAAGCAGTCTGTTGTATGTTCTTGAATCGTTGATCGCAGAACTTCCACACTTCCTCTTTATTACCAACCCGTATGCCCTTCTTGGAGAGTACTACTTGCACTGCTGGAAGGTCGTCGTCCAATGTGACATCTCTCCTGCCAGACATGCCGCCCCTCTGCCTCTTTCGAGTCCTGTAACAGGTTTCGTCATCGTAGGCAAGCAGTCCCTGGGTGCGCCGCCGGTCATATTGTCGACGGCCACCGTATGCGGAGCTCATATGAGGCCGAGCTGGATCTCCGTGCGTAGGATAGCCTTCTTCGTACGTGGGACTCGGGGCTAGAGCAATTCAAGGTCAGCAAAACCGCACAAAAATGTCAAACAGCGGCTTCGTACTTGGCATCACCCTTCCGGTCGTGTACCATTTTTGATATCCTTCAAGATCGATGTATTTCGACAGCACTTCCGAAGTCGCAGCTTCTTTAGGTCCGGTGAACCTCACTAGTTGTCCGTCGTCTCTGATCCCTGCCATGATGAAATGTTTGAGTGGGATGTTGCAATACTCGTCAAACATGGTACAAATGTCCTAGTGACGGGGTCAATCTTCGTCTGTATATGGTTCCGGTAGACGCCGTTTCTTACCATGGGAACTCTATGCTCGTATATGGGATCATTGGGAATCCTGGCTGGCATCCTGTCGGCCGGATGCCATAGGCGCGACGATGGGTGGCCCGGCTGAACCATTTTTGCAAAGCTAAGGCGTGTGCTGCAATCGAATGCTGAAATTCACACGTGCGTTTGGTGAATATGACAAGACAGGGCACGTTTGGCTCCTCGTTGTCGGCCTTTTATGCGATGCTCAGCAGCTAAAGCGTCTCAAAGGCGAGAGCACCGCGGAAGATCCATATACTGATAGTTGGTCAGCACCAGCGTACCATATCTGTGGGGCTGAAAGAGAGGCGCGAGGACATGGGTTGGTGTGCAAGCCAGACCTTGACCGTTCTCCTTTTAGACTCCTCAAGAGTGGTCTACGAGGGTCCCAAAATTGCCAATGAGACGGACAACAGCCAATACCAAGAAGAACACAGAATAGGGAAAAGAGTTCAGACTGGATTTTCAATACAAATGAAAGAAACGAATGGTCCATGTGAAATTGTGACTGATCACGACAGGTACACCTGGAAAGGAAGCAGGCTCGAGTGGCGTGTATAGCTGATATATGTGCGAGGGTAGGTCTAGGGCAGCGCAGATCAAGGAAAGCAAGCCGTACCTGAAGAAAAACCAACTGCCGACAGTCCTTGGTTGCCCCCTCGACAGACGGCAAATTTCCAGACAGCAACCAGGTCGAGTTCAGATTACTGACCACTGGCACGGGTCTTGCGCGTCTGTTGGAGCGGGAGCTTGCTGAAGCCGAGTGGGACGGAAGCGGATATGCACCAAAATGACTGCCACGCTCACAACGGCACGATCGATGGTATCGATCCCTTGGACAGTGTCTTGCTGAGTATAATTAAAATGATAGAGAGAGGCCCATCAACAACAAAGGCAGAATGCTGGCTTGTGTCAGATAGGACCCTGCTGCTGCAGCCGATTTCAGGATTGCTAGTCCTTGTACAGGCGCTTGGACAGACAGGCCAGCTCGCTGTGATCACTTTCTAAGGAGCGGGCGTCACAGTCTTCTTTGTCTGCTGTGCGGCTGTGAAACATCGGAAAGCTGCTCTCCACTTGCCCACGAAGGCCTCCCAGTGTAAGAGTGGCAACGATTGTCTTGAGACCTGGCGTCAAGCGTGCGATCCAGGGGTCCAATACCTCAGCGTTTCGTCGACGCTGGCGGGGGGAGAAAAGGAGCTGTCCTTCTCAAAACGAAGTCGTTGACGCGCGCAACAGACGGCGATGAGCACGAGCTGTGCAGATGAGCGAGGAGACTCTGGAGCAGCCTCGGAGATTTCGGGCGAAGTATCGTATCGCCAGGATTGAGTGGGACAGAACTCGACTGCACAAAACCGCACAGCCCGTTTTTAATAAGTTATGAGGAAAAGAGGTGACCGGATGGTTTCTCCTGTCGTGTTTGGTAGCCCAATCAGTGTTCACCAGGGCCTGATGGTCGCGGCAGATGGCAGATAGGTGGAGTCTCTCGGCCAAGGTACCAACAGACAATGTCGAGTAGTATAACTGAAGGTGAGAATGCAATGAACCCGAGTCCGCAAGCGGGAAGTGGAAGTCGCAAGATGGAGGTTCCTAGATCACCTGTCCTAAAGGCTGATGCTGCTCACTAACCGTGACCGCCGTGATCGAAGATCCAATAGCACAGACGCGGAATAGCGAGAAGAGGTAGAGCTGGACTGACGCCTACGGCGGCAAACGAGATGGGGATACGTTCCGTTGGCTGTGTTACCGAGAAGAGCGATCGAGCCTTCGAAGCTACTGGTTCGTTTCGGCGCACCGAGAGGAAGAAGGCGGAAGGTAGGCCAAGAAGCTGAGCTTGACTGCGAGGAAGGGAGTAATGTATGCCAAAAAGAATGCGAGTGCCACCATATGTACGTGTGATGGAGTGAGTCCCTTGTGGTTCGCAAGGATACTCAGATAAAACAGAAAAAGACATCCGCGGGCTACACAGACCCTTGTCCCATGCAGGAGACAGTGGGGATTCCACAGAACCCAGTGCGTATTATGGGCCAGGAGACAAGTGCTGAATCTCAAATTGTTGACCAGGGCAAAGGGCACGCTTCTATGTAATGGTAAAACCGGGGAGAGCACCAGATGGATCTCGGTAAGGTCGGTCTACTGAACTGCGACCGGAGTGGTGATCGGGGAAGAGCCGTGGGAGCGACGGTGATGGGCTGCTTTTCTCTGCCAGGGAGGATGCCGCAAAGATGAAAGTCTGCCAAACGGAAAGCCCTGGTTATAACGTCAATCAAAAACGGGTGTGTGATGACACCTTGTGCCGTACTGTACATGCTGGGGGAAAATAGAGGAGGTGGTCCAACAAGAGCCTGTGTTTGGGTGGGGAACACGGCGACTGGTCGAGGGTGTGGAAAGGGCTTTGCCTGATGCATGGCGGGCTGCAGCATGTAGCTCGATGGGTATACAGCGCGCCATATTGGCTGCGAGTCGCACAGTGACGAGAGGGGACCTAGGGGAGAAAAAGCAAGACAATTGCTGATATCTGCGGACCGGATAAGAAATCCCGGCTTGTGGATGGCAAGAGACCTGAAAGTCCATGTTCAGTTCATCTGCGCGCTCGAATCCTTCAGCGTCGCCGCTCGACCGCCAGTCAGTTTGTCGAGAGACCAGGGACACGGTTCTGTCGAGGCTGACAAGGCGTTTCAATATTCCTTGTCATGATTAACTCCCGGATTGCATATGGTACACCTCGAAAGCCTTGGGTGATAGGAGAGCCGGCACAGTCGCCTCTGCGGTAATACAAGTAGACTTTGTCGGGGTACCAAACCAAGTGTGTGTGGTACATGAGTACTTGGGCCAGTGTGTGGAGGATGGACAGGGTGGGAAGCAGCCAGGCTTGGCTGGTTGAGGATCTTGCAGCAGCCACCGCAGATGACGAAAAGGGATTTTAGATGGCCATGACCGCTGTGGTAAAGTAAAAGGCAAAGGTGCGAGGTTTGATGGGCATCATCATCGGCACCAGCGGCGGCATCGCACATTAGGTCGGCGGCGTAGCAGCTTGCCCACACGCCCACGCGGTTGAGACCATGCTATTAAGAGAGGTATCTCCTGGTGGGGAGACATGGAATGCTTTTCCCACCGTTGTGGTCGTACTGTGGTGGGCATCGAGTGGACCTCTCAAGTGCAAAGTATCACCAATACCCCCCATCCCAGCCAAGAAAGCCTGGAAGCGCTCGAGTGTGAGCTTTCACACCCTGCCGAAGCCCCTCTTGGCGGCCACCATGTGAAATTCGCGGGCAAGCAAGAAGAACAGTTGAAGCTCGAGGCAGACTCATTGCGGGACGGCCGTGAACAATGGCAGAGGGCTGGAGATCTGGAGATGGTCGAGGCAGAGGCGGCTCGGGGAGAGACGCGCTTTCCAGCTGCAGCAAGCACTGGCGGAGTTGCGGCAATAGGCTGTACCGGCACCGTACAGAAGGAGCTGCACAGTACCTACTGTAGGTAGGGTGCTAGGACGGTAGGTGGTGGTGTGAGCCCTGCGAGGCCCTGCGAGGCATGCGAGGCTTTCCACACGAGTTGGTGTGAAGGTGTGGTCAATGGTGCACTGGGTCCGACAAGGGCCTGGTGTGAGACTCTGGGGACACGCTATGCCGAATTGGCAACGAGGCCTGTGCCAGTACCCAGAGCCCAGAATCCAGAATCCACAGCTGTGCCGGTGGGTCTTGTTGGACTGGGGCTGGGGCAAGAACCGTCCTGTACTGTGCTGTAGGAGTAGGGCTCCGTCGAATACGATTGATCCTATCGCGAAAGCACTGTAGTAATCTAGCTCTCCATGACTGGCAGGTATGTGGTACTGTGTAGAATCGTGGAGACGAGCGGTTTAGAAGACGTGCCTTGACAGACGACGACCAGAGTTCTCTGTAAATTGAGAGAGGAGGGTTGAGAGACAGCGACAGCGACAGTGGCAGCGACACAGAGAGAGTCAGCCAAGGTTGACCAGGCAGGCAATGCGTCTGTACGTACACACTCACTTCTTGCGCAGGACAAGGTGGAGTGGGTTGCTGTACTTTACTGTACAGTAAAATAGACCAGATCTCGGGAAGCACATGCTGTAGAAGCCGGATTTGTGGATTTATTCTTCTGTGCATTGGCCAGATTGGCGTGTCCAGCCCACGGCACAAAATCCGAACAGCTAGCAGCACACAGGGTAATTAAACCGGCCCCTCAGTTCCCACCAACTCGGGAAGCTCCACCGTCAGTTCCATCCCTGTGCCCTGTGTGTGCCTGCCCATTGCCCATATTTGTTCAAAGACGGACACCAGTCACCACGAGATTACGTCAGGCTCCCCTGTCCCCGTTGCGCAGTAGTCTCCGTCTCTGCCTCGCTAGGTAGTCTAGGTCTAGCACCCAGGTACTGTCAACAGTAAGAGTAAGGGTGAGAGCAACAGTCACCTTCACCGCAGGGGCAGTCACTCCCGTCCGTCCCGTCGTGCCATTCTGCACATCCTGCCGTCCCAGTCCCAGTCCCAGTCCCAGTCCGCTTTCGCTGTCCACGGCGGCTACTTCCTTTCCTTGCGGGTCTGGGGATTACGTGACTCGTCAAAAAGAATCTGGGAGCTCGATCCCACGAGGCGAGGCAAGGCGAGGCGAGACAGGACAAGACAAGTCCAGCTGAGCACATACACGCATGCAGACACACACACACACACAGACACCCACACCCACACTCACACCCACACACCCACACACCCACACACACACAGAGAATACACAATGCGGACAGCCAGATTGTGCAATGTTCATCTTCGTCTTCCATTTTCATCAGTCAGACTGTTGCATGATTCCCACAAAGGAAGCTAAGCCTTCCTTACAGCCTCCGTCATCCTCAACTCGCAGCACAGCACCGTAGCACATGTACAAAGTACAATACATCCAACCACGCCCGCCTGCCAGCACACTCACAGCATAATCATCATCACCATCACCATCACCAACACCAACACCAACATCAACACCGACACCAATACCCAACTGCTCAATGAGCGGCGCCACACTGGCCCCCCATCGGTCGGCTCAAGCCCTTCTCTCGGCAAAACTGGAGGCCGTCCCGCTGCACTGTG